CTTCATATCCAGGCAAAATTATTTATACGTCCAAATACAGGAGATAACATTCAGAAACGCGGAAACCAGTATTAAAAGTTTCAAATCCATCAAGTACATATATCGTGACATGTTTTACGTAATGAAGCAAATTAATTCGATTTTTGGTATATGGTGTTGGTGCATTTTGGTATTGACATTCCTCGAATATATAACCGATTTTGATATACTACTGAGCAATTTACTTCAGAACATAAATGTGGATGGTGTAAAAGATATGGTTTATTTTGTGTCGTTTTATTCCGTAAGTTTGGTTTTTATATGCTACTATTTATTTTTTTTTGATATAACAGCATCCCTGATTGATAAAAATTTAGTAAAATGTAATTGAATAACATTTCGATCATATTTCTTTAATATCATGAATTAATTGTTATAGGTATCTATTCAATTTCCCAAGAATCCATATAAGATTTTCAAAAATGATATTCCGTGACGTTTTTCATTACTTAGTGAAGCATATTTTACTCGCCGCAAATGACCATTTGAATATAAATTTAAGCATGGAATTTTAATGATATTGCGGTTTTGACATGCATCAAATTAATTTCCTGATTTTAATAGGATAGTAGGTACATCAATAAATACAAATAAATAGTTGTGTAGATTGAAATTTCCATGCAGTTGTGTTAAGTATCTATGTATTAATGAAGGTAAAACCGCATGGAAGATGGAAGTTAAGAAAATAGAAAAAAAGCCTGTAAAAATGGATACATACTTTTTTAATTTATTTTTCACCATGGGAAAGGTGTTTTTTGTTTTTCCTTGGGAACTGGATGTTCGTAATGTTAACAAGAATATTGAAGAAATTTTAGCTGTTGGCTTAGTATTGTTGGGTCTTTATTCTACAATAATCATATCGTCCATTGAAAATTATAATGAAAGAAAATTTTTGATCATTGTAGATCTCTCCCCATTTGTATTTTTTTCTCTAACAATATTATACGGATTATTGAGAAGAGGAGAGCAGTGGAGAGAACTGATGGAAAGTTTGCATAAGTCATCCAAGCCTCTGGCAAAGATAACAATCTGGAAAATACTTACATATTTTATATTTACTATTTTGTTTTTATTGCCATATTTGTGGTTGATTTCAACGCTATTCATTAAAATTTATTCCGGTCAATACTATTTGACTGCGATCTACGTATTAATAACACAAACCCAATTAACAATAATAGCCGCTGTAGTTTCGGAAATTTTGGACATCTTCAGATTGAGGCAGGATTATTTGTACGCCCAATTAGAGAATATAATGTTCTTTGATAGACAAACTATTATTGATTACATAACGTCTATGAAATATTTTTATCGTGATATGTTTTACGTAACGAAGCAAATCAACTCGATATTTGGTATATGGTTTTGGTGCATATTGGTGAAAACTTTTTGCGAGTACATAACCGATTTTGACATATTACTAACTTCTTTTTTCGAAAAGACGAAATTCTCTAAAGATGCAAGAGAAATACTTTATTTAATGTCGGTTTATTCCGTAAGTTTGAATTTTATTATTAATGTATTGATCTATTACTAAATAAGATTTAAGTATGTATTGCTATTACTGGTGATGGTGTTGCTTTGACGAAACATTTAACCAATTTAATATAAAAAAATTCAAAAATTGATCATCAAATTCCCAAACAACTTACATTATGAATGAAGTAAACATATTTTAGTAATAGCAATAATTTGAAAAGGTTGATACATTCTTTACCTAATGATAATTACAATTTTGACATGTTTACATTAATATCACTCACTTATGCGCATTGCTTATTACGATCGATTGATACAAAAAACAATGAGCAATTATGTTAGTGTAAAGTTTAATTTTCAAAGAGTGTGGTTGAATAGTAACTAAAGTATCTCAGTTAAAAGAAAGCATGGAAGTTGAAAAAATTGAAAGAATTCATGTGAAAATGGACACTTATACTTTTAAAATCATTTACAATGTAGGAAAGTTGTTTTTGGTCTTTCCTTGGACATTGGAAAATAATATTTGCATGATTATTGAAGGATTTTTTATCATTGGCACTATAATAGCGGGCATTGATTGCACAGGAACATTGACATCTTATCAAAAATTAAAAAGTGAAAAAATCTTTTCAACTTTTGTCTGTTTCCATTATTTGACTTTTACTTTATCAATACTATATGGATTTTTGAGAAGAAGAACAGAGTGGAAAGAGCTTCTGGAACTTTTGAATGATTCAACCAAACCTCTGGCAAAAATGTCAATGTGCAAAATAATATCACATTCAATATTCAGTATGTTGTTTATATCGCTATTGGTTTGGACCACATCATCCATAGGCATAGCTACGGTTAATGATATAACACTTATCTCGTACGTACTATTAACAAATATTCAAGTAATGATAACAGTCGCGTTAGTTGTGGAAATTATGGACATTTTCAGAACGAGACAAAATTCTCTATTTTCTCAAATAAAAAACATTAAGAGAACTAACAGAGAAGCAAGTATTCAGATTATAAAATCTGTGAAGTACACGTACCGTAACATGTTTTATGCAATGAAGCATATTAATTCGATTTTCGGTATATGGTTTTGGTCCGTATTAATCATAACATTCAACGAATATTTAACTGATTTCAATGCAATACTATCTTCTTATTTCGAAAACGAAAACATCAATGAAGAACTTAAAGCAACTGTCTTTTACTTGATTGATTATTCCGTAAGTTTTTATTATTAAGTGAGCTATATTTGTTTGCACAAGTTACCTATATAAGTAAATCTGATTATGCACTTATTTACAACTGGATTGAAAACCGAAATACTTTTTTTTTATTAATTTATTTAATGTATTTTTATAAGTTTGAAGTTTAATGTTAATTTAGAGATCTATTACTTACTAATTGTAAGTAAAATTTAAGTATTACTATTACTGATGATGCTATTAGTTTGAAGAAACATTTAACCAATTTTTGTCTAAAAGAATTTTCCGAAAATTGATTGTAGGTTTATTCATAAAAATTCCTATCAAATTACATTTAGGAACTAATTCCAACTAATTGTAAAATGTAATTTGAGTATGTTTATTACTAATAATAAACACACTTTAGTAATAACAATCATTTAAAAGGGGTAGTAAATTTCCTAATGATAATTACAATTTTGACATGTTTACATTAATATTTCTCACTTATGCCTATTACTTATTACGATCGATTAATACAAAAAACAATGAACAATTATGTTAGTGTAATGTTCATAGTTCATAGAGTCGGGTTGAATAGTAACTAAAATATTTAGTAATAAGACAGCATGGAAGTTGAAAAAATTGAGAGATTTCACGTAAAAATGGATACTTATATTTTTAAAATCATTTACAATATAGGAAAGTTGTTTTTGGCCTTTCCTTGGGCATTGGAAAATCATATTTGGATGATTATCGAAGAGTTTTTTATCATTGCCACTATACCAATAGGTTTTGATTGCACAAGAAAATTGTCATCTGGTCAAATTGGACACAGTGGAAAATTCTTTATGATTTTGGTCTTTTCCCATTGTTTGATTTTTACCGTATCCATATTATACGGGTTCTTGAGAAGAAGGACAGAGTGGGTAGAGCTTCTGGCACTTTTGAATAATTTCCCTCAACCTCTGGCAAAAATAACAATATGGAAAATAATGATATATTCAGTACTTACTGCGATGCTTATATCGATATTTGCTTGGAACATTTCATACCTGATTGTCACCGGTGTTGATGAAATAACAGTTTTCTTGTACATAACAATAACAAATTTTCAACTAATAATAATAGTCGCATTAATTGTGGAAATTATGGACATTTTCAGATGGAGACAAAATTCTCTATTCTCCCAATTAAATACTTTTAAAAGAACTAACAGAGAAACATGTATTAAGATTATAATATCCGTGAAGTACACGTACCGTAATATGTTTTATGCAATGAAGCAAATTAATTCGATTTTTGGTATATGGTTTTGGTCCGTATTAATCATAACATTCAGCGAATATTTAACTGATTTCAATGCAATACTATCTTCTTATTTCCAAAACAAAATCGTCGATGAAGAACTTAAAGAAACGGCCTTTTATTTGGTGAATTATTCCGTGAGTTTGATTTTTTTTTGTTAAGGGAATATAAGTATGAACAGAAAATGTTCACTTAGTAATTTAGTTAGATAAGTGAATTGGACTATACACTTATTTACAAATGTACTAAACCTAAAATTATTTTAATGGCTTATTTATACATCGAATAGATGTAATAAATAACTCATTCAATACCATATACATTTGTAATATTAATATTAAATTACAAATTAATATTAGTTTTGTTATTTTGAAAAATTCTAAGTAGTTAGTAGCTAATAGCAAGGTGTGCAGATAAGTTAGTACGAAAATGAACGAACTAAAATTTGATATAACTAATGATAAAAGTGGTACTAATAATTTGCGAATATTATTCGGGTTCTGCCAATTTTTCTTGATATTACCTAGAAAAGAAACTAGTCTATTAGTGATTCAATTATTAATTGTGTTGTTTTTTATGTGCTGTTGTGGATATATCATTTCAATAAGGGAAAAATTCGACTTGCTCTGGCTGATGAAAATTTCAGAGCGTTTGTTTTCCCTTTTATCGTCTTGTTTTTGTTTAATTAACGGTTCAAACTACGTTAAAATATTTAAGTATTCAAACGCATCGAAGTTAAACATTTCCACTAAAAGCAAATTAAGATTTTTCACAGCCCTATCTATTATATTACTAACACTTGTCAGCTATATATTTTTCTTTTATCAAAAACACATCAATTATTTAAACATTGCGAGCAATTTTTACTTTTCCTTTTTCGATATTCAACTTATAGTAATTGTTTTATCCTCGACGGAAGTTTCTGCTATCATTCAAACGAAACAGGCGCGTTTATGGAGCAAACTTAAATCTATAAAACTCAGACAACGCATGATAAAGGACGCGATTCTGGATGAATTCGAATGCGCCAAAGAAATTATCAGAGATAATTTTTTCGCCTGGAAATACACGAACAGTATTTTCGGCGTTTGGATTTGGAATTTGTTAGCTTTCACTTTTCTGGCTTATTTGAAAGATTTTGAAAATATTATTAGTACCGAAGCAACGGACATTGCTACTGAGATTGGCGTACAAACTGTATTACACACTTTTGTATTGACTGTAAGTTTAAATTGTTAGTTCTAAATAATATATTAAAACCTAACAGTTTGAGCTTGGTCCCCATAGGGTTTTTTTTAGAAGGTTTTAAACATTTTTGAATTTTCCTAAGTGGATTATTGAGGATTTTAACCATTGTAATGGGGCGTTTTTTTTAGATTTTGACGATTATATTTGCAATGTCCTGCGACAAAGCGGAAAAAGGAGCAATTCGTTTAGCGAAACTATGCAACATGTTACAAGCCGATATAACGGATCCGATTTTAGTGGAAGAACTCAAGCATTTGTCCAATTTTATCAAAGAATTAAGACCCAGGTTCACTGTGTACGGATTTTTCAACGTCAATCAGCAGACTATTCCAGTCTTCATTTCAGCAGTCACGACTTACGTGATCATTTTGATTCAGTTCAAAATTAATAAATAAGTTCTTCTAATGCACCTATATAGTAGTTATCTGCACATTTATGTATTGTGTGGTTTGATCAAAAAATAGTTAATAGATTTGTGAAGTGTAATAATAAAAATGTTATAAATCTACAATTCATTGACTACCTGAAACTCTCAAGTCAAAGTTATATGTCAAAAATAATGGTATAAAAGAAGAATGAAAATAGCAAAAAAAGTTACTAGATTTAACAGGAAACCAATTTATTTCCAGGGTATTTTATGAGTAGCATTTTGACAAAGATATTTTTAGTAATAAATAAATTTTACACAGAGCTTAGAAAATAAAATTGGTACGCTCGTTGATCGAGAACTGTAATCTATCCGATGTCAAGCCGAAGTTTTGAATGTAATTGAAATTTCAAGTCTCGAAACTGTCATTTTGATATGCGATGAAGAAAAAAAACCTAGTTGAATCGAAAGACATTGAACTCCCAAATTAACGAAATTTAAGTTTCAATACCAAGACAAAGAACAAAACAATGCCTTTATGAATTTAATAATGGGCAGGTAAGACTTTGAGAAAATATACTCAAAATTTATACTCAATAACCGTGATAATTATCACACGCTCACATCCTGATAATCTCACGACAATCACATCATCTATTAACACTATTTAAAACTTTTTATGTGAAACAAAAGAGTATAAATATTTTTTTAGACGTCAAAACAAGAGGCAGGAACCTCAGGCTGTTCCTTTACACACACAACAACAACAACAACAGCAACAGCCGCCCCCTCACAACAAACAAACTCCGCCGCCGCCGCCTCCGCCGCCGCCCCCGCCTTGCGCCGACGACTCCTGGGAGCTGCAGTACTGCAAATGGTGGGGGTGGAACTGGGTGAAAAAGGAACATTCGGAAATGAACAAGTACGTGTCGTTGCCCTGCGAAGGCCCCACCCGCGACAATTTTCCTCCCATCAGGTAAGACTAACGCAACGAAATGATTTAATCGAAAATTTAATCGAATCGTTTCAGATGCCCCGTGATACCGATGAAACGGGTGGATAAAAACACCAATCGTTTCAAGGATTTTTGCAATTGCTTGTTTTCGCCTAATAGAAGAACCGCAGAGAGCCTGCAGAGGCTCTACAGCACTCCCTCCAACAGTCTAATCTACGAATCGCTCTGTTGCGGAAATCAGGAGCGAGGTTTGGATTCCTACACTTGCATGGAATTGCGCAACGATACACGCAACAAAAGCAACAAAAACACACCGAACAAACGGAGCCAAGAGAAGATATGCAAGTGCGAGCAAGAGAAGAAAGAGAAAGAGAAGAAGAAGAAGTACTGCACCTGCAAAGAGTCCAACACCAGCTTGTCGAATTGCTGCAACTGCAAGGAGAAAGAGCCGCCGAAGAAGGGTTGCAACTGCAAGGAATCCAAAGCCAACGCGAAGAAAGCTTGCAATTGCAAGGAGTCGAACAGCAATATGAAAAAGTGTTGCAATTGCAAGGAGTCGAACAGCAATATGAAAAAGTGTTGTAATTGCAAGGATTCGAACTGCAATCTGAAGATGTGCTGCACTTGCAAAGAAACGACGTGTCCTAAAAAGTGCTGTTGCGGTTGTATGGAATCCAGTAATGTTAACAAGAAGTGCTGCGGCTGTAGAGAGCAGAATGTGACCAACTGCTGCAGTTGTCCCAAAAAGTAATTCCTTTTATTTTCATACATTTATAACGACAAAAAATTGACATACAGAGGAATAAATGTGAATCCTAATTCGGTGTAACTAATGAGAACTAATAAGAACTTATTAATTTCAAGAAACTTAATGAATTCTTCTTTATTGTCATGATTTTGGTGGTCATTGTAGTTTAATTTATAGAAAATTTTTAACACGACGTTATTTTTTATCTTAGCCACTCGCTGAAGTTGAACAATTTGAGTATTTTGGGTACATTTTTGCAATAGAAAATTTACTTAACATACGAATTTTTAAGCAAACCTTTGCATTTCTGATACATTTTGCCTATATTTAAACACAATTAGTTTCTGGGTTTGATTTTTTTATAAATCCTCATTAATCATACATATTAAATTTTATCAAACAATACTTCAAATTGGATGAATTCAAAAAATGATATTTTTAATGTCTATATTTTTATTCATACACAGAGAGATGTTAATGAGGATTAAAATTTGCATTTATTTTTGGATTTAGCATTATGTTGATTTGCAAGTTTTTACTCTAAATACACTTTCATTGTTTTCAAACAAATTTGGAAAACCCGTATTTTTTATCAATTATTATATATAAGTGTCCTTTATATTCGAATATTCTGCTAATATGTAAGTTCTTATCCAGGTGACCGCAATTTTTGTAGAATTACGAGGAAAAATACAAATAAAATTTTTGGATAAGTGCATTAGGCTCTTCTAGTGATTAAAATAAAGTGTAGTGAGAAGTTTGTATAATAATTTGATATCTTTGACAACACAAAGGTACTAGTTGAATTGTTTTTTAATTTCGCTTCTCGGCAGAGGTAAGAAAAAACAATCATTATTTAATTATTTTATATCTAATAACTTATTAATACGTAATGTAATCGTCAGAGCAAACAAAATTTGTCTATATATTTATTTCTTATTTGAATAGTTAACAAAAGTGTTAAATTTCAGTACAATATTCAATCATTTGTAATTTGTTAATTTAATATTCACACGTACCTAAACAAATCTGTTTAGATAACTTAGTAAAAACTTGTCAAATCTAACTCTTTTTCATTCACTGCTAATCATGTCATAGATATGCATCATGAGTATTTAATTGGGTTTTTTTTATTTTTTCAGATCCCAAGGAGTTACGATTACATACGACTGTCCTTGTCAAACAAAGCCAGAAACGAAATGTTCGCCATGTCAAACAGTAAAAACCAATATGTGTGAATGCCTTAAAATTCCGGAGAAATGTACTTGTTGTTGTCATTGTAACTGTTACGAAACGAAGCCTATTAAACAACCTAAATGTAGACGAGATGAAGCCTATGATATGGAAGATGAAGAATTTACGTGCGACATATGCAAAGCAAGAGAGGACGACAACGATTACTTGGCCTATCCTTCGAGTGTAGCCGAGGAAAAGCACAAGAAAGCCGAAAAAAGCGATAGTTCGGTATTGCGGCGGAACAGCGTGCAGCAATCCGCTCGAAGGAATACTATGTTCAGTTATTACCTGCCTAAGTACAACAAAATTTTGACCAAAAACCAAGAAATCATGGTAAAAAAAGGCATCCAAACTCCTTGGAACTATCCGGACCTATTACTGCCTCCTGAAAATTTGATAGGAAAATCGGAGATGTACGAAGAGAAACAAACTAACTTCGCATACACCCTAGGAAATTACTGGCCGCAACCGACTGTGGAAGCCCAACACACCTGCACTCCTGGTTGCCCTTGCACGTGGTGCAAATCCCCGCCAGTCCAATGCCCCAACTGCGCTTGGCCGAAAGAAGCATATCCAATCAAGCACACATCAGCTCAAACTATTCCCTATCCCAAGATTCCGTTCGTCAATGATCCGTATATAAATAAACCGTCTTGTCCCTATTGTTCTGTTCACTCCATGTGCAATCGAAACCCAGATCCATATTCTGGATCCATGTCAGATCAAGATCTAGATGAGTATCGACCGCAGGTATCGAAAACTAACAATCCCCAGCGAATTAGCGAAGAGTACGACGATAATGATGTTGCGGAGGATCCGTTAACCACTTGGCGCAATCGCCCCGAAATCCAAAACACCCTTAGGCCTAAATCAAAAGCGCAATTTCAACCACCACCAGAACGAAAGTCGACGACCAGCGGTATGATTTTCCAGCAAAGAAGGGGCGAAAACACGACGAGGAGCCGGCTTAAACAAGAGAGTACTAGAATTTCCAATGAACCGCTTTCTTCAAGAACTTTGGATGCTTCTTCCATAACGACGACATCTTCAGTAGAGGAGGGGACCTCTCCTAATCGTAGGATAAAGTCCATAATGCGACCCTTGTATCCGATACAAATGGGTGCTTTGCCCACATCCGAATCCCTCCTTCGTGTATTGCAACAACCTCTGACTAAGCCTCCCGGAATAAAAAGCTGGCCGCGCAACAAACAAAGCAAGCGTTACTATCCCAATCGGCTGAATCCTTTGGATTTGGGAATCGACTATTCCAATTACATAAACAACATCGAAGCGAAAATTACGAAGCAATTAAAGTCCCGCCTTCTATTGGAAGTTCTTTACGGGGTTCTCGATTCGGCGAAAAACGACATTGAATCGAGCGACGAGCAATCCTCAAGCAGCGAATCCATCGAATCCGGCGATGATGATGATGGTATATTACCGCCGGGCGAGAAAAACCGATACTTCAAAGCGATTAAAAAGCTCCTAAGCAAATCGAGTGATCACAAACTGCCTACCAGAAGCCGACAGAAACGTAGAGGATCGCCGGTCAAAACGCACCCGGTTAAAAAATTCAAATACATCGACACCAACACCGAAAGCAGCGAGGAAACTTCAGTCGATAACTTCAACAATTTATTCGAAAAAATCAACAAAATAACCAAAGAAAGCCGATCGAACGTCGCCAAGCTCCAAGACGCCATCAATTCCCTGTCGCAATCCAAAGAAGAAGCGCATCACAGCCGCAAAAACCAGCCATTCAATCCGGAATTGATCGATAAACTGTACGAAATTATAAACACGGTGGCCGACGAAGACGCCATTCAGAATATCTTCGAGATCGTGTCGAACAAAAAGGCGGAAAAGGAGAGGACGAAGAGCAAAAGGACCGTCCGCAATTTGTTCGAGAACAACGATTTGCCGGAAAATTGGAGCACGTTGAGCTCCAGATCGCTGGTCAGCAACGACAAAGAGGCCTATTCTAATCCCAAACCCACCGGCAGTTATCTGCTGGATAAAGATTCGGCGAAGAGATGCGTCAAAAGTTCGAAAGTTAAATCCAAGTCGAAGATACCGATAAGAAAAGCGAAGCTACAGTTGAAATAGTCTGTCATTTCTTGTAATAAAAAGGTTGTTCAATGATTACTGATTTTATTGATGGATGTTAACAGATCCATAGGCTTGAAAGTAGTGTCCGGTTTGTTCTATTTAAATTCAAGCAGTTTTTCTCACTAATCCTATCATTTTTCTTAACATATTTTAGGTGCATTAACTTTTTATGTTTTTTTTTTGTTTATCCGATTTTTAGGAATACTCGTAGAAACTAATTGAATTTCAGCAGCTTACTTCATTCCAATGCAAGGGTTTGCACAAACAATTCTGTTCTAGTTTTATAACAATCACAACAAGATTACAGTGTGATATAGACTTTTATTACTCGATCGAATGTGAAATTTCCAATTCAGTGTAATTGAATATTTTTTTCAGATCAGAACAAGGAACGAATAGTAACCTTAATGCTACCAGTGCAACAGAAAGAATGGATTGTCCTTGTCAAATACAGCCGGAAACGAAATGCATGCCATGTCAAACAGCCGAATTTAAATCCGATAAAACTAAGGCGTCTTGTGTATGTCCCGTCGAATGTACTTGTTGTTGTCATTGTACTTGTAGAGATCCGAACGCTAAACAACGATTTCCGGAGAATTTTAACGGAGAATTCACATGTAGAATATGCAAAGAGAGGGAAAGCCGAAGAGCCTCAAGTTCTATCGACGCTGGTAGAGAATGGAGAGATTCGAAAAGAACTGTATTCGAAAGTACCAGACGTCCAACCAGATATTCATCTGTCAGTAACGACGCCGTAGTCGCAAAAGATACATCCGAGAGAAAATTGACTGGTGCTACGGTACTTACGAGGAACCCATCGACCGCAACTAGCGCTGCCACCGACAAAGTTTTACCAGACTACCACCTCAAAGTTCCTAACATCAATCTACTGCTATCGAAATACTACTCGGACAATCCGAAGTTCTACCAGGAGAAGTACGCCCACTACGCGTTCACCCAACAAAATTGCACCAACTGCAAGTACTGCTCGCCGTCGGCGGCGGGTTACTCGAACCAACCGTGCTCCATCACCAGGCGCTGCTCGGCCGGCTGCCCGTGCAAATGGGGCCGGCCGCCGCCCGACTTGGAGATGCGAATCCTCCGCGCCCACTTCAACCCGCAGACCAGCTCCCAACGGTACGGTCAGTCCTCCCAATGCAGGAACTGCCAGTGGACGAAGTCCCTTCAACCCACGGACGAGATCGTCCAAACGCAGGACTACTTCCCGTTCGGGTACGACATCGTGCCGAGGCACTATTGCTGTCCGAACTGCGGTCGGCGGCCGAGCGAAGAGAAAGAAGTGGAGAAGGTGGTGGATAAAGTGAAGAAGGAGAAGAAGAGCTCGATTGAGCTGCCCGAGGAACAGGATGAAGCGATGAAGCGGAGGAATACTAGGTTGTCGTATCCTGCGCATACTGAGGCGGAGCCTCGGTCTTTTTGGGAGAATCTTTACAAGCAGAAACTGGAAAATGAGCTGTTTTTGTCGAATCTCCAAAGGCTCCCGAAGAAATTCCCCGGATTGACAGATACTATGAATTTTAATGTGGAATTAGCTCCTGAAGTTGATAGTTTACCTGATCCCATAGGAGTTGAAAATGAAGTGAATTATCTAGGAAAGTTGGAGTCTAAAATAAAGAAGCAATTGAATTCCCGTATATTAGACGATATTTATAGTAATATTTTATCCAAAACGAGGAAAAGGGCGGTGGACGTTGATTTTTCTTCGTCCGGCGACTCAACGACGGAATCCGATGATGATTTAAGTTACTCGCATGACAACAAACATTTCCTCAAAACAGCTGAAGTTTTGATTGATAAGATCCTTCGTCAAAAAACCGATAGAGGTAAAGCAAAAAAGAAGCAAAAGCAAAAGAGTTCATCTCGTAGGAAAAAAACCAGCATAAAGTTGAGAAGCCGCAGCGACAGCAGCGAAGACGAGCACCTCGGCAATTTCAACAATTTATTCGATAAAATCTACAAAGTAACCAAGAAAAGCAGCTTCAACGTTGATAAACCCCATGACACCGTCAATTCGAAGGAACGGAAGAAGCACCATCGCGAGAAAATCAAACCCACCAAATCGGAACTGATAGAAAAATTGCACGAAATTGCCGAGAACTCGGTGAGCGTCGAAGACACCATTCAGAACGTTTTCGATATTTTAATAAGGAAAAACGACCCGAGACGCCAAAGCGACGATTCGGAAGATCTTTCTAGTAACTCGAGCTCTACGTCGGCGAGTTACCATGCACCGGCCAGGATTAACTACGATCACGAGAACCCGAAGAAAAGTCACAAGATGAAACTTAAGTCGAAAATCCCTTTAAAAAAAGGAAAATAACTAATCAAATCATTTATTAATCGAAACGCTAAATTGTAAATAAAATATTTTTTCTAACGAAACATTCGAGTTTGTTGGTTTTACTTAGGTATATCACATTTGCAATGGTTTGCTCAAAACTACTTAGAAACTGTATAAAAAATATCTACTTAAAATAAAAAAAAAGTTATCAGTTTAATAATTAACATTTAAATGATATACAATTTATTCAATTTTGTAAAATTCACTATTTTTTTCAGAGTGGAAAAAGTCACCTGTGTTTGTACACAACCTCCTGGTGCACCCAAAAATTGTCCTTGTCAAGTACAACCAGGAGTACTAAGCGTCCCCTGTCAAACTGTAAGAAGTTCTGTAAGCGAATATTTTCAGTATCCTAATTGTTTTCGTAACTGCAAGCAAACGAGAAACGTCCAAGTCCTACCACAATGTAATACTAAATGTACAAGAAAAAAACCAGTCGTATGTAGAATATGTAAGCAAAGAAGGGAAGCCGGTGATTTCGAAATTAGCAAAAAAAAGGAGGGAAACTACGTAATAAAAAGAGAAAAATCGATTATTTTCGGCGTTGACCATGACGAAATAAACGAGTTCGAAAATCAAAAAACATTCCGAAATGCCGATGAAGATATTAAACCAATCGAAAGTGGATTAATCAAGAAAACAGTCAGGGCGAGCAGTTTTTTCGTTACAGTTCCATTTACCAACTCGTTCGGAAAATCGAATTTTTACCAAGAAAAACAAGCCAACTTCGCGTTCGTCCAAAAAGGTTGCAAGTGCAAATGGCAACAGTCGCAACGCGGCGTCGTTCCACCCTGCATCATTCGCCAATGCCCCGTCGCGATGAATTGCTCACCGGGCTGCATGTGCAAGCCCTTAGATCCGCCCCACAAATCCGTTCAGTGCAATGGCGCCTGCAGCGCGCAATGCAGTGCGCAATGCAGCGCGCAATGCAGCAATTGCCCGTGGTTCAACGGCGTCAGGAACGACTATCAAGACACCAGGTACGTCCAAACGGCGATCGCAGCGCCGATAACAAGGTACTTTTGCTGCCCGAATTGTAGCAAAAAGTTCCACAAGCCTAAGCCAAGGTCGGAGCACTGGAGCGAGTCCGAGCTCGAGCCGGAGCCGGAGTCATCGCAGGAATATCCATGGTCGCTGTCAACTCAGACTTCCTTCCCAACGAAACTAGAACCGCAATCAAGAATGGAGGACGAGCCCTCAGATCTTTCATCCAATAAATCGACAACGAACATACAAAGGCAAAAAACTCGCATGTCTTATCCTCTGTACGCTAGGTCGACTCCGTTTTTCGACGACCTATACAAGAAGAAAAATGTAGACGAACAATCGGGCAAAGGACGTTCACATTTCGTAGATAAAATCACCAATCTTTTGAGCAAGTATTACGCTTTAAAATGGGAGTCGGACTTGGCTCGAAGCACCAACGAATATGGCAATTCCTTCCTCTCCGATTTCATACAGGTCAACGATGTAAACAGGTATTTGAAAAGGTTGCAAGCGAAACTCGAACGAGAACGTTTAGCAACGGCTTTAGCATCGAAAATAAAAAAGAAATCGTTTGTTATCGAACCAAAATCCAGCAGCTCAAAGGATTCTGAAAAAGAAATAAGACGAAAGAAAAAACGTGTACTCAAGGCGTTATTTAATAACGTCCTCAATAATAACCACCATGAAGTATCGTCTAGTAAAAATGGAAAAAAACGGCACCGAAGCGAATCGAAAACTCGAAGGGAAAACATTAAGGAACGAAAAAACAGCGAAGAAAGCTTAGGCAGGCAAATCGACAACTTCAACAAAATATTCGAAAAGATCAACAAAATAACCAAGGAAAGCAGGTTTAACGTTAAGAAACTTCAAAACGTCATCAACTCGCAAGAGCAATCGAAGCTCGAGCGCCACAAAACCCAATATCCCAAATCGGAAAATATTCGCAGATCCGCCGTGAAAATCAAGGAAAACGACGCTTTTCTCGACATATTCAAAGCCATTAAGCGCAGAAAGGAAAGTTCTGGTAAAAACAACGAATGGAGCGATTCGAGTTCTTCGTCCACGCAAGAGATTTTGAAGCCCAGCAGGAACAAACAGGCCTCGAAAAAGGAACGAAAGAAGCCCAAACCGAATCTGAAAATCAAAGCGATAGTGATCCCGAAATCCAAAAATCCAACGAGAAGGAGAAAGTAAACAATCTTAATAAAATCTTCTTTTTATATGTGTTGTAAATAAAAGATGTCTTCTAGTAAATATTTTATTTCCCATCTTCCTTATTCTCCCGTGGTCAATCGAATATTCAGCAGTACAATCAAAAGAGATAAAAAAAATTACACACTAATTCTAAAGATAAGTAAAAATAATTGTCTGGCCGCATATGTGATTGTATTGCACTGAAAAATCAGAAATTCCAAAACATCCTGTATGTATTCTTATCAAAGAGAACGCCGGTTACCATGAAATTTCTGGTTAGGGTCAGTATTCGGATCCAACTGAGCGATAAGGGTGTATTTTTATCATGGACAAAAAGGAAATGCGATTGTTTATATTCAGTTGTAGTTGTTGCGAGTTCAAGTGAAGTGTAATCCTGCCTAATACAAAATAATTTCATTATGAAAAGGTATGTAAATTTCCACAGATCATTAAAGTTAAAAAAAATCATAATCAAAGCAAACACCGTACAATCTAATCCAATCATCATTTCTTTGCAGACTATCAAACTTATTAATCGCGCTAACGCTACTAGCATCGATCGAGCACTCGAAAGAATCCTGCGAGATGCTGAAGAAGACCGTCACCCTGTACTACAAGATAGAGCGAGTGCTCTACCTCTACGTCAAGTGCACGAATTTAATGCCGAACAGTTTCGTCTACGCCGTGAGCTCGACCGTGAACGCCTCCAGCCCCTACCTGAACGTCTCCGACAGCTACTTGCCGGAGCTGACGAACGAGATGTTTTGGTATTTGAATCTGACGCAGCTGAGCATCACGGGGAACGTCCAGGTGATACGGGAAAAGTCCTTCCAGCGGTGTAACATCACCACGATCACGCTGAGCGGCAACAAAATCAGGCGGATCGACGACGACGCTTTCAAATCATTCTCGATCTACTTCATCGATCTGGGAAATAATTTGTTGGGCGAGATCGGGGCGAGGAGTTTCGAGGGCGCGCAGAATTTGAGGAGGCTCAATTTGGAGAACAACCGGATTAGTAGCATACAAACGGGGGCGTTTAACGATTTGGGCGGTTTGGAGGAAATTAATCTGTCTTCTAATCGCCTGAATTCGATCAATTCGAAGACGTTTTGGCCGCTCTTTAAAATACAACTCATCGATTTGAGTAATAATTTATTAGAAGAAATCGAAACTGACACGTTCGAGAAAAATACCGCGCTGGAAAATTTGAATATTAAAAGTAACAAATTGAGTTCCTTGGACGTCACCAAGTTCCCGGAATCGCTGAAAGTCTTGAACGTTGAACAAAACAACTTGAATTCCATAAACGCATCGAATTTGACCAAGCTTCAAAAATTAGTATTGGATTCCAACAGGCTCAAAAACGTGAAAAACTCATTGAACAATTTACCAGCGTTGAATTCACTGCATTTGAACAACAATTTAATGGGCCCGACTATAACCGACGACGCCTTTCCAGTTTTAACGAACCTTTCGATTTTAGAATTGGATAATAACAAAATAACTAGTTTGAAAAGTTTAGAAAAAATCACAGCTCTAGAAGGAATATCGCTGGCCGACAACAACCTAAAATTCGTGGATTTTTCCAATTTCCCATCGAACATCCACCTAATAAACCTAACTTTCAACTCGATAACTAATATATCAAACGTTTCCATCTTAAAGAACCTCACTAAACTCGAATTGAGCCACAATCAACTGAAAGAAATCGACTACAGCATGTTCATCGATTTGTTCTACTTGCACAGCCTCTGGCTGCACCACAACCAAATCGACAAGCTCTCCCTGGGCTGCTTCAGACACCTGAAATCCTTAGAGCGGCTCGATTTGAGCTTCAACCGCATATCCAGCGTCACAACGGGCACTCTCAACGGCCTCGACACCGTCTCCGAGTTGTACCTGAACCACAACAACTTGACGTACTTGAGCGAGGATATATTCCATAACATGAAGGATCTGAGGATCCTGGGCATAGCATACAACAATTTGAGCAACATCAACGTTAAAGGCATCCTCACGCATACGATTTGGCTGAAGGAAATCGACTTGCAAGGCAACAATTGGACCTGCAAGTTGCTCAGCAACATCAGCAGGGATAATAAGCTATTAACCATTAAAACCGGGTTGTATTACAACGTTAGTAACATATACGGAATTCCTTGCACGGAAACCAAGGATGTTAAGGAGAGGATTGATCGGATGAACGGCGATGAGTATTTGAGTAGTTTGAATAATATAGCGAATTTTACCTACGATATATCTGTTAAATTGAGCGTTATATTGACTTTGTTAATACTGTATTTTGCATTTACTGTTGGTAAATATCTATTGTCCAGGTACACTACAAAAACTAAGGCTGCGAAACAGTTCGTGTATCAGAAATCCCAAAGCGAACCCGAAATACATCTTATTTAAAGAGTTTTGTTTTCTTAATATGTTACATGTTAGATTTAAGAAAATAGGTGTAAGAAAATAAATTTCCTTTGTTAACTAATTAACAAGTTTTAATAGTATTAGTAATGTAAGTAACACAAAAGGAATTTGAACGCAAATTGGGAAGACCAAAGAAAATAAATTTTAAAAAAACTTGACATTTTTCTTTATTTAGTTAAGATTTTCGATATAATATGTTGAATATACATAAGTGTTGGGAGTTACTTCAACAATCTTTTTTTGTGGACAGCACACTTACAATCAACAATAAGGCTCCTTTCTTTTTTTACTCTGAATTTTCGTCTTGGATTTCATTTTCGTCTTTACCTTCGGATTCGGGTTGGACTTTCTTATCCGATCGACCGTCTCGCATTTGCTTCGGATACGTCCGGTTTCCGACAGCTCTTGCGAGGAAGAACTGGATTCGCTTCTTCTGTACGAATTTCTAATCCTAGCGTCGTGTTTCCCGCGCCTTTTAACCTCTTCATAGGAGTCATCTTCTCTTATCGAAGACCTGCTGTAGGACTTTCTGTCGCGCGTTCGGAACTTCTCTGGTGAGTTGATAGTGTTTTTTAGTTTTCTAACGTTGAACCGGCTTTGATTGGTTATTTTGTTGATCCTGTCGAATAAATAGTTGAAGTTTTCGATTTGCAAACCTAAGCTGTCTTCGCTGCTCTCTTCGCTGCTGTCTTCTTTGTTGGTGTTGGCGAGGTTTTTTAGTTTCTTGATGTTCTCCTTTCGGGATTCGTTTCGTTGTCGTTTTTTTCTATTTTTACTAGGCCGTACTTCATCGTCGCTTTCATCGAGCACGTTATTAAATAACGCTTTGAGCAGACGTTTGTTTTTTCGTTTTATTTCTTCTTCTTCATTAGAATCCGTAGAGCTGCTGGATTTTGATTCGATATCTAACGATTTCTTTTTCAGTTTCGATCGTAAAACCTTATTTGCTAACCGTTCTCGTTCGAGCTTCGCTTGTAGCCTTTTCAAATAACTATTTTCATCGTTGACTTGTATAAAATCGGAGAGGAATGAATTACCGTATTCGTTCGAGCTTTGAGCCAAGTCCGACTCCCATTTCAACGCGTAATACTTGCTCAAGATATTCGCAGCTGCCTCTAATGATAATGGTTCCTTCTCATGTAGATTTACATTTTTTTTGAATGCTCCTTCGATAAAAGGCCTCGATTTAGCATACATCGGATAGGACAAGCGAGTTTTCTGTCTGGCTAAGCGTGGTCTAGATTGGGACTCCCTCTCTTCGGTCTCAGCGGTATCGGCGGTTTCGGCGGCGTATTCCGAATCTCGAAAGGCCGGCAAGCTGAGAAGCACTTCCGGCGATGATCGCCTTTCCGGCGATGATCGCCTTGGAGATTCGGGTTTTTCCGTTGCAAAAACTAATGGTTCGGGTTCTTCCAGCTCGGCCGCTGGCAACGACGATTTCTTCCTCTGCGCCGGTTTAGGTTTAGGCTTTGTACCGCAATTCGGACAGCAGTAATGCGTTGGCATGGACCGTTCGCGCACCTTGGGCTCCGGTTGGGCGTATCCAGAAGCGGTTTGGGCATATCCGAAAGCGGTTTGGGCGGTTTGGGCATATCCGGAAGCGGTTTGGGCGGTTTGGGCGTACGAAGAATTTCGAGCGACGTTATCGAACCACCGGCAGCTGCCGCACTGGACGGATTTGTTGCAAACGCCGCACGGGAATTGGATGTTGACCGAGCTGCTCAATTTACTGCATACGCAATTCGGAGGGCATTTTTGGTAGCTGGCCGATGGGATGTTATCTGGCGACTGCAGCCATTTGCAATCGGTGCAGCCTTTTTGGACAAAGGCAAAGTTGGCTGTTTGGCTCGTTTGGTACATTTCCGGTGGGTTTCCGAAGGGCTTAATATAAGGAATTGCCATGAAAAATTTATTTCCCTGTCTGGGTTTAGAGGTTCGCAAAGTTCCTTCTGTTTCTTCTTCGTCTTCGTACGATCGTAAAAACAACGGCTTTTCCGGTGATTGAAAATCGTCGAAATTAATCGATCTTTTCCTTGCGTTTTTATCGCTTTCGTCGAGCTCCTGCTTTCTCTCCTTACATATTCTGCATACAAATTGTTTTTGTCTCCCAATGTTACCATTACATTTTGATTGGATTTGCACGTTTCTCGTTCGTTTACAATCACGAAAACAATTAGTACAGTCAACATAATCGTTTACAGTATTGTTAATCGTTTGACAATGGATGCATTTCACTTCTGGTTTTATTTGATAAGGACAATCCAACTTTTTGGTTGCATTAGGAGATTTATTACAATTACAGGTAACTTGTTCCGATCTGAAAAAATACTGAATTTTACAAGATTGTTTACTCAGTAATAAATATTAGTGAGGCGTAGTACTAAATATATATTATTTGTAAATTATTGAGCAAACCATTGCAAATGTGGTGGAAAAATGTGAACCTATTAAAACAAAAATGGGAATCAATTAAAAATATTTATTTACAATTTTTCGTTTCAATTATCAGTGTTTTTTCCCTTTTTTTAACTTTGCTAATTTCGACTTTGACTTGAGTTTCAACTTTTGACGTCCTATTGGGTCTTCGCGACTAGAACAATAAACAAACTTCGTTAGTGCTTGATTCATCGGGAGTTTGTGGTAACTGGTCGATGTAGAGCTCGAGTTACTAGAAAGATCTTCCGAATCGTCGCTTTGGCGCCTCGGCTCGTTTTTCCTTATTAAAACATCGAAAACGTTCTGAATGGTGTCTTCGACGTTCACCGAGTTCTCGGCAATTTCGTGCAATTTTTCTATCAATTCCGATTCGGTGAGTTTGATTTTCTTACGATGATGCTTCTTCCGTTCCAACGAATTGAGGGTGTCGTGGAGCTCTTCAACGTTGAAGCTGCTTTTCTTGGTTACTTTGTAGATTTTATCGAATAAATTGTTGAAATTCTCGATGTGTTCTTCTGTTAGATCGTCGTCGCTGCTCTCGCTGCTGCTGTCGGTTGCTTTTTTTAATTTTTTGCTCGATTTTTTTCTACGAGAGGAACTTTTGCTCGTTTCCTTGGGATTCTTTTTTTCGGTTTTTTGGCGAAGGATTTTATCAATTAACAATTTAGCGCTTTTTGGTGCACGTTTATTGTTAATTAAGTAATTTACATCGTCTTTGGATTCTATGGATTCGCTTGAAGAAGATAATTCCAGTACTCTTTTCTTCTTTTTGGATAACAGTGAACTGTAAATATCCTCTAATACACTAGATTTTAGTTGTTTCTTTATGGTCTTTTCTAATTTTTTCAAAAATTTCGTTTCCTCGTCAATTCCTACAGTATCAAGCAATCTATCGGCATTAAAATCCACAGTATTCTTCAATCTTGGGTAGTCGTTCGGCAGCAACTGGAGTTTCCTCAAAAACCTCTCCTTCTCCAAGTCATCCTTGTAAGGATTCGGCAAGAAAGAAGTCGACGTGGGCTCAGTTTGGACCTGGTAGAACGATGGAGCCTTCCTTTTCAATCCTTGCTGGGCAGACGAAGTGCGATCGACAATCACAGTCAAACCACCATCGCTCTTTCCTTCAATCTCTTTCTCATCGCTCTTCCTCCTGCTATCCTTATCGACCTCGGCAATCTCGGCATCCTTATCGGCATCGGCTTCCTTCTCGGGCAGCTCCCGGCCGCAATTCGGGCAGCAGAAGTACCTGGGCACGATGCGGTACGGGTACGCGAACGGGAACGAGTCCTGCGTTTGAACCAGCTCGTTCTTGCGGTGCTCGGAACTCCAGTACCCGGAGGATTGACCGGGCTCGGTGGTCGCGCGGAGGAGTCGCATGTCCAAGTCGGGCGGCGACCGGCCCCATTTGCACAGGCACCCGGCCGAGCAGCGCCTGGTGATCGAGCACGGTTGGCTCGAGTAACCCGCCGATGGCGGGCAGTACTTGCAGTTAGTGCAATTTTGTTGGGTGAACGCGTAGTGGGCGAACTTCTGCTGGTAGAATTTCGAGTTTTTCGGGAAGTATTTGGATGACATCAGTAGGTTGAGGTTGGGGACTGTCGCGAAATATTCTGCGAACGAGGGGGTCTTATCGAAGGGTGGTAATAAGTCCGGATGGTTCTTTTCATGAACGGTAACTAAAGCCGTTCGTTTCTTAGTGTACTCTTCGGTAGTGTTGCCAATATCCTTAACTGTATCTTTAGTTGGACGTCCGGTATTTTGCTTCGGATCTCTATTATCGTCATTAAAGTTGATTGTACTTGAAAGTCTTTTGCTTTCCCTCTCTTTACACAAGCTACACGTTAATTCTCGTCTGTTAATTATAGGAAAGCATCTCCTGGCATTCGAATCTCTACAAGTACAATGACAACAACAAGTACACTTGATAAGACAATCACAAGCATTAGTTTTATCGGATTTAAATTCGGCTGTTTGACATGGAATGCATTTCGTTTCCGGTTCTATTTGACAAGGACAATCGATTTTTTCAGTTGTCTCGGAAGGACTATAGCAATTACTCGTACCTTGTTCATATCTGAAAAAAAATATTTAATTACACTGAATTGGTAATGTGACACTTGATTCAGTTAGGTATACAATTTCATCAAAGGAAAAGGTTTACTTTAATCCTTGTAAAAATTTATCAGCACATTTCGTGAATAATTGAAAGTTTATTCTCGGGCGTACATTTTAATAATTTTAAGAACATTTTAATAATTCAAAAGGATTTTCGTCGATGCGAATTGTTTAAGCAAACCCTTGCTTAGTCTGTTCTTGTTGCTCAATAACTCAAATATCCCATTCTCAAAATTCTTTGATTAACGTAATTATTACATTCATGATGTATAGATTTTAATTTTTGGAATATCCTGCAGCTGTTCTTACTAAACAAGCAGGTGTATAGAAATAAATATTGTAGGTGATATTTTCTGAAAATAATAGAGTGCAAGTCAACGGCGTACTAACCTAATTATATTAAAACAACTATCAGGTGTAGACCTCTTTATTGCTAAAAGGGACAAACTATTTCAATTTGGTCTTCGCTTTTTTACCGGTATCTTAGATTTGGATTTAAGCTTCGAATTTTTTTCGTATCTTCTCGTCGAATCTTTATCGTAGGGATAGCTGCTAGTCGTAGGTTTGGCATGAATATAATCCGGTTTGTCGTTGTCGAAACTCGTACCACTCCAATTTTCCGACAAACCGTTGTTCTCGAACAAATTTCCTGATCGTTTTGCTCTCTCCCTTTCCGCCTGTTTGCTCAAATCGATGTGCTGAACGGCGTCTTCGTCAAACTGTACGATTTCGTACAGTTTGTTGACTAATTGCCGGTTTTTGCGACCGTGATGCGCCACTTCCTTGGAACGCGACAAGGAATTTACGGCCTCTTGGAGCTTGGCGACGTTCGATCGACTCTCTTTGGTTATTTTGTCGATTTTCTCGTACAAATTATCGACTGCACTCTCCTCCTCGCTACTGTCGGTGTTGTTGGCGTCGATGTGCTTGAATTTCTTCTCCGGGTGGATTTTGACCGGCGATCCTCTACGTTTCTTCTGTTTGGGTCCGGTCGTTACTTTGCGATCGTTCGTCTCGCGTAGCAGTTTATTGATGGCTTTCATAGTGGTCCGTTTTCGTTGGTTTCGATCGGTTTCTGTAGAATCGCTGGATAGCGATTCCTCATCGACCGATACGATTTCCTTTTTGACCGATTCCAATACGCTGGAAAACACGTCTAATAAAAGACGAGATTTTAATTTTTTCACGATTTTCGATTCGATGTCGTTCACGTAGTCGGTGTACTCCGTATAGTCCGTTCGTAAATCCGAATCGTTCAATGAAATATCGTAATATTTGCTCAGTATGTCGCTAGGCGAGTTTTTTATCCGGTGATACTTATTCACCGGTGCTTGCGGTCTGGGTAGCACTCTGGATTTCGTAAATGGCCGATGGCGGATTCTAGCGAAATCGATAATAGAATCTGACGTGGGCAACGTCCGTTTTTGGAGCTGAGGAACAGATAGCGGGGGGGCCGACGGAGGGGGGACCGACAGAGGGAGGACCGACGGAGGGGGGGCCGGCGCAATGGATCGAGTCGAAAAATCTGGCGGAATTTGCGGCGAGGGCTCAGGCGGAGGTGCAGGTTGATCCACGGACTGGCGCGTAAAATCGGGCTCAATTTCTCTCGGATTCGATCCGGTGCTTCGTCTTTGAACCGCCTCTCTCGAAGGATTTCTCGGCGCTTTGGATCCGATGCTAACTTTTTTAGATTGTTCTGGGGTTGTTTTTTCGATCGGTGGCAGATCGTACGGCAGCTGCTCTTCCAACGCGTCCGGCTCTTCGGCTTCTTCTTTATCGGCGCGGGTGCACATCGAAGAATTAAATGAACAGTAAGGACACGGCAGGTTGGGTGCGAAACGGTTGGGTGCGAAACGGTTGGGTGCGAACGGTTTGTTGTCGAAAGGGACAGGGGGATGATAATTCGTTGGGTTGATTGTTTGGGCGGATGAGTGTTTGAAGGGAAAATCCACCTTGGTCCAAGGGCAATTGATGCATTGAATCGGCGAGGGTTTACACCAAGTGCAAGGGCAATCCGGAGTGCAGGCGGGTCGGGAATGATCGATGGTTTGTGTCCATTTACAATGTTGGCAATTTTCTCGCGTGAAAGCGAAACTGGTGTGTTCTTCGTGGAATTTCCGTTTTTCCTCGGGTGGTAGTAATAATTTCGGATGGTTCCAGGAAGATTGAATGTCCTGTTTCACCATGATTTCTTGGTTTTTGGTCAGAATTTGATTGTACCTGGGTATGTAATAGCTGAACATACCGATCTTTCGAGCGGATTGTTGCGAAATCGACTCTCGCAGATCCGGATTTTCCTTTTTCTCCACTCTCTTGGGTTCCTCCTCGAATGAGTACAGACTCTTATTTTCTCTTGCTTTGCATATGGCGCACGTAAATTCTTCATCTTCTTCATCGGCTTCATATCGTCTACATTTAGGTTGTTTAATAGGCTTTGTTTCGAAACAGTTACAATGACAACAACAAGTACATTTCTCCGGAATTTTAAGACATTCACACATATTGGTTTTTACTGTTTGACATGGCGAACATTTCGTTTCTGGCTTTGTTTGACAAGGACAGTCGTATGTAATAGTATCTTCTTCTTCGGATCTGAAAAAGAATGTAACCGTAAAGCAATTAATCAAAAAAATTAAGAAATTTCAAGCTGAACTAATTCACAAAATAAATATCTCTCATGTTAAATCTCTGCGTATAAATGTGTATAAAAGTTCCTAATGTTAAGTAGAGATTATAGTAAAAAAATATATACACTTAGAAAATTTGACAAGTTTTTACGAAATTGTTTAGATAAATTTTTGTTTACTCTAATGTTTCATATTTGTAAAAATGTATTAGGTATAAAAATTAATAATTGGATTAAAAAATATTACTTTATCTTACCTCTCTTGAAAAAACAAATTAAAACAGTTAATGCACTATGTTTGTAAGGTCAATGTTATAATAATAATGTTTTCACTGCACTATTATTTTAACCACAACGAAAATTTATTATCATAATTGTCCAAAAATTTGTTTCTAATCTTCCGCGAATTCTACAAATTTTGGTTATCTGGAAATGCAGGCATAAGTATAAGCGTGTATTATAATATTGATTGATAAAAATATTGATTTAAAAAAATTACGATTTTTTCAAATATGTATGCAAACATTGAAAGTGTATATTTAGAGTAAAAACTTGCAAATCAACGTAACTTGACTAAAAAAACTATTAGGTACTTTCTTATCTTTGGAGGAGTATGACATAAAATAGATAAAATAAATAGTCGAGTAAGATGTAGCAAAAATGTATCGAAAATGCAAAGGTTTGCTCAAAAATTCGTACTTGTAAATTTTCTGTCGCCAAAAATGTACCTATAAAATTACATAATTTCTAATCGTTCCTATATTTAAATCAATACTTTCGTATTACCTTCTATTGTGCGTGCGGTAATAACATTGAAAAAATAGCTTAGTTGGTAAAATTAAAACATTAAAACTACAGTGACCGGCAAAATGTCGACATCCAATAAGTTCCAACATCCTGTGAAAATAAACTATGATGAAAGGTGATATACTATGGATGTCAATTTCTCATCGATCACTGTACAAAAAAAATAAAGTAAATTACTTTTTCGGACAACCGCAGCAGTTAACTGCATTCGATGGATTCGGTGGACAGCCGCAACACTTCCTGGCAACATTACTGGGTTCCATACAACCGCAACAGCATTTTTTAGGACAATTTGTTTCGTTGCACTCGCAACACTTCTTAATCAGATTGTTATTCGAATCCTTGCAGTTGCAACACATCTGCGGCGGCAATTCGCTATTGGAATCCTTGAAATTGCACGCTCTCATAGCGTTGACTTTCGATTCTTTGCAATTGCAACCCTTCTTCGGCGGCTCTTTCTCTTTGCAATTGCAGCCATTCGATAAACTACTAATGGAATCTTTGCATGTGCAGTGCTTCTTCCGCTTCTCTTTCTTCTCTTGTTCCTGCGGGCACTTGCATATCTTATCTTTGCTTCGTTTGTTCGGCGTGTTTTTGTTGCTTCTGTTCCGCAATTCCATGCAAGTGTAGGAATCCAAGCCGCGCTCCTGATTTCCACAACAGAGCGATTCGTAGATTAGACTGTTGGAGGGAGTGCTGTAGAGCCTCTGCAGGCTCTCTGCGGTTTTTCGATTAGGCGAAAACAAGCAATTGCAAAAATCTTTAAAGCGGTTGTTGTTTTTATCCACCCGTTTGATAGGCATCGCGGGGCATCTGAAACGAATTGATTAAACACTCGAGGCTTCTTTTTCTTTGGAATTCCACCTACCTTACGGGAGGTAAATTGTCGCGTGTAGGACCTTCGCAAGGCGATGGGGCGGCGTATTTGTTCATTTCCGAACGATCCTTTTTCACCCAGTTCCACCCCCACCATTTGCAGTACTGCAGCTCCCAGGAGTCGTCGGCGCAAGGCGGGGGCGGCGGCGGAGGCGGCGGCGGCGGCGTGTGCTTATTCTGAGACTGTTGTTGTTGTTGTTGTTGATGGTGTAGCGGACCACATTGAGGTTCCTGCCTTTTGGTTTGACGTCTAAAAACCATCCTCAACTCATTTGCTTTTGGCATGCAAGATATTTTTTTGAAAAGTACAATTTAGTAGAATGTGCGCTGGATTATATTACATTATATATTAGATTTGTGGGTAATTTTGAGTTTAAATTTAGTCTTACCTGCCCATTATTAAATTCATAAATGCATGTCTTTGAGTTTTTCGAGTTAGTAACTTAAATTTCGTTGATTAGGAGGTCGGTGGTGTTGAATTCAGTTGGGCTTGTTTTCTTCATATTGCAAATCAAATTGACAGTTCTAATACTTAAAATTTCAGTTGCTTCTAATCTAAACCATTGAATTGATAATGTCTTATTGACGTGAAATGAATTAATCAACATTCATGAAACAAGTTTAGTAGGTACCAACTATATTCATTAAGCTTTTTTACAAAGTTATTTTTACAAGACGAAAATTATATTTCACTGTTATTTTTTTTTATTCTCCTACATTTTTGTTGTCCAAAAATCCAAATGTTGTCCAAATGTTGTCCAAATGTTGTCCAAAAATCGTTTAAAACCATTTAAAAGAAAATTAAACAAAAAAACTCATCTAAATACAGGGTGTAACAAAATTATAGGCCATACATTAAACCACATATTCTGGAGACAAAAATAGCTCAAAAATATATTTTTGCATACATCATTGCCGGATGTATCCTTGAAGAATTATTAACTAAAATTATTAGAAATTTATTTATTTATTGCGGACACAAATTAATTTACAGGCGCTACTATTTAGTATATATAAATTAAAAAATTCTATGTATACTCTCGCAGTAAACCAGCAAAAGACCAACTAAAATTTTATATATGGGGTGTTCGCAAAAATTAGTAACCAATTAGTACCAACACGCCTCACGTACGAAAAAATAAAATCGAAATTTCCCTACAATTTGACAAACATTAATAATTAACACGAGTACATTTTTAAATCGAAAAAAAATCACAAAGGAATTTCCAAGTTAATCGACTCCACTCGAAGAGAGGAGTGTATTCGTTTAAACAAATCGTATACTAAAAATTATTTCACGTTAATAAAGTTTCTCGTTTTATTCTTCAACAATCCAGAAAATTCGCCGCCATTAACAATTCCAAGGCAATCTCTGGGGCGATGGGGAACTCTGGTATCTCCGTGGAGCTGTTCGTGTATCGCACTTTGTACGTAAAGTACATGCAAACCTTCTGCAAAACGTGAGACCTACAAAACAAAGAAAACCCGTTTATATATACATCCAAGTGAGCTGCGTAAAGTGGCCTTTTACTCATTCAATCACTCCCCCTCGGAGAGGTTTCGGAGAAAAGTGCGACAAAAGCGAAGTGAGCCGTGTAAAATGGCCTTTTACTTTACGTACGTGTCGGATACTCACGGAATTTCCCTGAAATTCACTTCGTTAGCCTCGTTCTCGGCGAATTGTCCGGGGCCGCTCAGCATGGCTTTAATCGTGCCCGACGTGAGGGCGTGCTCGCGCTTCACGATAAACTCGTGCCCGTCGGAGGAGATCAGTTTCACGTACATGGCATCGGGGCCCTCGCAGCCCCCGTAAACGCGCTCTTGTTTCTCGTCCGAAATGTCAGCCATGTTTGTTTTGCTTCGTCTGTCTCGAAACGATGGAGGAGAATGGGGTTATGTGCGTTTTTGGGGGGGAGGATGCGAAGGGGATGTTTCTTTGGGGGGATAAATATCGGGAATTTTTTTGAAAACCGTGCGAATTTCTAATTCGCGAGCCGCTTACGAATAACAAATAAATACACTAAATGATGACAGCACGTTTAAGGCTCGACTCTACTTCTTTTTTTCTATTTCTTCTTCTTATTTTTGATTTTATGGCCTTCGGCACTACGGCTAGTCGGCCATTTGTTCGTTTAATATAAAGACAAAGATAGCGATATTTTTTTTTTTGAGGCCTCTGATACTTTTGCTATCTGGCTACAATACAAATGAATGACAACTGACAGTACTGACAGGGCAGAATATTACACAAGTTCCAAAAACGAAAATGACTAATATTTACAAATTACCAATAAATAAAAGCTAGTTTAAAGAACATAAAAAAGTATTTTTTTACAACACCAAGATGTTTAATTTCTGGTCCAAACCCGACCCAAAAGGTAAATACACTTAAATATATCTAAAAAATATGTATTAATTAGCTCAATTTGCGTTAAACAAATCAATTTTAAATCGTTATAGAAGAACAAAAAGAAGCGGACAGGCAACTGAGAAAAGTGGGAAGAGACGTCGAAAGAGAACGGAGACATTTGGAAAGAGAAGAAACCAAATTGGTAAAAATCTAACACTACCCTACCCTTTAACTCGACAACACAACCCACCATTAGCTTACCCTTTAACATTTTTTTAAGGAGCAAGAGATAAAGAAACTAGCGAAACAAGGAGATAAAGAAGGATGCAAAATCCTAGCCAAGCAATTGATTGCCCTGAGGAAGCAGAAACAACGAACATATACCGCAAACAGCAAAATCCAAAATATAGCTTTCCAGAATAAAAATATCTCTGCTAATGTCAAATTAGCTGATGCCATGAGCGTGGCGGGGAAAACCATGGGAGATATGAACAAAATAATGAATCCCGAGCAAATTTCCGCCACTATTAACGCGTTCAGCAGGGAGAATATGAAAATGGAGATGACAGATGAAATGAGTAAGTGGGACCTATCTTGATCTAAATCCGGCCCTGATTCTCAAATTGAATGATTGTTTTTTAGTTAACGATTCACTCGACGATATGCTAACGGAGTCCGGAGACGAGGAGGAAAGCGATAACATTGTGTCGCAGGTTCTGGATGAAATCGGGATAGAAATCAGTGGAAAGGTGCGTGTAGTTTCCTGGCTAAATTCCAGAGTTTCAGTGGATGTTTTCCACTTCGTCAATTTTAGTTGTATTCGGGAACTAATTTTGATGTAATTTTTTGTAGATTGCCGGGGCTCCATTGCCCGGTACAGATAGAATAGGGGAGTCTTCGAAATCCAAGGGCCTCACAAACGAAGAAATCGAAGCGCAGCTGGCGCAATTGAGGAATTAATTGAGTAGATTCAATTGTGCTGTTAAATTTATACGAAATGATATTGGGTTTAATTTAGATTTTCGAGGTATTAATGGGATTATTTATTTATATGCTTTAATCGTGTATGATTAATTAATGCTGATGATGAGATTATTAATAAACAAGCATCCAGCTATCTAGCATCACCTAAATAAGTTCTAATTAGAGAAGACAGCAAAACAGTAAAAGATCAGCTGTCAACGTCGAACTATCGTGTTTTTTGTATTTTTTTGTTAAAAAACTCAATTATTATTTAACAAAATGAATGTTATATTTAATAAATTTTCATTATTTGTTAGTTTTAACAAAAAACAAAATCTACTAGGACCTATTACATGTAATTAAGAGGCGTTGAGATTTGGTAACCCAATTTCAGTTGGCAGCAATGAATATAAGCCCGATTTTTCGGTGTACAAATCTCAATTTTTACTTAATTTTGAGATATAATATAAATCGCATCTGATAGAGTGAACCTTCCTGTAGGTCATAAAGGTTTTTTTTTACCGATCTATGCAAAAATAACGAAATTACAAGCGTTTGAAAGTAGACATTTTTCAGTTTTTTTTTCTATCGGACGGTAACCAAAATTCTTTATGACCTAGCGATGGGTAATAGAAACGTATTGTGAAAATTTGGAAACGATATTCTTTATATTTTTTGAGATTTGTACACCGAAAAGTTTGGATTTTGGAAAAAACTTCATCGATTTGCCGCTAGGTGATACCGAAAATGATATTTTGGTAATGTTGGTTGCATACGCTCAAAGAAGTTTCCAGACCTTGGTTATGTAAGGCCGTAATTGACATTTGACAGCCATTGAGTTTCTTCTTTTATTGTGATCTTTTATAGTGATGATGATTTAAATATACGTTTTTGCAAACAGTGTACAAACTGCAAAATAACTCGACAGAGTCCTTAGGTTAAGTTAGATGTAAGATAGTTTTAAGTAAGCCAGGCCTATGTACAGGTAATTGTATTACCTCTATAGGAATTTACAGATGTAAATTTGTAAATTTAACTGGTTAATAAATAATAATAATAATAATAATTAGCGTTTAAAAAGAGAAGAAGTTTATAGGTTAGTGATTCTTGTCAAATAAATCAACAATTTTTTGGCAATTAATTTAGGGGGTTTGCACACGATTATAAGCCCGACGGCCCCTTTAGCATTACCTAGGATGCACCACGAGGAGGAGAATTCTGGTAAACTGGAAAGTACATCTTCCGCAGGTAACGTAAGTTTGTGTCAATATTTGGATTCTACTATTTACCAGGCAATTATAAAATCATAGGTAGAGGGGTTATAATGATTGTGGGAATATTAAGTGTAATCAAACGATTTGTTATAGATTCCTCTTTAAATGATTCGAAGTATATGTTGAATCCCACGAAGTTGTCCAGACCTATCGATGGATCGTTGTACATCCCCTGTATAGTAGGCCTAGATAACATTAAAGCTAACGATTACCTTAACGCAGTGCTGCAGGTAAGTCGAGTTAACCAAACGAATTTGGTTATTTCTTAATTTAAATGCGCAAAATTGCAGGCTTTGACTCTTGTTAATCCGCTTCGGAATGACTTCTCGAGGGGAGAAGAAAATTGCGGTAATGTAAAGAGACCTTCCATCTGCTCCTGCAGAGGTTCAGTGAGCTTATGAGGAAATTGTGGAATCCCAGGAACTTCACAGAGGATGTACGAGTATCAAGAAATTCTCTCCAAGCTGTTGTATCGTGGAGTTAAAAGAGGTTTCAGTTCACTCAGCAGGGTTAGCTAGTTTTATAATGCTTAATTATTGTTATAATTGAGTTATTGTTTGTAGGAGATCCGATAGATTTTTTTGTCTTTGGTTCCTGATTGCCCTTGATTGAGCATTGGATGGTATTAAGAAGAATGACAGTTCAATAATCTACGGAAATTGAGACAGAATCGTCCCTTTTTGTATCTATCTTGCGATCTACGGCCTGTGCCATTTTGTTTATCGATGAATTTCTGAGAGAATAATAAATATATCATTCCTCAGGTATGCATTTCAAAGCGTTATGTTATAATTTGGAGTGTATGTAAAAATTTGTGATTTGTAGGTGAATTTGTATCGACTCTTAACGAAATTCAATGGGCAAACCGAGAAGGAATACAAAACCATAAAAGGAAAATTTCATGAAGTCGAAATAAGTGTAAGAATTGAGATCGACACATCGATGATTTTACTCCTGTAACGTTTTTGTATATTAATATTTCGTCTCTATTTTGTTGCATTTAACGGTAGTGAGTTTATTGTAAGAAAATAAAAATATCGTTGAAAGTGTTTTGTTTTATATATATTTTGAAATCGCCAATTCCAACCAGTTTTCATGTAATTAGCAATTAAAAAATGCAGCAGTTTTGTTAATTTTTCAAAAAATTTAATGTATAATGCATTTTTTATAAAAAATCGTTCACACTTAGAGGTATATAATAGATAAATTGGTTGCCTACCTAATAGTATCCGTAAATCGATTTTCGATCAATAAATGTAATTCTGGTTGTCTAACTATTGTATTAGTAAGGCGCGAGTAATAAGTATCAGGAGTAAACCTCTTCACACATTCTGTTCTCCTACTACGAAATTTCAAATTCGCAAATTTTTAACGAGAAATTTTCGAACGATGAACAAAACTATTCTTCCGATTTTTATAAATTGCGTTGAAAAAGGTTGCGTTTTTTTTTTCAATAAACTCAACAAAACTTTTAGCATTCGACTTTCTCATCATTTCTACTATAAAACAATAATAATGCCCAAAATGATAAATTTCATACAGGACTTTCCGTAGAAGTACCTCTCTCCATATAATAAATATCTCCTGTTACTAGACTTCCTTGCATATTCTCCTTGCCTAATATCCGAAATTAATCAATGGAGATCTACGAAAACTTGTGCTCAATTCTCGAAATAAAACGTGAATTTGAAATTTAGTATTAGGAGAGCAGAATGTGCGAGGAGGTTTACTTATGACGCTTATTAATCGCGCTCCTGTTCGATTACAAATACGTACAAAGGCAACCAATTAATCAAATTTCGGTAATTCTGGTTGCCTATCTATTTTATTAGTAAAGCGCGAGTAATAAGTATCAGGAGTAAACCTCTTCATACATTCTGCTCTCCTAATACGAAAATTCAAATTCACGTTTTATTTCGAGATTTGAGCACAAGTTTTCGCAGTTCTCCATTGATAAATTTCGGATATTAGGCAATGAGAATATGCAAGGAAGTTCAATATCGGGAGATATTTAGTATATCGAGAGAGATACGTCTAGGGAAGGTCCTGGATGAATCCTGCTGATGCGTTAATAAATATTCTAAATGTTTCGTCGTTCTTGAAAACACATTTTCAAAGATAATTTAACATTTTGGGCATTATTAATAATTCTTTATTACAAAAATTATACAAAAATAGAATATTAAAAATTTTTTATGACATCCTTAATCCTGATTTTAGAATTCTTAGTATTTTTCGTTCATTAAAAAAACGCAAAACTTTTTCAACGCTATTTGTAAAAATCTGGAGCTATTAAAACAAAAAGATCGGGAGAAACAAATATTAGGAGTTCGAGTAGTTTGTGTCAAACGTATGAAAATCTCACGATAAAACGTGAATTTAAGAATTCGTATTAGGAGAGCAGAATGTATGAAGAGGTTTACTCCTGATACTTATTACTCGCGCCTTACTAATACAATAGTTAGACAACCAGAATTACATTTATTGATCGAAAATCGATTTACGGATACTATTAGGTAGGCCTATTTATCTATTATATCTATTATACCTCTAAGATACCAGAAATGCAATAGAAATGATTAAGTATGAACGATTTTTTATAAAAAATGCATTTACTACTCTCGGTTACCCAATAGCAAATCAGTAAAAGACCAGCTGTCAAACCGCAACTGTCAACGTCAAGCGATCGTGATTGTTTATTGTGTACATATACATATTTTGTTTTGGAATGCAAATTTCTTTCAACAATGAACGTGGTTTTCAATCAAAACTCTCTATAAAACTAACAAGAAACTCTACTTTTTAGAAAAAAAAGAAACAAAGCGAAATAACCCGTCGATTTTGATGAAAAAATGAACGCCAGCAAGAGCCAGAGCAGCTTCGAAGGCAGCCCCTCAGACGCTTCCAATTCGAATTCCAACGCCTCCCTCGATTCGCAACAATCGAACCAACCGCCGACCGCTGCCTCTTCCTGCCGAGACCACGGCCAGGTGTCCTTTTTGCTGGGCCAATCGATCGGTTCGCACGGGGAGCGTTTCCGGTGCGAGGGGCACGCCGAGAACAGCCTCGCGGGCATGCGGGCCTATCTCTCCACGGGGAAACTCTGCGATGTTACTCTCATAGCGGGGACCTCCGGCAGGCGAATTAGGGCCCACAGGTAAAGCTAATTATACCGATAGAATTACTACGATTACGAGTGTTTTATAATCTCGATTTCATTTTTTATTTAGGTTAGTTTTGGCCGCTGCCAGCGAGTATTTCTCAGCCATGTTTACGGGAGGCTTGAGTTACGACAAGGAATCGGAGATAACCCTCGGAGAGGTGAAAGGGGACGTATTGGAGGCGATCGTACACTATTGTTATACAGGGTGTGTGGATATTAGGGAGGATAACGCGGAGACTTTACTTTCTACGGCTTCTTTGATGCTGTTACACGAGATAGTCGAGGCTTGTTCGAGGTTAGTTTTACGTTTGGAATAACTTGAAAGGGCTCATTTTGTCCTCTTACTTTTCAGGTTTTTGGTCCACCAATTGCATCCGAGCAACAGTCTCGGCATAGCCCTATTCGCCGAACACCAATCCTGCAACAGTCTCTTACAAGAAGCCAATTCCTACATAAATCAACACTTTACCACGGTATATACACCGATTACATATAATCCGATCCGGACACAAGTAAATGCTATTCTATTCGTAGATAATCAAAAATCAGGAATTCCAACAACTCACCGTCGAGCAGCTATCGAATCTCTTGAAAAACGAAGACTTGAACGTCTCCCACGAGGATCAAATCTTCCGGGCGCTCTTGACGTGGATCGAATTCGATCCGGATAATCGAACACAACATACAGGGCGTTTATTGGAATCCGTCAAATTACCCCTTTTATCTATGGGATTCCTCACCGATCACGTGATGCCCATTTGTCAAGGTAACAGAGCAGTGTAGACTAGATCTCAATCTAGTATCACAAATAATACAAAATCCCCACTAATCCCGCAGATATGTCCTGCATGAAACTGTTCGGAGAAGCCGTATCGTGGCACACTTGGCCCGACAGGCGCCAATCCAAAGCTAACTGGAGAACCCGTCCGAGAAAGGCCACTCTAGGCAGATTGCTTGTCGTAGGCGGCATGGATAAGAACAAAGGGGCGACGACGATCGAATCGTACGATCCGAGATGCGACGCGTGGACGGAGCCTTATCAGATGAACAGCAGAACGCTGCAGTTCGGGATGGCTTTGATGGGAACCAAGAAGTTAGTGTTATTACATATTGTACAATATTGTATTGCGCATGCCCTGATTTGTACAAGTTCGTTATAAGGTTGGAATATTTCTTGCTGGATCACCTCAAGTAGTTGTTGGGTATCCTCTGTAATATGGAAATCTTTGAATTCATTTTCCGAATATTGAAGAACGGTTTCCTCGATATAATTTTTATTTTTTTGCCTCTGCGTTACTTCCAACAATTCTTAACTAAACAAATATTTATGACCAACAACAAACTAATATAACCATACTTATTTTCGAATTGTTCTAAATGTTCTCACTTCAAACGAGAACAGTTTGGCAGATCTCAAACATGATACAAACAAAAAAAACGAATTCTGTCGGAACAGCAAACATTTACTCAGAACACCAAAATAACAAGCTGCTGGAACGTTTTAAAATCATCACAAAACATGCTGCCGGAACAAACCTATCACATGTAATATTTCCAGGTTGCTAATCGTAGGGGGCCGCGACGGCCTGAAGACGCTCAACACCGTCGAATGTCTCGACACCGAGACGGGCCATTGGACGCAAACGACGCCGATGAACACGCATCGACACGGCCTGGGGGCCTCGGTGCTCGGCGGGGCGCTCTACGCCGTCGGCGGCCACGACGGCTGGAGTTACCTGAACAGCGTGGAGCGCTGGGACCCGGCGGGCAGGACGTGGCAATACGTGGCCCCCATGAGCAGCCAGAGGTGCTCCGCCGGCGTGACGGCTTTGGGGGATCGGTTGTACGCCGTCGGAGGGAGAGATGGTATCGTACAAATACGATTTTATTTATTATATAACCTATAACTCGTTGTTTTCTCTTTCGCAGGCACGTCTTGCCTGCGTACAGTGGAAAGATACGACCCGTTCACCAACAAATGGACGACGGTGGCGCCGATGCTGAGACGACGCGGGGGCGTCGGCGTCGCGGCGGTCGGGGGCTATTTGTACGCGGTTGGGGGACAAGACGCCCCGGCCAATAGCCCGACGGCGTCGAGGTTCGATTGCGTCGAACGATACGATCCCGGTGAGGAATTATTTTAGCGAATTAATCTCTGATAATTTTATATCGTATTTTTATTAGTGAGCGATACGTGGAGTTTGATCAGTCCGTTGCCGAGCAAACGCGACGCGGTCGCCGCCTGTCGTTTCGGAGACAAACTATTCGCCATAGGGGGTTACGATGGGTCGCGGTATCTTTCCAACGTGGAGGTCTTCGATCCGGATACTCAAGAATGGAGCAGTTTGGCACCGTTGAAAACGGGACGGGCGGGCGCGTGCGTGATCGCCATTGGTAACGCGCATGCTCCGTCGAATAACGCATAGTAAGGAGAGTGAGCTCGAGAGAAAGAGTTGGCTAACTCCTTCGAGTGAGAGAGAGAGAGAGAGAGAGAGAGAGAGAGAGAGAGAGAGAGAGAGAGAGAGAGTGTGGGTATTTTAAAGACTGAGAAAATCAGTTCAAAAAATGAGAAAGACTGAGAAGAGGCAGCTTTTGAAAAAAAAAAAAATAGAAATCCTCGTCTCAAACCATTTTAAATTTTTTAAGTTTTTTTTACTATGTACTTTACATTTAATAATACAATTTAATTGATAAGAAACTTTACTAATTGTAGTGAAAAAGTTTAACTCGAAATTTGTGTGTAGGTGAATCTCTGTCAATCTTATCAAATCCGTTTCTGTGATAAATTGTAAATTTCTGTAAAATTGTGATGATTGTATAACAGGGCTCTTTAATAATCCTTTAAGGATATTATATACGTAATTTTTGAGAAATAAACGCTTATTGAATATATTGTTTTTTAGAAACTGGTAAAAATATATTTAGTGAAATTAGAGAAAAAAATCATAGACATTACCCTAAACAAAAAACCTTTTGCTTACAGACATACCTCCATACGGCCTCTTGCTTAGTAGACAATCACACTATCTGCCAATTCCTCTTCTTTTGTAGCCATAAGGTCTCTTACTCATCAAATATCCTACCTCCTGTCATTTCTTCTTTCTCTAATTAGTCTCTATATTCTGCAAAAAATAAGAAGACATTTTAAGGTTATGTGGAGTATTGTTAATGCTTGTTTATTTAAAAATTTCGAATAATCTATTAATTAACAATGAAATTACTAACGCACAATATGCTCACTTCAAAATGCATCAAAGGAGTCTCCGTTGGATATCCTTTGAAAATAAACGTAAGCAGAATAATTTCATAAAATAAACCAAATTCTTCATTAATTATAAACCTAAATAATAATCTAAATTAACAGTTTATTCTTATTCTAGGCTTCGGACGTGAAAGAGACCGAGATAGATTTTAACCCGGAATTCGTGAGTAAAATGATCCCGAAACTGGACTGGCCAGTGCTCTACGAGGCAGCAGACAGCCTGGGAAAAGTCGGGGATTTGCCCAAAAATATAATCGAAAATTTCGAAAACGACGAGGACTTTTTGAAGAAAGTCCATCACATCATGTTAGAAGTGGAAATCGTCAATGGTAACTTGATTTGCCCTGAGACCGGACGGAAGTTTCCCATCAACAACGGGATACCTAATATGTTGTTGAATGAAGACGAAATTTAATTTGGTTTTTTATAGAAGAGCGTTGTTGAATTTGTATGTTAATGACATTTGATTTGATTTATGATATTTTTAGCATTTTTATTAGTAAAACAAGTAAAATCATTCTTTTCATTGGTGAATACTCGTTACATTTATTAATTAAATTATCTACAGTAATAGTATAATTTTGCAATATACGAATTTTTATTTTTTATATAAAAATATTGGCTTTTAAAATATACGCCTATGGATTTTGAAAAATTGGGTGGAAACGAGATATTTTTGGCCGGCCAATTTACGAGAATATTTCACAATTAAAAACTAATTAAATTACAATTAAATCGTGACGAATTAAAACCTTTACATCTATAAAACAATTCAAAATTAAAAATAACTTTGCACTATTTCGAGTATAAATCCAGCAAACTAATTTCACGTCATTTAAGCAGGTACTGCGCAGTTTTTAACAAACTTATAAGACACTAACAAACAAAAAAAATCAACATCAGTATATCTCAAAAATACTCACAAAGAATCGATTAAATCTAGCACAATTTTACAAAATGCTACACCTATACCGTTAATCCTCGACGACAACGGCCCGATTGAACCGGGAGAAAATGCTCCCCTTGATCAAATTGCACTGATGGCCTTTTACCAGGCTCTTATTAGGCCCGCAAGGCTTGTAAGTCCTTTTGGACAACAACGAAGGATTCGAGCCTTGTCTGTACGATAAATTCGGGCCTTGCCATTTCACGTACTCTTCCCTGCAAACAATACATAAATATTAACAAATAATTTGAGAAATTCCACGATGATCTTACAAGAGAAGTTTCTCGTTGGCTCCTTTAGCATAGTCCTGATTGTGGCCTTGTGTCGGGGTTGTATTCAGCGATTTATAAGCAACATCGTTCTCTTCGACTACTCTGGAAAAAGTGTGCTTTTCCACGTCTCTTTCGGCTTTCAGAAGGGATTTCAACGATTGCCTGCTCTGCGAAATCGGCATATTTGCGTTATTATTCGCCACACCGGAGGTAGACGGAAGATTACTATCCACTTCCCTACAAAAAGTAATTAGATTCGCGAATTAATTAAGAGAGTTTTTGTTCGATTTACTCTTTTTCTTCGGGATCAGAAGTTTTCGTGTTCTCCTGTACAATTATCTGCAAAATTTGATCGGCCTTTCCCTCGTCGAAATTCACGCTTTCCAACGCTATGGAAATTAAGTGCTCCGCTAAATCCTTGTAGTTTCCTTGAAGAGTTTCTTTCACTAAAAAAAATAGAAAAGTGTTTATTTATTTTAATCAAGGTGGAAAGTTGGATCGTTTAGAACTGTCTGAAACAATCTAGAACGCCCTAAAATTAGTTTGAACCGTCTAAAACTAAAGATTTCGACTTAACATTTGAAATTTATTTACCTTTCTGTTTCTCTTCGGCAGTTTTAACACGCGATTGTATCGAAGCTGCAGCGACGTTCTTCCTTTTCTCTTCCTCCTCCACCTCTTTCCTTTCCTCTTCCAATTTATTCTCGACCTTTTGTCTCGCCTCTTTCACCGTATCCTTTCTTTCGAAGCCCATATCTTTCAAATTATCCGAAGCCTTCTGGATGTTGTTTTCGTTGTTTTGCAATATATCCAGGATAATCGTCTCGTCGGCTGCGGGAAAAATGGACTTCATGTACCTGTAACTTGAACTCGATTAGAATAAATTTAGCACTCAAATTTCAACGCTAATTTATCTACCTAAATAAATAAAAATAAGATATTTAATAACATACGAAATGAAAGAAAAAGGGGGCGCTAAATAAAGGAATAGAGGGGGTGCAAAGCCAACTACAAACAAATTTCTACTAGGTAATGCTAGTACAAGCATCACGCGATATCGCGTGCTCAATTCAATGCGAGCGCGCGCGTGCTGCACAGGAATAGAGTGATTTAGAGAGACCTGAGCTTCAGTTTGGGCGATGAATGGGGCCTGGGGGAGCTGCGAAAACTGGCCGGAGAGCCGCCCCCCGGCAGGCGATAGCACACCGGACTGGCCCCCGTCGATTTCACCAGATGATGGGGGGGCGGCTGGTGGATGTTCCTTTGGGGCGGAGGCGTCGCAAAGGGACCCGGAGTCGTTATGGGGTACTTCTCTACCTGCAAGGCGCTTATTACTAGGGCTTCGCGCGCGTGGTACCTAATTGAAAAACCCGGTTAGAAATGGCGCGAGTTAGGAGCCCCCGAAACTTGTGCTTTGTTAGTTTGTTAGTTCGAGTTATGTTGTTATTTTGTAGAGCCTCAGATCAAAGACCTTTTCTTGTAATCTAATCCAACGAGTTCTAGGTAGTTCTTAATGTTTCTGGAGCGTTCTGAATGGTGCTAGACAGTTCCGAATGATTCTGAACAGTTTTAAATAATCCAATACACTTCAAAATGATTCTGGAGCGTTTTAAACGATTCTAAGTGAATTTCAAAGTTACTAAAATACAAGCAGGTTATTTAAATTGATCTGAGGCCTCTTCGAGTGAACCTTTTTCGAGTACACTTTACGAATGAAGCAACTCCATGTGTTCACTCGAATATATAAAAACCGTGCATATGATTTAAAAAAGCTTATTCGACCCCAGATGATGAAGCACATAAAGCTCACAAAGCTTCGTTTGGTTGGCGTTTATGTGCAATTAAAACCAATACACCGATTAATTGGTTCTTGTTAAGCAACTTACTTCTTCATCAACATTCTGATGTGCGTCTCGGTTACTGTGGGAAACATTCCGGAAACTTTCGCGACGGTTTCATCGATTCTCTCTGTGGAAATGGTCAGAGAACTGTCTATTACTTTCGGCGATCGTACGGATAAGGGACTCATCTTAGGTTTGCTCATCTCCTGGAAAAATAACACGGAAATTCATTAGTATTTGCTACTCGAATATAACTGGAAATACATATAAAAAACTACTCAAAACTACTTAAATACACTCGTAAAAACAATGCAATTCGTCATGCGGGCCTCGTTTTATAAGTCTGTACCTGCAAGTTCTTGGGGCTCATTTGGAAGGCTGGTAAAGGGGACGATCGACTGGGGTAAACATAATTCCTTCGTGATTCCGGGGTTCCGTGCTATTTATATTTATGTCCGAGAGAGATAGCAGCATGTGATAAACACGTACGGTTCGTTAAGATTGTGAATTAGAGAGTAAAATGTACCAAATTACCTGCATGGGAATGCATTCGTTTGATGCATTTTGATTGTGTCTCGGTGTGTGCAAATGCCAGTTTCTGCTCGTTCTCGGATCATCCCAGGTGGTGGTTTTCGTGAAATGGTTCACGTAATAGCTAAAACGGAACAATTTCGATGTAATTTATTTGATTATTCCGTGATAAATGGACTTACAGTTTTCCCGTTCTCTCGTCTCTTTTGCAATCCCAGCCGGGCGGTAATCCATTTTGCAATTCCGCCATTTCGTTTTGCTCAAATTTTATCACTTAAATTCGCTTTAATTAGATAAATTGAACCAGTTAAGAAATTGGAACAAACCCGAGTTTATTGATTTTTAAATGGAAACGTCATATGTCAATGCTCCCTGACACAAACTAAGTCCTGCAAAACTAAGTACAAGGCCACTTTCTTCTTTTTTTTGCATACAGACACCAGAGTCATTATAATTTATTTATCGAATATCCAATTCGCTTTTTACTAATACTAATCATAAATTTATTGAATTTACATCGAAATCGGCGCGGATTTCTACCCCAATTGAAACTGTTGAATGGTATTCGTGCTGTCCTGGTAGGCGTACAAAACGGTTTCTGTACTCCCGTTTTCGCTTGTAAGCAGATTAGTCCCGCTGGAATCTACAAACTCAAATTATTTATCAAATTATATTATATATCAAAATAACTTACTGAAAGCCTCTTCCGATACTTCCTCGTACAAACCGTCACCCGTTAGGTTCTTATCGCTTTTGGCGGCCTACGAATTAAAGGGAAATCGCGTTAGCCTTGGAAATGCTTATAATCACGTTAGCAATGTTAATATAATAAGTACTTACTTCTCGGTATTTTTGCAAATATACTTTGAGAGGTTCGATGTAATTATCGAAGCCCAACGTGCTCATCGCCACCAAAATGTCCTCGCCGTTGATCGTTTTTCTCTTTTCCATGTGACACCTTTCGCTCGCTTCGCTGGTGATGAAACTGATGAATTCCGAAACGCATTCTTGTACGCATTCTCTGGCGTCTTTGGCTATCTATGAATACAAACGGATCCAATTGCAATCGAGTTCGTAGCTCGATTTATTTGTAGGTTTTTTGATAGAATAGATCAAACGTACTTACTTTATTCGTTACTTTGCCAGTATCCGGTATGGCCTTTTTCATTATTTTAGCGACGTTGGCTATGGGAAGGAATCTGTCCTGTTCTCTAAGCGGTATTCCCGTTTTATCGCCATCGTGATTGGAATCATCGGTATTTTCCGCTTTCAATTGATCGTGTTCGTCTGAAATATCAACGATATTTTATCGAAATTGTTACTAAAAAGGAGTTTTATTAGATAAATTGTTTATTTCGGGCACCTTCCATGTCTTCTACTTGGACCATATATTGGTCAGTTAGAGGGGCGAGGGCGTAGGAATGCGTCATGTCTTCCACTTTTTCCATTTATTTGTTAATTATTAAGTTAAATGTTGATTATTTTACTTCAATTTACGTTTATTTTAATCGCCTTTTTAGAAATTGTAAGTTTACAAACCAAAATTTGACATTTGTGACATTTTGCTTCTTCTTTTTTGTTAGAAAATAAGGCCTCTGTCTTGTGGAGTATTCAGTAATTTTGTTATTAAATTTGGACTTTATAACCTGGAGTATTCAGTCTAATTTTACTAGTTCTTTTTCACGAAAAAAATATATGAAAATTGTATATAAACGTATATATTACAAACAATTTGACGGAATCGTTAATTCGCAACAATCAGTGTTAAATATACTATGTAACATTCATCAAGACTCTTTCGAGATATATCTCAATTGAAAAATTAACAATGGGCAAAATGACTGGACAAAAAACCGGATTTTCTACTTGTACAAAAATAAGTGTGACTTTTTTTCCTAACAATTTTTAACTACTATTCGATATCCAGGAAACATTCAGTAACTACTTCATTTTTTGTTCGTTTTCAAGATACATTATTGTAATGATATACATTATTAAAAAGCTCCATTTTGTTCTAAAAAATATCAGTTATATCTTACACAATACATGTATAACAATCAGCAATTTAAACATATTATGCTAAAATTAATCCTATCCATTCGATTATTCCGATTATTCGATGACCGATTCATTCGATTATTCATTCCATTCCAATTTAATATAATATGATATTCCTTCCGGTAGTCTCTCGATCCGAATTAAAATCCATGTATGACCCCGTACACCTCCAAGGAGGAGACCACCAGGTAGAGCAGCCACATGCAGAAGAAGAGGCCCGAGGTGAAGTATTTGGGGCACTTGGGCCCCCCCAGTTCTCCGCCTATGAACTTGACCCGGCGCAGCGACAGCACCAGTATCACGAAGAGGGCTTCGCTGCAGAAGATGGTCACGGAGAAGGCCAGGCTGGAACCAGAATAGTACGTGGAGTTAATTCGCCTGGTGCATTTTCGGAGATGGCGTCCAGAAAATGAACTTTAGATATCAAATTTCATCGAAATATTAAGCGAGTCAAATCTCTTCTAAAATCTCGTTGGGTTTTTTCACCTGGTGCACTATGTACCTACGGAGATGGAGTCCACAAAATGGACTTTAGACATCAAATTCCAACGATATTAGGCGACAATTTTCGTTAGGATATCTATAAAATAAATCGTCTTACTTTCCGGGATCGACGTGGAAGACATCCCCGTTGAGGTGGTGATAGACAGCGGCTATGGACCAGGCGACGCCGATGCCCAAGAACACGTTCACGGCGTTGCTTCCCGTCACGTTTCCAATGCTGGCGTCGGCGTGTTTGTCTTGAATGGCGGCCACCTTGCTGGCGAACGTGTCTGGAAGACCGATTCGAAATCGATTACAAACATTCGATTTGCTATCTCATCTATCACTAACCGGGTATGCTGGTGCCCAAAGCCACGAAGACGATGGCCGTCACGGCGTCCTCGACGCCTAAAGTGGCGCCGAAATGCGACGCCGCGTCGCCGATGACGGCCGTCACCAGGCCGATGCAAATTATCGACACCAGGAAGCACAAATAACCCCTAAAAATACCTAGAAACATAAAACAAATTTGAAAATTCCTCAGATTTAGGGATTTTTCTCAAATACACCGTTGCCAAGTGTACCTCAATTTCCATAAATTCGGTGATTTTATTAATACAAAAAAGAGAGCTTACCGGTCGGCGGGACGAAGGCGAAGAGTATCTTCCAGAACAACGTGACCCAATGCATGACGTAGTCGAGACAAGAGGGGCGTTTTCGGACGTCGCCGGCGCCGACGTCGCCGCCGTCGTCGTCGTCGTCTCCGTTGGGCGTCACCGTGAGAGCTTCGAGGAATTGCTCCTTCCAAGAGGTGGTGCCGATCAACAAGGAGGCGTTGGCCCGTTGCACCAGCTTATCCACAGTGTTCTAGATAATTTTATAATTTATAATGTTATATTATATACAGGGTGTGCACACTTTTGGTGTATACGTATGTTAACAGTAGAGTTGATAATTTGAGTATATTTATAAGAAATAGTAGGCTCTTAAAGCGATAAAAGAAGGCCTAATTAAGGCATTTTCCAGACCTGTTTCCAGGCCTGCTTGAATGCGTTTCATAACGTTAAATAAATCGTGATATCGTGACTATATGAAAAAAGAAAAACCATTGCGTGTTTCCCGGAGATTTTTCCCGAGGTTTTTTAAACGCCGGTCGATAAACCCTTCCTAGTTTAATTTTTTTTTGGTAGTGAAAATAACGACAAAAAATGACTGACCTTGAACTCCTTGCTTTCCTTGATCCTGATTTGGGCGCGTTTCATATCGCCTAATCGGGGTTTCCCCAATAGGGCGATTTTCTCGCTTTCCGTTCGATCTTCGGGGTTTTTCTTCTCGGCCTGCTCCGCTAAACTGGCTAATTCTAATAGGAAAATTTGTTAAAAATATTTGATTTGTTTTTGCGAAAGGGAAAATTGCGAAAAATACTCACTCGGCATGCGGTGGAAAGATGACAGGTGAACAGGCGAAGAAGCAAAAGAAGAAGGAAAAACACAAAATACGTGAAATAAATAAAGAAAAAAGAAAGTGATTAAGGAAAAGAAGATTTTTAAATGGGGAAAATGTGGAAAATCTTACCCCCAGTCATTTCGGGTTCTCCTAATTGCACGTAGAAAAGGACGTCTTTTTCGTAGCTGTCTTCTTCGATTATCGTCAGAAGGATGGATTTTCTGCGGAAAATAGGCAACGTTGCAAAACGGCGAATGATTCGTTTGGTAGAAAAAACGTTTCTCTACGATTTTCGAATAGTGGAAAATTTTCTAAAATCGCTTAATTTTCGAGATATTTTGAATTTTTTGTAATGAATACTTGAAAAAAAAAATGTAGTACAATTTGTTAAGAAATCTGAATTACTCAATACTTATTTGAGATTGAAATACGAAATTTACTGAATTTATAGAAAACACGTTTCTCTACGATTTACGAAGAGGAAAAAAATTTCGAAAATCGCTTCCAATTACCGAGATATTTCGAGTTTTTTTTGGAGATTCCGTTTTGTGGGATAACTTATTTTTCGCAAATATGTAGAAAGGCGAAAATGGAACTTTCGCGCGATTTCCCGGCATTTCCCGAACGAATTAGAAGCTCTTCTAATACCCGTTAATCCGATTTGAAGACTCTCCTTTCGCTTTTCCTTCGTGAAAATCCCGAATGAATAATCGATAAATTGACCCAATTTTCTTTGCATTTTCCGTGTCGAATGCATTTTATATCCGGAAATCTATCGATTTAGGAAACCTCGAGAAATGCGAAAAACCCGCTCGAAAGCGTTAAATTAATTTAGAAACGGTTTATTCCGAAAAATAATTACATTTACATAAAATAATTACATACAGTGCGTGCCTCGAAAATTTGAATCTCGATTAATTTTCGGATTTATTTAAAGATACATAATCGAAATTATCTCGATAATTTGAGGTTTATTGAAAATTTTTGATTCTTTGTAAGTTGTATAGAATTCATTTTTCTCTAAATTCATGAAAACTTCATATTTCGATCTCGAATGAGTATCGAGATAATTGAGATTTCTTAACGAATTGCACTACAATTTTTTTTAAGTATTCCTTACAAAAAAGTTAAAATATCTCGAAAATTCAGCGATTTTCGAAAATTTTCCATCCTCCGAAAATCGCAGGAAAATCTTTCATCTACAAAACAACACCAACCTCGTCCTTCTACCACCTTTACATCTCGAGATAATTACGATTTTTCACCCACCCCTATTCGTCCCCCAGGTCAACTTACTCGAACTCGTTGTCGTCGAACACCAGCCGTCCCTCCTGCCTCCCGTACTCCTTCCCCTCCTTGGCGGTCCCGTCCTCCGTCCAGAAGGGCACCGAGACCTTTCCTCTGGCCCCCGAGCACCGCACCACGTTCACCTCGCACTGGCCGATGCTCTCCACCACCTGGTGATTCTGCCGCTCGAACTCGAACACGCCGCCGTGATCGTCGTCGAGGATGATGCAGGTGGCTAGCGAGGGGGAGCCCAGCGAGTGCTCCGGCAGCGTGGAGGACAGCCGCACGTAGAAGTGCTCGTCCGGCTCGAAGACGTCGTCGTCGATGACTTCCAGGCGGATCCTGCGCGAGCGTTTTATACGTTTATTTTTGATTGTTTGGGGACCTGGTGGTGGAGGATTTGGGTGGTGTATTGATAAGGGCCTGGTGAAGAAGGTTTCGAAGTGTATTCGTTGATGACTTCTGGAGGAGGAGGTTTCAAAGTGTATTGATTGGGGTCCTGGTGGAGAAGGTTTAATAGCGAAATGATGAAGATTTGCTGGGGGTTTTAAAGCGAATTGATGGGAACCTGGTGGAGAAGGTTTTAATGTGAATTGATGAGGATTTGCAGGGGGTTTTCAAGCGAATTGATGGTAACCTGGTGGAGAAGGTTTTAAAGAGAATTGATGAGGATATTCAGGGCGTTTTAAAGCGAATTGATGGGAACCTGGTGTAGAAGGTTATGCAGTTAATTCATTGCTGGGGACTCCTGGAGGAGAAGATTTCATAGTGTATTGTTTGGGGACCTGGTGGAGAAGTTTTTAAAGTACCTATATTGATCTGGTGAAGGATTTGCTAGAGGTTTCAAAGTGAATTGATGGGAACCAGGTGGGGAAGTTTTCGAAGTGTATTGAAATGGACTTGGTAGAAGCCACAATGGAGAAGAGATCCAACTATAATAGATCTAAATAAGGTGAAAATTAACAGTAACAACAAACCTTTTCTCCTTTTCACCAGGTGCGAACACGATCCTCCCCTCGGCGGAGACGTAATCGCTTCCCGCCTGCGCCGTGCCGTCCTCCGTGGCGTAACCGACCTCCAGCACCGCGTCGACGTTCCCCGTCCTCACCACTCTCACCTCGAACCGGCCGCAGCTCTCCAGCACCGCGTACCTGGCGGGCTCGAAGAAGGCCCTGCAGGTCTCCTGGTCGAACTCGTCCTCGCCGGTCTCCTTCCTGATCTCCGATTTGACCTCGCTGAGGTCGCTGCGGGCGCGCTCGGCCGCCTTGCGCAGCGGATCCCCGCCGCCCGTCAGCTTCCTGGTGGCCTGGATGCGGTAGAAGGCCCTCGATTTGGGGCCCGCGTTCAACAGCGCCTCGTGCGTCATCTTCTCGAGCACCCCCAGGTCGGCGTGCGGGTTGCGCTGGCGCAGCTCCTTCAACGTTTTTATGTACTCCTGCCGGATGTCCTGGTGGACGTCGTCTTCGGCGAGCAGCTCGGAATCGCCGAGCTCCAGGTCGTCGCCGCTCTCCGCCTGGACGATCACCCCGCGGCGGTTCGTCCTGTACGCTTTGCTGACGAACTTATAGATTTTCCTGTCGGCCGCGTAGGCGGTGAGAACGGTCAGTGGGAAGTAGCAAAAGGTCAGGAGACCCTCCCAGATCTCGACGACGCCCGGCGAGAATACGCAGAGGATCGCGTACAGCCACACGTAGGCGAACACCGACCACGTGGCGGTCACGAAGAAGACCCCCAGGTGCTTGATGCGGCGCACCTCACCGTCGGGTATCACCGACACGCATATGGCGATGATCACCAGGAGATTGTAGGCGGCCGAGCCGACGATGGTGCCGGGCCCCAGGTCGCCCGCCTGGAAATTCTTCGCGTAGATCTCGATGACCGAGAGCAGGATCTCGGGGGCGCTGCTGCCGAGCGCCATCAGCGTCAGATTGGCGACGGTCTCGTTCCACGTGCGCACCACGTAGATGTGGACGCCGGCGCCGTCGGGACGGCGCACCGCCACCTCGTGCTCCTGCGACGTGATCACCTCGATGGCGGCCATGAAGCGGTCGGAGATGATGGAGACGCCGACGAAGAGATAGGCGAGCAACAGGAAGTAGACGAGGCCGCGGCCGGCGCGGTCGAGCGTCGCGACGCCGTCGAGGGGGCGCCAGCAGGGCAGCACCAGCCCGTCCTGGCAGCGGATCGAGGAGGCGTTGGCGAGGGGGGGGAGCATGGCGGGACGTGCGGCATGCCGGGCTGCGCGCCGTTTACTGGAGTTTTCGTGGGTTCACCGGGACGTGGGGCACACCCCTCTCTTCGAAGACGCCCGGTCGGGGCGCAGGCGCCGACGGGGAATTTCGTGAGGGGGCGCGTGAAATCGGTGTTGATTTTAGGGGTTGGGGGTTGTGTGGAGGATAATCCGTCGGAGATGACGTACACGGCGCAGACGCAAAGAGATTTCTTAACGTTTTATTTTTCCTCGAAAGACGGTATATGTCTGTCCCATTCGGAATATATTACAATTTTCTGATATGAAAATCACGAACATGGCGCCATCTAGTGTTGCAAATTCGTAATGGCGATTTGTAAAATACATTTTTCTATATCAGAAAACTCGCAAGATAAGTTCTAGTTAGATAAAGAGAGCTAACTGTCTATTTTGGACGAATAGAAATATCAAAGGGACCAATAGAGATAATCGCTGAGGCCCTAAAAATCAAGAAAGAAGACTGTAAAAAAAAGAAGAATAAATTCTGTCATAAATGGGTGACTTGTACTGTAAAGGAAGTGTGGTTAGGATGGGTGACATAACCGGAAGCACGTGCTCGAAGTTTAGGCTGTATTCCAGATGAGTAAGTGTAATTTTTCGTAATGTTAACGGCGCAAATCGCGCAATGCGCAGCTTATTACCCGAAATGACAAAAACGGGTTTGTCTGTCCGTCCGTCTTTCAGACAACGTTTTTCCGCTTCGCGCGGTGTGTGCATCGCTCGAGAAAATCGAAAAAAACCCCAAAATGAATTTCTCCAGTAAAAAAATTTAGTCATGTGCGCCAGTTCTTCAAATTAAACCATTTCAAATTTTATTATTTTTTCACGTACACACACATCGGTTTGATATAAATTAAATTGTACATTTTTATAATTTCCAAATGAAATTTTGATCCGTCGTGCGACAATAGTTCTATTTTATTTAAGTCGTCATTAACTGGTCGTAAAACATGGAAGAGGCAACCGACAATCACGTCCTCTACAAGCTGGTGCTCACCGGAGGTAAGTGCAACAATGCCCCGATATCGATTTTATTTTATATAATTTAAACGGGTTATTTTCGTAGGGCCATGCGGTGGCAAGACGACGGGACAGGCCCGGCTTTGCACGTTCTTTGAGAATTTGGGTTGGAAGGTGAGCTAAACACTTTCTCGTAAATTCATGTAAATTGTATTGAAGGAAAGCGACCCGCAATTTTGCAATATTTTGCCAATAATCCTTGTTATAGGTTTTTCGTGTACCTGAAACAGCTTCGGTCCTTCTTGGGTACGTACTAATCTATTCCTTTATGACAATACGAACGTAGTTTACCTCGTGCTGTTACAACATTTCTAGTAACTAATTATAGATTATTCGAGAATATTTCTATACTTTTTATTATACCTCTAAATTGATATAATACGAACATTCCGGATAGTAATTACCGCCTTTTTTTTAACGTAACTATGCATGACACGTCTTGCTTTAGCTTCTCTGTAGTTATTACTTTTATCACCTTAATAATTACCTGTAATATATCATACACTTTAATACATCCGAAAACCTTTTATTTTTCAGCGGTGGTGTAAAATTCGCAGACCTGAACGCAGATGAAAGTAAGTGTTCACTTTTATTCTCCCGTTTCAAATTTATGGAGCCGTTTTTTTCGCGAGGAAACTAATTATTTGCCAAGGCGTTTATTTATAGAAACCGCGAAAATTAGCCAAGCGATTCGCTCTGTTATGTAAATTAATGAATTTGCAAATAAACCTATTCTATTAATTTATTATAAGCACTTCCTGATGGGTACCTTCTGCAGTACATCTCAATAAGCAGGAATTGATAATAAATAAACAAATCCTTATCTTATTAATTATGTAGTCAAAATAAGACTCCCAATGCGTAGATAATGTTATCACAATGAATTGGAACACGTCGTTAAAAATGCTTGTCAATACCCTTTTTTTGTACAAAAAAATGAACCAACTCTAACCTAGTAGATCATATATTCTAATTATTCAGAACTTAATTAATAATTATATATCTAGTAATAAATCTAGTATATCTGTGCTATCCACATCGCCTCTACGAGATTATTTTATACAAATCTAATCTACGAATTTACATTGCAATGATTATTCGATCGCTTTTATAATATACCCTATTAACTGGTTTATTATGAATTAAAGCAGTTAAAAATATCTAATTAATCGGTTTGTTAAGTATACAGTAAAAAATGATCGATTGATTTAATACCCGGCACGCGATTAATTTCCCAATATATTGGCCAAATTCTATTCTTTTATAACATCAATAATTTGTAACAATGCCGGGTTTGGTTGGTTTTCGTGTCCAAATATCGAATTGTGTTTAGATTATTTCCGGGCTCGCATGACAAATTCGTTTTTATTGTGAAATAATAAATTTGTACCAATTATTGGAATGTACTTTGATAACGTAGAAGTTATCTAGTAAAATTTGTTCACAATAATCAATATAGAAATGTTTTTTTTTTGTATGTACGAATACATTAAAATGGCGTAGCCGATACGAAATTGCCGCGTTTCAAAAATAGAACGTTTGTATTTGAAAGGTGTTAATCTTATTAAAGGGAAAAAATAATTAGATTTGCCTCATGTAGGTCAAATGTGATGCGTATTTGCAACATTTCACACATCGCAAAGATTTTGCGAATAATTCTCTTATCGTTTTAATTCCCCTAATGCATAATACGTGTGAATTATTTATCATTTCAAGTGTTCTAATTAATTCGTTTAAAGTGTCATATAAGTTATTGCATCTATAGGAAAATTTGCATCTTATTTATAGCTATTCGGCCAAATATAATTGACTACAAGTGTTTTTATTTGAACTAAACGATTTGAATTGATCGACGAGCGGAGCACAATGAGTTTCGCTTGCGTAATCGATCATATGAGTGGTTTTTTTGCATCACGCTTTGCGGAGGAAATTGTAAACAAATTTGTTGCGGTATTTTCGTTAATTTTTTCGTAAATAAAAAACCCAACAGCGCGCCTCAAAGCACATGATCCCTTGTTTCGGTTTCGTAGACACAATATAGAGGAATGGCAGCCTTTCCATTCCGTTTTCGTCTATAAATAAATCCGGTCGCTTGACAGAGTGCCAATGGAACTGTTGATATTAATTCTATCAGACACTGACCTCACTTTTTTTACTCTTTATTCTCGATTACCTACCGGCCCGTCCTTTGGAATGTTTAAAACGAAAATAATGATTACCTAATCGCTAATAAATGCGCATTTTGCAGGCATAAAGTTCCAAGAAAACTTGCTGAAAACGATGCTGCAAATAGAAGATACGTTTTTCGCATTGGGAAAAACGTGCAAGAGAAATTGTCTAATCATATGTGATAGAGGAGCGATGGATGCTTCAGCTTGTAAGTCCCCGAAGTCTCGTCGCGAATCCCTTTTAATCACTTTTATTTACAGTTGTTGCCAAAGATAAATGGGAAACTATTATGAGGGAGAACGCGTGGAACAACGTAGAATTAAGGGATAACAGATACAATCAAATTATTCATATGGTAACCGCCGCCAAAGGAGCCGAGGAATTTTATTCTATAGAGGTAAATAAGTTGAAACTTTTCAGGTGATTCAATGTTGATATTATGACTACGGTTTTGTTGAATAAGCTTTTAAAAAATCGCGCTGAACTAATTGTATTTTATAAGAACGCAGCGTGCAAATTTGCAATAATATACAGGTCGTGAACAATCGTTTTAGGATCACAATTGCCGTTCGGAGGGGGTGCAACTGGCGCGAGATTTGGACACGAAAGCGGCCGCCGCGTGGGTGGGCCACCCGTATTTCGATGTCATCGATAACTCGACGGATTTCGAAGGGAAAATACGTAGATTGATCGTGTCGGTGTGCCACAAGATCGGCTTGGACACCGGCGACAGGTTGTTGAAGAACTCGCGCAAGCACAAGTTCCTGGTGGAGGGTCCGTTGCCGGACGATTCGGTGTTTCCCCCGTTCCAGGACTTCGAGGTCGTGCATAATTACTTGCAATCGAATTCACCCAACCAGGTCAGGTTGCGCAAGAGAGGCCAGAAAGGTGAGAAGATCAAATTGTTTATATTCGCGAAAAGGGGATGACGCGATGATTTCGGATGATTTGTTTGATTTTTTTTTTCATCGACGTAATTTGTTGGATTATTTTTGAATAAACGTAACTATTAGAAATGCGATTGGTGATATCTGACACGCATATTTGGTCTATCTAAATGGAAAATTACAGACTGGCATATTTCCGCACTTATCGAACACGGATTCTTAATAGTCGCGTCATGTCGTGTACGTCCCATTAGAACTGTTATTAATTTTATTTGTTAGATTTTCATTGTCACCCTGTTTTGATTTACAAATTGTGGAATTGTTAATTTTTACTCCTGTAAATATAATGAAGAACTGCGTACGGGTATATTTTTTTTAACTTTTTGCAAAATACTAACATATCCCCTGCACAGTCTTGTTACGTTTTATTTGCTGTAAAAAGTTAAAAATAAAGTGTACATCGTTAAAAAAAGTCAACCGCTCATTCGTTTTATTTTATTATTTTAATTGCCGATAATTGTCAATTAATTTGCGTAACGAAGTACTAAAACGAATCTTATTATTTCAAAAATAAAAAGAAGAAACGAACGCAAACAGAACACTATATGAAACTCCATAACAAATCGAACACCATTTTGGATCGTATGATAAACGCAAAAATTCCTTGCAGGCCATTACAGTTACATCCACACTGTAAGGAGACAGAACCAGCCAGGCGGGCAAGTGGTCGAAGTTAAAACGCAAATAACCCATCGGGATTACATTAACTTGCTGACGCAGAAGGACAATTCGCATTTTACCATCTACAAGAGACGCCGGTGTTTCATCGAGAACAACCAGTATTTCCAATTGGACATATACGAACAACCTAGTCATCCAAGGTAAGGACTATACACACAATTTTACTCTAGTCAGCCAATCACTGTACTCCATTTTAACTCTTACCACGTCACTAGCCAATAATAACTCAAGTTTGAGTATCTACGTCACTTCCGTAAAGAAAGTAGAGTACAAATTGTAAATCAAACGTCATATCACTAGCCAATAAGAGCTCACGTTCGAGTAGTTACGTCACTTCCGTAAAAAAAGTGGAGTAATCTAACCAAAAATTTTCTGCGCTTGAGGTTAGTTAGAGAAGTTCAATTTGACCCGAATGATTCGGGCCGTGTCCAAGTGGCCTTGGTAAATTGCTATGTTATAGGGATTGGGATTTACCGTGATAGATGCGTTTTTGAGCAGCAACCATTTGACGAGGTCCTTGTTGCCGAACATGGAGGCCATTTGAAGGGGCGTTTTGCCGTGGGCATTGGGCTCGTCGATGTCGGCGCCTGCGTAGTAGAGCTGTCTTATGCATGTGGCGTTTTTGTAATGTGGATTTTTGACCAAGTAGAATGCTGCTAGGTAAAAGGGCGATTCTTGTTGGAGGGATTTCAGTTTAACGTCTGCGCCTGTAAACAAAAGGTTAAAGACCAATAGTGTGTATTAGCTGCGTAACTTAGAATTTGAGTTATTCTTTACCGCTGTTTAACATGAGCGTTACCAATGGGTTGTTGCCGCATGCGCAGGCGATCATAAATGGCGTGTAACCGTCGTTGTTGTACGAGTTTATGTATTGGGGATGTTTCCTTACGATATCTATGCATGTTACAATGTCGTTTTCCTCTATGGATTTGCACAAGTCTTGGATAATGCGATTTTTGTCGTAAATAAGTTGTTTGTACATTTTAATGCCGGTCACTATGGTTAAATAAATCGTGATGCCCAATAACATCCAAAAAACTACCAACGCGTCCATTTTAAATATAAATGTATCTGTCATTTGTCAATTTTTTTACCCTTATGAGCAAGGTTATTAAACTAGCCGAGGATTGATCAATTTCATTCATTATGACGTACCTAATTACATTCAAAAAGTATTTTTTTTAGGTGTCGTGGTTTAATTTTGCTCGAAACTTACTCCGCCCTCGACGATCAGATGCTGCTGAAAACGTTGCCGACATTTTTGAACATCAAGAAAGAAGTGAGGGGAAATCCGGATTATTCGATGTATAATTTGTCGTTGAGGGAAGACTGGAAAACGTCCAAGAAGTTTTGCAGATCCGTTACAGGTAATTTTGTTTTATTGCGATATCGAGTTGGCAACAATGCGCCCACGCCAACTATTAAATTAAACTATATTAATCGTTTTAGATTCGGACTTTTCTAAGTATCCCCCTAATGAAGACCGCGGAGAAGCTATTAAGAAACTTTACAATTACGGCAATTTAAACGGAAAAACTATGAACGGCAAAGCTTAAGTGTTACTTAATCAAGAGTATTCTTGTACTCATATATATAATATATATTTATTTTTTTATAGGGTTCCTACAATTTTTTGGAAAAGAGTGATTCGCTCGATCTCTTATAAAATTGCGTTGTAGATACAGTATTTTAAATTATTTTTGCAATTTAAAACTAAATCATATTTAACTATATTATGTACCTGCTTAACAACAAGAATTAAATCGTCGGGTTTGTCTAATTAGATTAAACAAACATTTCACTTACTGTAGTTTACAAGTAATGCTATTTTTATGTTTCAGTAGGTGAATATAAATATCATGAATAGCAGAATTTTTTATCTCAAGTTTGCTCTGACTTAATGCGTATTTTTAAGTGGATAATAAAAGTGTATGGGTTTTGGAATTTTGTTTTTAATGTTGAAATCATCTCGACATAATAATACGCAAAACTGATGCAATTTAGAGTAAATTTTAGATATGTACTTACATAGTTATGCATTATAATAGAGTACTTAAGTTGATCAGTGTATTAGATAGTAAACTTTAGCTCGTTATATTTCTGTTGATGTGTTATAAAAGCAGAAAGATTTATGAATATTGTTAAGCTTGTATTACATTACAATTTTTTCAATTACACAAAAACTAAATTGTTACTAATTTTTGTTGGTACATTTTAATTAATATGGACAAGATTTTACGACAATGGTTGAATAAGTTGATGTTTCGTTTTATAGGTAAAAAGAGTAAAGTAATGTAAGCTTAAAATAAAAGATGTCAATTTATATCAAACTGTGTATCATCTTTATTCTCAGATTTTTGTCACTAAAGAAATCGAATAAAAATTACATATATATTTTTTCTGAAACCAGGTACCTGCCATTACTGTGAATTTTTGAGAATAGGAAAAGAATACTTAACAAGACAACAGTAATTTTTATTTACATAATTTATCCATACACTTACATCAACATCTTCACAGAAGACAATTCAATTCATTCCTGAAAAAACGTTAGTTCTGTATATTGGTATCAGTAACATATTTCATCAAATTACCCCAAAAGACCTTCAAAATTTAACCTGTCTTTTGAGGCTGAAAAAACGTTGGTGAAAGCAACTACAATCGAAAAAACACATACATGCACAATAAATAAAACGAAGCATTATCAAAATAATAATTTATTGGTCAGAAAACTTAAGTTTCGATACATATTATTTATGTGGACAAACATTTACAAAAAACCAGGCAATACGGTATGACTTTTAAGGTACAAGAGAACTTGAAAATTAAAAAGAAAAACTTCAATTATACTTTCTATTAAAATATTTTCTAAAAATATTGTTTTCTAATTATCACAGCTCGTGTTTTACAAATTACTATTTTTTTCCACTTAGACTCAAAAAAAGAAATGTTAGAATACTTAATAAATACGTCAATGTACTTTTGAATAATCTTATTAGTGACATTACTAAGAATTAAAAAAAGCAATCGAGTAGGTACAAATAAAATTTTCACGTAAATTGACGTAGGTACGTACAGCCAACTAACTAAATTACGGACGATACAATAATAAAGGCAAGGATACACGTAACAAGTAGCAATAGCAAGTTAGTAAATTTAGTTACTTGCATGATGTTTGCAACTTGATTTAGTAGTTTACACTATACAAGTAACTAAATTTAGTAACCTGCTATAGCTACCTGATACGTGTACCCACGCCTTAAGATTAACACCAAAAAAAGAGAAACTTAAAGGTGAAAAACAAAACCAACCTCATCACTTCTTCAAAAACCTACTTACTTGATCGGCGTTCGAATGAGGCGGCGTTGCCGAAGAGCCAGACGATTGTTGCACATTTTGCACGCTGACGGCCACCAAGGGCGCCCCGCTCGACGTCTGTATGCGCACCGGGCTGCCCTGACGCATGCCGGCCACGTTCTGGCTCAAAGCAGCCGATACCTGAGAAAGCAAAGCCTGCTGGCTGGCGCTGCCCGCCCCTTGCATCTTTATGCCCGCCAGAGCGCCCGCCAACGCCGACGTACCTTGCGGTCGCAACGCTGTATTTAGACTTTGAGATGTACCGGCAGCCACCACCTTTAACAAAAACATCGCAATCGAACACACGCACTATAAAATCTACAAGTAACAGTACCTGTATGGTTTGTTTAGTTCCCTGGGCCGTATTCACCGGTATCATCCTCGTCGGCGGTCCTTTGGCCAACACCACCGGTCCTTGGGACACGTTCAACGGCGATCTGATCACCTGTTGGAATTGCTGCACCGTCATGGCGGCGGGCAGCGGCTTCGAACCGACTATCAATTGCGTTTGCACGTTATTCTTTCCGGCCACTTGGGCTATGCTCAACTTCTGTCCGGCCAGTTTCTTCTGGGCCAACAGCTGCTGTTGCAACTGCAGCTGGCGCAACTGGGCGGGATTCGTCGTTTTTAATGTCGTCGCGAGGTTTTTACCCGATGCGGATAGAGCGACGCCCGTCACGGGTATAGTCACCGTTTGCGTAACTGAAAGTATGTAATACATAAAATATTGGTAAAGGTTTTTGTTAGATTTATTGTAGATAACTTACCGCCAGCGGTGGATACAGTTTTGACGAGCGTAGCAACGGGCGCGCCCGACGTACCGGCTTGAATGGCTTGCGCCAGCACCTGCGGCGACAGACTCTGTATGGTACCGCCGCCGGCCGAAGTACCCGCCAATTTCTGGCGTTTCTGCAACAATTGCGCCACCTCGCCGTCGGTGGCCGTTCGCGCGACGCCGCCCGTTTTGCCTGCAACAGTCACGGTACCTTGTCGGATGAATTGCGCTCGAGGCTGCTGCGCTTGCGTAAACTGGACCACGGCCTGTTGTCCGCCGATCGTGACGGTCGATGTTTTGACGCCGCCTTGCGCCGCGGCGGCGGCGGCGACGTTGCCGGCGTGCAAACGGAGCTGTTGCTTTAGATTCGCTTGTCGAATCATTGCCAATTGCGCCTGTCCGATCGGTTTACTTTGGAGCGCCGATGTGGTCGCTGTCGCTACTACTTTACCTTGGCCGGACGATCCAGCGGACACGATCAATCGTTGCGTGGCCGCTTGCAATTGGGCGGGACTCAAACCGGATACCGATACCACCGTCGACGTTTGTATGGGCGACGCCAATATCCTTTGGTTTCTTTGAATATCTACAAACAAAAATAATTACAAACAATCCTATACACTTTCGCTACAATCACGTACTCGATGCTACCGATGGCGTAACCGGCGAAGACGCCGTAGTAACAGCAACAGACGACTGAGTACTAACAATCTGAGGAGTGCTCGACGTGACGACAGTACCGCTCGAAGTACCGGTAACGCCGGTAGAACTAGTCGCGGCCGATTGTTGATTGGCTATGATTCCTTTCATCATTTGCAATCGGGCCATTTGCTGTTCCGGATTCATCTTTTTCTCTTTCGCGATTCTCTCGGCTCGCCTATAAATAAAGTAATTTAACAATGCATTTAATAATTCGATCGAAATGCTTACCTAGCGGCTACTTCTACGGGCAACACGGGATGTTCGATGTCGATGCCGCAATCGTTCAAAGCGGGAGCGTGTTTCGTTTTACTGGCCAACGGATTGCTGACGACGTGATGGGCGGCTCGCGTCGCGGAAGCTTTCTTATTGGCGATGCTCTTCAACGTTTCGAATCTGTTGATCATAATTTGGCTAAAAGAGGAATTGTTATCTTGATGGTACAGCTGGCACGTTCTCATCGATCTGCTGGACTTCGATAAAACGGGATATTTCTGCAGCGAGCTCGATTTGCTTTTCTTTTTCTTCATGTAGGTGTCCAGGCCCGATTGTTTGCCTTCTTCTCGTTGCATCAGGTGGCTTTCGTACCGTTGTCGGCACTGTTTGGGCGATCTGAACGTGATAGAAACCGTATTGACGTAGTCCGAGACAAAATCCCAATTGGGCGTGTGGCCCGGATTCATCACGATTAGATTCAACGGCAAACCCTGGAAGTTTTGGACGACTTTCAAAATAGCCATGTCCTCGTGGATTGTCCAATCGTGAAATATCGGCTGTTCCACCGGCGGTTTTTGTATGCTCGATTTGCCCGTTATCGGTATCGACGGTCTAATCAAACCCCTGTATTTTTGAATCTTTAAATCTCTGCGCATCTTCAGAATGGTCGCCGAGTGGAAGAGAGATTTCGGAGCGTTGGTGGATTCCTCTTTTCTCGGTATTTTCAAAGCCCTTCTGCTTTCCGTCAAACCCGCCTCGTATCTGTTCCGCTTTTGATCGCGCTTCACGTATATAGGCGGCAATTGCGACTCCGCCATGATCGATTGATCGTACAAAAACGCCATTGTCTGATCAATGTAAACATCATTGTCTTGTTGAGGTGGAGTAGGAGGACACCACATCTACAAACGCAAATATTTCTTACTTATGAAAAAAGAAAATTATACTCGACTTACCGGCATTTGCTCCATTGTATTATCCGATACCCAAACCTGCAATCATTAAAATAATATTCAATCTGATGTGGGTAACATACACCCTACAGTCACCTTTTGGTTCGTGAACAAGTTTAAGATACTTACCTTGTAGTTAAGTTATAATCACAGTAAGGGGTTATTTAAGGTGACCATGGGGTGGTTCGAGGGTTTTATTGGAAAGAAGCCCCCTTGCTCATTGTCCAGCGGGGCAGTGTTTTGGTGCCCGCTGCGGACATAGAGAGCAAAGAAGGCACCAAAACCCACGTCCACCCCGCAAAACAAAAACGACAAAAACCATTTCGCAAGAGAACTTCTTTATTTTTTTGTTTTATATTTATTCACGTATTAAGTATGTACATTACTGGTAAAGTGATATTTGTAAACGACGTGAAAAATTTGCATTTTTTTTACGTTTACTTAACAGAAAAAAAATAGTACACAGATTAATTAATATACATTGAGTATGCAAACATTTTTCAAGTCAGAAATCAATTTAAAATTGGAACAAAGTACGGTTTAGAACAATTTTTAATTTTTATAATTATAGTGTTTCGAATTTATTCGAGTTTTTTTTATAGGATCAAAGGCACTTGAAATTTCTACAAATAATACGTTCACTGAATATTACTGAATAAATTAGTTTGTAATAATAGAAAAATTGCACTAAATCGTACTAAAAATATATACAAATTAATACAATCGCCCCTGTTTGGCATTATACGTGTTTTATATTGCACTTTTCTTAAAAAAAAATAAATTTTTATAAAGGGATTACCTACTAAAAAGTGCCAAAACAGGCGAATGTAATAATAAAAAAACAAAATGAAATTAGATCATTAACTCAACGGTTAGGAAATTTACGAAAAGGTGTAACAAACTTTTCAGATGTTCTCGTCATGTCCTTTAAAAGGCAAAACCCACAAGTACACATTCATACGTTTAATTTACAAATATGCGCGCGCAATAGAAATTGTTCTGTAAAAAAACTATTAAACCTAAATAATCTGTACACGATAATTTTCTAAATCACAATTTTTCACAATAAATATTACTAATGTCAAAGTCGCAATTTACAAATTTCCATTCGTTACATGAACTCAAAAACGAACGTAAATTCTTTCATTATCAAGAAAAAAAATCATTATAATCAATATAATACTAATCGAATGCGAATTAGTTGTAAATGTAATCAACATTACAAAATAAATCGAATAAACAAAATTTCGACATCATAAATAAAGTAAAATCCTTCGTTTTCATCGCAAAAAAAATCAATATTTATCGGGACGATCGCTGCAAGAATCGGCCGACCTACCGCGGTAATTCCTCTGAAATCTCCAATGCGCAGGCGTCCGCTTCACCCAACCGTCCAATGTGCGATTATTCGAAAAATTCACAAACTTTTTAAACTTTTTCCTCGACGATTCCGGCGACTTGTAATTCGAATTCCTGTTGAGCGTCACTATCGTCGGAATCCTGTTCAATTCGCTGACGCCGTTCTCCACGCAATGATTGGCTTCTTTCGCGTTTTCCTTCGGCGAATCCTCGCCTCGACTCGATAGTTCGTCAGCCATTCGAGCTTTATCTTCATCAATCGATTCCGATTCGTTCGCGATATCGGTTTCAACGCAATTATCCGATTCGTTTGCGATATCGGTTTCAACGCAATTATTATCCGATTCGTTCCGAACGTCTTCCGTTTTATCGCAATTATTATCGTTTTCCAAACAGTTTTCTTCGGATTCTTCGTTCGCGTTAGTTTCTTCGTTTGCGTTAGAACTAACATCGCGATTATCGGTCTCGCTGTTATTATCCTCGTCAGTGTTATCGCCTTTGTGAGAGTCTTCGTTCAAAGACTCGTTAGTGGAATTCGTTAATTCGCTTTCGTCTTGTGTAACGTCCATTTCTTCGTTGTTGCTCGCGTTAGATTCGCTCACCTGATCGTGCTCGTTATTAACGTTATTCACATCGGACGTCGTAGAATCGTTATGTAATTCATTCGTAACGCTATCGTCATCATTAGTAACGCTATCTTGGTTTCGTACGGACAATTCGATTTCGTCGTCGGGGATGTCGGAGAATTTAAAATGTTTATCAGACATTATGTTATTTAATACTACTTTGCAGTCTAACGAGTCGCCTAATTCGGCTACAGGAGGAGGTGCTCTGTTGATTTTCCGTCGCCTTCTCCGTTTGCGCGGTATTATTTTCCTAGTTTCCGTGTCCGGTTGGCTTTCGGTGCCGTCTTCCGAAGCGGATTTGTTCCTTCTGGCGTGTTTTCGATTGGTTTCCGATGGTTTCCTCAACGGTTTCTCGCCGGGTAAGATCGGACTGACGTCTAACGTCCAAAGATTGATGGCTACCGTACCTCTGGATCTCGTCCGAGGCGAATTGTGATCGACGTGATTCGAGAGTTTCTTCGGTTGCGCAATTTCTTCTTTGTCTTCTTTGTCGGACCCTTCGCTGTCAATGACGGTATCGTCTTCGGATATGCTATTTTGAGATTCTTCGATTTGAGACGATTCCGCGACAACGGGAAGTTCGGGCGTCGGTTCGCGTTCCTTCGGTTTCTCTTTTTCGATCGTCCTTTTTAATTTCGATTTTCTGATCAATTGCTTAGCGCCTTCGGATTTCTTTACCAACTTACGACGTGTTACTTTGTTATTCGATAACCTACCAGTCCTATTTAACTTTTTAGATTTAGTGCTAACCTGATTGGCGGCGTCTTCTCTCGAAAACGTTATCATGTCGTTTTCTTCTTCCAATTCGCGTGCTCGACGTTCTTCTTCTTCTCGCATGGCGGCCAAACGATTTTGCTCCCATTCCTTCTTCTGTTTCTCGATCTCCCTTTCGGCGGCAGCCAGTTGTTCCGCAGACCAAGCGGATTCCGTCGTTTCGATGAATTTCATAGCGTATTTTTCTATAGGAGTCAACTAGAACAAAAATCGTGAAAAGTTTTCGATAAGTACTTGGAAATAAATTAAGCGAGTTTAATCGTACCTTCTCAATCACATTATTGATTTCTTGTTCGGCTTTACTCAGTTCCGGTTCCTTTTCTCGTTCTTGTTCGTCCAACGGAATGTTCTCATCGAATTCGGCTAGATCGGCTACGGCCTCTGCTTTGGCAGTTTTAGCAGCTTGAACGTCCTGATCGTCCTCGCACGCTGCTAAAGCGCTTTCCAAAGCTCCCACGGCCGCCTTGTCGTCTACTACAACATTCTCTCCCGATAATATCTTTTCGCGTTCTTTCTTCATATCCATCAGCGCGGACATCCTCGTAGCAGCGTTTTCTTCGTTTTGATCGATATTGAACAAATCTTGTATAGTCGACTAGAAGAGGAAAAAGTAGGATAATAATTCGCAATACTATCAGCTTGAATGAAACTTACACTTTTGAAGTAAGCCGTTGTGAAATTGCCCCCTTCGATGGCGAGATCGCCCAACAATCGCTTCTGATTGGCCTTCTTCAAGATGTTCTCTTCTATAGTTCGCTCGCTGACCAATCGGTAGATGTGCACGTCCCTGGTTTGGCCGATTCGATGGCAACGGTCCTGCGCTTGCGCGTCCATGGTCGGATTCCAATCGGAATCGTAAAATATCACAGTATCCGCTCCGGTGAGATTGACGCCGACGCCGCCGGAACGCGTCGATAGAATGAACGCGAAGATTCGCGTATCGCCGTTGAACCGTTCCATTAACACCTTAAAAACAACCGTATAAAAACAAATCGAACTTCTTTACAATTTCAACGTTATTACTTGTCTTTGATCCACCCTAGTCGTACCGTCTAATCTCAGATAAATGTGACCGTGGTAGTTCAAAAACGCTTCCAAAACGTCCAACATTTTGGTCATTTGCGTGAAAATCAACGCCCTGTGGCCTTCGGCTTTGAGTTTCCTCAGCAGCACGTCTAACGTTTGTAATTTGCCGCAATCGTATTGGATCAGCCTCGGATCGGGGAACTGCGTAACCATGGCGGATGCGATCGAGTGCAGAGGCGTGGATGGTTTCAGGAACAATTTCTGAAGAAGTTGTCTCTCTTGTCTTTGGCCCCAGAATTTACTAGGCGGCGGATGCCACACTTGTAATTCAGGTTCGACGGTTTTTACCGAAGGTACGTAAAATATGAACCTATCGAATATATCTTTAAGTTCCTCCAATCTTCGTTCCGGATTGTACAGCATTTCTTTCAGACAATTCGTACAATCGTCGGTGTTTTTATCGTATAAACCATTCAAGCAATGAACATATCCGCCGTTCCAAACGTTCAATTTATTCGGATTGAATATTTTCACCGCGTCTTGAAAATCTCGCCCGTACAACGGTAAAGCCGAACATCTCATTTTGTTTATTTTGGCCATCAGGGTGAGTCTATCCTTTCGTTCACCCTTCGAAGAAGCGTCCTCACTCTGTCAAAAATAAAATGATTACATGATAGAATAGAAACTGAAGAATGTAAATGAATAATTTTAAGATAATTTGATAAAAAAAAATGTTGCAAGGTTCTAGATAGTTTTCAATAAAAATTCATGAAAACATGCTGGCCACTGCAGATTTTACTATAGCATTGTTGCAAAAGTTATGCAGTTATAGAAACTGACCAACTGATCGACAATGCACGTTAAAACCAATTAACTTAAACTACTTACTAATAAACCTACGTTTCTTTCGTCGCTGTTCCATCGAACGTCCAAACTATTTTGCTTAGAATAAAGTTTGCCTATATAGTCTATCCCTACGGGGGTCCTTCCGCCTTTCGCTCTGCTATCGTCGCTTTTCACCACCGAAATAGTATTCGAATTCTACAAAAAAAACACGACGAAATTCAATCGTAGTATAGACAAAGTTCGCGTTCAAACGAACTTACAGCTGTACTGACAGTTGTAAAAGTCGATGTAGTAGTTACGGCCGTTAAAAATTTTACAAACGCCTTCGTTACCGAATGTGCATTACCTATTGTCGAAACCGGTTGTTTAGATAAAAACGTCAATTTTTGCCCGCCTACAAATTAATAACAAACAATCGTATAAATAAATAACGCAGTAAAAAAAACAATTACCTGGCGTTGTTGATGTAACCGGTATGTTGGCGGAAATATTCGGATTCGATGTCAGAAGTAAATGCTTACCGGTGCTAGTCTGAACCAACTGAGCAAAACTGGCAGATATTTTATCGGGAGGTTTCAACACCGATGTTACGCTCGGTACAGGCGTACCTATTTGACCTGTAGCACCCTGAGAAATACTCACGACTGGAATCGCTGCAATAAATATTTACACATGAATATCGCGGTATGATATAAAACCCATTGAGTCGAATTACTTTTTAAAATACCCTGTGTATTGACTAGTTGTACACCAGACACTTTCACTTTCATGTTAGGCTGGCTCTTCAGTTGCAATGGGGGCGGTTGGCTGGGCGTTAAAACTGGCATTTCTCTTTTATCTTCGTTTTTGTCTCCTTTATCCGGTATTACACGCATCGCTAATTTACAAGGTGGAATCGTAGGTGGATTTTTACAAGAAGGTTTATTCATTTCTACAATTAGCTTCGAATTTCGAGACTGCCGCATTCGATAACATTGATAGGAACCGAAATGGATTTCTTGCATAATTAACAGCAAATTTAAGGCTTGCAAATTAACGTGCTGAAAATGGATTAATATAAAGTTAAAGTGATTAACGTAATTTAATATTCACCTTTAAATAATCATAATCTAGAGCGGAATAGACAATGGATGGAATATGTAAAGTGATGCCTTCACATTGAAATGGAGATATTGTCGGGCGCACTTCAAATAAATTTGGGTGATTGCAGACTTTTCTCAATTGCATTAGGACGTTTATAACACTTAATAAATTACCCGTTGATAATGTTTCTCTTGTCCTAAAAAATCGCGTTAGTATTTAATTTTAAACATTTATTTTCCCATTTAACTTACTTTGCTCGAGACATGTAATCATCGTATAAATATCTTTGTCTTTTCGATAATCTACACATCACTACATGCTCGTATTTTTTTGGCATCTGTTTTTCGACTTCGCTTTTTAGTCTTCTAAGCAAAAATGGCCTTAGAACCTAAAAAAACCAATATCTTGTTAGAATGTATTTTTTTAATAAAACGTGTTCACAATAAATTGCAACAAATCAGACAAATGCCTCGATATTATCATAAATAGATTCGAGTTGAATGGATTCTCGTATCTTCGAAAATGGTAAATTTATCATCATTAAAAAATCTTTAAGTGCATTAATTTTGATTCAATAATGCTATTATTAACTTACTTTATGTAGCCTTTTTATAATACTTTCATTGTATTCGGAATTGCCTTCTATCATGCCGGTAACAGGATTGGAAAACCACTCTTTGAATTCGCGATGCGATTGAAACACATTGGGCATCAAGAAATGCATCAAAGACCACAATTCCATTAAATTGTTTTGTAAAGGCGTACCAGTTAACAATAACCGCCTAAAAACAAACAATTTTATAAACCTCTAAGCCATATTTCATTCTCTAATACACTTACTGCTGAGTTTGGAAATTCAACAACAGCTGCCACCGTTGCGATTTGAAATTCTTAATGTTTTGCGCCTCGTCCAGTATCAGATACTTCCACTTTTTCCGCCGAAAGCTCTGATGGTCCTGAATGACCAGCTTGTACGACGTGATGCAAATGTGAAACGCGTTCGGCTTCGTCCAACCGATGCGTTTGAACTTCCTCTCCTTCTGCGAACCGTAATACGTGAGAATCTTAAAGGCGGGACACCACTTTTTGCACTCCATCTCCCAATTCAACATCACCGATGTGGGCACGACGATCAAATGCGGACCCCAATTCTCCTTTTCGCAGGCGAGGTGCGCCAACAACGCGATCGTCTGTATGGTCTTACCTAAACCCATTTCATCGGCCAATATACCGTTGAGTTTTCTCTCGTACATCGTCACCAACCAATCCAAACCGATGTGTTGGTATTCTCTTAGCGAATATTTGAGTAAAAAGGGGATGTTTGTCGAAACCTACAAATATAACAAACGTGGTAAATATAACTCAAGATAATTAGAGGTTAGAAGAGGTTTTAATTTAGTTAATAATCAGACAAATGCCTCATAGTCATCATTGTATGAATTAGAGTTGAATGGATCTCTAATTCATAAGACTTGATAATCATCATAAAATTTGTAGAGCGATTTATTAAAAGGAATTATTACTTAAATTAATGAAGTAGTATAATAAACTTACGTTTGTCGATGATAAAGTGTTTCCTTTGGGCTGTATGCTCTCAGCGATGGCGGCGGCGTCGTTGATAAGATCATCTTTAGTGTCTTTTTCAGTCTTGATTTCTCCCTCTTCGACCAACATTTTGAGTTCGTCGTGTTTGCCTTGCATCGCAGTTTCGGGCACGTTCGTTACGTCTCCTTCGCTTTCTTCTTCGGTATCTTCACATTCCTCGTCCTCTTTGGAGGACTCGGACGCTTCCGACTCGTCGTCGGCTTTGGAGGTGCCACCTTTTTTCGAATCGATCTCGTCGTCGGAATCGTCCGAATCGCTCATCCGAATTGTATCCCTGTTCAGTAGATAGTTTCTCAGCAGGTCGTCTTCGAGCAAATCGTCCAGTTCCATTTGAGATTCTTTTTGCAACGCTTCGAGTTCTTCTTTTTGACCGGCGTTTCCGAGGGCGGCTTCCTCCTGCGCTATGGTCTCCTCGTCGTCCTCGTCGCTCTGTAAATCCGGATCGAATTCGGTGTCGGACGCCGCTCGAGATACGGATCGCGATGGAGCGGAACTCGGCGGTTGTTCTACCGTTTTATTCATCCCTTCGGCCAGTAATTGGGAATATTTTTCGGTTTGATCCACTATAAAGCTCAATTGTTGGTCTAAAGCCTTCTTGCGTTTCTCTTCTAAAATCGTATTCTGTTTGTACTCCACCAATTTCTCCACGTTGTTCCAGAAATTCTTGATTTCCTTCGCGCAGAACGACGCTATTCGCCGGAGGTTCTGTTCGTGCGCCTTCTCCGCCCGTTGGGCGGCCAGCGCTTTGTCTTGAAAGTACTTCTGGACCATCCGGGCGCACTTCTTGGCGGCCGCTTTCTTCCATTTACGTTCCTGCGCGAAATCGGCCGCCAACCACACCATCTCTTCGAGCAAAAAGTCCCAATGGGCCTTGGTGCGCGGCATCTCCTGCACCTTGGGCAGCCTCTTCTCCGACCACAGGCCCTCCTTCTGCAGATCGGCTATGCGCTGCACCACGTACGCCTCCTGCTTCGCCTTCTCCACGATCATTTCCTGGCTGGCGTTTGCGCTGCTGCTCATTTGACTCGTTTGCTTCGACAGTTTGACAGCTGTCGACGTGCTGCTGTGACTTTCGGTCGCCGGTACGTTTGAACTACTACTAGTTTGTACAGAGTTGGTTTGCGATATGCCGGGCAGAGAGCTGGCCGATGTGGCGGAAGGTGTGCTTTGGGGCACGGCGGAGGCTTCGGGATAGTCTCTCGGATCGATGGCGTGCTCCTTCAAATACGCTATGTACGCTTGGGTTTTAGGTCGTTTGGCGAATTGGTATAAATCTAAAATGTTGTTTCCCGTTTCTAAATAGTAAGCTTCTAGGAGATGTTCGTTATATTTTTCTTTTACTAGTTTAGAGCGTACGATGCGATAGTTCATGACGTGCTGCAGTTTGGTGGTGTAACCGTCTTTTTTATCGCCCGGGCCGGTGGAAGACAGAGGTCGTTTCAAGGATCTGGCGGCGTTGTTTGCTGGATTTTCGGACGATGGAAACAATTGCAAACGTACATTGGAGTTTGGTCGAGATTTCGTTAGTACGTTTACGATGGATTGGTTGGCGAGGCTTGGACGCAGAGGAGACGTTTGACCTACTCTCGGCGAATTTACGATTAAACGAGCCACGTTAGTACCACCGGTCAGACTACCGGATGATATCTGTAAAAATAAACTATTTGCAATACCTTGGATGTTAAAACTCGAACATTCGCGCGTTTAAACAAGTTTTAAATCAGACAAATGCCTCGATAGTCTTCACGTGTAAAATTGAGCTGAATGGATCTCAATTTTTCCGATAGGTAAATCATCATTAAAAGTTAAAAATAAGCGCATACATAAAACAAAACTGGAACAATGAGACTATTAACAAAAATTATAAAAACTCTATTTTGATACTAAATTGATTAATCACTCTTGATAAAATGCATAATTGAGTCAATGCAAAATTATTTCAACATTGCCCGATCAAACTTCCCTTTTATACCAATAAAACAACTCGATGGGAACAAGGATTAATTAAAGCCAATATTAATTAAGCGCAAGTGCCAGTTCATAAAAGAATCTTCGCTATTTTAAAGCCGTACAAATTAGTTAGAAGATGTACAGGTCTCTATCTTATCTATATTATTTTTATGATGTAAAAAATAACATGTATTAAACATGCACCTAACAAGTGAAACAAGTAAAATATTACACTGTATTGAACGTAAATACACAATGAACATACCTGTGTTAATGCCGGCATGCCATGAGGTTGTGTTGTTATAACGTATTGTCCACCAATCGCCTGGGCATGAGCGACTCTGACGGTGCCAGGGGCGGCGCCCGGGCGCTCCGTCGCGACGCGATGGCCCTCTCTCGGGGGCAGAGCGCCCTGCCCTACCCCCGGAGTTTCGTCGCTCATCGGCGTGGATTCTGAAACGAAATCGCGACCGTTAGAGGGTAAACAAACGGCCGTATAACCTAATTTTCCGACGCTAGTAAATGATTAAATTTAACCGTTACACCGGATTTGTTTTTAAATAATATCCCTGGCTTCCGGGGCCACTGTAATGGCCCGTTAAATTCCCGTTTTTTAACAATAAAACCATATTTGAAAGGTAGTTGGTTGACGTAATACAAAAAGCGGAATCGATGAAGCTTGTTTAATTTTGGCGGTAAAGTTGAAGTCAAAATTTTGAAAATTAACTTTGAAATTTCCAAAACGGATCAAACTCGAAATAAACCAAAATTAACTTTTACAACTCCTTTAATTGAAAGCAAACTACAGAAAACTATAATTAATCGATTGTGTTTATCAAACTTATACCCTACATGGATAATAAATTATTCATTTTCGAATAAATGGTATTTAGTGAAAAAAATATATTTTTGAATAATATATGCAAATACCAATGTAATTAACTACAATATTCTATGAATTAATTACTAAAAAAATTTATTCAAGTTTTTAACAAAGAACTTTTCGAGTCGCCATTTTGATCGCAGTTAGACTGCCGTTACTTACCATCATGTAATCACAAAATATTCACGTAAAAATTAGTCATCCGCAATTGAAAACGCAACTAACGTCTTTGTTAATCTTTAAAGAACAATTAGGTATTCCACGTAACAGCAATATTATAAAATAATACTTATATTCTACATTTTACGCGTAAACTATCAATGACGCATTGGTTTTATATGACATGGCGACGCGATTGCCTGCCTGTTCCTCGAAAAGATCTTGCCAGTTCAATCTGCAACGCCTAGTAAAAATATCTCATGCGCATGTGCACACTTACAAATACGCCTGTGCAAATCGATGGTTTGCCCAGGAACTTGCAGCGTTGCCACATTTCTCATAACATAAATAATTGATATCGATATTAATAAACAACCTGAACTCATTTTTAATTGAATTGAAATTAATTGGAATATACAAATTGTTCAAATATACAATTTACCATAATCACTTCATTGCTGATGATTGCACTTGATTGGAATGTCAAAAAATCAAAAAGAAGAATATCATAACCTATAAAAATTTAAATACAAACAATTTTGAACAAATTATTCATTTAAGAATGGATTTCTTATCACCCAGTGTTCATGTCCAATTAAATCCTAATGTTATTGAAATATTAAAAGGAATTGATGTAGTTACAATTTGTGATTTCCTAAATTGTGATTCTAAACAAATCGAAAAAGCAACAACGTTACCGTTGAAAGTATTTTCTGAAGTCAAAAAGCGCTTATAAACGTTGAAAATAAAATTCTCTTTTTGCAGGAAGTAATAGAGATTAGAAAATATCTTTTGAAACATTATTCTCATCCTAGAAACGTGTATGACTACTACAAAAGCATTTTAAAAGAGTTCGCTATAATTCCTACAGGCATTTCTAGGTAATTTCAAGTTTAAAGTTTATTGTTAAAAATTGAGGATATGTAATATTTCCAGATTAGACACTTTGCTGGACGGTGGCCTCTTCACTGGCAACATTTACGAAATATGCGGCTTACCAGCAGCTGGCAAAACACTTTTATGTTTAACATTATTGAAGAATATCACTCCCAAATACACCAATCAAGTTTATTACATAGACACCAAGTCTGATTTTTCAGCATTAAAATTAAAACGAGCGATGTCACAAATGAACAAAGTATGAATTTATAATCCAATAGAAAATATTTTTACAGCTAACCCGTGTTTATATTTCTAGGAACAAATTACAACAACTTTGAACAAAATAACAGTGGCTCGAACAAACTCGCAGCAAGATTTTCTAAGTATATTGTTAGCAATCAAGCACTCTGTGCAAAACGGAGAAAGTACACGACTTATAATAATAGATTCCATTCCGGCACTTTGTTTCACATCAACAGACTTAACCGAGCAAAACTGTTTTTTAAATTACTCTGCAAACATTCTGCAATACCTAGCAAAAGAATATAACGTTATTATCATCACCACGAATTTAATTAGGACTTGGAACGATGGAGATTTTATCAACACAGGTGCCATGAAAGAAGAGATATGTTGCGGCAGTTACTGGTACAGGGTTCCCAATGTTAGATTGTCGTTGACTAAGGATAAAGATAGTTGCAAAATTACACTAGATAAGACTATAAAATTTATTCCAGATGTTAATTATTGTGCAGTTAAATTTAGCGATGAAGGCTTCGTTTAATAGATGAATAAAAGCAATAAAAGTGCCTTACCTTAGCCTTTAAATCCACTGAAACAATTCTCCATTGGAAAATGTATTTTTACTATAAAACTAACTTAAGTGTTTCTATATAGAAATTCATGTTCATGGAGGAACAAAGTGTTATTTGGACTTTTTTTGATTCTTGTATTGCTTCATAACTTTTTTACCGGGTATTAAACCTTGCGTTAATCCAGGCCTTTTTCTTTTCTGTTTAACAGCGCCCGTGCCTTCATCACTACATTCATCATCGTTCACAAAACATTTAGAACTCATCACACCACTTTGACTGTTCTTGCTTATAACTGCATTGGGGCAATTAAGAGCCGCCTTTTTCTCTTCCTGGATTTGCTGCTCAGTTTTCTGTATATCAGAATCGTGTGCGTATTTACAATTGTGTCCAAATCTGCATTTTCCTTTGCGATAATTCCAACAAATTTTCCTCCCGTTTATAACTACGGTATCTTTTATGTTCACCATTTTAACGTGTTTTTGTAAAACGGCCTCTTTAGCATTCTCTTCTTCAATGAAAGGATTCAAAAATACGGAATTTTGGTAGGCCTCGTTCGTTTCTGCCGTGGTATGTTTATCGAAATTAGGTGCTGGTAGTTTGAGTTTCGTTTCTTCCTTTGATGGGCTAAAAAATATGACAGCTGACCCATTTTTTGCAAATTTATGCGAGTTATAAGTTAGGCCCGATTTGTATGAATGCCACAACTTAATCGATACGATATAAATTTTTACGAACAATTTGAATACTTACATATTTTCAGTTTCAGAATCTGTATCTGTTGAGCTGGAGGAGTCTGTTGAATTTCCATAATCTGGAACTAGAGACATATTAAACAGTTTTATAATCTTCGTAACTGTATTTGTTTAATAAAACGTTCAAAATAATAATTAATAATGAAAATCAAACATCAAACAGGCATCTGTCAACCGTTTACTGTCAATATTGTCAAGTCTGTCTTCTTTTTTGGTTAATTACTTTTCAGACATCTAGTAAGGCAACATTGCATCACGTTCTTTGTTCTGATTGGCTCAGAGTTCCTACAATTTACACAGAACATTAATATTTTGACAGCATACACTTCATCTTTCGACCAATCGGAGAATTTTATATTTTATTACACTATTATCCGCCATATTGGTTGTGTAGCCGTATATTTAACAAAGATTGTCAAAAAACAGCCCTTTATTACCTTTAAACCGTGCAAATACATTTCTAGGAGTTCGATAATCATAAATACGAATGATGTTACGGAATATAAGCCACAGGATTAATTGTTCGGCACGCTACATGCAACACATTTAATTGCCTTGGGTAATTTAGATAAAAGATAGAACTAAATGGATTCCAGCAGCAACAGTGACGATAGCGATACCGGCCCCAAAAGAAAGCGAAAAGTGCGCGTATTGGACGACAGTTCATCCAGCTCCGATGGTAGCCCCATAATTGGTTCCGGATATTCAAGAACTCGAACAAGGAGACTCAGAATCCCGTCTGATAGTGATAGCAGCAGCACTACTTCCAGTAGTGGTAGTCCCGTCCTAAACCGTTTTAAAAAGAAAAGAGTGGTAGGTACATCCAATTAGATATATAAATTACCTTAAATAACTCGAAATTAACGTTTTTAATTCGTTTTCATAGAGACTTTCGGATTCCGAATCGGACAGTTCGGACTCCGAGGTGGGGAGGGTGCGCCTTAAGAGATGCAGGCAAATCGAGAGCAGCGATGAATGGGAAACAGATTACTCAGATAACGAGGCCACACGAAACAACTCAGATACCGACTCCAGCGACGGGCGATTGGAAAAATGCCCCATATGCCTCGTATCCTTCAAGTCCCAAGAAATAGGAACGCCCCAATCCTGCGACCACTCCTTCTGTTTGAAATGTATCCAAGAGTGGTCGAAGACCAACAACACCTGCCCTGTCGACAGGCAAGAGTACCATTCGATTCTCGTCAGGGATCGTCTAGATGGAAAGGTTACGAGGCGGATATCGATCGAAGCTCCGGCTCAACACCACGAAACAGTGGAAGATCTAACGGCTTGCGAAGTATGCGGCTTGACAAACCAAGAGGACCGCATGCTCCTCTGCGACAACTGCGATGCGGGGTATCACATGTTCTGTCTGACGCCTCCGTTGGACGTTATACCGGACGGTGCCTGGTTCTGCGATGAATGCAGCACGGTGCAAACCATCCATTTGGGATTTGATTTTTTTGAATTTTTTTTCGGCGATTTCAATGCCGAAGACACGCGGCCTCTGCGCGGGAGTACCCCAAGGTGAATTATGTTTAGTTTTTGTTAAGCCTTTATTTACTGTTCAAAATGGATATTTAGAGACTTCAATGCCAATAAGAATAAGCAAGTAGCAAAATGACTGAATATCATGTGTTCATTTGTCGTTGTCCATCTTTTTTGTCTCAATATTTCTTGATAAACCAAATTTATTTCTAATGTACTTTTAAATTGATAGAATAAACACATATATTTATGCAATAGTAGTTTTTGTGCGAGCAATTTCAAATGTAATGGAAATTTTAATCGGTTCAAAATTGATTCATTTGCTACTTTCACTCATCCTCTTTATCCTTTATCATGAATCATTCTCTTTGATTTTTGAATGAATTTACTATCGAACATCGACGATAAATTATAACGCTTTTCTCATCAGCATATTTCTGTACTCAATTTTTTATATCTTTAGATTATTTCGAGTACCACGTGCCACGCAATCCGAAAGGATCCGTCGCCGAACCGTCAGGAACGTTCAGGAAAACTCCATTACAAGACAACAGCCATCGAACAGCGCCCCTTCGACCTCGACGAGAAGAAAGAAAAAGCGGAAAACCAGAAAAACCCGGCGAGCCGTTAAATACAAAACCGTCTATGTAATCGACGAGACCACCGGTGAGACGGTGGCGCGCAAACAACGCGTGAAACAGCGACGAAGAAAGCGAAACGCTCGCAGACTCACCAACGCCGCACCAACCACGACCAAGAAACGGCTGGCCGAGCAATTGGGCATGTGCGCCCCCAAAACGCCCGGCCAAGCTATACCCGACGTTCGAGTACCGAGCGCGCGAGGTATCCCAGCGAACGCCATCAATAGCATGAGACACACCGCCGGCGTCCCGACGCTACACCTCTTCGGACGCAACGACGATGTTGATTTCTTCGAAGACGACGACGATGCTCACATGGACGGCGGTTCTCAATACCTCGTACGGAGGGCGCCGAATCAAAACGACGTCGCCGCTTTCCGAAGGGCCATCAGACGCAAAAACATCGTCGTACCCGAGGCGGTTTCGAGCACCTCCAACCTACTCGACTCGATCATGAGTTCGCAGGAACGATTGTTCGCTCAAAACGCTTCGTATTCCGTAGACTCGACCGGTCGGTTTCAAATAGAAATCAAAAAATCCAAACCGATTAACGTTACTAAACAACAAGCGTCCGCAAAAGAAACGCCTTATTATCCCAACAACAACAACAACGGGAACAGGAATCAGAACAACCGATACAACCAAAACTACAGGTACAACCAGTACCGCTACCAGAATCAAAGGCAGTCGGACAATTACTACCAATCGAATCAGAATTACTACTCGGAGCCGTCGTCTTCGATGAACTACGGCGGGTATTCCAACGACGACGGTCCGCAGGATTATTCCCAAAGGACCTTGTGCGCGACGAGCGAATCGAATAACGATAACGAGGACGAAACGCGCGCGAACAGCGAATCTGAAGTAGACATTTACAGCGACATCGAAACCGTATCGACCAGCAAAGCCGAAGAAAACGACCCTAAACCGTCATCATCGCCTCCTTTACCACCTCACCACGCTGGTACCGACGACGATAACAACGACAGCGAACCGGAAATGGTCATCGACGACGACAAACCGCAGGAGCAAGACGCGCAAAACGACAGCAACAGAGAGGAAACCGCCGTTAGTTCTACAGTGGATCACTTCGAGCGAGCCTCGGAACCCGCACCGATCGATAGCACTTCATTGGTGATTCAATCCGAAGCGATACAATCCTCTTCGCTCGACGACAACAAACCCTATCAGTATTACAACGAGGATTCCTCGGACGCCGCGAAGGAACAGCCAACTCGACGCGACGACGGCGACGACTCCGACGACGGTTGTCCGAACTTCAGCATTTACTCGAAAGAGAGCAAAACCCTCGCCATTCACACCGACGTGGGCCTATCGGATCGCTCCTGCGATCAACAAGTGGGCGAGGTGAGTTCGTCGCCCAACATCGACGCCCATCCGACGCCGATCGACGCCCAGGAGGGCTACGATCCGGCCGGGATATACGATCAGAGCGACAAGGAGGACAGCGCCGAGATCGACATCAGCCAGAGCTACGATCCGGAGAAGATCTACGACGAGGAGGACAGCGACTCGTACGGACGGAAAATATCGAGCAGCATCGACGCTAAGACCGTTCTGAAAGGAGGCGTCGTCGGCGGTTTGTACAGCGACTCCGAGGACGATAGCGTCGTTAAAAAGCACGTTATATCGGACATCAATCGCATGACGGAGGATATCAGCGAGGAGGAGCGCAGCTACACGCCCTGTTTGGACGAGAAAGGCGACAAACAAGGATTGGAAGGGCTCGATACCGAATTGATATCCGACGAGGATCGCGACGATTTCGACGAATCGCACGATGTGAAAACCGCTTCGGACGGCGACGCTTTGGAAATCAACGCCAAGGAGTCCGAGTTGGATTTCACGCGGCCCGAAGACTACGAAGAGGGCGAGATCGTCGATAAAAATAAAGCGAAAAACGCCGGTAAAGCCGAAGAGAAGAAACCCAAGAAAAAAGACAAGCCGGACGATAAGAGCGGCAACAAAGAGAACGAATCCGCCAAGGATTCCTCCTTCAAGAAGCTGAGCAAAAACAACAAGGAACGCAACTACCGCGACAAAGAGAAGCGCCCGAAGAGCAAGTCCAAAGAACGGGACGCCGACAAGAACAAGGAGAAGAAAAAGGAGGCTCGCAAGGAACTCGAACGGTACAACGTGAGAGCCATCATAGCCGAGAAACCGAGACCTTTGGTGGCCAAAGACCAATTCGGTCGGGACATACGCAACACGTCGAGCCGCTCGAGGAGCCGCTCTTATACGCCGCCCATTACGCGAAGATCCTCGTCCAGAGGCAGGTCCAGGTCGCGCTCCAGAGGCCGGAGATCCAGATCGAGGTCCAGGCGACGCAAATCCCCGTCGCCGGCGAAAATCGCCAAACGCCGCAAATCGAAAACGTTGAAAACCCGCAGCGAGTCCAAGTCGAGATCGCGCTCGAAATCCCGCTCGAAATCTCCCGCGAAAAAGAACGTCGCGCAGAAATCGAAGAAGAGGAAACGCTCCACTAGCCGCTACAAGAGAAAATCCAGAGATAGATCGAAGAACAAGAAGAGGTCGAGTAGACGCCGATCGACGAGCGCGTCGAGGAAGTCGAGGGAATGGGAGAAACGCGAATGGACTCCGGCGTCACCGGGTTCGCCGGCTACGCGCGTCTCCCCGTCCTGGACGCCCCCGCGTCGAATCGACACCACAGCGCAATTGCTGAGAAACGAAAGTCTGACGGTAACCGTCAATAACTCCGCTAAGAAGAAGCGCGACAAGAAGCGCAAAGGCGAGAAACGTGCCAAAGATTCGACCGAAGGCAGGCCGAAGAAGAGGCGACACGATAGAGAACGAACCCCTCCTTTATCTAAAGAAGTATTCGCTTCGGGCGATAATATACTAGTGAGCGTTAGTTTTAACAACGATAACGAAACGAGGGACGTGTCGACGAGAGACAGGCGGAAAAGCGACGATACCAAGAAGCGCAAAGAGAAGAAGAAGAAACCGAAGAAGGATCTATCCGGCGTGAAACCCGTAGCGATAATCGACTTGGACAAATCGCCGTTTAGAGAACTCACCCCGTCGCCTAAACAAATCATCGTGCTAACGGACAGCGACAACGAAAACGACACAGCCACCATACAAGACAACATATGCGACTCGTCGCAGCAGGTGGCCAGCCCGGAGCGCGGCATCGGCCCCAAAACGCCGCCCGAACCGCAGGTGAAGTTCTCGCTCACGGCCAAGCAGCCGCAGGTGCGCGCCATCAGCAACCCCCTGCACGATCCCGAGGACATGGAGGCGAACGGCGACGGCGACGAGACGAGCTCGCACATCGGGCCCAACACGCCGCCGGAGCCGCCGAACTCGCCGCCCAGCTCGCCCGACGCCTACGATCCCTTCGAGCCGACCAAGTCGCGCTCGCCGACGCCCGAACGCCCGGCGCCGGCCGACGACGACGGCGTCGAGTGTCGCGCGGACGCCGAGAAGCCGGCGAATCCGCCGGCGGAGGCGGTTAAATCGCTGACGCCGCCGCTGGCCGACGTCCAACCGGCGGATTCGCAGAGCAGCGTGCAGGCGACGCCCGATTCGAACTTGGATAAATCGCCAGATATCGCGAAAGGTCCCACGCCCCCAGCGCAAACTCAAACTACTACGGCTCCTATTACTTCCACTCCGATATCCTCGAATTCGAGCGTACCAACATCGCGATTTAACTTGTTAAATTCCACGGTTATTACACCGTCTACGGTGGTATCTTCGATGCCTCAAAGGATCGCGATACCGAGTCAGGCGCAGATCAAACCGAAGATATCTCCGACTAAAATGGCTTCTAGCAAACAGGCGAAAGCGACGAGGAAGCGAGCGCAGAACGGTACCAACGAGGATGTTATGCTGGACTTCGATTCGCCGTATTCGCCGGGTTCCAGCGACTACGAGGATTTGTTCGAGCCGCCGAGCGAGATCGTGACGAAGCCGGTGATCAAGGGGAAATCGAAGCAGCAGCCGAAGCACGCTTCGTCGGCGTTCGACGCGCTCTTCGGCTCGCCGGGTAACAAGCCGAAGAAGGCGAACGGCAAGCAGCAGAAGAAGGGCGTAGCGACGCCCACCAAGACGAAGACCGTCGGGGTGAAATTGGACGAGGATAATTTGAAGATTTTGGACGAGTTGCCCAATTCGGCCGTCGAGATGCAAGTGAAGGATAAGGTAAGCGATTCGCTTAAAGAGTATTCCATGATTAAATAATTGTTTCTTTTTTGTAGTTTTTGAAAAAGTTGAATCGACAGGAACGGGTCGTAGAAGAGGTGAAGTTGGTACTTAAACCTCATTACAACAAGAAGAAAATCAACAAGGATGAGTATAAAGATATTATGAGAAGAAGTGTTCCAAAGGTGATATTTTACATTCTATTTCTACTAACTTTTGTACTATAATATTTAAATTGTTTTAGATTTGCCACAATAAATCGGGCGAGATCAATCCGACGAAAATTAAAAATCTCATAGAAGCGTACGTTAGAAAAATTAAACATAGCAAAAAAGTTACTTCTTCTAGTTCTATTAACCCTCAGAAAATATAAAAAAAAGTGTGTAACTTTGTAAATATGAATTTAAATTTTTGATTTTAGCAATTATAATTTATACGATGTAATATTATGTTTGTGATTAATGAATATTTGTAGCATATAAGTTATAATTTAAGGTTTTTTGGTAATAAACTTCATAGCTTCATTCAAACTTCTTTCTACATTTAATCAATGGGTTTGCAACAGTAAAAAATAAATTACAAAATAAATAAAATACTCGCAAATCGACATTAACTAAAGTTCAGCGATCTAGGCGTCATGAATTTCTTCAATAACTCATCGGTTACTTCGGCCCTTCGTTTCTGATGTTCCGTTATCAAAGGAGTTAACAGATCGATTAAAATTTTCTTCAGTTCTCCGGTCAACAAAGCGCCGCTGGTATAATCCTTTTTGATTTGCTCCAACTTTTCATCGTCTTCGAGGAAGAATCTCAAGTATTGATAGGCTATATCGACATCAGCATTACCGCCTATCTTCCTGTGCTCTTCGACCGTAGCCTGACCGCCGGAGAACGCGTGCTTGTTGATTTTATTCTTGAGCTGTTTGGGCGTATCGCTGCAGAAGATCGTGCTGTTCGCTTCGGACGCGGACATTTTGGTCTGGGCCCCCTGCAAGGCGGGGAAGAACTTCGAATGCAGAAGGGCCGGTTTGGTGAAGCCCATCCGAGGGCACACGTCCCTCGTCATCCTGAAGTAAGGATCCTGGTCGATCGCGCAGGGAATCAAACAGGGGATTTTTTTGTTGTTGAAAATATGAGGAAACGACGTTGATAGAGCTGGTGTGGCTTGAACGGCGGGGAATGCGATTTTTCCTATTACAGAGCTATCGTCGAATCCGAATATACCCTTAACTTGATTGAAGGTAACGCATTTTTGAATACGAATCATGTTTCTATAAAATTCCGGACATTGCCTGTAAAACGACCATTAGTAAATGTTTTATGTAAATATTTCAATCGAACTAACCCGATGTAATCTAGATCTGAAAATATGAACGTCTTTTCTACGTCGAATCCAATGGCGATGATATCTTTGGCGTTTTCATACGCCATTTTGTGCGCTTCTTCGATAGAAATATCTTTCCACAATGTTTTCTCATCGTCTGTTAATTGAATGACCAAAGGAACGTTGAAAACTTCCTGCAACCATTTGCAAAGTTGAAACGGTATGAGATGTCCTAAATGCATAGAGGACGATGATGGGCCTCTTCCGGTGTAGAGATAAAAAGGCTTGCCCGATTCGTAATTCGTTAAAATAGTGTGCATGTCTCGATGCGAAAAGAATATACCTCGTCTGAGATAATGGTGGACTTTTTTCCCTGTTACTTTTTCGAAACGGTCCAACAGTTCCTGATCTATTTTAGAACTACCGAATCTTTCTAAAAACAACGCTTTATTCAGTATAATTCTTCACTATATCTTTTTATACATACTAATAAGTTTATCATAGTCAACTCCCGTTTGTGATGTACTAACAACTGTCCATGGATCAACCACATCATCTCCACTGTCTTGGACATTTAGCGATATATTATCAATTTCGATATTATTTACAATTTCTCCAGACATTATAGAAAACCTGCGGTATCAGAACATATGGTAACAATGACTAATTCACAATTATTTTTGTACTTACTTCGTAGATTATTTAGCAAATACTCGTAAAAAAGATTTGTTGAATAGAAAGTATACTTTATAATTGCACCAACAATTAAATTATTTAAATAACAATTAATAAGAAAATAACGTTTAAAAATAACCTATAATTAAACTGTCACGTCAAATTTTAAGGTTAAAATCATCTTTTTAGCAAAATTTTATACTGACCTTCTACTTTGTGAGACATCGGTTACGATTTATACGCATGACCGGAAACAGCTGATATTGTTATTGTCGATTTGTCAATGTCATGTTGCACGTCGCATACTGTCAATGTCAAACGTGCAAAACGAAACAAAGAGCGTAAATGCGAAATAAATTTCCATGAAGTTTCCTCATGTAAAATGTCGTGGTATCAAAATATCCTGCCGGAAGGTATAAAGAAAAATGTTTGTGCTTATTTATTGCAACGGTACCTCGGTCGGTTCTTTGAAGAAAAGCTGACCAGGGATCAACTAAACATTGACTTGTATAATGGCACTGGTACCTTGGAAAATATCAGCCTTGATGTTGAGGTAAGGTTCGCAACAGACGCAATACAACATTTCTTATTTACTATTTATAAATCAACGCTCGATTGATCAATTGGCAATTCTTTATTGTTTACTCTCACTTTACTAATAGGGATCATACAATTGTTTGTTTACTTTTTTTCTTATTTTTGAGATAAACAGTAAATTTGTGTTTATCAAAAGGTTTTTTAAATTTCTACCCTATTTTTTTAATAAAATGCTTATCTAATAAATTTGAATGCACTTAGTATTCCCTATTCAATCTCCATTTTACTCCCCATTGTATTTTAATTTTCGATAGAACAAAATCAGGCTGTTTTGATTGTTGTCAATATTCTTAATTAAACTCAGGGTCATGTTTGTGCATAAATAGTTCTAAAATAGTGTTTGTTTTGGTATTTTATTAAACAATTATTCACTAAATTGATTTGTTATGTTGTACCTGTTTGATTACATTTACACAAAAAAATGACAACAATTTACTGTATTTTTAATTTAAAATAACACGATTCAAAATACATTATTCCAGGCTTTAAACGAACTAGGAGAGAAACAAAACTGGCCCTTAGAATTCGTCGATGGATACATCGACAAGCTTTTCGTCACCGTTCCCTTTATGTCCATACTAAAAGACTCCAGCTATGTGGAAGTCAGAGGTCTTAAAATCACCGTGCAGCCCAAGCAAAGACACGAATCAGGTATTACTCTAATAAAGTGTTACGATTTGATTTACGCCATTTTCTTTCGAAACAAACAGCCACATCGATGTTCGAGTCCATGTGGAATTCCATGACGAGCTCCATGCAGCTAGCAGAAGAATGTGCCAAACAAGACGGCGTCAATGCATCGAATTCCTCCGATCCGTACGAGGGAATAAAAATTTTCGCGCAAACGATCGACTCAAGTAATTGTTCTCGAATAATTGTTTATCGGATCGTTTCTAATTCGTTTTGTATGTTTTAGTACTGAGCAGAGTGAAGGTGAAATTCGTCGATACGGTTTTTCAAGTGGAACACGTACCGAAGCTCAGTTGTACCGGCGTAGGAATCGTCATAAACATCGATTTGTAAATACCTACAATCGCTTATATCCGAATATATTTACGCAATGATTGCAGGATCGATTACTCGGACGAAGCCGGTAACGATCCCAGCTCGGACGAAACCGATCCGGAATCGAAGAAGGCCTTCGTAGTGCATTCTTTCACCACCAGGAATTTAACCGTCACCGGCGTGACGTTGTCTACGGTGGAGTTCTCCAGTAAAGCCCGCACCTTTTCGAGATCCGTGTTGGTTCATTCGCAACAGGAAACCGAGCACGATTCCCTCGTTACGGTTATAGAAAATTCCCCGATCGCGGACGATTCGAGGAAATCCACGCCGGAGGAACCCGAGTCTTTAGACGATTTAAACGGCCATAGATACGTTATTAAGTTCGGACAGATTTCCGGCACGCAAGAGGTAGAAAACCAACGAATTTGTTTGTAATTAAGGGTAAATTTATATCGTAAATTTTAGATTAGAGTTAAACTCAAGCAATCGGAGAACGTCGTCGGGCCCAAAGTATCGATAGACGTTACATTAGGATCTTTTATAATATTCTTATCGCCCAGGCAATTCCATTTGTTGCTCCAACTAGCCGATGGGTTATCTAAACCTGATACCGTTGACAACAGGTATTTAATTTAATGTAATTATTGTGATTGTTGGTGTATTTATTAGCGCGATATTTTTCTAGTAACGTTGCTCCGAGGACGCATTGCGCCAACAAACCGATGACCGTTTTGGACTATCAAAGAGTCGAGCAGGAATTACAGAATCAAATACAATCGCTGTCGAATTTCCAGATAGCTGGTTTGCAGGCCGCCCAAGGATGGTCCTCGCCCAATCTAGGTTAGTATTTCGTTGAAAATGGGGAATAAAAAGGGCAGAAATTGTCGTATTACATTGTCTTAGAAGTATTAGTAGTATTAATTCGTTTGATTTGTAGATGATAGCGGCGCAGAAGAGACTTTTCTACCGTTAAAAAACGCCGTTAGTGGTTTATACGACAGCAGTTTATCGGGAATTTCGAGTAGTTTGGAGTCGAGCGTTACTTCCAGTATGGTCAGTTCGATGACCGATCATAGTCAAAAATCCAGGAGAAAAAGTATGCAACCCGAAACACTTCAATAGCCCGTATTCAGCGCTTGTTTTTAACCCTAAATCAATCGTTTAGAGGGTCTCTAAGTAATTGATTAATGTAAACAAATGTCCATAATTACTCCAAAACAACAATGTACAACTGTGAAGTTAAACACTCATCTAAAACTTAAAAAATGCGCGCTGAACGCGGATCTCTAAATACAATATTATAGAGAATAATTCTAATGGCTTTTTGATAAATTTCAGTAAGCTCCGTGGACGCGGACCCATCGGCAGAAATATCCCACTTCCAGATCCGCGTAGCCTCGCTAGCCGCCGTTCTATTGCTCGAAGACGTCCTGTTCCAACCCGTCGATAAAACTCGCATACTAGCGACGTCGGGCGTCCAAAAAATGCAACAAATCGTCGGCGATTTCTTCGGCAAACTCGGCCATTTCGCGCACGGCTGCAGAGATTTCCGCGATACCAGAGAAACGTTCGACGAGGCTTGTTCCCGCAATCACTTGAAGTAGGCAACACCTTTTACATGTCCATACATCCATCTAAATAGGGCTGTTTCCTATTTGCTGGTAACTTTACGATGTTATTGTAGGTTGCTGGCGGCTCCTATACAAATCGAAGGCGACGAGAAGACCACCTGTTCGGCCTTTTCGGTGACCAGCCAGCTATCGGCGGCTAAAATGGAGGTGTACGAGTGCTGGTACAATTCGACCGATAACGTAACCGAATCGGTACCATTACTCGCGTTCGCCGAGAATCCCAGCGCGCAAAACATGATGGGAGCCAAACCGAGCCTTAAGGTCACCTTTAAGCACGTAGAAAGAACTAAGAACTCTAATAGAAGAAACAGCGGAGTCAAATCCGAAGTTACGTAAGTGTAGATTTCGTAGCATACGAAAGATTTGTTAATAACTAAAAATTTGTGCTTGTAGGTTGTTTTTGAACAAACTCGACGTCGAATTGGACATAACTATAATAGACAGAATAAACGCTCTGTTAGAATCCCCGGCGATTTGCGTACCGGAATCGACTCCATACAATCCCTGGGGAACGGATAATCTATCAAACAACGTCTCCCCGATGGGCCCGATCGAATCGAAAATGGATTTGAAAGTGATATGTCCTCTCGTTAACGTTAAACTCCGATTTCCCGTGCCCGATTTTCGTCCCGCGCATGACATGAACAGGACGCCCTGGTGGAAACGGCACGTCAGAAGCGATTACCTGTCGCTTCTATTCGCCGACTTCCTGCTACAGTACGCATTTCACACGCACCAGAGTTCGCAGGAGTACTCGATACAGTCCAGGGCTTTGGAAGTGTTTTACCACGAGAACGAAACCGGCCCAGCTCTTCCTATAGCCAAAACCGAGGTAGATGATGGGGAACCCACGTCTATGCAAGACGTTATGTCGCAAATAAGGTACGATAATAAGGTAATTAAATACGTAACGTGACGTTATTGTGCTTTCAGGTTAAACATAAAATTGTACCCGAAACAAATCAACGAATTGGAGAAAATGGAAACGGAGGCTAATGTAATGACTACATCTTTCTACGGTGCTTTCGAGAATCAAAATAAGGACGAACTGGGACCGTTTAGTGCTAAAAGGGTCGTTCACGAAAGCGATACGCCGCATTCCAAACCGCAAAATGGTAAAATTATCAAAATTTATGTTGTTTTATACAGTCCTCATAAATGATTGATTCCCACGTGACCGAAACGTAAATTTACTACGTTCATTTCGAATTCGTTCACGTGGGAATCAATCATTTTTGAGGACTCTGTAGTTAACTCCTTACATACGCATTATTTGTGAGATGAACAATTTGTGTGTGTTAGGCAACCAACATTACACAAATTCTCTCCCACACTCTATTCTTCAATGTCTTATGTTTGTTTTAGACGACACAGCAGAGCTGATAATACCGGGTGATAAATACGAAATAGAGGATTTCATCAGGTCGACTACGGAATTCGTAAAAATCCACGTACAAGTGTTCCTGCCCACTTTATCGGTCCAATTAAAATCGAAGCACATTTACGAACTGATATACAACAGAATAAACAACGACTTGCTCTTGTGGTCTCCCAGCGCTCCGAAATTAAATTCCACCGTTAACGCAGCGAATTATTCCACCTACGGCGGTAAAAATCTGTTCGTCGATGGACCGGACACGTTCACCATGTGCAAAAGCGGCATTCAATACGGTAGGATCTATTTAAACGCGATAAATAATATATAATATACAATCAATTTTCCAGCATCCGATAGCGACAGCGACGAATCCGAAGCCAGCACCAGCAACGTGTTCTTCTCCACGTACGATCACAAGACGAAATTGAACCAAAAATCCCAGGCGAAAGTCCAAGAGACGGTCAAACTCGAACAGAGCGAATTCGTGCTGTCGATACAAATATCCCGAGGCGTCCTCTGCATGAACCCGCCCGTCCGGGACTCCGGCAACAACGTCATACCGGGCCAACAGGGCGAATTCGCCTTGAATCTAAACGACGCCAACGTATTCATCGTCAGCGGTTATAAGGGAGACACCAATTTGGGATTCGTTTGCGTTCAATTGCACAACGCTCAGCTTTACCATTGCGGTGAGTACTCCGGGCCTCTTCCAGTTGCTACTCCAGCCTCTCTTGCTCTCCAGCTGCTCGTTAGTCTAACCCCCGCTGTATACTGTAATGTACTTAATAGAGCCTTGTGGTGATGAGAGATATTTTCTTTTTGTAGATATGATGTCGATACCGACGCAAGACGCGCCCCTGAGGCAAATCGGCAGGCACATGCCGCCCCATTTGAGTCCTACCATCTACAAATCGGAGCCCGGTATGTTGGTGACGTCGAAGAATCGCGGGGGCAACAGGGAAATGTTGACGGTTGCCGTGAGAATTCAAGCCAGCCACGAAACCCATCACGTTAAGGTACCCACTCTTCAGTTCGATGAATATCAATTTAATTTATATGCGCTTTTTTGTAGACTGTTCGAGTGGCGTTAGGTTTGAACAGGAGCACTTTGAAGCACCGCATGTGCACCGAACCGAACAGCTGGATATCCCATCTACTCGATTTCTTTAACGTTCAGGATTACCCGATAACGAATTACCACGCCAAAGACGTGTTGACCGAATTACACCTGCACGTGTGGGACTGCGCCGTAGATTATAGGTAACGATTCGATTAACGGTGTAGTTTACGGTGTTAATTCGCTCGATTTTAGGCCGTTGAATTTGCCGATTAGATCGGCGATAACCATAGGCAACTTCAGCATGTCCTCGCATCTGTCCGCCCAATCCAACACGTCGACGTTGAGGTTCATCTTCGAGGAATGCGCCATGTTTTTGAGCGAAAAGGCTCCGCCCAAAAACGGCAAAGCCTCTCTGGCGCCCGTCGATTTGGTCAAAGACTACGTAAACGTTTTGGAATTGGGTCTATTCGAGTTGAGTTTACGTACCACCGATAAAGTACGAAACTACCCACTTCAGTTACAATTAATTTATTAATAACGCGCGTTTTAGAGGAGCGGTAGGAATCCCCACATCGATCTTCGCGCGTCGAACAACATGCTGAACATCCACACGTGCGCCGACAGCGGCAGGATGTTGATGCAATTGCTCGTTTACTTCGCCAACGACGGCGATTTGTCGCCACCCCCGTCATCGGATAAAACCAGCCGTTACTCGAGCCCGAGACACCAAGTCGAACAGGAGCTCGTCCACGTCGAACCGCAAATCAGCAATCTATCGAAGAGCCAACACGAGCACGTCAACACGTTGATAGGCGAAGCCATGAAAGAGAACGAAGTCGCCGAACGTGAGTCTCGAAATTCGAGCAATTTGTCGTTAGTTGTAGTTTATTTTTTTTTGGTTCAGACGATACGTTGGTGGCATCGAATCCGGGCGCTAAGCTGTTCTACTTCCCGGACGAGAAGCAGCTGCAGCGCGACGAGTTCCGACCGCCGCTCCAAGTGACGTACGAGCTGGGCGACGTCGCGGCGCACCGTTCGAGCCGCGGCAGCGACACCGACGACGAGTTTTGCATCGTCGCCGACGAGCCGGGGCTCGGGCTGTACCCGGCCGACGGCGTGCCGGAGATCCGGTGGTTGTCGAGCGATCCGGTGCGCATCGTCGACAATCACTTCGGCCTGCCGGCGGGCAAGGCGGACGCGCTGAAGGCGCCCAAGTCGTTTCCGACGCCCGTCGCGCGGTACACGCTCTGCGACATGACGGTGGCGTGGCACATGTACGGCGGTAACGATTTCAAATTGGTAGATGGCGAGAGCGGCAAGAAGAACGTGCAGTTCTCCGAGACGCAGTTGAACACTACCGTGACGTTTTCGAAAGGGAATAATAACAGAAACGAGGTGAACATCACCACTAATTTGGACAAGAAGAAGGCTAATATGAATTGGATATTGAAAGGTGGCGTTAATAGGGATCACGATGTTCATATGGAATTGCATTTGAATAAAGCAAGTCTCGAGATAATCGACGTATTTCATATAATTTAAATGTGCGAATTTCTTTTAGGTGCGTTTCCAACACGAAGTTTATCCCGAAACAACCAAGCAAGCTTCTAGGCAAGTTCTAATAATATCAGACGTAGAAATTGTAGATAGATTAGAGTCTAGTCAATTTAATAAGTTTCTTTATCAGTATACCAGTCAAACTAGACCTAAACAGTCCCACGCTCACATGGTAAGTAAATACAATCGTAGCGCTTGAGATATTTAGCTACATACAGTCTTTTGATTCAAATAATAATGAGTTATATTCATTTTAGATTGTAATAAAAGCGTTGCATATTAGACCGGACATTAAGCTTCCGACGCAAGAATGCTGCCTTAAAATATCCCTCTTACCGTTGAGACTGAACATCGATCAGGATTCCCTGTTGTTCCTGATCAGTTTCTTCACCGAAATAGGCGGCGATAATACCGCTAAAAACGGTGAGTTCGGTACGATTCCTCGGAATTCCGACTAATAAGGATTTTTCCAGACGACAAAGGGAACGTTTCCAAGCACAACACGCCCACCCACCAGCCCCCCGTCATGACGGTCAACGAGGAAAACGAGCAAGTCACTAAAAAACAAGCGCTGAAAGTCGTCGACGAGAATTTAATCATGCTCATGGAGGAGAGCAAATGCCAATTCGAATCCGATAACTCTTCGAGTAATCCGACTAGCACCACGCACGACGAATCCCCCGTTTTCTTCAAGTACTTATAAACTATTCGAGCACTAATCACCATCTTACATTCTCTTTTTGTTTAGGAATCTCATCTTCGGCCCGGACGTGCTCATACGCCTGGACTATCACGGGAAGCGCGTCGACATGACGCACGGCTCCTTGTCGGGGCTGCTGATGGGCCTCGGCCAGTTGAATTGCTCCGAGTTGCGCTTGAAGCGCGTCAGCTACCGGCACGGCCTGTTGGGCTTCGACAAGCTGATCAAGTACTTGGTCGCCGAATGGTTGAACGACATAAAGAGGAACCAATTGCCCAGTTTGCTGGGCGGCGTCGGGCCCATGCACACCCTCGTACAACTCTGTGAGTATTCGCGAGGCAATGTACTATTAATTTTAGTCTATTACTAACGTTGTTGTAGTCCAAGGCGTACGCGACTTGTTTTGGTTGCCCATCGAGCAGTACCAGAAAGACGGGCGGATCGTTCGAGGGCTTCAACGAGGCGCTAACAGTTTCACTACTTCGACTGCGATGGCCGCTTTGGAGTTGACGTCGCGCATCATCCATTTGATACAAGTAAATAATTATGGTATTAATTAGATTGAATGTAATGTGTGGCTTGTTGTAGATTACAGCCGAGACTGCGTACGATATGCTGTCTCCAGGTCCGAGCGTGCGAATGTTGGCGAGAGCTAAAGGTAAACGGAAGAGGTACCATCAACCGCAAGATATTAGGGAAGGAATGACCAATGCCATTTTGCTGGTCAAAGAGGTAAATTAAGCGCTTAATTAGCCATTTTTTTACCCAGTTTAATAGCCAAATGGGTACAGTGGGCCCGGGTTGGATTCTTCCAGGTCCAGGCCTGTACACCGGAGGCGGAATAAGGCTACAAAACGAGCACTATTATTATTACATAAGCGTTTTTGTGCAGGGTATCGGTGAAACTGCGGACACCATCGTGCAAGTGGCGACGTTGGAGAAGGAGCAAAAGGGGTACAGCGGCGCCGTGGGCGGAGTGCTAAGGCAGATACCGCCGACTATGCTTAAACCCATAATCATAGCTTCGGAGGCTACCAGTAACGTGCTGGGCGGAATGCGAAGCCAATTGGTGCCCGATGCGAGGAGAGAGGCCAATCAGAAGTGGCGGAAGAACGACGACGTAAATTGTGATAAAAATTAAAGGCTGTAAATGTGATGGAAAATTTATATAATTTTTTAGATTAAGCGTATAGAAAAGGGGGTTGATTTCCCGTCCCCCGGCGTTTATTTGTAACTACTATCGACAATTTCTGAATCGAAGAAGGCAGCATTTTTTTATGTGTGCTTATATTCGATAACTCGATAAAATTATTTTTTTTTGTAGGATACAAAAACATTTGGTAGGATAGGCACTAATTTGTTTATATATCGCATATATGGTTTTTTTCCGATTTTTAGTTTATTTATTTTTACTATGTATATGTGTAAATAAAAATATACATATTTTAAGTAACTTTAATACGACAGAAAAAAAACGAAATTTATAAAGTGTATATAATTTATTAACGATTTCTTGAAATATTTTACATGTTTTAGCGCGCCACTTTTACGTATCATTCACAACAATTTCGTAATACATGATTTATGCTTCATTGCACTGTTATTACCTTCTAGTGCACAACTCGTAAACGGATAAAAATTAAGTAATTTTAAATACAACGACGCGAATATATCTTATCTTCCCGTTTCAACGCTTCCTTAAGTACATAAACAACACCAACAGGCGTTTTTTTCGAGTAGCGACAATACTACCTTTTTATTTTAATACTCGAAATAATATCACTCATCAATAATATGTAACATGCGATTTTTAAGTCGAAATAAAATACTGCCAAAATGCAAAACGATCAATACCTAATTAATGTTACAATAGGAATAGGTATATGCACAACTTAAGAGCGAGAATCTCAACAATAAGTTAGATAAATATGTATAGCAGAAAATATTGCACGATATTTTGATTTAGATTAGACTAATCTAAGTTTGCGTGTCGTAAAAAATAACGTTAAATTTCGGAGAATAGAAAATTTACCTTATATGTGTGATAATTATAATTAAAAAAGATGTTTTCTAGCTAGTTAGAACAAGTAAGTTAAAGTAAAAGAATAAGGCACGATATTGTTATAATTGAACCGAGTAAGTACAATAAACGATAAAAATAATTTAATCTCCCGAGACGTTACTTTCCGTTAAGCCTATTTAATATTAGAAGAAATAAAAATATACAACACATCTGGATTTGACCGGATACGATATTTTTTACAGTCTGACAAAAATATATATAATTTGGAATAAATAGATCACAAACACCTGTTATAAACGGAAAACAATTCGGCGTTTTTCATTTAAGTTTTAGCAACAAAGCTGCGACTGTACAATTTTATTACCTACGCTATATACATAACATACCACCTTAAAGTAAAACCTGATCCCTCGGTCATTTCTTCTTCGGCACGCCGTTCCGCTCCCGAAGCGCCAAGAAATCCAATTCGGGCAGGACCAAACTGGACAGATTGCTGCTCTTCTTCTGCAAATTCACCACCGCTTGCCCGCCGTGACCAGCATTCGGCACGAAGTTGTTCCAACTGTGGTATCCGGACGCTATCGACGAATTTTGGTACTGCTGCGGAATGGTATTCGACACGAACTCGCCCCACTCGTCGTCCTCCTGACCGTTCTGCGCCGTCTGGCTAGGCTTCGACGCCGCGCTCAGACCGTAAGCCTGGCTGGCGTACTGGTTGCTGATCAGCGACGGCATATCGTACGGGTTGAGGGGCCGCGGATGGATCGCCTTCGGCTGCGCGGCCGGCGAGTTCGCGTGGCTGGACAGCTTCGTTTGGACCAGACCGTGCGGCGTTATCACCGGTATGGGCTGCTTGGCCGGCTGGATGTGGCCCAGATTGAGCACGGAGAGAGGCAAGTCCGGGCTGGCCGTTTGGTTTCTGTCCGAGTTTTTCGTTTTGTGTACGGGCGATTGTTTCTGGACGGATACGAAATCGGACCATTCCTCGTCTTCGATGGAATTCTGCTTGGCGTCCGGTTTTTTCGTGTCGTTTCTTTTGGCCGCGTCGACGCCCGGAGGGCTGTCCCAAATCGAAATGCTACGCCTACAAATATATTATAAATTGTTTATTAAGTAATAAGTAAGATAAAATACATAGCATAGGATACAACAAACTCACCTTCCTCTATCAGAATCCGCTTGTTGTACAGCAACTTTCTCGACTACGGTGGTAATTTCAACCTTCTCGTGCATCGGCGATGCGTTTTCTCTTGCATCATCCTCGGCCCGATCGAATGGCGGCGATTCTTTCTTTGGAACAGTAGTAGAAAAAGCCTCTTCGAAGCGCTTCAACTCGTCTTCGGTGACGCCCGGATCGGGCCAATTGATCTCCGTCGAAGCCGAGGCGGCGTAAACGGGCGTCGGTTGTAATATCGGCATATCTACCGCAACCGGAACCGACGAATGGAATTCCGTAAAATCATCATCGTCTGACTCGGTTTTCGATTGGACCGCAGCGGCGTTTCCATCTTCCGGTTGCTCTTCGATTTTTCGGGGCATTTCCGGCGTTACGATCGTCGGCTGTAGAACCACATCGATGTCGATGTCTCCTCGAGGATCGTCGGATATGTGCGTTTCTCTCAACGGCACGTTCGGCCAATCGCTCGGCTGTTTCGAGCCGTGAAACTCCGCGAATTCCTCGTAGTCGTCATCCGGCAGTTTCGCCGGTTCGTCTAAAATAAACGAGTTCAGTTTAAAAAAATTAAGCGATATCGATACTTGCAATATACGTAGAATCGTAACGGAACGCGATGGTGTTACTTACGTTTCAACCAGACATCCCAATCCTCATCGAATATCGATGTGCGCTGTGCGGGATTAGTATTAGGGATATCTAGGGATGCAACTAGCTGTTCTATATCTAACAACGTGGTCTGAGAATCTTAGGGGGGGTGGCGGTGATAAGGGTTGTGAAATTGTAGAAAAATAAATTGAAATTTTTAGTAAATCGCAAGGTTCCGTTTGGGTTTGGTGGGAATCCGAAGTAAGGAATCCATAGCAAGCATGAAAAATGTTAAATAAGTGTCAATGTTCACTAAATATTCCGTAAAAAACTTTCACAAAGCGGTAGCAGACGGTTATAAAAACACACCGGTGACGGGATTATTTGAGATGATCATAAATTTCGAAATTCAATACATATACAGGGTTCTTCTCCAATGGATGGTTTTTTTTTTAATTTTAAGAATTTCGAAAAATCATCATCGTAGAGGTGAATCTCCCGTTCTTTATAGCAATAAAAAGATACTTACAGTCCAGGGGATTTACCAAACCGGCGCCGGTCCAATCGAATTCCGCGCTCGGTATTTCCACCACGTCCTGTTGGGGTAGAGAACATTGGGGCGGCACCGTCGAAGGGGGTTCCATCGGTGTAGGAGTCAGGGGTTCCATTTTTATCGGTTCTAAAGGTTGATTGCCCAAATTCGCGGCGAATCTCGGCATCGAGGAATTCCAAGAGGGTCCATATAACTGTAATAGATATTGCAATTAGTGGTGATTAAGTAGTCAATTAGTAGAGTTGGTTTATGTATGCTTACTAGATTTCTCGAATCGATATTGAGGGCTTTTAAAAGCAATTTCTGACTAGACGATTTGGACCAGTTGTAGCTCAATGCAGGAGTATCGGTGATGTCCTGTAACTGCGTGAAAATGGCGTCGTTTTTACCCAGCTCCGAGTATTGGAATTCATTGGAAGATTCTTCTTGCTGTACGAATATATCCTTCACGATTTCTTCGGTTTTCTTAAACGCTTCTGTTTCGTTTATCAAAAGGAACGCTTTGCGATGTTCCGTTTGAGGAATAGTAGTGGAGGTGAATTCACCGAAATCGTCAAACTCGTCGTCGGAGACCTTCGAATCGGCTACATTCGTGGAAGTCGACTCGGATTCGGCCGTGATTTCGCCGGGAAACGATGTGAAATCGTCGAAATCATCATCGCACTGTTTCGAATCAGTTTCGGGCATCGCAGGGAACGATGCAAAATTGGCAAAATCATCACTACTTTGGCATTCTTCTGATAGAGTTGGAAAAGGGTTGAAATTTTCTAGTTGTCCGCAGAACGATGAGAAATCATCTTTCGAATCTTCCGATACATCGAAATCCTTCGATTCCTTTTGTTCTGCATATCGAGAATCTTCTTCGAATATCAATTCTTTACTATTACTACGACTTTTTTCTTTAAGACTATCTGATAGCTCTTCGAATTTGCTGTTGACTAGATCGTTATCTCGTGTGGAATGTACGGAATATAAATCATCTTGAGAATCAACGGGAACACTTTGCTCCTGTTCAGTGTCTAATATCGCAACGTCCATTTGTCCTTGGGTTTCAATACTTAAAGAATCCGTTTCTTCATTCGTAATTTTATCAGAGTTATTATGATCAACTCCGTTAGAACAACGCTCATCTACATCTGCTTCTTTACTGACTTGCACTCGATTTATAGTTCTATCATTATCACATTCACCTATTTCATTTTCACGGTTTTGAATAATAAATTGACTTGGAATGTTATCTTTGTTGATATTGTTGTGAAACGCGTATTCGTTGACGTGGTTCGGGTTTTCACTATCTTTCGGAGGTTTTGCATTGTCTATGTCTAAGTTTTCTATGTCTTTTTTGCTGATTTCAGGTGAGACGGGTTGGAATTGAAATTCGCAGTCGAGCTCGTTAATCGATAAGCCTTCTTTGGGTAGTTTTTTAGGGGTGTGTTCGGGGGAAGGTGTCAGCGAAAAACCTAAAAGCACGTTCGTAAGACTAAATTGTTCCAATTTAACAATAGGGCTTACTGTCACAGCCATAGGAAATATCATTGGAACCTCTGAATTCGTCGAATTCTTCATCTTCGTCTTCTTCTTCGGGCGGAGGCGGCGGAGAATCGCTAACGAGTGGTGGAATTATTTTAGACATCTAAAATTGTTTAGAATTAGAATGCACAGTTTAGCATTACTCTTAATAACAGGTCTAATTCAACTTACGTTTTAATTATATGGATTATTTTACGTATTTATATGAAATAATTGGGTTACACATAAATAAATTAAATTAAATAAACTCGACAACCTTTTTAGTTAACAAAATATTGTACTTTTAACTCCTTCTGTCAAAGATAAAAACAGTGGTTGCCATATTGATTATTGACACATCGATAATTGTCACTTGTCAGTCGCAGTGTTGTCATTCTAGACCGAATAGTTATAGTTGCTTAGGCCAGAGATTATAGAAGAAGTTTAGTTATTATTCACTGAATACCCAAGTACCTTAGGCCTAGAAACGAAAGAGAAGAATTAATGACAGTAAAAAAAAATAAGAAGAAGACGTCAATTTTGACAATAAAGTGACATTTGTTATTTACTTTATCATACTTTGCAATTTTCCACAGTAAATTGGTTTGTAAAAATAAAATGTACAATGATACAAATAAACAATGGGTAGTGGTGATATAGCACAATTAAAAAAAGACTTTACAATATTCGAAGATTTGTCCGAAGTAAAATTCACTTTAATTAAGAAAGAAAACTACAAGAACCAGGACCATTACAATGCTTTTGGTGAAAAATTGTGCACTGTGTATAAATTAAATTTCAACGTATTCAACGTATTTTATTGTATGAAACTATTAGTCTTTTTTTACGTAAGGATATCGCATTCGCTATGTTGATTAGTTGAATGTATCGAATCTCTTTTTTCAGGACAATTCCTGCGAAATATTGAAGCTGGAATTGCAGGTTCAAGATGCGGATATCGAAAAAGAGATTATCGTTTGTCGAAATCGTCTGCAGAGGCACCGGAACGTAAATTTCACGTTTTTAATGCTAAAAAAAGTATCTAGGTTTATCGAAACACGCAGGCTCATATCGGAGATTATTTTCAAAAAGGAACCGAGGGTCAATTTCCAAAAATCTACCGACGGCACGCTAGAGATTAAATACAAAAACGATTCGCCCGACATTTTCATTTCCTTTGGCTGGAAAATAGAATGGGACATTAAAAATTGTGATGTAGTTGACGTTATTGAAGTGTATTACAACAATTTCGGTAAGACTATTTTAATACCCTACAGATCAAATATTATCGTTTAATTTTTTATTAGAAATTCCTAATATGAATTACATAAAAGAGTTACTGGTATCTCTGACTCATCCGACATTGGAGTTTTCCGTTAAATTGAAATTTTGGAGGCAACTCTTTGAGAGTCTGGGCGAATACGATAACCGGTTGCAACCCCCGGTTGTTATAAGCGATAACGAGCAAGAGGACAACGTGCTAGTGATATCGGATAGCGAAGATGATAGAGATCGAAACGAAGAAAGGTTTCACAAGAGGAAAAGGCGAAAATTGCAGCATATACCGAATCCTCAAGTCATTAACGTAATCGACTAATAAATGTCTATTATAGAGTAATAGTATTATTTGCTTGTTTGATGAGGTGTCTCGAGTTTTGAAAATGTTTAATAAATTTCAGTGGAAGATTTGTTTTTATTTTTTAAGAGTTACTTGTAATCATTTTAATGAGACACCTTATTTCTGGAATATTAATGGATGTTATGAAAATAGTAGTGACATGAATGGATCATATGATTATTTTTTTTTTGTTTAATTACAATTGGTTTTACTTATTTCTTATGGTATTGCTAAAAAATCCTTTTATTTTATGTACTAAATTATTTATTTATTTAGTATTTATTATTAGAAACTATTTGCTCAATTATTTTTTATCAATTATTGTTTTGTATAATTCGTTGTAAAATAATATAAACTGTTTATAATAGAATAATGTTTTGCAGTCTTCTTTACGAAAAAAGAAAATTTTATTGGCATATTATTCGTGGAAATGTGCGTAATTCAATTCTGAATAACGGTGTGATAAAGGATAAAACATAAATAAATAAATTTATTGAATATTTACTCTCGGTTACAAATAAAATTTAATTATAAAAAAAGCAACTGATTTTAATTTTAATATTTTTAATAACATTGTAAATATATTAAAGTAATTTTATTAACAGAAAATAGAATATTTTAATAACATGTGCATTTCATAACGAATTACATAATATAAAACAGTACTATCAAACTGATTATTGTTAGATATATAAAAAAATACTTTGTGAATTACATATTATTGCACTTTTAGAATATTCGATGAGAGAGTTAATGGTCTAATTTTTTAGTGTTAATTACAAAAAATCACTTGAACGATATATGAATTGTGAGCACCTTTTTTAATACGAAATTAGATGAAAATGTTTGTTGAAATACCGTTTAGAAATCAATTCCTCTTCGAAGAGTTTATCAAATATTTACAACAGTGCGTCAGTAGATGTTTCTCGCCCAATATGTCCGGACTGGAAGCCATTTCTCTTGTATACACGTCCAAACCGTACTGTCCCTCTTCGGGGAAACTTATATTGAAGGTGACCACGTCGTCCGAAACGCTGTGAGACACGAACTTCGACAATCTTTTCTCCTCCACCCCGTTCTTGTGCAAAGTCGCCATGAAATCCGTCAGCAGCTTCGACATCCTGAATTGTATCTCCAATTCCCTACCGGCGAATATCAACGAATCCTACAACAAATCGAACATATCTACACTGGGTAACGAATGTTTGGTTTTGTGGAGTTTTATAACTGGTCCTAAATGATTTTGACAAATCTAAAGTGATTTTTTTTTCTAAAATCAAGTGGGATTTTATGATATCAGAAGTGGGACTTTTCAAGAACAAATTGGGCGCAAAAGGGATTATAGATTTTAATCCTATATAGGGTATATAGAATGAAAGGGCATTTAAATATGGCAAGTAAATTGACCGAATGCACTCTACTCTAAGTCTACTCCCATTTCTCTGAATATACTCTAATAAATTTACTCTAGTGTACTCTGAATATAATCTACTTTACTCTACTCTGAATCTACTCCACATTACCCTAAATATACTCCACTCCGTATAATTGAATTCTGTGTAACAGTAGGTATCATTTATAAGCTAATTTAAATACAGGATGTCTCATAAGTTAATACTTTTTTTTAACTGAACAACATTATCAAGTAAATTTTTTTAATATTCTGAAAAAAAAGGAAATATCTTTAAATTTCGAGCATTTTCCAATACGTACCTGCCATTACCATACAGATGTCAAAAATAATAAATAATTAATGTCAAAAAATTAATTTTTCAAATCATGAATTGAAAATGGCTCATTTTTATAGAAATAATGAATTGGTGGACATGCTGATTATTTATGGAGTGTTTCCAAAGCGTTTCTAATCAAAATGGCAGTTCCTTTAACTTTTAATGAACAGGACCGTATTAACTAACTTTCTAATAATTAAAAATTGAAAAAAACATGCACTCTTATTTTCTAGAATATTAGAAAATTTTACTTAAAAAACTTGTTTAGAATTAAAAGATCTATACGCAGTTAAAAAAAAAGTATCAACTTATAAGACACCCTGTAGAAAATATATGGTAAGGGAAATGACCTGATGCGTGATGGGCACCAATCCGAAGAGCCTGGTGGCTTTGGTGGGGCCCCATTCGCCGCTGGCGCAATCGGGCAACGGCACCATGACGGTCTGCAGGTCTTCGCAGCAAATTTTGAACTTGCAGACGCTCTTGAACTTCATCGGCTCGCCGGTGAGGTACTCCTTCGGCGTGACGGCGTTGGCGAATATGTCGAGCAGGAAAGCCCCGCTGCAGGGGGCGTGCACCCTGAACGCCACCATGTTACCCACGACAGACTAAAGGAATTTTATTATTAAAATATACAGTATATGTCTGAAAAAGTTGGCAACGCATGGGAAAGCTTTTTTTATTGTAAGTTTCACGCAAGTTTCTAAGATCTGGAAACATCGGTCGAAAAAGTGTCCCGTTATTTGAGGATAAAACAGGGTTCCTAAACCGGCCGCTACGAGGCGATGTTGTAAAGGACCACGGTTTTTTGCGTACGAATTATATAAAATTAGCATTAATTCAAACTAAAAATAGATACAAACTATAAAAATATACTTAAATCAGCGATTATTTTGTTGTAAATATCATGCCTCACGTGTATCTTCGGTTAATGTATTGCTTCATTTTCTCCTCGAAATGTCAAAAAATAATTTTTGAAGTTTTGACAGCTCGAACTGACATTTCACACAACCGCGATTTATAAGTAGCGCGACGCTGATTGGCTGAGATAAGTTGGTCATCCGATAGTTCGCCACGGTGCGGCGCAAAAGTGAAGCTCAAAAAGTCCTCAAATAACGGGACACATTCTCTAATGCATAAGCCATAGAGAAAGAAAGATTTATTTTGTCTATGGCATAAGCCTCTGGTCGCGTCTCGAGTCCTTAGTTACTCCATAACAACAATGTAAATCTGTCAATTGATAGAATCTCCTTAGTTACTCCATAACAACAATGTAAATCTGTCAATTGAAAGAATCTCCTTAGTTACTCCATAACAACAATGTAAATCTGTCAAGTTAAAGACGCGACTTTAGAGTCACTTTAAAGTTAAATAGCGCTGAATACGTGCCAGTGTATTTATAAGGCGAGCTGTTTATAGTGATTAGATGTAGCGAGAAGTATGTAAATGTACCTGCATGACGAATCGCTTCAAAGAGACCCCTTCGAAAGTATCGCCCTCGCTGTCGTAGAATTTCAAATTGTAGTGAAAGATGAGGGTGGCCTGCATGTGAGAGGGCATGGCGATCCGCACGGTCGCCGCCCCCGTCGAATCCGTGTACATCACCGCCTTCGTGTTCGGATCCGAGAAGTACAACCCGTAGCGGAAGAACAGCGATCGCACGAACGGCAACTCCTCGAACTCCCGCAAGGTGATCGGCCCCTTCAGCAGCTGCCACTCGGCCTGCAGCGGGAAGAACTCGTAGACGAACTCCTTGGGATCGGTGAGGAAGTAGTGGTCGTCGTACTCGTAGCGCAGGCTGTCCGATTTCGATTTGTTGCCCGCCTTCGGGGCCTCTTTGGCGTTCACCAGGTGCCTGGCGCCCCAGTTGCATTGGACGAAGCGCCACGCGCCCGCCACGTACACGGCGTTCCACGAGTTCCGGAAGCGGTTGTCTTCGAACCGGACGCCCGGCTGGTAACCGGCCGATTTCGAGTAGCCCTTGATCACCACGCAATGCAGACCGGCGTAACTAAGACAATTTAATTTTATAGAGAAATTTGAGAGGGTTTTTTTAACGGGTGGTTTTGGGGCGTACCTGCATAAACGCTTGAACAGCACGTGGTAGCTTTCCGTGCCGTTTTTGATGCCTCTCAGGAGCCCCATGGGGGTGTCGCCGCGGAGGTTGTCGTCGAAGGACATTGTATTCAAATTTTTCACCGTAATCCATCTGAATATCGTCCTGGAAACCAAGAAAGAACAGTTAAATAAAGGAGTTTTTACAATAAAGTACCTACTAATATAGTAATCACTCACCTAGCTTTTTCAACGTCTGATCCACACCTTCCCACCAGCTGTCGAACCAAATCCGTGAAGGATTTCTGGTCTTCTTGCGCTACCGATATCGCTATTTGATCGACATTCGTGAACTCCACGGGATCGTTGTACACCTACAAACAAACAAATCAATCATCTACTAATACTCCTATATAGGAGAAGAATTGGCTGGTTGCTTCGCTAAGTAAGAGCGCGCTTCGAGTGAAGGAAGCAGAAGAATAAACGTCGGAAGGGGAATTACCAACGCACCTGGAATTTGCTGAGGGCCGGAGGCGAAGGGGCCGGCGCGAGGCTGGGATAGGGCTGGGCCTCTTCGCTTTGATCTAAATACAGAGACTCGGCTTGCATGTATTCGCTGCGTTTTTCGTTAATTAATTCCAGCATTTCGGTGCTTTGTTTCTCAACGAGCGCCGCCGTGGCTGCCCTATAGCAAAAAAATTACTACCATTTTATACCATACAACTACAACCATTTTAAGCAACTAGGTACAATTACCGATAAGGTTATGTTAAAGTTTGATCGATAAACGGTTTGGAAACATCTCGAAATTCAATCGAATAATACCTTTCGTGCTCCAACATTTTCCTCGTCAGCGACTCCTTTTTTTTATCCCTGCGTAGGGTCATGTTTTTCTCCAGATCGTCCCGTTCCTGCTGGTGGCGTAACGTCAGTATATTCTGATCGTCGCGCTTGTTCCTTTTCATCTGCATCTCTCGCTCGAATTTCATCGTCAGCCTTTCCAGTTCCTTCTCCCATTCGTCCTGCAAAATTTTTCATTAAGTTTTCGGTAAAAAAAATACGACTCGCGGCAACACTGCTGGTGTCGTCATTGCAGGAGTACCGCGAACGCAATATGCAGTATAATTAATAAAAGTGTGAGTGACTTCTGTAAACTAATAAGGAATGGTGTATTGATTGAAATAATTAAGTAATTATTAATTAAATAGCGCAATTTACGTATGCAGGATCTTGTAATGCCTACATAGAAACGAATTCTATACATTTATATTGCGTATATACAGGTTAATTATGTTGGGATGATGTAATAAAGACACGAAAGCGGGTTATTAATACATGTTGTGTTATTAGATTTAAAAGTAGCGAATCGAATATTCGTTTTTTTTAATTAACGAGAATTCTTTGGGTGAATTAGCGGAATAGAAAGTAAGTAATTGAGGGAATTTAAATTCCGGGGGAGTACCCGAAATTGTTCGGCGTAGCCTCAGAACACCGTAAGGCGGTCGGGAGAAGATTTGATTTCTAAAAGATAATTCGCCGCATTCATTGTGATTCTAAATGGCATCCGAAAACTGTTGATGTGGTCTATAAAACACGGCCAATTAAAATATTACAAGGTCGCCGGTAGAATGTAATTTTTCGGAACTCGAATATCTATTATTTTTAAACGCAAGATTATCTACTCACCCTAATTTCTTCTCGTATTCGTTTCTCTTCCTCCTCTCGTTGTCTTTGGAATTTTCTGAATAAGTCGTCTTCTTCTTTCCTATGTCTCATTTCTAATTTCCTCTGCTCATCTCTATCCTGCAACCGAATTAAGGGCGAATATTGTAGTACCTAGGTAATTTTTTTGCCGGTGGGTGTACATTTTTTTGCATAGAAAAAAAACCATCATAGTGACGTAAAACGGCGCCATGACGTGTACCGGGCAGATAAATTAGCGGCGTTTCCTTTGCGGGTTACGAAACTCCCAAGTCAAGTCGATCGCAATCGCCGGATTATTATACAAGGTGTAGGATAGAACGGCGATGAGTGGGAGGCGAGTTTACGTAAACGCCCAATGAAAACCGCCGCATTTTTATTTCTACATACATTTTATAGAGCGAAAAAAATTCTAACACTTTGTTGAGTCATCCTGTACCTATATACCTTGTGAAAAGTATACACTGTGTTCATTCGCGATTGCAACATGGACATTTCTATGAGTTGAACAAAGAAAGATTATTAAAATAACAGTTGTCAGAGTGAAAAGTTGCAAAGACATAATATCACTCTTTCTTTTTCCTTTATAAGTGTCTAATTGAAGTTGTCTTTGTTGCACCCACAGCCTATATGTTGCAATGAAAAATGGAGCAATCTGTATAAAATTCGTATAAATCGGCTAGCATTTCGTTGAGACACCCTGTATAATACACATTTGAGAACAAAATAAGTACCCTCATTAATTCGAGTGGGATTGGCTAGCACTGCTTCGTTTTTGAGACACCCTGTATATAACACATTTGGAAAGAACTACTCTCTTATTAATTATACGAAATTCGATCGAGATAAGATTTGAATGCATGTTATTTCAAATGAAACGCAACATTTTGCAATGTTTGTTTGAATTAGAAACATCGAGATGAACTAGTAAGATGTAGGAAAAGCGAAAGGTATTGTTCCAGACGTTTCATTAATTAATAAATCGAACCGAATTATTCGAATAACTTATACGTAGGCGCTCTTCGAAGGATTTTGCATTAATTTCGCCGAATCCCACTTAAGAATGTCGCATAAATTAAATATTTCATTGAATCTTCGTCTATAGGAGATTATCTATAGGAGATTTGCAAATCTATGTCTTAATTAAGTGCCCCAAAATTCCTCAAAATCATGTAAAATATCTTAAATTAAACGCCGCATCAGAAAAGATGCCTCACAGTCTAGCGTTGTAACAGAAAAAAAGAAAGTATATACTATAAATTTCCCATCAATTACTCGCATTTATATGGAATTAGTCTAAGCGAATATAAAATCTCCTTCAGTTCAACGACATAACATTCCAATTATGCAAATGGTCGCGACCGCGAGCACGCGAATACATACGAAGAAAACCTACAAAAAGTCCGGCCTAAGAATTCCGCTTTTATTGCTATTTACGCGATTAAAATCGATCAATAGAAAGTTTATCGATAAATACGATAAAAAAAAACATCGAAGGAGAAATCCGCTCACATATATTTATTTTTATCTCTTGTATGTTCACTTTTAATTTTGAGTTATCCATACAAAATAAAAGAATAACTATATGCAGTAATTAGTATGTGCGCCTAGTTTTTTTTGTTTCAATCCAAGTTGATTTCCTGCAATCAGTGTATACTAGAAATTATTATGATAGATACACAAAATGCCATCACATACGCCTATGGATTTATTGTTACGGTACACGATGATGGGATTATACCGCGCAGGAAGTGCATTTTTTTATACAAAACTCCATTATGGAAACTTATTCGCGCATCTATTTTTTTTTTTGTTTCGCCTGTACAGTAATTACATTGTAAATTGATAATGAACTTTGAAAAACTAACCGCAGCGTTATATACAGAGCGCTCGCATCGAACTTACCAGATAACAGTCTATGGGCTTCTCCCTGTGAACTTTGTACGATTTTTGCAGCTCCGTTTGCTTGAGCGCGTGCGCTATGTGGAGGGCGCTGGCGTCGAAACGGCCGTATTGGTAAGTTGGCGACGATTCCTGGCTGTAGTAATTGTTGGGGCTGTAGCCCCCGTACGTGGGGGAGTGGGGCTGGTGATGGTTGCCATTTATGTGCGTACGGACGGTAACGCCTGTAATGATTTGCGGAATTTTATAATTGTGTTCGAATTGACGTTTTTAAGGGCGCCACTTCAGGGTGTTTTTAAATGGGAAAACATAGGTTTGGTAATTCCATTAAGATTCAAATTTGGCTTCATCGATTGATTGGAATATTTCTTATACCTAATATAGAGACTCCAAGCAATGATATCTCCTATTTTTAATCTCTCCTACTTCATTATATATTTAAGAAAATTCAAATCAAAAACTGCCATTTGTTTGCAATGCTATTTAAATGGCAAAACGTAATTCTAGTAAGACTCGAGTTTCTTCAAACGGATGTCTGAATAATTTTAGTAGGATGAAGAATACTTTTTACAGAACGATGTCTCCTAGTTTATATTGATCCACAGGCTGTATTAAATTAGACAAAAAAACTAAATAAAGAATTTTAGCCAATGATGATGATAGATAGATTCCAGTAAAATTATGGTGTCACCTGACATAAATGTCAAATCACAGAACAATTTTGTAAATTTGACAAACGACAGCGGTGCCAGTTGTTTCTGTTTTTCAGATATTTTTGGATAATTTGCACTTTTTTAAGGGCAGGTATTATGAAATAAGGTATTTCCAGTACACCGTGATACTTTTAGAGCACTTTAACGACTATTTTTTAAACTCTACTTTTATCTTTTCAAATTGCAGAGGGAAGAGAATTGAATTTAAAAAATTCTGAAAAAGGATTTCTTATTTTGTAATAGTGTAATCAAACACGGAACATCTACTAGCGAATTAAACTAATCTCATCCCATCCATTGTGGAAAAATTTTACCAAAAATAGTTCTATATTACCCCACGAATTAGGAATTTGAAGGCGTGTTTTGGGGGCTTTAAGTTTTTTTTCAAATCACAGTGTTAGATACAGGTCTGGAAACTCGACGTATTTTGTTGTATATAGCTGGGGTTCATGATGAATCCGCTTGGAACGCTAGTGTCGGGTTAATTTTGAATTTCTCGCAGCCTGTGTTACATTAAATGAAAATAAAATTATAGGTAAATCAAAAAAAATCATCATTCGCAACACCCCCTTGCACAGGAGTTTCCTGACCTCTTATATATACGACCGTGGTTATAAAAGTTACTTTTTGACGAATGTATATCAAGATGACATAAGCGACTTGAGTTTATTGTTGCAAAATACAAAGCTGTCATAAATATTTAAAAAAAATCGCAGTCGACTTGACGTTTTCTATTAATTCGCATTATCTCATAAGACACCAATAAAATATCTTAATACATATGCATAATCCATTAAAATACCAGTAGGTTATGGCTGGTATAGGTATAATAAAAATAGTCGTGTCGATATTGTTACAAGGGCAACCTATACTAAATACTTCCATCAAATCGCATTACCTAATCGCATTAGTAAACGTTAATAATTCAATTTCTGAATGGCTAATACGCTCACGTATAAATCACGTGCATAGGTCGACCATTTAACTTCAATTTTCCCATATACCTACGACGCTGATCGAATATACAGGGTGTTCTCGAACTTATGGTACTAAATTCTAGATTTCAGATTTCATTATTCCATAAAAATTATGTATTATCTTTGGTAAAATTTTCCACAATAGATGGGATGAGATTAGTTTAACTCACTAGTAGATGTTTGATTACACTTGACGTAAAATCAAACGTACAATAAAGTAAAATAAAAAATCCTTTTCAGAATTTTTTAAATTCAATTGTTTTCCCTGCTATTTGAAAAGATAAAAGTAGAGTTTTAAAAATAGTCGTTAAAGTGCTCTAAAAGTATCACGGAGCACTGGAAACACCTTATTTCATAATACCTCTCCTTAAAAAAGTGCAAATTATCCAAAAATATCTGAAAAACGGAAACTACTGGCACCGCTGTCTTTTGTCAAATTTACAAAATTGTTCTGTGATTTGACATTTATGTCAGGTGACACCATAATTTTACTGGAATCTATCATCATCATTGGCTAAAATTCTTTTAGTTTTTTTTTTTAAATTAGTACAACCTGTGGATCAATATAAACTAGGAGACATATCGTTCTGTAATTCTTCAGTCCTACAAACAGAAGTATTCTTCATCCTACAAAAATTATTCAGACATCCGTTCGAGGAAACTCGAGTCTTACTAGAATTACGTTTTGCCATTTAAATCGTATTGCAAATAGAGGGCAGTTTTTGATTTGAATTTTCTTAAATATATAATGAAGTAGGAGAGATTAAAAATAGGAGAGATCATTGCTTGGAGTCTCTATATTAGGTATAAGAAATATTCCAATCAATTGATGAAGCCAAATTTGAATCTTACTGGAATTACTGAACCTATGTATTCCCATTTAAAAATACCCTGAAGTGGCGCCCTTAAATGTCAAAAAATATTACTTATGTTGTTTCTAAAATGTTTAGGTATTTAAATTTTTTCTTTCAACGCAGCATAACTTTAATAAAGGGGTAACGGCATTTCGAGGTGTTAAATCGAAAATTTAAATTGTGTATGTAAACGATAAATAACATGTTTCTCTTCGTTTATAAATAACAAGTCAAATAACACACAACGCACGTATATAAGCAATTATAAATATTCAAAACACAAACTATATAGGAACCATTTGTTGAATTCAAATTCAAAAGGTTAGCCAACAACTCTAATATGACACTTTTGTCACTGTTTGTATAGTGTTTGTTGCCAACCTAGTTTGACTTCTGCCAAACCTAATGCCACTCTACCTTCTTATTAAGTTATCCTGTTTAAATTTTTTCAATAATATCAACGTACCTTCGTCGCTGGTCCTGCTGGGCCCCCGGATTTGCTCGTTGACGAAATTGGTGCTCTTGGGCACGTTGAGCGCCGACCGTATGCCGACGGAGGAGCCGTCCAAGTGGCCGGGGCCGATTTTGGGCACGTGGCTGTTGCAATAGACCTCCTTGTCCTCCTGCCGGTGCTGGTTGTTGTAGTAGGTCTTCAAGGTGAGCTTGGTGCCGCAGACGGCGCATTTGAAGCACCCGCTGTGGAAGAAGGTGAAGTCCTTCAGGGGGCCCACCCGGTCCACTTGGTAGACGGTTTCGTTGCACCGCAGGCAGGTGCTCTCGTAGAAATTCGGCCGGTACATGGATTTGTAATTGTTTTGCAACATTTTCTTTTATATTGTTTGTCCGTATACAACGCACTTTTTATTATATTAGATATATAAAACGCGTCGCAAGGAAGACTAGATGTATAGGCGTAAAAGTTCATACACAAAAATTACATTACATTTATATTATAAAAAAAACTTTTTGGAACGTTCTCTTTTTCGTTATATGTTTTATTTTTTTTAGTCATAAATTTCTTGCTCTGATTGTTTCGCACGCACTTGCACGTCGTTCTTCTTATAATTGCTCTTTAATTTTCTAAATTGATTTTCATTAGCACACTTTCCGCTGTGTCGGGATGCACTAGAAAAGAAAAACAATATTAGAATCACGCTATTGTTTGTAAGTTGATAGGAATATCAAAGACAGGACCGTATCCAAACATTTACTTAGGTATAGATATAATGAAATGTATACAGATTAGTGCACGCAAATTTATTTGCAATACGATGAGTTGAACAAAGAAAGATTCTAAAAGTAACAGTAGTTAGAGTGAGAAAGTTGCTGTATCCCACAATATTACTCTTTCTTTTATCTTTAGGTATATGAGGTAATAAGTTCGACAAACTTCAGGGGGTGATTCTGCATGAAAAAATAATGATATTTTGCTATATAAACATATGTCCGCAAATGCTTCGTTTTCGAGATACGGGATGTTAAAATTTCTTCAATACTAGATAACATGTGTTAAGGAAATGAAAAATACACGCCAAGATGTTTTATTTTTTCATTCGAAAACAGCGGCCCGCATGTAAAAAACACAAGAGAGTTTTTTTGTAACAAATTGAACGAGGAATTCATTCATAATTGAATTTTCAATAAAAATGCCCCAGTGGCGTACTATTATTATTTTTTTCATTAAAAAAATTATTATTATCCGTATGCGCGTCAATGATGAACATAAAATTGTCAAAAATTGTCAAAACACGTGTAATAGTTACCTTTTAAAACCCACCAAATTTCATTTAAATGTCTCTTCTGGTTCTAGAGAAATATATAAATCTTCGGTTATTATAAAAGAAGAAACTTTAACACCCCGTATCTCGAAAACGAAACATTTGCAGATATATGTTTATATGTATAGCAAAATATCATTATTTTTTCATGCAGAATTACCCCCTAAAGTTTGCTGAACCTATTAATTAACATCCCGTATAATTTTATTTCTATGATTAGGGATTTCAATGTACCTAATATACCTTAAGAAAATTACTGGATACTTTATAATTTTGTATTACTTTGTGTATAGTATATATTTTTATCCTGAATACCATGCTGGCGTATCTACTTAGGTATAAATTGTGGTCGTATATACATTTATGAGTAGGTATATATGAAATGCTCTGCTTTGTTTGTATTTTAGTGTTTATTTAACATATCACTGATGTGTGCGAGCAGCGGAGTATGAAGCCTTGAATATGTTTTTATTCTATTCTATGAAAATATATAAAAATTCCAGCCCGGGGAATTTATAATAAAATTAAACGTTCGCCTGCTATTTTTTCTAAAATCGCAACTTTTCTTTGGAGAATATTTCTTACGCTTAAGCGATTGTAAAATAACGCATTAAATAAACATAATTATTATCTTATGGGTAAGTATAGGTATGTAGCATCGTAAAAATATATTTTAGGTCACTGGGTATAATGCACTGTAAAGTTTTATTTCATACAAACTTGTATAAAAGTCTATAATGGGCAAATTTATGAAAGAATAGGTTTCTGTTATACACGCCTGTTGATATCTCCCAATTACTCACCGAAATTATTTTACCGAAATCACAGTAATTATACTGTCTAATAATAAACTACCTAATAACTAAATATGAGTATGTAGGTATATTAGGTTTTACTTAACTACGAATAAAATGATGTAAAAAGAAATTTATTAGCGAATAATCGATTTCGGGTTTCCTTCCTACGCGGCCGTTGATATCTCCAATAGCTTTAAATAGCTCCAATTTAATACGCTATTTCGCACCGTTTCTCGTCTACCTACACCGTCGAAAATCACCTTGATATCCACAAAAAAGTAAATGAAAATACCTACGTACCGATTCCACTCATCGGAAACCAACATCAGCACACATCCCGTGAATCATCCGACGCACATATGACTTTCATCCGCGCTAAATTCGACCGTCGCCGTCGCGAACACTTCACGCGGATCTCTCCGGACCGTCGCTTTTCCGGGCATTTTCCGTGTCAAAAATCCGCGGCCATTTTCGATCCGATCTCGACGGGCGTTCAAGTATCTGGTCTCCTCTGTGGCGCGTTCGCGTTCTTCGCGGAGCCGGGGAATCGGAATGCCGATGCCGAATGTGTTCCACCTGTTTCCCCGGAGGACGGCGAAAGGTCAGCTATTCGCCGACGTCGAGGAGAAATCGACCGGACTTGCACGAGCTCCGGTTTCGGGGCCGGCGTTGCCGCGTCTGTTAGGGTTTTTCAGGGGTTCTGCGGAGAAGGTGTGTTGGATCATTTCGCTGGAGCAATTGTCAGTTCTAAAATGGTTCTAAATCGTTCTATTTAGGTGTATAAAATTTTACTAGCGAAAGTTGTGGGACTTGCAACTCGAAAACTATACTGTAGAAATGAAAAGTATTCAAAAAAACGATTAGTTCTCTCACATTTTCTTTCATATCTCCTAAATTACTTGGGCTAGAAACTTTATACAGAAGACCACAAATTAATGATACGTTAATGATTCGATTGAAAATTAAATAAATAACGATTAGTAATAGAAAATTAACACACTCTATTGACATTTGAATTTAAGATTGGTTTTGGTAACCCAATTTCAGTTGGTAGCAATGAAAATAAACCCAATTTTTCGGTGTACAAATCTCAATTTTTACTTAATTTTGAGATATAATATGAATCGCATCTAATAGAGTAAACCTTCCTGTTCGTTATAAAAGTTTTTTTACAGATTTACATGCAAAAATAATGATATTACAAGCGTTTTTGTCGAGCGAAATTGCCGCTAGGTAATACCGAACATACGTTTATATATGTTCTGTGATAATTTGGACACTTTGGAAATGTTGGTTGCATACGCTCAGGTAGATATGAGCTTTAGGAGGATAAAATAAGGATTATTCATGAATATACGATATAGGTGCACTTCACAAAGCACACTGTTTATAAAATAATAGACAAATTTAGGAGAATTCAAGCGAAAATTCATTGTAAATGTCATTGCTAACAAAATAGAGTATTTGATGTAATAGACATAGACATGACAGTCTTTTTTATACTGTCCATTCGGGTTATTCTATGATACTGTCTATGGCTTCTATTATTTATCAAGTTGATCTATGATCGGTGGCGTCATCTATTTTTTAGAAGTATTATCAGCATTAAGTGAAATTCAGCGAAATTCAGTTTGTGTAATTGGCGTATCTATCATTTATTATTTAAATCGATGATTCGCTACCACTGCCGTATATTTCTAAGCATTTATGTATGTTATGTGTTTCTAAGGTCTGGAAACATAGGTCGATAAAGTGACCCGTTATTTGAAGATAAAACAGGGTTCCTAAAACGGCCGCTAGAAGGCGATGTTGTAAAGGCCCGCGGTTTTTTTTGCGTACGAATTATATGGAATTAGCATTAAGAAAGGTTTTAATTAAACTAAAAATAGATACAAAATATAAAAATATACTTAAATCAGCGATGAATTTGTTGTTAACATCATGCCTCACCTATCTTCGGTTAATGTATTTCTCTCTATCCTTCATTTTCTCCTCGAAATGTCGCAATTTTTTCGCTTAAAAATTGTTCAAAACCTTAAAGAAAATTAAACAAAAACTCATAAAGACACACCAAAAAATATTTTGCATATTACATATGTAGTTGAAAAACCACTGGCCATTTACTCATCAAAATTAGTTTCAAAAAGGCATAAACTTCATTTAAAATTAACAAAAGACATTTTAAATAATAAATGACCAGTGGTATTTCAATTATACAGGGTGTCTCATAAGTTGATACTATTTTTTAACTGCGTATTGGCATCTGAATTTAAGATTGCAGCGCCATCGTGGCAAAAAACGGAACCTTCGTAACAGGCATTCATTCGTTTGTTGTTATTTGTTTTAACGTGCGAATTGTGAATTTGAAAGTGATTTTTTAGTGTTATAACTTAATTTCTTCCGAACAATTTTTATATTAAAAGACAATTTATTTCAGTTTAAGTAGTTTTTAAGTTGTTAAATTTACTGTCAATTCAAAATCTGGTAAGCAATCTGATTTGTATGTAAGATTGTATTATGTTTGGTTATATATTTTTTGTCGTTTCTTTCAATTAAATTATGAAATATGGTGTATTCAAATTACTCAATGACTTAAAAATTATACTTTTATTTATTCTATTTATTAATAATCTATTTTTTTTAATTTATAATCTTTTATTTTTAGAAAAATGGCTCGATTAAGTATAATCGACTACATGGCGTACATTGAAGGGACAGTTTCTTCAAGATGTGGTAGAGGGCGAAGAAGTTTTAAATGCAGGACACATAATTTTATGTGGAAAATTTAATTTGGTGACTTCTGTTCTTATTAAAATCTGTGCTTTGTGTCTACAAACTAGCGCACTTAATGGAGAACCTCATCAAATATCCGGAGAAAAAATGCTTCACATCGTTTGTTCCATTTAGTATTACTTAATGGTAAAGTATTAACTCTATATAATATTACAACTAATTTTGATAAAATATTTTATTCAGATCGGGAGCTGTTACATTTTTTTTCTACCAGAAATTATTCTTCGGGTATCGACAAGGGATTTTCATAAAACGCTTCACATCGCTTGTTCTGTTTAGTATTACTCCAATAATGGTAAAGTATTAATTCTATATAATATTACAACTAATTTTGATAAATTATTTTTTTAGATCGAGAGCTGTTACATTTTTTTTCTACCAGAAATTATTCTTCGGGTATCGACAAGGGATTCCCCCAGGAGATACACCGGTCATAAAGTTAATTGTTGTACTCGACTTATAATGTGAATAAAATTTTATTCTACAGCAAAGGCATTTTGGCGTTTGGACATTTATTTCTGTACAATCCAGAATCCCCCTTACATCCTCAAATTGATTAAAACATAGGGGCATGTTTCTTTTAATTTCCGAAGAATCGGGGAACCTTATACAGGGCTTTAAGACTGCACTTAATATAGGCAACATTTCAAAAATATATTTTTTACATAATTCGGGGGAAATAGCAAACAATACTGACAACGTTACATAAGAAAGATCACTCCTTAATGTTGTCATGACTAATACTATTCGTTCTTGAAAAAAACAGATTTATAAAAGCGACGAAACCGACAATAAAGACAAACACGAGAGAAAACAAAACAAAAACAGAACGAACGTAATGGATGCAAAACCAAAACAATGGTGCAATACCTGTTAGAAGCGTTCTATTTTCTGCCACCAGAGGGCGTATCGCTTATATTGAATCGCCAATAGATCTTTTAATTCTAAGTAACTTTTTCAAGTAAATTTTTTCAATATTTTGGAAAATAAAAATGATGGAAATTTTTAAAATTTCTTTAAATTTCGAATATTTTCCTGCCATTACCATACAGGTGTCAAAAAATAATTAATTAAAGATAATCAATCAAAATGGCGACAATTTTGAGCAGTTCCTTTTACTTTTAATGAACGGGGCCGTATTAACTATTTTTTAATAATTAAACATTGAAAAAACACATGCTCTCTGATTTTCCAGAATATTAAAAAAATTTACTTGAAAAAGTTGCTTAAAATTAAAAGATGTATGCACAGTTAAAAAAATATTAACGAGACACCCTGTGAAAAAAACCCATCTGAAATCAAAAAACCTACTGTAATTTCCGATTTTGCGACAGTCCCCTAAAATCCGCTTGCGACAATCCCTAAAGATTCTGCATTTTCCGGCATAACGAATGAAGGAAAACGACGCAGACGGTGGCAGAGGCGCCTCGGCGTCGCATCCCAGTCGCTCCATACATTACTCATCCGCTCTCCGGCTCCTTTTAGTCCTGTTCATTCGACATCGCAACTCACAACAGGACATCGTTTGCACACCTCGCAAGTATGCGGTTAATTGGCGCATTAAATTTTCTCATCGGGTTTTATTTGTGACGAATCGATCAGATGAGGTGAGATAAAAAAAAACGTTGATTTGTCTACTAATGAAATTACCGAATTTTTCGTAGGTAAATAGAGCGAAGGAATGGAGAAGAAAACGCGGACGAAAATATTTTGGGCCCTAGCCATGATTGTGAATTTCGTGAGTATGTTTGTATAACTTTTTGTATCGTAAAAAGCGGCTTGGAAATGGAAATATTTTCAACGTAAATTTTAAGAAGCTTAGCTTTATTATAGAGTTTCGGATTATCTGTCGTCTTAAAAGTATCCCGTTGAAATGGAAGTTTATGAGAGTGCATGAAAAAAATTAAAAACCATTTTACAATCGCAAATAACATGTTTTTTGTGTAGATCTTCGGAATCATTGGAGTGTTAATTTGCACGCTGAAAATCCACCATTCCGAAGACGAAGAGAAGCAAGCAGGATTTTTCAAACTCTCAATCTTTTTCGCCGCTTGTAATTTGATTTTAAGTTCCGTTTTACTGGTCGCTCTTCTTAAGGTGATTTGATTTACTTTACACATGTTAATGGGTAGAAATTTAAAAATTTAAAAAGCCAGACTGGCTCCTTTAATAATAGTGGTTCCAAAAAAAAAATACATTAAAAAAGTTTCATGTCTGATATTTTAATATATTGGTTGATTCATTATTTCGTTATATCTGGTCCCCATTAAATGATTATTGGGGGAGTTTTTGTGTACATTGTATATTAATATAAAATGTGATATTTTCAGAGGGATCAAAAGTATGCATTTTTGTATGCTTTGCTAATTTTTATAAGCCTTTTTGCGGCTACAATGCACGTGGAAAGCCATTCGAGTCATAATTATACGTATTTGATAATATTCATCGTTTTCGGTAAGCTATATCTTTAATAATAACTAAACATATTGATTCATTTTAGTTTGCTATATAGGGTGTTCATTAATTGAATGCAGATAATTTAGGATGTGAATATTTGGATGATTTTAAGAAGAAAAGTTTATATATCTGTGTGTTCTAAACCTTATAGTTATCGAACTACAGGGTGTTAAAATTTTAGAAAAAAAAACTTTTCTATCATAATTTTCTTAACTCCTTTTCTTAACTAATCATCCAAATATTCACGTCCTAAATTATCGGCATTCAATTAATAAACACCCTGTATAGGCTATGGGCGTAACAAAGACAAACTTCCCTTTGACCCTTATAAAGGAAAAAGAAAGGGTGATATTTTGTGTCGCTGCAACTTATTTATCACTCTGACAACTGTCTTTGTTTAACTCATAGAAATGACCATATTGCAAACTTTTATGCATTATTTTTACTATTTTTTTTTAGCTGTTGTATGTTTTTTGTGGTTCACAACGTATGCTGCTACGCAATATTGGAAATATTGGTCAAAAAATCATATAGCTGAGCTTTATGATCAAGATTCACCAATCGATGATGTATAAATTTATAAGGCTCATTACTAGTTATTGCTTCCGAGTGATATAAATATGTAATAATTATTGTAATACGAAATAAATTTTAAGGAATGTATTATTTAGTACATTTCTTGCTCTCGTTTAAAGATTAAAGGACTGAATAAAATATTGGAAGAGGTTTAATCAATAGCAATGGAAGGATTATTCCATGATAACTAATTCTTAAGCGTGAGTTCACATGAATAAAATAAAAAAAAATCCATTGGGGAAAATTTATTTCTCTACTCTTTATTTCTCTCAAGGTATCATAAATTCCGAAAAATCCCAAAATTTTTGAGATACCCGAACTTTCCTAAGCGGTCTCACAAAAAAAGTACTTCTGCGACGCGAATGAATTATACCAATTTTCTCGAAAACCAATCGAGATGAAATTTTCAAAATTTTCACCGTTTCATAGAAAATTTGATTCTCTACAACTTTCAAAGAATCAATAATTTCGAAAAAACTTATGGAAAACATAATTTCTTACAAAATTCGAAGAATCTTAAATTTAGAAAAGACCCCAAATTTCCAACATATTTCCACTCGAACCTGCTCCTGGTACTTTCGACCTGCATCTATTTACTTTTCCAATGTATCTGGTTACTCTTCCTCCGTATCTGGTTATTTTTGGCCTATATCTGGTTAGAAAAAGAGTGTAGACAAGAGTACCTCGACGAAATCCTTGAGCTGGGGTCACTCGATTTAATAATTTAATTTTAAATTCATCGCCGAACGAACAAAGTAGGCCATGCGCCGACCTTGATCGGATAAAGTCGTGCACTTACCGTACGGCGATTGTTTTTTTTTTTCGTTAATTTCGATGCGTTCGATTCGACTTTGAGTATATTTTTTATACGGGATGTATTTGGGCGAAGTATGGTACTTTGAACGTAGGTCTCGAAATATCTGGAAAGTTTTCAGTTTTTCGAAATTTTCGGTTCTTTGAAATTTGTAAAGAATTAAATTTTCAATAAATTGGTGCAAATTTCGTAATTTTATCTCTATTAGTTTTCGAGAAAATCGAGGTTTTTTATAGAGTTGCACTAGAAATTTTTTTTTCTTCCAAGTATTTATGATCGAAAATTCAAAATATCTCGGAAATTTGGGTTTTTTTTGTATTTTTTGACTTTTTTCAAAATTTTAGAGAATTAAATCTTCTATAAAATGATGAAAATTTCATAATTTTATCTCGATTAGTTTTCGAGATGATTGATGTTTTCCAAAGACGCACTAAAAATTATTTTTTCTTTCACATAGTCGAGACAAAAACTAAAATATCTCAAAAACCAGCTGATTTTTTAAAATTATCCATACTTAAAAAAATGTAGAGAATTAAATTTCCTACAAAACGCACTATTTTTTCCATTTCTTTCACTGCTTTTCATTTTATCCCCGATCAAACATGTTACCTTGTCTATTCTACTACATTCCCTGCGAATGTATCTATATATCTATAAAAAAAACGCTCGAATGTCACTTTTCTAATCCTAAATCTATATCTTTATCTATATCTCGTTTATTTATCGCCTTTAAAATTGCATTTGTAACGAAATGACCTGAATTCGCCCAGTTAACTCTGTGGATCATAATTAATTTATTTTTTAATTTTTTTACAGAACAGTGGCGTAACGGAGGCGATTTTTTTTGGTTTTTTGATTAATTTTGTGTAAATTTGTAATAATGAATAATTTTGCATCCCCTGTATACAGATAATGGGGAAAAGATGCTTGTTGATATAGTGACAGAAGCAGGTTCGAGTGGAAATATCTAGGGAATTTGGGGTTTATTCGAAATTTTTGATTCTTGAAAATTTGAAGAGAATTATTTTTCCTATAAAACGGTGAAATTTCGGTTTTCCTATCTCAATTTGTTTTCGAGATAATTGAGGTTTTTCATAACGGGTTTTTTATGATAAACATGTTTAAAATACCTAATACAAGACAAAAATAACCAAATATAGTCCAAAAATAACCAGATACAGGCCAAAAATAACCAGATACACACCTAATTTAAAGGACCTTGAAGGACTCGCCTACTTGATAATTGGCGTTTCAATTTTTTTTGCGATGCTTTAAATTATCTCAATTATCTCGCAAACTAATGGAGATAAAATTACGAAATTTTCACCATTTTATAGCAAACACGATTCTCCACAAATTTTAAAGAATCAAAAATTTCGAAATACCCCCAAATTTCCGAGATATTTACAAATATCCACTTCTCTTCAGCAGATCACCGCTCGCCTACTTGATGGAATGTTTTTTATTTCGAGCTCTCTTCGGAAATCGGAAACGGCCAGAAATCGAGACCGGCTGGCCTCCGGAAGTCGTCCAAGGTTGCCGGATTAATGTGTATTAATATACAGGGTGAATCATTGAGTCAGTCAGTCGGTGATCTCGAGAATTGGTGGAGATAAAATTACGAAATTTATGGCGTTTTGTAGAGAATTTAATTCGCTTTGAATTTTGGAAAATGAAAAATTTCGATAAAATGGCTAGTTTTTGAGATATTTTGAGTTTTTTGTCTCGACTACGTGACCGATTTTTTTTTACTTTTTAGGTATATTCTTTAGCAATAATTATCTCGAAATTTAATCAAAAGATAAAATTACAAAATTTTTATTAGTCTATAGGAAAATTAGTTCCTTACAAGTTTTAAGAAATCAAAAATTTCGAAAAAACTATAAATTTTTGAGATATTTTGAGTTTTCTAAATCTTCAAATTTTCGACATATTTGTCACAAACCGAAAAATAAGAAATAACTTATTGCGACTTTTATTACAACCACCCATTATTATCTCGCAAACTAATCGAGAAAAAATTACGAAATTTTCACCATTTTATAGCAAATTTAGTCCTCTAGAAGTTTTAAAGGATCAAAAATTTCGAAAAAACTTTAAATTATCGAGATATCTTGAGTTTGTTGACAGAAATACGGGAAAGAAAAAATATTTTCAGTGCGACTCATTAAAAAACCTCGATTATCTCGCAAACCAATCGAGATAAAATTACGAAATTTATACCATTTTGTAGAAAATTGAATCCTTTACAACTTTCAAAGAATCAAAAAATTGGAAAAAATCTAAATTTCCAAGATATTTCCACATTTCCCAACCGCTCGCCTACTCGATTAAAATTTCCGAGCCACTTTTGCCAATAGGTTAAATGACCTCAAAAATCCGGTCATTGGCCTTGACTTTCGCCCGAATTTAACGCTCGACCGTGCGCGCCATTTTTTCTTCTATTTTCTACCACTTTCCCGTTAATCTGTGCCATTCACTTTTTACTAATCTTCGATTTGCGCGCTCCGATGATAGCGGTTTTCTCGGAAACTACTCTGGCGGTTTTCTTTAAATTTTCACTGAATATTCTCCGAGATATTAGGAATTTTCTCACGAAAGCCGCACGCTCAGGATAATTTCCTGAGCCGAGTTATGAGAAAAATAAATTTCCAGCGACGTGGAAATTTTGCTCTGAAAGGCTCAGATAAATGCGAATATCGCGGAAATGGTGAAGTTTCGAAAATTATTCTTTCTTTTAAAGCGGTTCTGAGCAAATTTTCTCTAAAAAAATGAAGAAAATTGGTGGTTTTATCTCAATTAGTTTGCGAGGTTGTTTAAACAGTTGCAAAAAAGGATTTTTACAGTGACGTCTTAAACAGATTTTCATATGGAAGAATTATTTTCTGGGTTTCCAAACCTCAATTTTCCAATGGCTCAGCCATTTTACCTTAGAAATCAATTTTTTCCGAATTTTATTCGCCCTAATACGTCCCTAAAAAAACTCATAATCGACGCCGATGAACAATCTACTCAATGATTGAGCGATCGAATGACGCCATTTTTAACCGTGTACAGTCCCGCAATTAATTTAAAAATAATATTTTACATTGACACGGATTTAATAATGTAGCTGATTCATTATTAGTGACATTTTCAGGTTTCCCGCCATTTGCAAAGTCAAGGCCTACCTTACTGTTAAATAACAAAAAAAATGCACAGCCTACTTTAAAACAATTTAAAAAATTTAAAATTCCCCCTTACCTACTGGGTGTGTAGCGATCCGGGAGATTTCTAATGGGAAAAATCGTTTAAATAAATAAATCGTTTATTATTTGAGATGAAAGGGTGAAAAAATGTTTTCTGAGGTAAAATGACCTGATCTATCGGAAAATTGAGGTTTGGAAATCCGGAAAATTGACGTTTGGAAATCCGGAAAATTTCCTTTTGGGTGAAAATCCCCTAAAGACTAGTAGACGAGATTTTCCAAGTGCTAGAAAAAAAATCGTTAATAATTTAAGAATTGAGATAAAATTGAAAAAAATGTTTTTTTTCTGAGGTAAAACGAAGAGATCTATCGGAAAATTGACGTTTGGAAACCGAAAAAAAAATCTTCCGGGGGAAAATCCGGTATAAACTGGTATACCTACGAGATTTCCCTATGGCATCGAGTTAGAAAAAAATTCGTAATTCGGTAAATAATTGAGGCAAAATTTTGAAAAACATGTTTTCTGAGGTATAATTAGCTGATCTAACAAAAAATTGACGTTTGGAAACCCGGAAAAAATTTCCTTCCGCGTAAAACTCCGGTCAATAACAAATAATATTTTCAAATAAACTTATTTAATTATCTAATAAAAAATATATCCTTTCAAGGACAATCTAGTAGGCAAACAAAATATATAATACAGGATGTATTTTTTTCCCGTTACATTTTTATTTTTACTCGTTTTACCGTATCCGACATTATTAAAGTATCAAAACAAATTAATAAATTCTATTTTATTTATTTATTTGCCGTTCTAGACGGTTTATGCAACAATTTCCGTTGCACATTTCCCATAAATTCCGATACAAAAAAGTGCAAGCGCGTGCAATCTGGCCTATTTTGTTTTCTTGGCTAATTAGATGAAAAAAAGTTTTATTTTTTCGTGAGTTTGTGGCGAATAAGTGAAAATATCTTGTAAATATCGGTTTTATTCAAAATGATTCAAATCGGAAAATTGTTGAGAAATGTTTTCTCTATAAAATGGTGAAGATTTAGTGGTTTTATCCCGACTGGTTTTCGAGATAATAGAGATAGTTTGGACAGTTTCTGCAAAGTTTTTGGGAAGAATTTGAGAAAAAGTTGAGATATCTCGGAATTCTCCAAATTATCTCTATTATCTCTCAAACCAATCGAGACAAAATCACGAAAGCTTCACTATTTTTTAGAGAAAACATTTCTCTACAACATTCTAATTTGAATCTTTTCGAAAAAATACCAATTTTCCGAGTTATTTTCCTTTTTTTGTAATAAAATACGAAAAAAACGTATTTATTTTCTTAATATTTAACATTTCTGTAATATTTATTTAATACTTATATTATTTTTATCTTATCAATTTATAAAAGTATTAAAATACAATAAAATGAACATGTTTTGACTGGATTTAGGTACTGTAAAAAATAAGTACATTTACCTCTTTTTTTATTGAAAAATATTTGCAATTTGATATATAATTTTCGAAAATTTCCCAAAATATCAAATAATGGACTGGATTTGGGTATAGGGAATACCTACATACATGGATCGAAAGAGCATAAAATTATCCATTGTTCAATGCCTGAAAATACAGGATGATCAATTTAAAATAACAATGTTATGGCCACTTTAATTTAGACTTTTAAACAGATTTTCCTAAATATATTGACAACGGATCGATCAATTTAAAATTGAAAACAAGTAAATAATGATTTTTTTAATTAATCAATTAATATATTAAATAATTATCTCGCATAAAGTGAGTAAATTATAATGAATCACTGTAAATATATTTTTTTGAATAAATTTTTTTTCAGGTGGAATTTCTCAACAATTTCGAATGAATTTCGAAAACAATAATAAATTACTCATTTACCCGGAAATTACAGGAATTTTTTTGTAATTTTTTTTACACGTTTTAAATCAATCCATTTACTTATCTAGTGACTTTTCTTACGAGTAAATTTAGAGACTTTTTAATGACTTTTTCGAGCTTATTTTTGGCCAACTTTATTTAACCAAATTTTTCAACCAAATCTAGTTACATTTCTAGTGACTTTTTACCAACGAATCCACCTTCGCCTTCACCTTCACCGTTTCCCTCTCTCCCTTTTCCCCACTTCCCCACTTCTATAAAATCCGGCACTATCAAGTCGCCTGCTCCAGTAACGCGCGAAACATTCGACGATCGCAGTAGGTCAGGTCAAGTCGAAAAAAATCAAGTTACCCTCTAATCCAATTAGTGGCTCTATTTTAAGTGAAGAGAGGACTCTAATGTAAGCGGTTAGAGACAGAGAGGCTCTAATATTCGCGAAGAGTGACAGCGTTAGTGACTCTAATATACGTGAATCGAGGTTTTAATGTAAGTGAGATAGAGGCTCTAGTTTCAGCGAAGAGAGGCTCTAATATACACGAAGGTGAGAGTGATATACGTTAATAGAGGCTCTAATGTAAGTGAAGAAAGGCTCTAGTATAAGTGAATAGAGAGACTCTAATGTAAGTGAATTTAGACTTTAATATACAAGTTAGAGAAGCTCTAATGTTAGTGAATAGGGATGTTCTCATTTAAGTGAATATATCTCTAATAAACGTGAACAGATGGTCTATTTTAAGTAAACAGAGGCTCTAATTTAGGTGAATAGAGGCTCTAATATAAATAGAGGGTTCAAAAAGGCTCTATTATTGACCTACAAAAACCGCCTAAATTACCTCCAAAAGTGACTATGCGAATACATTGAGATTAGAATAAATTAGGTTCTAAAAAGGCTCTATTTCATAGGGCTGTAAATCACATAGGCTCTAAATAATATAGGCTCTGTTACAGCCTAGAAATACAGCCTAAATTTGTTATACTAGATAGAAAATGCGAGACCTGGGGCAGAACCAGGAGGCCGTGGAAGCCTACGGAAGAACCGCCCCTTCTCAGGAGGAGGAAATCGAGAACATGGGGGACCTCATTAGAATCTCCACTTCTCAGGCTAAATTGATGGAAACTAGAGATTCTATAGGCTCTATAGACTCGGATATTTGCTTATCATTTGATAGGCAACGCGGGAGCATCACCGAGGAGGAAATTGAGGACCTGGATGAGCACCTGGGGGACCTCACCATAATCCCTACTTCTCAGTCTAAACTAATGGAAACCAGAGACTCCATAGGCTCCATAGACTCGGACATTTGCCTTTCGTTCGATAAGAAACGCGGGAGCATCGCCGAGGAGGCGGAGGAGCACTTGGAGGAACACCTGGAAGAACACTTGGAGCATCTAGAGGATACTTCTTTTTCTCAGACGAAGCTGTATAATGAACCTAGAACCACGAGCTCTTCTCCAGAGCAACATCCTCACCTAATAGACCACCTGGAGGAACACCTCCTGGAGCATACAGAGCACCAACTGGAGCACCCGGATGACCAAAACCAACCCAGAACCACGACCTCTTCTCCGGAACATCAACATCCCCACCTAGAGGACCACCTAGAGCACCACCTGGAGCACTTGGAGCACCCGGATGACCAAAACCAACCCAGAACCACGACCTCTTCTCCGGAGCACCAACACCCCCACCTGGGGGACAACCTGGGGGACCACCTCAGCGACACCTCCTCCTCCAAAGACTCCGGCTGCGACCTCCCCCCCGACGCCTACGACCCCTCGTTCGCCGCCCCCTCCGAGGAGCTCGCCCGCAAGATCGTCCAACAGGTGGAGATCTACTTCTCCGACGAGCACGTCTCCAAGGACGCCTTCCTGCTCAAACACCTCAAACGCAACAAGGAGGGCTACGTTTCGCTCAAACTCGTGTCGAGCTTCAAGCGGCTCAAACATCTGACGAAGGATTGGAGGGCGGTGTTGCACGCTCTAACCGACCCCTCAACCAGGTCAGTTTATCATTAGCTTACGCGAATTACATTGGTTTAGACGAGTTTCCATTGGTTTATAGCCAATTTATCATTAGTTTACGCGAGTTTATATTGGTTTATGATCGATTTATCATCAGTTTATACGAGATTATACGTGGTAAAGTTATTAGTTTACGTAATTAGTTTACGATTTATATATTAATTTATGCAAATTTACAATTATCTACGATTTATTTATTATTAGTTTCCACGAAGCAACATTTGCATATCCTTTTTTAACACTAGTTTACTGTGTTCTTCGAACTGTTTACTAGTTCCTGTTTCTAACATCGGTTTTTGCTCGACTTGTTAGTTTCATCGAAACAACATTGGTTTACGCTCGATTTGTCATCAGTTTCTACGAAATAACATAAGCTTATCCTTTTTTATCACTAGTTTATCCTGTTTTTAACATTGGTTTGCGCTCGATAATATCACTAGTTTCTCCTCCACCAGGTCTCCTAAACTCCAAGTAAACGAAGCCGGCACCAAATTGAGGCGGCTAGCGCCCCTTCCCCAACACGACGAAACCGCCCCCTCGCGGTCCGTTCTCCTGGTGCACCTGCCCCCGGAGAAGGCCTCCATCGACCTGGTGGCGGCCATCTTCAAAGGCTGCGGCGACATAGCTTCGATCAGGCTGCTCCGGCCCCCCGAAGCGAGGCTTTACCTCCAAAAACACCGGCCAGCGGTGGCGGGGGCGGCGCCCGGTTGCGCCGTGGTGGAGTTCGTAAAATCGGAGGCGGCCAGGAGGGCTGTGAAGATGACGCCCGAAGACCTGGGGGAGCCTATGGAGGTGTACGAGATGAAGAACACGCCGGGGGCGGCAGGGCCGGGGACGGAGCGTAGGAAGAAAGGAGGGGGGAAGAAGGGAGGGGCGGTTAAAGGAGCGGGCCAGGAAGCGGCGAGGAAGGAAGTGGAGGCTGAGGAGGAGGATGAGGAGGCGGCGAGGAGATTCGAGGCTAGAGGTGAGAATTGGCCATTTTGTCATTGGTTTAAGCGAGTTTCTCATTGCTTCTGACGAGTTTACATTGGTTTATGATTGATTTCTCATTAGTTTAGGCGATTTTAAATTGGTTTATGGTCTTAATGTTCGATTTATCATTAGTTTAGACGAGTTTGCATTGGTTTACGTTCGATTTCAGGAAAAATCCGCCGAGGCTCGTCGGCTTCCCAGCAGTTTCCCTCGCGCTTCACCGAACCCGCAGCTTGGCTTCAAAGAAGGCTGAGCGCTTCCAGTACTGAAGCTAATTTCCTGTACATGCCGAGGCGGCTGTCGTCGAGCAGCAGGGACTCGAGCGATTCGTCTTTGTTCCTGCAGCGCAGGATGAGCTCGTCCAGGTAAACTGATAAGCTAATGATGGGGTGCGATGTGAAGGCGGTTTTCGGACGAGGTGGGGTCGGAAAAGTTGGAATATCTCGGAAACGGAGGGGTTTATAGAAATTTTCGATTCTTTTAAAGTTATACAGGATTGAATATACTATGGGGTGGTGAAGGTTTGGGGTTTTTATCTCGATTGGTTTTCGAGATAATTGGCGTTGTTTAAAAGAATTGCAAAAGAATATTTTTACTTTCGTGCCTAAGTGTCAAAAAACTCGAAATATCTCGAAACATTAAACATTTTTCGAAATTTTTGATTCTTTGAAAGTTAGAAAATTAGATTCTCTACAAAATTATGAGAACTTCGTAATTTTATCTCTATTACTTTTCGAGATAATTGGGATTTTTCTCCAGATTTATTACCAATCCTCTCGATTTCCAAACGATTTTCATGCCATTTAAAACCATTTTAAACGGGATTTAACTCTCCCGCAGCTGTTCCAGCGGAGATTTCTCATCCAGGAGGGCCTCCTCTTCGTCGGAATTCAGCCAATCGAGGTCCAGGAGCAACAGCTCGGCCTTCCAGAACCTGGAAAATGTCTTGAGAATGCCAAAGGGGCCCGACGGGAGCAAGGGATTCAGGCAAAGGATGGGCCCTTGTGGGGCTGTGAGGGGTTAGGAAAGGTCTGTAGTTTTCTAAGGATTGTAGAGAAACATTTTCTGTATAAAATAGTGAAGAATTGGTGATTTTACCTAGATTGGTCTTTCAAGATAATTAGGGTTATTTGTGGAGTTGCAAAAAGGGATGTTGCAAAATTATAGAGAAATATTTTCTCTTTAAAACAGTGAAAATTTTGCTTCTCTATTTCTAATAGTTTTCGGGATAAACGAGATTTTTCATAGGATTGCATCATCTTTTCCTAACGAATAAGAGCCGCCTTGATTTTTGAACAGGAAATATTTTTTTTTCTAATCTCCTTCTTCATCTTCTTCCGGCAATTTTGACCTTTAGGAAGCAAATGACTGCCTTCAGAAACGATAATAACATAACCTTGTAACAGTAAATCGTGCATATTGTGTGAGGTTATGATAAGGTTATGTACAGGGTGTTGAATTGTTCAGAGGTTATTATAAAATGTGTTTTTTTGGGAGGACATTGCGGAAAAAGGTGGCGTATCCTGGAATTGAGGGATATTTTTGGGATTAGTTCAAATTGAAGAATTGTAGAGAAACGATTTCTCTATAAAATAGTGAAGATTTGGTGATTTTATCTCGATTGGTTTCCAAGATAATTGAGATAACATGGACGGTGTCTTCAAAATTTTTGGGAAGTTTTTGAGAAATAGTTGAAATATCTCGGAATTTTGGTTTTTTTTTTGGAAATGACTCAAATTAGGAAGTTGCAGGAAAGGAAAAAAAATAGGAAAAAAAATGCACTATGAATTTTCATGAATCCATGCCAAAAAACTCAAAATTTCTCGAAAACGAGCCGCTTTATCAAAATTTTTCATTCTTTAAAAATTCTAGAAACTTAAATTTCCTATAAAACGCTGCTAATCCCATTTCTGTACCTCCATAACTCTTCGAGATAATCGAAAAAAATCGCGACAATCTCTCGCAAAATTCGGCCATTTTTATTCAAAACCCCGCAATCTAACTAATTTTTTCTACATTAATTTCGAGAATTAAAAAGCGTAAAATGACGATCTCTTTTCGCCATTCTAACGGAGAAATTTCGCTTTTTTCCACATGGAAAAAGCCGAGCAAACGGAGAAAGTAGCGCTAGAAATGTAGGCCGTGACCGTCAATCGGGGCATTGAAATCGGCGAAACAGTGGCGTATAAAAATCGAAATATCTCGAAAATATCGATCTTTTTCGAAAAGATTCAAATAAGCAAATTGTAGAGAAATCTTTTCTCTATAAAATGGCGGAAATTTGGTTTTTCTACCTTTGTTAGTTTTGGAGATATTTTTGATTTTTTTACAGGATTGTATCAAAATTTTAAATGCTTTATGTCAAAAAACTCAAAATATCTCGAAAATTTGCTATTTTTTGGTAATAATTCAAATTCTAAATTGTAGAGAAAACTTTTCTCTATAAAATATTGAAAACTTCGTTTTTCTATCTCAATCAGTTATGGAGATAATTCAGATTTTTCACACGATGGCATAAAAATTTTTATGGACTTTAGACAAAAAACTCACAATATCTTGAAAATTAACCATTTTTTCGAAAATCCATTCATTTTCCTTCATTTTCCAGATAATGTAGAAAATAAAATTCTCTACAAATCAACATAATTCATTCTCCAATTCCATCATTATTGACTCATTTATACCCGTTTGTTTAGACAATTTCACTATTAAAATCCATCAACTCGTTATATTCACTAGTAGGCCTTGACCGCTATTCGAGCATTAAAATCGGCAAAACTGCGATAAAAATCGCCCTGTATATAATTTACATTCAAAAGGTCACTTTATTTACCCGACGTGACCCCCATTGAAGTGTCAATGTCGCTGTCAATGTCAAAATTTGAAGGTTTTTGTTGGTGTTCATAGTAGGCTGTGACCGGAATGATAAGGGAAAAATTCCAATATCTCGGAAATTAGAAGTTATTTTTTGAAATTTGGTGATTTTATTTCGATTGGTTTTCGAGATAATTCGGATAATTTGGACAGTTTCTTTCAAATTCAAATATCTCGGAAAATTGGAGTTTTTCGTAAACAATTCAAATTGGAGAATTGTAGAGAAATATTTTCTCTACAATGTTTCGAGAATGTTTTCGAGAATTTTTTTGTAGATTCTGATTCTCACTAAATAAAAGTTGCATGTTTTTTCAAAAATCTCGAAATATCTCAAGAAATTTAAATTTTCTCGAAATTATTCAAATTGCAAATATATAGAGAAATCTTTTCTCTATAAAATATTTAATACTTCACTATTCTATCCCAATCAGTTTTCGGGATAAACGAGAATTTTCATACGACTGCATCAAAATTTCCTATACATTATGACAGAAAACTCGAAATATCTCGAAAATTATCCATTTTTTCAAAATTCTTCATTATCCAATAATTGTATAAAATAAAATTCTCTACAAAACATCCCAATTCGTTCTCCAATTCCATCAATATTGACTCATTTATACCCATTTATTTAAACAATTTCATTATTAAAAGTATGCTATGCAACAATTTCTTTTGTAATTAATAAATTTTATGTTCGTTTTGTTCTAAAAATGAATTACTATTTATGTATTAATATAAAATGTATGTATTTTGTTCCATATTTTAAATAATGTATATAGATTTAATTTATTGTTTAATTGTATCATTATTTTACTCTAAGATTAGTTTAGTTTATTATTGTAATAAAATAATAAAATATTTGAATTGTTTTCAATGAGAATTTCTCCTTTCCAAGGCCGCTCGAGATAAGACAATTAATTTCTCGGCCTACTTCTAAAAACAAATACTAAATTCTAAATGGTTCTAAACAGTTTTAAAAGATTTTGAAACGTTCTAAATGGTTTGAGACAGTTCTAAACGATTCAAGAACGTTCTAAATGGTTCTAAACAGTTTTATAAATGATTCAGCAACGTTCTAGATAGTTTTAGAAGTTCTAAATGACTCTGAAACGTTCTAAATGGTTTTAGACAGTTCTAAATGATTCTGAATCGTTCTAAATGGTTCTAAACAGTTTTAAATGATTCAGGAACGTTTTGAATGGTTTTAGACAGTTTTGAACCCAATTTCTATGACTCTGAGGGGTTCTAAATGGTTCTGTGCAGTTTTAAATGATACAGGAACGTTTTAAATGGTTCCAGACAGTTCTAAATGACTCTGAAGCATTTTAAATGGTTAGGGACAATTCTAAATGATTCTAAATCATTCTAAATGGATTAAGACAGTTCTAAATGATTATGGATTGTTCTTGTAAAGGTTTTGAACAGTATTAAATGAGCCTGGGTCGTTCTAGATTGTTCTAGAAGATTACTTATTAGAATGTTAAACATATAAAATTTAATTTAACCCAGCAGATTGCCTTGGCTTTTACCCAAAATGACCTTTTGAAAAGTACAAGACACCTCCAAAAATAAAATATATATTTTATAAATTTACCTATGTATATTAATTTCAAACAGTTTTTTTTCTCTCTATTGCCTGCTATGGAGTGAAACAATTTATTTGAACCATATATTACAGGTGAATTATTATAGGTGAATTATGTAATTAAGTATAATTCACCTGTAATATGTAGTTCAAATTTTTTTCAATCCAACCAAATCGACGAAAATTTTTAAATTCCTGCCTAATAAAAGTCATAATTTAATGAAGGTGGAAGACAGGTCCCTACCCACCTGTCGCCCGGTGTGATACCACCACACCAGCTTTAAGAGCTCTTTAATAATGCCTAGTGCATGTTTCCGAGCTTTGCTGGTGGGCCGGTCCCCAGGGTAGGAGGTGACGACCTCATTAAGAGGAAGAACCAATTAACGATCTCCACAAGGGGTGATAAGCCAATAATGACGTTTTCTAATATGTGGCATTATTATTTTCAAATAAAAAAACCATGATGTCGTCTACTGGGGTAAAATATTCCGGAGGTAAACTCGTTCCCCAATCGGATCTCCGGGGGGGACTATCCCAGGGGATACAACATGGAGATTCAAGCTCCTCAAATCATGCCACCAACGGCTCATCCAATCAAGACACCAACACCAATTATGACACCAACACCAATTATGACATTACCAATCAAGTCAACAATAAAAAGCTCAATATTGAGTTTTGCAACATTCGAGGGCTCGGACATAATAACATTAACGTTAATTGCGTCCATCAACATCTACAATCAGTCAAGCCCCATATTTTAGCTTTAAGTGAAACTCAAATAAGTCCATCAGCTGACAGCACATACCTGCTATGTCCTGGGTATGATTTGCATTCTAGGTTTAGGTTCAAGGGAGGCGTTTGCGTCTACGTCAGATCTGACGTTGCCTGTCAACGTGAAGAATCCATGGAGGTTGACAGCCTTGACGTAATGTGGCTTAAAACTATTATCCACAAGAAAACGCGATTTATATGCTCCCTGTATCGCTCTCCTAACGACAACCAACCTCATCAGCTGTTTCAACACTTATCAGAGAAAGTCGACTGGATCCAGATCAACTATCCATCATCCGAAATTGTCATTCTTGGCGATTTCAATGCTCATAATTCCGGTTGGCTAACGCACTCCAACAAAACGGACGAGGCCGGAAGACAAGCCGAAGCCTTTGCAATCAGCTGCAATCTATCTCAATTGATAGATTGTCCAACAAGAGTTCCCAGTAACCCTAACGATTTCAGAAACACGCTAGATTTGTACCTAACCTCAGAGCCTGACAGCTATGACATCACGGCACATAGTCCACTTGGCAACTCAGACCACATCTTATTATCCGCATCATGTCCCTTAATTGTGGAGACTGTCGACCAACCCAGAGCTCGTCGTCTAGTTTGGCACTACAACAAAGCCAAGTGGGATGAGCTGAGGGACTTTTTCGCAGCGTTTCCTTGGAGCGCTACCTGCTTTGCGAACAAAGACGTTAATCAGTGTGCTGAAGCTGTCTCTGAGGTAATCCTTCTAGGTATGGAACTCTATATTCCACATAATCGCAAAAAACCACCATCCACAACACCCTGGTTTAACAAAGAATGCGAGCAAGCGTCCATTAACAAAAATAGAGCGTTCAGAGAGTGGTGCTCAAATCCGTCGGAAGAAACGCGACAAACATATATGCAACTTAGAAATAAGTGCAATCTGATTATCCAACAAGCAAAACAAGCATTTAACAATAAGGTAACAAATAAGCTTTTAGAATGTCCTAGTGGTTCGCGTCCATTCTGGTCACTAGCTAAGGCTATCAACAACAATTTTTGCCATACCACCTTTCCACCACTTGTTAAAGATGATGGCACATTGGCGACCAGCTCCAAAGAGAAGGCAGACCTCTTCGCGGCACTATTCGCAAAGAATTCAACGCTAGATGCAGGTCAAAAGGTACCTCCTAATATTCCTAAGTTTCAGGTTTCAATGCCCGAACTGAAATTTCAAACACGTAACATCCGCCGCATTCTGAAACAACTAAACTGCAAAAAGTCAATGGGACCTGACGGGATACCTGCAATTGTATTAAAGCACTGTGCACCCGAACTCGCACCTTTGCTCTGTCGGCTTTTTAAGCTGTGCTATGAGCAGAGGACATTTCCATCTGTATGGAAGGTTGCAAGAGTTCAACCAATACCAAAAAAAGGGAAAAAGTGCCTTCCGCAAAATTACCGCCCGATAGCCCTTCTACCCATATTATCCAAAGTAATGGAATCTGCCATTAACTTGCAGGTTGTTAAATATCTAGAACAGAATGGTCTCATAAGTGACAACCAGTACGGCTTCCGACACAGTCGCTCAACAGGTGACCTGCTCACTTATGTCACACACATTTGGACAAGTGTTATCGAGAACCACGGAGAATCAATAGCGGTCGCTTTAGATATATCTAAGGCCTTCGACCGGGTTTGGCACAAAGCACTGCTATCTAAGCTGGCATCCTACGGTCTGCCCCAAAAACTATGCGGACTTATAGAGAGCTTTCTGCATAGGAGACAAATTCAAGTTGTGGTTGACGGTGCAACTTCAGATCCTTACTCTTTGAACGCTGGTGTACCTCAAGGATCGATTTTATCACCAACTCTATTCTTAATTCACATAAATGATCTTTTAAATTCAACCAAAAACAAAATTCTCAGCTTCGCAGATGATAGCACTCTCATAGCATCCACTACAAACAAGAGACCTGTCAGTGCATCGAAATCAAGTCGCCAAAGGCTCTTGCAAGCTGAGTCCATCAACAACGACCTTCAAACTATTTTGAAGTGGGGATCCGATAATCTGGTTGAATTCAACGCCTCCAAGACCCAGGCAACCATGTTTACAAGAAAGACGTCCTCCGTCATACCCCAACTAGCATTGAATAACAAAACAATTAAAACAACTAATAAATTACATCTTTTAGGGGTCAGCATTAATTCAAATGCAACCTGGAATGAACATGTTTCCACCATAGCTAAATCAGCCGCCCAGAAGCTTAGTTACTTATTTCGTGCCAGAAAAATGTTCACACCAAAGCAGCTTCTGTTACTCTATAAGGCTCAAGTTCGTCCAGCATTGGAATATTGCTCTCATGCTTGGAGTTCTGCTCCTAAGCACTCCTTGCACCTACTAGACTCCATTCAAAAAAGAGCAGTGCGCCTGGTTGATGACCCCTCATTAACCTCTAACCTTCATACACTAGACCATCGTAGAAGGGTTAGCGACTTAAGTCTCTTTTACAGATATTACCACGGAAGGTGTTCTGCAGCCATTGCCTCCATTATTCCACCTGGTGCTCACTTTGGACGTTCTACAAGGCTAGCGGAGAGCACACACCAGTTTGCCGTACACGTTTCAACAGCTAGGACCTCTATGTATCAGAAATCTTTTCTGTACAGAACCGCGACACTATGGAACACACTACCATCAGAAGTGTTCCCAGTTGGTTACGACCTTCAGAGGTTTAAGACCAACATTAACAATTACCTACTAAAAACGCCTCGGGGCGCCTGAACAGGCGTTATAAGCTTCGTCTTTTCCCGAGTCGTGTGCATAAAAAAAAAAAAAAAAAAAATAAAAATGAAAAATTTCTCTATTTAAATTACTTCAGTGCTGTAGGAGCACTAAAGATGGCAGCACATGTTTCGCGGTCGACGGTTTTAAAACCTCGAATTATCAAAAACGTGACGATTTAAAATATTATTTATTTCTAATTCTTGGGCTCCTTTATTCTCTCTACCTGCGAGAATATGAAAATTTCCACTTCACATCAACCTACCTTGTTTTTTTTATTTTTAAAAATGTCGTTCCCGTTTTTTTCGGGTATTTTTTACCTGCTCGTCGCGAATCGAGTTCTAAATTCGGTTCGGAATATTTTATATCTTAATAATGTCATTGGAATTAAATTCAAATGACCGAATTCTTCGGATAAGTTCGAATCGAATCGAAATGTTTCGGAGCAATTCTTAATGGTTCTGCATGGAGCCTTCGAAATGGTTCTAGATAATTCTAAATCATTCTGAAGCATTCTCTAAACACTTCTAAATGATTCTAAGCAGTTTTATATGATTGTAGACAGTTCTAAATGGTTCAAGATGGTTATAAATTGTTCTAAACAGTTCAAAATCGTCCTTAAACGTTCTAAGTGTCATTTTTGATTCAACTTGTAACCTTCAACTTGTAATTTGGAAATCCTTGTTATCATCTTCGAAAAATTGATCAAACTCTTCCATATTAACAAAAAAAATTGTAAAATAAAATAACAATACTATCAATTTTGCAACTTTTTGAATAATTTCATGTAGGCCCTTACTTTGTAATGTAACTTTAAGAACAAACAAATATACTCCACAAAAGTTAAGGAAGTTCACAAATATTGAGATTAATTTAAAAGTTGCAGGTTTTTTGATCGCCAAATTTAGTATGAGTTGTAGAGGTAGGGGCATAAAATCCACTCAGATATGAGAGAAAACATTTAAGTTCGCATATTTGAAAATTTGGTGATCATAAAGTCTGTAACTTTTAAAATAATCGCAAAATTTGCGAACTTCCTTAACTTTTGTGGAGCAGTTTATTATCAACTGTAAGAACTACTTTATTTACATGAAATTTACGTGAAAATTCTACTTATTTATGCTGCTAAACATAAATGTATTGGGAAATGTCAATGTCAATAGTGTCAAATTTTTAATTTTGCGAGTAAAATACTCCTTCAAGGGACCTATCAACCACACTTTGAGGGTCCGTTTTGCTCACTCACACTCACCCATGAGGGCCCACTCACACTTAAGGGAAGTCTCTGAATACGGGCACGAAAGCTGCCTTTTAGAAAAATCAGTTACTGTTATAACTGTTATTTAAAAATAGCAGTTTTGCCCATCTCTATACGAGAGAGTACCGTTTCGAACTCACTGCGAGTCAATGTTGCCTGAAATGCAGAATTTTCTTCAATATGCAGGATTATTGCCTACAATGAGAGCTACTGAAGAAACGAATACTTTACAAAAACCTCTGAAATATTGAAGTCTTAAGGTAGGTATTCAATTTGTCCACATTTTTCTACTTTTCGTAATAAACTGTCCTTCATAATCTAATCTAATAATGAAATGACGTCACGGATGACGATTTACATAATTGGTGCAGAAATATGAAGAGTGTTAAAGGTTTAATTGAAGAAAATTGATACAAAAAACCTGGCAACATTGCCGCGAGTACCGCGCGAACGCGAACTTAAGTCAAGAACCAGAAGAGAATTCTCTTCGCGGGGCCCCGTGCCTACCGACTTAAGACAGTTAAGTTCTCTTCATCGCACCCGCGTCATTCGCGCATGCACATCGCCCAGCGCGAGCCAGCAGAGCGCAAAAGCCGTTCGAAATGTCGTTGGCACGCCGTAGATCGGCCTTGTAGCCACTACGCCGACGGCCTTCCGAAGATTAGAAAGTGCCAGCTTTCTAATATCTCCTCCGCGCGTCGTCGCAGGAGCGCGCGCGTGTTCCTTTCTCGCGAAAAAGTGCCCCCGATAATCGCATGGAAGCCGCCCCTTGATCGAACACCACCGGGCCCAGAATCAACAACAAGCAGAAGAACCACCAGCCGGGAATAAGGAGGAGAAGTAGAAGAAGAGAGAATGGTGTCCCGCAGGAGGATACTATCGAGGTCGCGCGACGACCTCCATATGGACGGCCGGGCGCCAGAGGACGAGGAGGACGTGTGGTACCAGAGGGACAAGCTCTACAGGGACCACATACAGGAGGTGCTCAACAAATGGACGCAAATCGACGACGAGATATGGGCGAAGGTGATCGTGCTGGAGAGGAACAGGCGGGTGGCGAAGGCCTACGCCCGGGCCCCCGTGCTCACGGTCAACGACTCCGACGACGGGTTCGACGGGTTCCGGATCGGGCTGTTGGGGTTCGAGAACCCCATGAGGGATCCGAAGACCGAGGAGTTCAAGCGGCACATCGGGCACGGCGTTAAAATTAAAATGGACGATGGAGGTGAGTATTACGAGGAATTCCGTTTTGTTTTATTTTTTCTTTTCTTTTTGTTCGTTCGTTCGTCGTTTTAATATTTGTATTTGGTACGCGTTTGTGATTCGAATCGCTTATTAGGTGGGTACTACCCATAGGCGGTTTGAATTGAATTGCAACACACGGTATATAAATATGCTCTCACGCCTTAAAAATGTGCCTCGTTTGACGCATTACATCGGTCATTCTTTTATATGCAGGAGTGGTTTTAGAATTTGCTAAATCGCTAATTATTTTTACACAATTTTTGCTATTTCCTGCTAAAGCACATCTTGTATTTTTCTTTATAATCTATCATCAAAATTAAGCCATAAATAATTCGGTTAAAATTTGCTAAATTACTAATTTATTAGTAATTATTTTCTTGCTAAAGCAGATCTTATGTTGTTATTTACAAACTAAAGTTCATACGTTTTACAATGAGAATGACGTCACGGGCCAGCCCGTTGAGATGTTGCTAGGTCGTAATCGAAATCCTATATATGATACATTTAACTTATAAAAGTTTATGTTTCACTTTCGATGTTAGCAAATTAGTCACAGCAAAATAGTCACAAATAGTTGAATTTATACGTGAAAAAGAACGTCGGGATGAGATACGAATTCGGGAATAGTAATTTAACTGGAAAAACAGATTGAAAAACGCGGGAGAAACTGATAAACGTACAGAAACAGCAAAAAAAACGATCTAAAATGGACGAAATAGACAAAAACTACTCGTAAACTTGATAAACAAAAACAGGACACATTAAATAACGCTGGGAATCGTTTAGAACTATCTAGAATCATTTAGATCGCTTCAGAATCATTTAGAACTGTCTAGAACCATTTCGAACGCTTCAGAACCATTTAGAACGTTTCATAGTCATTTGCAACGCTCCAGAATCAATTATAACTGTCTAAAACCATTAAGAACGCTTCAGAACCATTTTGTACGTTTCATAATCATTTAGAACGGTCTAGAACCGTTTAGAACGTTCCAATGTCATCTAGAACGCTCCAGAATCAATCAGAACTATCTAAAACCATTTAGAACGCTTCTGAACCATTTATGTAGAACCCTCCATAGTCATATAAAACGCTCCAGAATCATTTAAAACTGTCTAGAACCATTTAGAACACCTCAGAACCATTTAGAACGCTCCAATAATCTTTCAGAGCTCCCCCGCAATCGTTTAGAACCGTCCCGAACTAAAGATTTCGACTTAATAAGTACTTGAAAAAGCTGCTTAGAATTAAAAGATCTATACGCACTAAAAAAAAGTATCAACTTATGAGACACCCTGTATATAAGAAACTACTCATCTATAGTAACAAACGAATTGTTATTAACCGCTCTATTCCCTTCCCGTTGCAGGCAACATCCTCATCAAGCGCGTATCCAAATGCAACGTCTACATCAAAAACACCGCCCTCGACGACGAGAACGCCATCGGCAACGAAGTCCTCAAGCTCCCGCACGCCGCCCTCGAACCGGACAAGCCCGTCAAGCTCTTCGACATGAAGAAATTCCAATCGAACGTCAACAGAGAGCTGCGGCGCGCCTACCCGGACCGCCGCCGGCTCGAGTGCCAATGCCTCAGCGCCATCGCCTTCGTCAAGCTCGAGCCGGAGCTGCTCGACTGCCCCATCTGGGTGCTCATCATCAACATCGTCGCGCTCGACATGCTCAAGTCGAAGCTGCCGCCCGTCCAGCGCGCCGTCGACATCAAAAACCGCCCCAAGATCCCCGTGCCCGACGAGGACCCCTACAGCGTCGCCACCACCGACAGCGGCCACTTCGGCAACTACGCGGTGAGCGTGGCCGCCACCAGGGAGCACCTGCTGATGCAGAGCCAACGCCGCAACGAGAAACCGCCTAAATTGCCGCCGCGCGAGGGTAATTTGTACCCGCACGAGATCCCCCAGCCGGACTACGACGATTACATGTCGGGCAGGCAACTGAAGGTCTACGGCTACACGAACAAAGACAAAGAGAGACCGGGCGACGGGCAAAAGCGCGACGAGGACCCGTACTATTACAGATCGCGACCGGCTGTCGATTCGTTGGCGCAGCGGCGGGGCGACAAGCCGCCCAAATTGCCGCCGAGGGAGCGGGCGAGCGGCTGCGACATCCCGTCGCCCGACTACGACGATCGCTCGACGACCAGGAATTGGCTGAAGCCGTTCGTGTCGTCGCGTCACAAGGGCAAGGCGAAGGGCGCCAACGAGGAGAAGCAGTACGAGGACCCGTACTATTGCGGGCTGAGGGCGCGCGTGCCGAATTTCGTGGCGAAATTGAAGGGCGGCGAGCCGTCGAAGCGGTTCGGCGTCAGTCAGGGATCGTTGTTGTCGAAGTGAACGGACATGTTCGTCTGGGGATGGAAAAAGTGCGTTAAAACGAAACGTCGTGTGTTCGTAAATTGGAGATTTTTTTTTAATATTTTTTTAATTCGGAATGATTCGTTCGTAAGAGATTGGTAATGAATGAACAGGTGTAAATGAGAAGGTTTTTCTATAAACCCTTATAATTCAGAATCATTCAGTTCAGAATAATAATTTTCAACGCTCCAGAGCCATTCAAAATAATTTAAGACACTCCATAACCATTAGGAAATGTTCAGAATCATTTAGAACTGTTCAAAATCATTTAAAACGCTCCACAAACTTTTAGAACTGTTCAGAATCATTTAGAACAGTTCAGAATCATATAAAACGTCCCACAACCATACAGAACTGTTCAGAATCATAAAGAACTGTTCAGAGGTCTAAGGAACTGTTCAGAGTCATTTAGAACTGTTCACAGTCATTTAGAACGCTCTAGATTCATTTAGAACTGCTTAGAACCATTTAGAACGTTCCAGATTCGCTTAGAACCATCTAGAACGATCTAGATTCATTTGGAACGTTGCAGGTTCATTTAGAACTGTTTAGAACCATTTAGAACGGTGTAGATTCATTTAGAACTGTTTTCAACCATTCAGAACGCTCCATTTTCATTTTGAACTGTTAAGAACCACCTAGAACGCTCTTGATTTATTTAGAACTGTTTAGAACCATTTAGAACGCTTTAGAATCATTATATAACGCTACACAACCATTTAGAACTCTATAGAATCATAAGGTACTGTTCATTTAGAACGCTCCATTTTCATTTTGATCTGTTTAGAACCATTTAGAATGCTCTCGAACCGTTCAGAATAATTTAAAACGGTAAACAGAACTGTTTACAGTCATTTAGAACTGTTTGGAACCATTTAGAACGATCCAGAAGCATTTAGAACGTTTCAAGGACGATTTAAAACAGTTCAGAACCATTTAGAACTGTCTAGAATCAGTGCATTTGAAGATTATATCTGAATTTTGAAGAGATCTAGAGCGTTAATATAGAAGCATTATTATAGAGCCTTCTCATTTATTTCTGGTACCGGTTTGTATTCGAATTCGTCAACCTCGTTTCCTTCGGAATACTTCTTTTTTTTCTTTCTCTCGCCTTTAATCTAGCATTCTACGAAAACGCGAATTCTTCTGTAATAGTTCTCGAATTCTTCAAAAACGAATTTCACTTTAAACGATTTAATTAAATTGTTTCGCATTGTAAAATTTATCTGTTTGTTTTAATTGCGACGTAATTGCCGTTTTCTACACTCTAATTAACTCCTAATTATTAACGCATTTGGCAGCAATTTTTAACAGTGTAATTTCACATTCTTTGAATAACTTCGAAAATCGATTAGTTACCAAAAATGATGATTTGTAAATAATATAATTTTTCGACGATTTTTGGAATGTTTCGTTAATGCAAAATTATACAGGGTGAAACCCGCTTTGTATGAATCGACTCTTTCTCGAGGATATTATTGTTACCGTGAGGTGCTCAACTTAATTAGTATATTAAGTTAGTTTTTTTTTGAATCGTTCGAATTGCTAAAATAGCTTTAAATTATTTTTTTTAATTTTGTTAAATGTTTTTTAAACGGCAATTTTGAATTTGTTAACGACACGCAAGTAAAAAAAAATGATAATCGCTCGAACGATTAATAACTAATTAAATTAAGCGATGTATTTTGCATAAACTTTTTGATACTATTTTTTATATAATTTTTTTTATCATTTGCTAGGCACACCATTATTTTACATGTTATTTACCTAAAAAAATTATGTTACACCTATTATATTCGCAAATTGTATATATCTAGTGAATTTATGTATAATAAAATTAGAGTAAATTTTTAAAAACAGCTTTAGAAATTGATGTGTATTTGGTTTTTCTAAAAAAAAATGTTTTTTAATGTTTTACTCCAGAATCATTTTATAGAACGGCTCAGAACCATTTTGAAACAGTTCAGAACCATTTAGGACTGTATAGAGTCGTTTGGAACTATTTGGAACGATCGAGGATAAACTGGGGAAGTCCAGAACTATTTAAGACATTTCAAAACCATTTAGAACTGTCTAAAAGCATTTAGAATGTTCCAGAATAATTTAAAAACATTCAGGACGAATCAGAACTGTCTAGAACAATTTAGAAATGTCTAGAATAATTTAGAACTGTCTAGAACAATCTAGAACGACCCAGGATCATTTAATACTGTTCAAAACCTTTTAGAACAATCGAACAATAGAATGCTTTAGAATCATTTAGAACTGTCTAGACTCATTAAAACCGTTCCATGTAGACCTATCTAGAACCATTTAGAACGCTCCAGAACCTTTTTGAACTGTCTAGAACTATTTAAAACTATTCAGAACCATTTAGAACCGCTATTTTCTCCTCTAACAACTGTTATTCTAATGATCTAATACAATCTTTTTTTGTTCAACTCATAGAAATGACCATATTGCATACTGAAATACACCATGAAGGTCTCAAAATTCTATCTTAGTCGATATCTACTATCAGTCAATGACCTCTACGGTTTTTTTAATAAAAAATAGCAGCATGAATTAATTGTTTTTCTTCACAACACCTACCACACAAATAAATCTTATCAAAAATGTACTTTATCAATACCTACATATTTTTTACTGCTCATTAAAAATAACCACATCCTTTTACTCCCGCTCTCTATAAAATTCAAACGAAAAACATTTTCCCTTCACACATCCACCAGCAATCGTAAAAAGTTGTCCAATCTAATATACGTAAGTACACCTAATTTTTTTATTCATTTACTTTTTACTTATCTATACTTATAATCTTTCCAGAATTAAAAAAAATGTCCGAAGAACACGGTGAAATCCCCGGAAGCTTGTACAGCGCCTACTCGATCCATCCCAAGGAGGATCCGCAGAACACTGGACATTTCAGGCTCCCAGCTCACAAGATGATCCTGCCCGTCGCTCAGGGCTCCAACGGCCACAAGAGCAAACACTCCCCGTACATCGTTAAGAATTACGGATTAACAGACATCAGTATCGACGTAAATATAATATAATGGGGTCATTTTAAAATAATCCGTCCATCTTGATAAAGTGTTGCAAGAAATTCGTTTTTTTTTTCAGCTAATTTACGGAACCAAAGACCAGGTGGGAGGTGTTCTGCAGTCTGTGGTGGTGAAGCCGGACGAAGAGGTGAATTTGAACCCGGGCGAGGAGGCCTACGAGCACACGGCTTTGAAAGTTTACAACAGAAGCGACGAGCCCGCGAATTTCTCAGTAGACGGGGGAATTAGCGTGTTTGACGTTGGATCATTTCAGGAAGACGTTCCGATTTCGATTTAAATCTATGTAGTTTTTGTAAATCTGGATATTAAAGAATTTATAAGTAATAATCAACACTTTATTTTGAAAATTAATGTCACTGTTATGTAGGCAACACATAATACAAGTGGATAGTTTATGTTGGCTACCCTGACTCAGGTTAAGGTTGGCATTCCAGTTAAGTTTAGAATGACAGTTTGACAGTTTAGTTTTGGATGTTAATAAAATGGCTTAATTAAATACTTAAAAGATTCCTGGGCTGGTACCTAATAGTTTAAATAACATAACGATACGTATTACAATCACAATGTTGTGTTAAATGCGGTATTTGCAAAAATCAATTTTCGTGTTTCATGTTCCATGAAAACCCGATTCGATTTGACACTATTGACAGTTGACAAGTATCGAGTATCTGATAATTTTATATTCCGATTTTGGATTAAGAATTTCATTAATTTTCATAAAACTTGAGCCGTTTACGTTAGTAAGTGCAATTTAGATTTGTTATTTACATTTCCTGTCGATCGGAACGTTTAAAATCGTTCACGTATAGCCCCACTTTCGACAAATGTCAAATGCACAAACGGAGCAGTTAAAAAAATTCGTATTTTCATCGAAACGTACCGTTCACGGTGAATCTCTGGAAGAGAAACTGGAAATTATCATTCCCGAGGTACTATACACAGCATCTTATACAGTAGGGGAACTAGTGGTGCATCTATTTCCAGAGATTTACATCATATAGTTTTAGGTTATGTTAACACTAACTGCATGCTTCATTACTACTCTACACTCGATTACAAACGAATTTTTTACCGTTATAGTTGCTACAAGCGAGCTATTCCTTCTACACCTGGCCGTCCGCTCCCGTATTGGCCTGGTTCGTGTGGGAGAATCGTCAAGAGTTCTACGGAAAGAAAGTCTTAGAACTCGGCTCCGGAACCGCACTACCGGGAATCGTAGCGGCAAAGTGCGGCGCCCAAGTCACCCTAACTGAATCCTCGACGTTACCCAAGTCGCTCGCCCACACGAAAAGGAGCTGCCAAGTGAACAACCTCGCTGTCGACAAGCACGTGCGAGTGATCGGTCTGTCCTGGGGTCTGTTTTCCAATAACTTGGATTCATTGGGACCGGTCGATTATATCCTGGGTTCGGATTGTTTCTTTGAGCCGGCCACGTTCGAAGACATCCTCGTCACGATATCTTACTTGTTGGATACCAATCCGAACGCCAAGTTCTTCTGCACGTACCAGGAGAGAAGCTCCGATTGGTCCATCGAGCATCCGCTGCTCAAGTGGGATCTGGAGTGCATCGTGCACAATATAAACAACTTGGGTAGCAGCGTGGGTTTGAACATTCACGATCTGATTGGGGGCCACAGCGTACACTTGTTGGAAATATCGAGGAAATCGTAATGGCCTCGAATGCCGCTCGACAAATATACAAGTTGTATGTGAGTAACATCCCTTGGACCGTGGGTCACAAGGAACTGAAATCGTATTTCAGCAAATTCGGGCACGTCAATCAGGCCGCCGTGGTGTTCGATAAGAAAACGGGATTGTCCAAGAATTTCGGATTTATAACGTTTAGCAAACGGGAGGATTTAGAAACCGCCACCAAAACGCCCGTACACCAACTAGAAGGGAACTCGTTGAAGCTACAACCGGCCAATTTCTAGTTACTATGGCGGATTCAGTAGATAATTTTAGCGATTTACAAGAACTAGGTATAGATGTTAACGAGAGTACGGATAGTTTCACCAAGGCCGCCGATCATTTGCAAAAGATTCTGCCGAAGGTCGACGACGAAACGCTGCTGACGCTGTACGGGTACTACAAGCAAGGTACCCGAGGGTCGTGCGACGTCCCCAAGCCCAGTTGGTACGATTTCCGAGCGAAATCGAAATGGGAATCGTGGCGCAAGCTGGGCGACATGTCCCGATCGGAAGCGAAGCAACGATACGTGGACGTTCTGAAATCGGTCGATCCGACGTTCGAGGAACAAATGGCCGATCAATGGATCAAAGTGTCGTCGATGGTTCCTCAGCCGGTGGATAAATCCGAACGTACGGTCGTGGATTACATCCGGGAGGCTAATCTGGAGGAGATCGAAAAGTACGATCCGAACTCTACGATCGACGGTTTGAGATTGATCCATTGGGCGGCCGATTTGGGCGATAAGGACGTGCTGAGGAAGCTCGTGGAATTGGGCGCTGGGGTCAACGTAACGGACGGGGACGGACAAACGGCGTTGCATTACGCCGCGAGTTGCGGTCACTCCGATTGCGTGAAATTTCTGTTGGAAAACGGGGCCGATAAAAGCGCTGTTGATAACGATGGGAACAAACCCGGAGACGTAGCGGCCGATGGGCGCATCGCTGATTTATTAAAATGAACGTGCGTTATGGTAGTAGAAACAATCATGTACTGTTGTTAATGAGTTAATAAATATTTTTTGAATTGTTCAATTTACTGTTTAATGTTTTTAAAATGTTTTAAGTTCAATTTACTGAGATTATAGTTTCTTTTTCCTGCATCGACTCATTCAAAGGAGTAGATCGACCCTTTGGAGATGAGCTGGAAGGACGCTTCTCGGTAGACTTCAAGACAAGACTTGAGGCTATGTTTGATGAAAATTTAGGTAGATCGACCCCCTTGGAAATGAGCTGGAAGGAAAAGACTCGAGGCTCTTTTCATATTTCTAGCTCGATTATAGAGAATTTGATAGCTTGCCAATCATCCCTTACAGGTGCGTGAGCACGCTTAAGGTGAGCAAAATATCGAGAAATCTATCGAAGGACCAGTCCACTAGGTGGACAGCGAAAATAGTTGCGATGCGGGAAACACCGAATATAGGAAGCTTGTCACTAACCTTTCTTATTCGACGTCCGCTCCGGCGATTGTACTTGTAGTTGTAGGATTACTGGGGACCCGATAAAACGATATCCTGGACTCCGAACCCGATGAAGTAACGAATATGCACGAAGAGGCACAGCACCGGTGAGTTAGCTCGCGAAGCGACCGTACACTGGAGGCGATATAATTACAATGCTTGAATGCTAATTACACGACACGACAAGCTAGGTTTGGTAGGGAATATGGGGTGGGGAGAACCAAAAGGCGCGAAAAACAGAAATTCTTCTATTCGATCCACTTACAGATTAATATTCCCTTTTCCTTCATTGCATCGTTCAAAGAATTTGATCAAATATTTTTGAATTGTTCAATTTACTATTTAATAATCGAGTGAAATTGCATCGAAATATCACTGGTAAATAGTATAAACTTAAGATTTTTTTTATTAAAAAAATAATTGCTACAAATTTTATTTCACCTTAAATGAAGATTCGTAAATATCTAAAAAAAACACACACAACAAATCGCCTCACTTCCCCAATTTTTTCCTCAGAGACGCCGGCATTTCGGGCGGCGGAGGCCTCGGCATTCTCATAAAAACCTTAAATCCGTCGTATATAAACCATTGCAGAGCCGTCAAGGTACCGATCATTATAATCCTAGGCACGATCCCGCCCCACAACCCCATAAAACCCAGCTCCTTTATTATAGCGCCCGCCGTCGTTCCTTTTCTCTGGTTCAATTTACTAACCAGCGTATCCGCCGGATGGGAAACGATAGCGCAAAAAATACCAGCGATGTATCCGGCACAAAACGTTACGATCAATTGCTCGAATTTGCTGCACTTCTCCCTCGGCTTCGGCACTACATACGAGTAGAGCAACTCGACGGTCCGTTCGAAACAGGCGAACTTCATCATCGTGTACGGTATCTGACGCATCCAAAGCGGCACCAACGACTTGTAAAAGGCCATCATTCCCTCTTCTTTGAACATTTTGGGCGCCGCTTCGCGCAGCGTCCTTGCGTATCCGGGCGTAGTCTGGATCTTCACCTTTATAGCTTCCATCGGCGACAACGCTATATCGGCGAAGAACTCCGCCGAAGCGGACGAGAACAGGTACAAAGTGGTCCTGTACAGGTAGGCGTTCTCCTCGCCGATCAGATCGTGGTAGAGCACCTTGAACACCTCGTACAAACCGAACTTGAACGTACCTTGGGCGGCGTAGCCCAAAAAGGTGGGCGCCCAGCCCCGCGCCAGGCCCGGGTACCCGTCCTCCTTCACGGTCACCCTGAAACCGTTGAAGATGTTCTTGTATTTGCCCGGATCGACTTGGATGCGGCACTTGACCAGGTCCAGCGGCGTGACGAGCGTGTGCGTGGATCCGCAGGATATGGCGCCGCCCAGGCCGCACAGCAGGAAGTACTTCAAAGAGCCGAACTCGCAGCTTTCGTCCGCCGACTTGGCGGCCGCCGCCAAAACGTTTCTGTTCAACGCTAACGATTTCACCAAGGCCCTTGGGGTCGTTCGAGGCTCGATTCGGGCGGCGTTACCATCACACTCGGCAATTTTACGGGGAAACGGAAACATTTGTGGATTGTTCGCTTGCGGGGTAGTTAGACGCTGAAAAAATGCATTATTTACAATGTGTAATTTGGTGTCAATGTGACGGTGACACTGGATTGAAGAGTTCCAGTCGCTCGAATGGGAATTCGGTTAATCGAACGTGTGAAGCCCCCTTTATGGAGAGACATCAGCGCTATCTGACGGCAGATGTGTGTTATAATAGTTATAAAATAACGGTGTATTTGAATCTCAAGTGCAAATTTGTACGCAATATGATTTATATGGGTGTGCAACAAAGATGACTCCAATATTCACATATGAAGAAAAAAGAAAGTGTGATATAGTGGGGGAATTGCAACTGTCTCACTCTAACCACTGTTATTTAAATAACCTCTCTTTGTTGCACTCGTAGAATTGACCATATTGCAAACAAATTTGCACTTGAGCAAAATTTGAATGCAATATGATCTATAAGTGCAACAAAGATGATTTGTTCGAATCATTTAAAACGCTCTATAACCACCATTAGTCTTTGTTCAACTCGTAGAATCGACCACATTTCACACAAATTTGCACTTGCTTAGAATACAAGGATAGTTTTTTTACACGACAGGTTTAAAGGATAGACATTAAAGGATAAATTACATGACAATTTTAGAGGTATAATAAAAATTAAATGCGACTAATATGCGATTTTTCGAAAGGTGTATGTAATTTAATTTTTATATACATATTTTACAAGATACAAATAAAAACTCGTTTTGTTAACGTTTCCATTAACAAAAAAACATATTATACCTACGAGTGATTGTCACTTCTCTAAAAAACATTAAAACGCTCGTACGTGTTAGCCCGAAAATCCGAAATTTTCCTCAAATTTCGATCTTTTCCAGAAACTTATACAAAGTAACTTCGAAACTAGGCGGCTAGTACAAATTATCCATTAAAATCATATAAATTATTCGCTAAATAGAACATAGACTACGTCTTCATTAATGTACAATGTATCCTTAATGTATGGAAAACATAATTTTTCTAAGAAAATCGACCTGTGCCAGGATTATACGTAAAAATCATCAATTAGAAATAAAATTCCACACTTCAAGGACACCGTATTTTTTTAACTAAACTTTAATATTGCACAGCAATTCTTCAAAGAAATTGTACCGATCGAACGTTTAAATACAATTTATCATATTAGATTCGTTCCAACAACGAACAAAAATACTGACTAAGTACAAAAAACTCCATCGCTGGAACGAACCCAATAAAACTCCATTATTTCTAATGACTTAATAGTACTTAATTTTTGGCGAATTTAAATATAATTAACAGAAAGCGCCGTTCAAAAAACTAATTTTAAGCATAATAATTATTTTAAAGTGCCACTCGCCAGTATTTCGTTTAGTTTAGATCCTATTTGAAGTATAAAAATTACGTTAGCTAATTTATTCTATTATAAATTCCTCGTTTAATTAATCGATTGGAGGCACTTTATTCTGCATACACGACATTTAAATCGAAGGCAAATTTACCCGGAAATAACAGATTTTTGTTACGCCTATTAAACTGAAATCTACAGGAATTCTTACTAATTGGTCCCCCGTAATTGTATATTCAATATTATATCAAATTGTTAAACGTCCTTTCTACGAATTTATATATAAAAAAAAAGAACTGGAATGTGTTTGCGACAATAATGGCACTGTTGAGATTTTATAAATTCATTCAAATTCAACTCCTTTTAATTCATCCATTTGCGACAATTCGGTGCCCCGCACATGCAGGATATTTTGTTTTGATCATCTTCGATATCGAACTTGTAATCGTACGCCAACTGAAACACAATAAACGATTATTTTAATACAGTTTGAGCCATTGTTTGGCAGAGTTATTTTATTGAATTATTCAATCCTTAACTACTAAACTAAAGGCACAGGCTTGAACAATACACTGGACGGCAGGATAGAGAACTTAATTAGTCCATCATCAAGGACTCAATCCTTCTCAATGGATGCATATTTACGTCACCAGTGGCCTTCATCGAGTCATTCAAAGGGGTAGATCGACCCCTTGGAGATGAGCTGGAAGGACGCTACTTGGTAGACTTCAAGAAAAGACTTGCGACTATGTTTGGTGAAAATTTCACATTTCTAGCTCGATTATAGACAATTTTATTGTCTCCAGGATGCATAACAGGGACTCCAAAGATTCACCTGCGTAGCACAGTCCAAAACACCTTAGGACTCTACTACTCTAGGACAACATGGTCTAATGTTTCACCAGCCACGCAAAGGGAACTTCCCTCTAAAAGTCTAAACCTAGCTTATAGAGCCACTTTCCCACACAGAAGTACCCTCTCTTAAGACTCCTGCTGTATCTTTCTTAACCTACTCATCGGTAGTTCTACAGCTACCCTCACAATCCTTACCTCTTCTCCTCGCAAAATCCTCCGTTTGGAAAATATAATTATCCGAACGTCTCGATCGACTTCGACGGTTTCGGCCACGCAATTCGGATTGCACGAATGATTGATGTACCTGGCCAAACCGCCGCACAAAGTGGCATCCACCACGCGTTCCTCGTCCAATCTGAACATGTATATCCCTCGATTCTACAAAACAAATCGTAATAATTCAATTAAAAAGTTACATCAACAAGTACAAAAGCGCGATACGGTCTATCCTACGAGTCGAACAAAGACAGATTATTAGAGTAACAGTAGTTAGAGTGATGCCATAATATAGCTCTTTCTTCTTCCTTTCTATGAGATTAACGTGTTTGTTGCACCCGTAGACCATATTGCAATTTATCTGTATATAACTTACTCTAGCTTCGTATTGTTTTTCTCTACACTCGGCCAGTTCGGATCTGATAATTTCCCCGATATATTCGATAACCATCGTGTGTTTCTCCAAATCCCTAGCGGCGTACAAACCGAGCCCTTGAATTTTCGATCTACAAATGTATATACAAAGTAAGTAAATAGATTAACCATTAGAATACCAAAACGCGCACCTCGCCAAATAAACGTTATTCCTCCATTCCTGCTTCATTTTCTTGTACTGCGAACTCTTCGAGTGCACGAACTGCTTGCTGTAAGGACAGGCGAGCTCGCCTTGGGCCGGCGCGCCGATAGAACCGGCCAACGACGGTCCGAACATCGGTCGAATCGACGACGCGCCGCCGGTGGTCCTCTGCGTGTGCGCCGCCTTCTTCCAATGCAACTGGCTGCGCAGCCTCGGCTCCGTCCGCGCCGCCCCCGACGGGTTGATGGCGAGCGGCAGCTCCAACAGCGGATTCCGTCCGTATTTGAACTTGTAGTCCGACAGCGTTTCGATGCCCGGCATGCTTTCTAATACTCGAACTATAGCGGGTTCGGTTAGTCCGAACAGATCCTCGCCGGTCGCGAATTTCGGAAACATGTGCAGGCAATTGTTCGCCTTCCGTATGCCGGCCACGTTGTCGAGGATCTTCTGCCAGGCGCCTTTGGGGGTGGCGTCGGCGTATTCGACGTCCGCTTCGGGCGGCTCCTGGATCGTCACGCGAAACTCCGGCTTGCCGGACGCGTCGCGAATCGCGCAAATGTACTTGCAGCGCTTGTTCAAGTTGCGCATGCTCCAGTAGAACCGGATGATCTTGTAGCCGATCGGGTAGATGTGGTTGGGCGTGTGGAAGTTCTGCAATTGGTGCGGCAACAGCTGGCCCACGTTCAGGAATATCAGGCTGCCGACGCGCAGCAGATCGGCCGAGTCGGAGTGGTGCATGACGGCAGCCACTTGTTTGTTTTCGTCGCGTTCGATGTAGACCCGTCGCGAGACGGACAGCGTGGTGAGTTCGTTGTCTTTCTCGCTTTTCGGGGCGTGCGCCTTGCAAAACACCGTTTTGTTCTTGTAGAACACGCAGTTGTCCTTGACGGCGCAGTTCAGGTGGTAGATGCTCGAGCATCGCGTTTTGAAGCACTTGATCGTGGCTCCGACGCTTTGGCAATGCACGCAAGTGGCCGATAGTCCGGTTTGTAGGGCGTTTTCTACGTTCATTAGGGCCCCGTTTACCGTTTCGTATACTCCATCGGACCACAGGCCGCAGTTCAAGTGGACCCATTTGTCGACGTCGAAGTTGAGCAGTCTCGCCGGTCCGTCGGCCACGCCGTCGCCGATACCTTAAAACAAATTTTATATTATTTACATGTTGAAGTAAATAGCATTAAAGTAGAGTACAATAAAATACATTCAAAGTATTCAAAGTAAACTATAGTACCTAGATTAGACAAGTTTCACAGTCATGTAGATTAGAGAGGAGTGGTGTAGATTAGAAGTGAGTTTAGAAAAGAGTAGATTAGTAGATTATCATAATACTATAATCAGAGTAGATTGGAGAATAATAAAGTAGAGTAGATTAGACAAATTTCAGAGTCAAGTAGAGCAGAGTTAGAGTAGACTAGATTCAGGGTAGGTTAAATTCAGAGTAAAGAAGATTAGAGTAGAGAAGAGTACATTCAAAGTACAGTAGACTATTATTTTTTCATGCAGAATCACCCCCTGAAGTTTGTCGCACTTATTAATTAACACCCTGCATATACATATAAAATATTTATTACAAAGACGTATAATTACCGTGACAGAACAAACACTTTCTGGTATCTTCGGGCATGACGGGCGGCGTGACGGTGATCTGCATCCTGTAGAGCAGCTCCATGATCTCCTTGTCGGTGGGCGTTTTGTGTTTTTGGGTGGGTTGCAGACAACCGGGCGTCCACAGTTTGTACCTGTCGTTCCTGTGCACCCTGGCGGGAGCCTGTTTGAACGGAGCGCCGTCGTAGAAGTTGTTACCTTGTTTGGCGGAGGCCGTACGGGCGAAGAACGCGAACGCGTCGTTCGTCTCCATCGGCTCGAATTCCCGTTTCGAATCTTTCACGTTGAACGATAATTTCTGCGCTATGGATTTGGTGTTGTCTAACGAATCGGCCGCCGGTAATTTTTGATTCGCGTCCAAATTGTCTTTCTGCGATAGGTGGTTTATGATCTCGGCGGCCTGGAAAATCGAAATAGCCGTTAAAATACATTTTTTTTACATACTGTATTGGTGTTTCAATTACAAGAAAAACAAGACTAGCGCGTGTATCAGTGTATTAAAAGTACCTTCGCCTCTGCTCGTCCAATAGCTTTGCGAGAATCGGCAAACACGTGACCATTATGCACTGAAAACGCGCTAGTTATGTTCACACGGAATAATGACCAATGATACTTAAATTATTTACATTTTTGACAACTTTCGACAGTTGATAAGCTCCAATAATCCCAGCAGGTTTTACACAAATAAGATGACGTTAATGTCTCTTTCTATTACTTGTACCCTTTTTTTAAATACAACTGTACCGTATAAAGCGAACAATTTGATTACCTTGTCTTCGGATATCGAAGGCGACCGGTGCATGAGGGCGAATTGCATGTAACAGGCGGAACCGCAAAAGAACAATTCCTCCCCGTCGCCGAGCAAATCCGAATCTTTGGCCAGGAACGGCAAATCGGACGCCTTCCTTCTGATCATGTTGCTCAAAATGATCACGTCGCAATGCTTGCAGAACTTGGTGGCGCCGTTGAGGATGCTCTGTATGTCGATCGGCGCTCCCTCTTTGCCGTCCTTGCCTTTGGTGCGGTACACGCCCAATTTCTGGCTCGGCGGCGACGCCGTCCGCTCGACGATTTGGTAACTGGTAGGCGCCGGTATGTGCAGAATATTGGCCAAATCCCGCAGCACTCCCATTATGTCTTCGGCCGCCGACGAGGTGAGAGTCAGAGTCACGGTGACGTGGCCGGACACGTTCGCAGGCGGAGACTGTTTATTGTCGAATTTGGATTTCGTCATTACGTGCAACGAATCGCTGTTGATGTTCTCCTTGTTCTACGAAATTAAAAGTTTGTTTTAGTGGGATTATTAGAGAAATACAAAGTGTTCCACGAGCAGTTAAAACTGTCTGTATATACTACTTATCCGATTTAAATAATATTTGGTATGTTATGCAATAAGACGAACCTCATATAGTTTTAACTCATCGTGGGACACCCTGTATAAAGCGAGTAAACTCACCTCGTTGAGGTTTTCTTTAAAGTACAACTCCCCAGCGGGTTTTAGTCTAATAGGTACGGGTTTGATAACGGGCACCACGGGCGACATTCTTCCGTTCGAAACGGCATCTTTGGCATCGTCTTCTTCGTCGTCTTCGCTGTCGCTGATGAGCCTCAACCCGACGAATTTGCTCTCGGATCGACGCGTACATTCGGGCGACGAGCTGCTCAATATCGAATCGGGCGAATCCTCCCTGCAGAACACGTCGAACTTCCGCTGCTCGTCGACGTCGAACCGAATCAGCGGAAACTCCTGATCGTAGAAACCGCGTTGCGTCGACGCCGGCGGTTTCTCCGGCAACGGATCCAAATCCCCGTAGGGTTTCGTCGAGTAGAAATCCGTGAAACCGGGCGCCTCCGCGTACCCGTAGCTCCCCGTCAACTCGCCCAAGTGCGTCGAGTAATCCTTGGCGCCGATCTTGGCGAGATCGCCGCACCCGAACAGCGGCACGGCGCCGAAGTTGCGGCCCAACACCGGCTCGGAGACGGCGATCGGCGGCAGCTGCCGCAGCTGGGCCAGCACGCCGTCGATGTACGTGTCGTAGTCCTCGTCGAGCTTCGAATTCTTGCGGGCGCGCTTCTTCGGCTGCTGCTGCTGCGCCAGCTCCTTGTTGAGTATCTGGTTCTGGCGGCGCTTCTGCTGGTACATGCGGCGCTTCTGCTTCTTCAGCTCCTCCTTGTCGAGCATCGTCTTCTCGGCGGCCGTCTCCATCGTTTCGAGTTCCTCTTTGATGGGCGCGTCGGAGCGGCTGTGGTCGGAGATCTCCGAGTGCTGCGAGGATTCGTCGATGAATTCCTTCTTCACCTCGGGCGTGGCGGCGTTGGAGTTCGAGTTGGTTAGAGGGCTCGGTTGGGAGAGCGGCACGAGCGGCGGTTCTTTCTTGATCACCACCATCGATTGGAGGTCTTGCGGCGGCGACAGTAATTCGTCTCTGCTGGCGCTCCTTTGGATAGCAACGTTCGGTGGAGCGCTCACCACCGGCGGGGGATCTACGCTAGCGCTGATATTAGCCTGCGAATTGGCCGCTTTAGCTATAGCGCTAGCGGCGCTCGTGGTGACGGTGCTGGTGGAAGCTGGCGGGGAGGATTGGGCGCTAGCGCAAGCCGTGTTTTGCAGCAATTTCTTCAGCAACACGTTCTGCGAATCTTCAGTTTTGTTACAAACACTCGTAGCGATCGTCGATAATTTACACCCGCCGTTACTACCGTCATCAACGTTTTCGCTACTGATACTCTGTTTAATCTCGTCGATTTTAGCCAAATCTTTAACGTCATCGACGGATTTGCTTCTCGCCACTTTGGTCAGTTGCGTGTGGAGCAAATTCGTTGTAGAAGTGGGCGTCTTGTTGGCGCTACTCGTGCTCGCGAACGTACTCTTAGCGATGCTACTCAATAAACTAGCGGCTGTGATCGAATCGGCGGTGGTTTTGGTCGAAGAGGAAGCTTGCCCAGGCGCTGGAGGCGTGCTAGAGAGCACCACGCTCGGTTGCGCTTGCACCAAAGACGTGGTAAATCCGGTTTTCGGCAGACTGATAGGGGAACCCAGCAAACTAGCCGCTGTAATAGTATCAGCTGAAGATTTCGAAATCGTATTCGCCGCCGGTTGGTTCTGCAACATCGCGGTGAGCGTCAACGAAGGCTTCTTCGCTTCCTGGCTCGACGTAATCGAGTTGATTTGTTGCATCGCAGCGACACTAGCGGGCGCAAGTTTCGATTGCTCGGGCGCTAGTTGTATACCGATCGTTCTGTTCGGTAAATAATTCAAAGCGGACGTTATGATGGATCCGGCGAGTTGTTGCGAGGTGGTCACCACCTTTACGGGGCTACTTCTGGACGTGCTGGTGGCCGTCGCGGCGATTTTTTGCTTGAAATTCGGCACGATCACCGTGGAGACGCCGGCGATGACCGGCGATTGCCTGCCGGCCTGTTGCTGTTGGCCCATCACCCTCGAAGCGACTATGGGCTGATTGGCCGACGAGGAAGTGACGATTTTCTGGCCCAAGCCCTTCGCTACCGACTCCACGTTGGTGGGAGACGACGTCGAGGTGGTTTGCAGCGACGACAGCAGAGTTCTGAGTTGCTGCGAGGCGTTCGCCATGTTTGTAGTCAATTCAGTGGGTTGGGAGAGAGGCGATAATTGCGGTACGGTAGATGATTTAGTCGCGGAGGAATCGCTTTCGCTGACGGGCAATTGCGATTCTTTCGTATCCGCGTTTTTCGTTTCGATGTTACTACCGGATTCCGAACTTTGCAACGTGTTTTCCTCTAATATCTCGGGCGGTTCGGCCGTGATGTTCTCGATATTCTCGATCATATCCAACACGTCTTCGATCGAATCGTACTCTCGCCTCCTATTCTCCAGCGCCTGGAAGGCTATATTGTCCAACATCTGTTCTTGCGATGGCGTAGGTGAAGGAATCGAAATCACCACGGACTTCGTATCGTCGTTAGACTCGTCGTAGTGCTCGGTATCCGTAGTAGTCGTGATGTTCATGCGAGTCTGGCTCTCCTGGATGACTTGCGCGGTCATCTTCAACTCGGGCGTGTTGTGTATGATGACGGGCGAGGCTTTCGCGATCAACGGACTCGGCATTCGCTGCCTTTGAACGACGTCCTTCGACGATACGTTCACGATTTGGAGGTGTTCGATCTTCTTCGATTGCTCCGCGTAGGTTTTCGATTTCAACGAGACGATCTGCGAGTTGGGCTGTTTGAGATCGCGCGGCGGCGACTCGCATTTCGCCTTGTCGTCGAACGAATCCTTCGATTTCTCGTCGTCGCAATTCGAACTGCTGTCGGGAGACACCGAATCGTCCTCGAAGATCTTCTTGGGCAGGACGTTGTCTCTCGTCGAAATCGATAGCGACGATGACGACGGTTTATCGATGACTTTTACGTTGGATAGCTGGCGAACGGCGCTCGCGCTTATGACCGGCACCGTGAATTTAGAGGGTAATATCGAGGCCATTTGCGAGGTACTAGCGCTCACTATAGTTATAGCCGGCGAAACGGTACTGACTATCTTCGGTACGCCTATAATGTTCCTCCTCACGTTAGCGTTGTGCGTGAGAATGATGCTGGTAACTTTGGAAGCTTGCGAAGTGTTCGAATTTTGCGTGATGATAATCTTCTCGGCGTTGGGTTTGCTGGGCAAAGTCACTCCTCTAACGAGGGATACCTTCGGTTGGAATTTTTTAGCGACCGGTTTCTTAACATCGGGTTTACCGTAATCGAACAGTTCGGTGTACCGGTGGAAGTCCTGTATGTGCTTCGCGGTCACCTCCTGTTTCCCTACGTTGTTCTTCCTCGATCCCTCATCGATGAGCTCCTCAAAGTCCTCCTTAGTCGAAATCGAGTCTTCGGCCACGCCGCTAGTCTGATCCGAAATAATTATATCCGCCTCCTCGTTATCGTAACCGGACGATTCGCCGAACTCTTCCTGATCGGGCGATTCCGGATTCTCGTCCGGCTCGTCCTCGTCGTACTGCTTCACCTTGCACGGCACGATGAACTCGTCGTCGCTGGTCGTCGGGCTGCGTATCACGATGTGCATGTTCTGATCGGCGTACTCGCCCTCTTCCTCCTTCTCCGAGTAGTGCTCCTCGCCGGACATGTCCACCACCATGTTGCCGGGGAACAGCAGGAACTCGTCGCCGATCTGGTCGGGTTCCAGCGGACTGGACAGGCCTTCGGCGAGGTCCTGCGATATCGTTTCGATCTCCACCAAATCGTCGTCGTTGCGCGCCGCCGAACTCAACGACACCTCCGACGATAGAACGGTGTTATTATCGTCGTCGTAATCCATCAGTTCCAGCTGTTTGTTGTCATCGTCGGGGCTGTGCATGACGATGACGGAATCCTTTTGGGCGTGCAGTTCGAGGTTCTTCTTCTTCGATACGATACCTCTGCTGGTAGAAGCTAGAGGCGGTGTTACGGGTGGCGTGGTAGAACTGTCGTCTAAATCGTTGTAATCCGAACTGACCAACGAGCCCACTTTACCGATGGAAGCGATCGAGGTTTTCCTCTTCAGTATCGACACTTTGCTCAAATGCGACTCCTTCTTGGCTTTGGGTTCGTCCGGTTTGACGTTAGGCGGCGCCGGTATCCTTTTGGCGCCTCTGCCGAAGCTCCACATGGGCGCGCCGCCTCTCAAACCCAATTTAAAGTACCGGAATCTGGGCACTTCCGGGGGACAGGGTATCGGATTGTTCGAATTCCCGCCGCCGCTTTCGTTGATCATGTCCGATGGGTAGTTGTACTGCGCGTTGACGTTTTGATTGGCCAAACTCTCCTGCACCAGTTGATCGATCGAGTACATTCTGGGCGAGGAGTTTTCGACGCTGTGCGGCCGATCGGGCATCGCCGGGCTGCTGTTGGCGCTGGGCGGTCGTCGAACGTTGTGCGGAGAGTGCGTCTGATTGATCATCGGGCTCCTGGGCATGGGCGAACTGGGCGGTTGGTGACCGTGCGTGACGGGACTGGGCGGCTGGTTGATGCCCTGATGGAACGCCGGGCTCCTGGCGGCGGGCGAATTCGGATTCGGCTGGTTCGAGTTGAACGGCACCATCGGGCTCTTCGGCGGCATCTGCATGGGCGATTGGGGCATCGAATGCGGCGACATGATCTGCTGGTTGATCATCGGACTTTTGGGTGGCATCGGCGAGTGCGGCGGATTGTTCTGCTGTTGTTGCTGCTGCTGCTGCTGTTGCTGTAATCTCGCGGCGTTCATCTGGGCGATCTGCTGCTGTTGCTGCTGGGCCAGCTGTTTTTGCTGCTGCAACATCAACTGGTGCTGTTGGGGCGTCAGCGCTTGCGGCGACATCTGCTGCTGGGACACCTGTTGCCTGACGAAGTTCCGGTGCTGCAACAGCTGCGCGGTCCTCTGCGAGTGGATGGCGTTCGGATCGCCTTCCAGGTTTTGCTGCAACAACGTCTGTTGTTGTTGCTGTTGTTGTTGTTGTTGGAGCTGCTTCTGGATTTGATGTTGTTGGTTCATTTGTTGGGACGTCGGGCTGTTCAACGGCGACGGCGTGCCGGGTTTCTGTTGGAAATTCTGTATGGGAGATTGCATGCGGACGCGCTGTTGCAACATGTTGTTGTTGATGAACCGCATCTGCGACATTCCCACCGGGCTGGTTACGACTCGTCGATGTTGCGGCGACGTCATGCGAGGCATCGGCGGCGGCAGGCAGACTTGCGACGGCGATTGCGCCGACCCCGGACTTTCGTCGCCTTTAAAAAATCCAATAACACTTTCGTTAAACTCACATCCTCAACCAGTCATTCATAAATTCAAAAATCTTTGACGCCAACACTGAAAATTATCTACTTATTAAATAAACGAGGCAGAAAAAGTAAGATAGAAAAATAGAGGTAACATGACGGATCCAATCAGGCGCCTTGAGCGTAGGCAAATATATTTTGAATAAGAATTTGATTATGTTAAGAATTGTTCTGGTAAAAATATAACATTATTTAATATTACGTATGAAAATTTTGTTGATATTGTATGAAGAAACAGTGACAACTGCATTCCGGTTTCCCATAAAAAATATAGCAGAAGGAAATTGTAAAAAATAGCGCGGCAACAAACAATGTTTTACCTCTATTTTCTGTTAAACTGACCTATTGTTGGTACCCTAAAATTTTGTAAACAGTTTCGTCTGTTTTAGTTATACAAATTGCTTCAATTCAGACCGCAACACGTTCGTTTCTATGGGTTGAACAAAGAAAGATTAATAAAATAACAGTAGTCAGAGTGAAAAGTATCCAATGACACAAATGTCACTCTTTCTTTATCCTTTATAAATGTCTAATAGAAGTTGTCTCCATCGCATCTATAGCCTATATAACCTATGTTGCGATCCGGAATGAAGCACAGTGTATATCTGTGGTAAAACTCCTCAGAATCCGTCAAATCGGCTTACTTTGCGAGTGAGGCGTTCCGATTCTCGGCGACATCTGCATCGGAGACATCTGGGCCGCGGCGTTGGCGCCGTTGGGGCTCTGCAGGACGTTCTGCACGGCGCCGTGGCCGGGCGACGAGGGCACCATCGGCCCGGGACTGTTCAAAGGCGAGCCGTTTTGGGTCATCGGCGAGACGGACGGCGACAACATCGGCGACAGCGAGGCGCTCGATTGTTGTTGTACGGGCGACGAGGCCGGATGGCCCAACGGCGATTGAATCTGATCCGTTACGGTGCGCTGCTTGACGGCGGGATGCTTGTTTCTATATTCCTTCATATAGACCAATTGGGATAACAACAGAATTACGTAAAAATGTTTTGTTTTAGACATTGCTACTTTATTTTTGTAGGGGTGCGACTACGAATTCGATCCTGTCGTGAACACTCGTGATATAATAACTCCTAATCGCGAGGAGGCGTTCGTCATGCGCGATTTTAATACAGGTTGTCCCGATGAAAAGTAGCCCATTTAGTGATCTAATAATTTTTAAACGCCTAATTACAAAAACATGAGGTTTTCGCCGATATATTTTATTTTCCTATAACTTTTTGTTAGTGACACAAAAATTTTGTATCAACTGTATAGTGTTTTATAAAAATTCCCTTTTTTAAATTCACTTTAAGCAAATTTTATTAAATAAAACAACATAAATTCTTTTGTAGAATAACAAGGACAAATAATACATTTTTGAAAAGTAGAAGAGTATATCTTTCAAAATACCCTTTATAAATTGAAAGGGTGTTCCATTTAAAAAAAATTGGTTACTGTGAATTTAAAAGAGGAGTTTTTTGATAAAACACCCTGTATTGGTAAATCATATTTTCTGTGTCACTGTAACAAAACTTATATTTGAGAAAACCGCATATTTTTATGATCAGGCGTTTAAAAATTATAAGCTCATTAAAGGTGCTAGTTTTCATTAGCACACCATTGTACAGTGTGTAGAAAAAAATACTAAAACTTGTGCAGCCTACATAAAGAGCAGTGCCTATTAAATTGATAGATACCTGTATCAACATGCCGTGTTGGCGGTTTTGTTTCCTGCTCGATTCCAAATGTTTCTGTAATATAGCCTGTTCAGCCGTAATCCTTTGCAGTTCCGTCGCGTCTGCGTCGGTTAACTGATTACCGGCTTTCCTCAACTGCCGTTGCTTGCTATTTAGAGACTAAAAAACAAAAAACAAAACAATTAGCACGATAATTATGAACAATGAGCGGTATGATTAAAAAAAAGGAGTATTTGCTTGTTCTTCGAGAAAGAGCTTTTAGTTCCTGGTATTTTGTGGAGAATAATCTTTTACATGAAGTACAATTTTACAAGGTATGAAGTAATTGCTCCAGATACTTACTTTAGTCTAACTTTAAGAATTACGTGGAGTAAATGCTACAATTTTTCGAAGTAAAAAACAACGAAACCAAGCATTATGCAACAAACCTTTTTGCCCTTGCGCAGCTTCTGCACTTCGGTCTCGTAGTAGCGCAACTGCTGCACCAGCGCGTTGTTCTGGTGGTTCAGCCATTGCTCGTAGAGCAGCTGCGCCTGCTTGTCCTGCTCGGTGGCGATGGTTTCGGGCGGCAGCGGCGGCGCCGGTATCAAATTCGGATTGAACATTTGCACTCTGGTGGTCACCTCCATGGTGTGCGGCGACGGCGACGGCGCCACCGCCGCCGCCTGACGATTCTGCAACTGCGGCCACGCCTGCGACGTTTGCACAGGGTTCCCTAAACGAAAACAAATCGAATTATCATCAAAAAAAGACAACTAGAAGCGGTAGAGTCGGGTCTAGAAATGTTCCATTTAGGGCGTCCCGTGACTCGATTGACTCAACTTAGGAGGCTTCTACTGACCAAGCAACGCCCTCTTTAGCTACGTTTAGTCACTGTAGACTCGTTATCATTAATCAAATCAAATATCATTATTTCTTCATGCAGAATCACACCCAGAAGTTTGTAGCGTTTATTAATTAAATCCACGCTCTTACCTTGATTCGTCGACGATATATTATTGACGGGAGCGCTGTTGAACACGTCCGCTTTGAGCCGCTCGAAGTCCTGGTCGCTCAACAGCGCCGGTTCGGCCTCGTTGCCGGTGGACGAGGTCACCTCGTGGTTGGGCGGCTGGTTTTGCAGCTTCTCCTGTTCGCGTTTCTCCTGCTCGAGCAGATCTTCCAGCAGCAGCGGTTGTTCCTGGACGAAACGTCGGGAATGATAATCGGCCGAAAATCGATCGTTAGACGAGCGTAAAATGGCATGCGAAGCGAACGATATGCAAGCGAATACGATTAGTTACCGAAAAAAAGGTTTGAGAATGAGGAATAATTGAGTGTATTTTTTTTTTAGATCGAAAGGTGTGCGCCGTTAGGATAGAAAGCGTAAGAGTTGTGTTTCAAATAATACCTTCCATCTAAAAGGTGAACTGGTAGTTCGATTTACTAGTTTTTTTTACTACCGAGACAATCACGACCGTATTATAATCGGGCATATTCTCCCATTTATAAATCTGTCGTGTGAATTCGTAAATAAAACGAAGTGGTGAAAGCATACGGGGGGATATAAGAGGAGAGTGCGAGGAGACGTGATTAACAGGGAAACGTGTGTCGAATCTCTCACCTCCAGGAGAAGAGGTCTCCGCTGCAAGTGTGGATGCATGGGAAAACCCTGCAGTGTACTGGGATGAAAATGTCCCATTGGGAGAAGACCAGGCCCCATTCTCAATCCCGTCTACCACACACATGCAATTAATTATTTTAACAACACCTTAACCTCGTTAGTAAAAGTAAAAAAAAAATAAAGATGGTCCAATGAAAATTCGTTATTCGTTACAATTTTAATATGAAACAAGGCTAATTTTTTTTGTTATTCCTGTAAACTCACTACAGTTAATTCGTCCGGTACATTTTGTTCTCCCTTCGCCGATATTTCATATTTAATAATAAAATCGAGTTTTTATCGAATCCTATTCTACGAGTATAAACGATTTAAATTGCGCAAAAAATGCATAATTATTCATCGATTGTAACCAACAAAAATCAAAATAAAATCAACTCATGCTTGATATGTACAAAGTATTTAAATAGTACCTGTTGATGTTGATTGGCGTTGCCCGGATAGGGCGGCGGCGGTCCGGGGTAAGGCGGCGGCGGAGGCGGCGGCGCCGCGACTGGCATCCTGGCGCCCGGATTCATACCTACGGGCATTTGATTGGGGGCCGCTTGCAAAGCGGGCCTCGGTTGATTGCTACCCACCCGCATCAACTTTTGATTTTGCACTGTAAATAAACGGTTCGTATTTATTCGAAATTTACTACATTATTCAAAACGAAAAACCTACGTTGTTGCAACAGCAGCAACCGTTGTTGGTAATTCGGCGGTATCTGCAATTGCACGGCGTTGTTCGCCATCACGACGCCCACGAACCCGTCGGTGGTTTGCATCTTCGAACCCGGCGGCATCGGCCTTCCTTGAGCGGCGGCTTGTTGTACCTAAAAAAAAAAAATAACATACGTTTTATTACAACAGCATACGATAAGCGAATAGGTTTCCTACTTGATGCACCATTTGCTGGTGAATCTGCTGGATGTGCAACGTCGATTGAACGGGCATCTGTTGCGGCGGATGCGGCTGGGATTGCTGCGATTGCACCTGAACTTGCGCGCCGTGTTGCGGCATGTTCTGCTGTTGCTGTTGCGCAAGAGCAACGGGATGTTGTAGCTGTTGCGGCGCCGTTTTCGCGACGCCCTGTTGGATCGCATTCTCGATTTTAGGCTCTGGATTGGCTTCGGTTGGAGTAGTCACCGCCGTGCTGTTACTAATAGCCGTCGTGGCGACGTTAGGCGTCGGTTTTTGCGCGGGAGCGCAAGTGTTAGAGGCGTTAGAGGCGAGTTTCTCCTTTTTCACCGGCTCCTCTTCGAGCTCCAGGTCTAGGATGTTCGTTTTGCCGCCCGTCAGTGCCTCCAATTCGGGATCGGCGTATTCGAGTATGTTGAAATCGGCGCCCATTTCGGCCAAAAGCTCGTCGTCGTCGTCCAAACCGCCCAAAATGTCGCTGACGCCTTGAAGCTCCACCATAGTGCCTGCGCGAATTAACCGGTTAACAAACAGAAACGAAAATTCGCGAAAGACCTTACCGGTTTCCTGTTCCAGTTTTTCCAATTCCGCAGTCACGTTATCGGGGATACCTTCCTCGCTGGGATTGCTCTCCGTAGAAGCCGTCGCGACGGCGCCCGTCACCGACGCCTGGGCGACGTGCGGCCTTTGCACGACGCCCGATTGGGCTACGGGCATTCGCGCGACGCCCTGCTGCTGGTCCTCGGCGTGCATTTGATTCTGATTGTTGCCCTGACGCTGCAACAGTTGCTCGTACTGTTCCACCGTCGTCGGTCGCACGTTCGACGTGAAACGGATGAATTGCTGTTGAATGCCCGTCGCTAGTCTTTGTTGCTAAACGAAATAAATTACTATATTTAGCTGCGCTAGTTCGGCTTATTTGATGCATATAAAGAGGGGCTGTGCCCTATAGACCCGCAGCTCGAAGATGTACGGCCTTCTACGCAATACTTGTGGAGATTTTAAAGCAAAACAATATTACTCGATTAGATAAAAGTACAAAAAAACCGAAAAAAAAGTTTATTTTGCTCATTTGACATTGAATATGAAAATATTCGAGGTCAAAACGTCGATACTAACATTGAGCTAGTGTGAGCATCCTGTATGTATTAAAATATATATATAGACTCTTACCTGATGTTGCAAAATCAACCTCATCCTCGGATCCAAATTCTGAATCCTGGGATCCAATTGATTCACTCTAACGGCGTTCAATATCGGCCTGTTAACGGCCGCGATGGCCAACCTAGGTTTGACCACGCCCGGCGGCAGGGGTTGCCGAAAGGTGGCGTCGGCGCCCTGGGCGCCGCCCGACGTCATCGAGGCGTCGCCGCCGCCCTCCTGCTGATCGTTCGCGTGCCACAACCTCTGCGGCGGCTGCGGCGGCGCTTTGCCCGGCAACAACTCGTCCAGCTTCTTGACCTGCTGCCGCTGCAACAGCTCCCTCAGCTGGCGATTGATGTTGATGTCCTGCTGCTCGTTGCGAACGGTACCACCGAAATTCTAATGAACAAATAATCCATAAACAAAGTAAGTAATATAACGGTGATTAATTACCTGCAAGGGCGGCCGGGCCATTCCGAACGGGGGTCGCGGCGCGGCGGGTTGCGCGGCGAACGGATCGTTGGGCAATCTAGGCGGGAAATTAGGTTTAGGATTCGTGGGGGAGTGGATAAAGTGATCGTTACCGTCGGGCGTGGGCGGTTGGGCGACGTCGTGGGGCGATTGCGAGGGCGCGTTGGCCCTGACGCCGGCCGGCGGGACGGGGAACGTGGGGGATTTGATGCCGAGGAATTGCCGCGGGCCGGGCGCCGGCGTCGTCGACGGGCTCGATTCCTGCGGCGCGTTCGCCTGCATGGCGCCCTGTTGCTCGTTGATGAACTGCTGCGCCGGATCGGCGGATATCTGGCGTTGTACGCGGGCGATGGCTGCGGAATAAATTCGTTTATGATACTGAAATGAACGCGGAAATCATGGGAAACGGTACCTTGGACGCGCTGTTCGTGCAGGATGTTCTGCGTTTGTTGGGTCTGCTGCTGCCTGAGCGCCTGCAGTTGCTTCCATTGTCGCTCCTGTTCGGCCTCCCTGGCGGATTTTTGCTGCAGCGCGATTTTCTCTTGGTCCTAAAAAACGTTTGGTTCGATTGTAATTAACGAAAAACTAACGAAAAAAACGGTCGTTAATATGCGAATTTTTACAGCGATTATCTACGAAAAAGAAGCTAAAAAATGTTACCAAAAAAAGAGTCGAACACCACCTTACGAATACAAGTAAATTAAAAAAAAAACATGCTGAAGAGTTGAAGAAATTTAAATTCAATAGAGGAAATTGTCATTTTTTTAAACTATCTACTTTAGGTTTACGTTTTACTGTGTTAATAAAAATTTTTAATATGCAACTAAATCTTCCCACTTCCAATAAAACGATTAATAATTTATAGTATTAAGGTTAATTTTACAAGTAAAAATAGCTCTGATATCTGATTCTTTAGGTTCTGGAATAGGATAAACGGATATAAAATGGATTTAATTTATTCCTAATATCAAGTTAAAATTTTTGAATTTAAACGATTATTTATATCGATCTTTCAATAACTATTCATTCTTAAAAAAATGGACAGCTCAAAAAATAATAAAAAATACTACAAAATTAAAAAACATGCCCACACAAAGTCAGCCGAAATATAATAAAAATCATAATTTATGAGCATATTGATAATGAAGATAATTACTCGATGAGTAAGGTAAAAGTAGCGAATTCGATCGAACTATCTAAGATTTGAAAAAATAAATTCTCGTATAGAAATGATACACACCACTCTGTTTTTATTTTCTCAAAATAACTCAGTGTTAAGGCGAGGTTACTCGTCTTAAGTAGCTAAAGCAAGTTACTAAATCAAGTAGTTTACTAAATTAGGTACTTGCACAAGTTACTGAATCAAGTTGTCCACATCATACAAGTAACTAAATTTAGTTACTTCATTTAGTAACTTGCTTTAGGTACTTGATACGTGTATCTGCGCCTTTATAAAAAAAGAAAAACGAAAAGTGGAGCATTTGGTTAACCCATCCTGTATAATAATTTCGTTCGATCAACAAACCTTTACGCCAACTCGAAAAAGCATCTCAAACAGTGCCGGTTTATTTGAAAAAAAAAAAGGCCCCGCAATCACAATAGGGCCTTGTTTTTGGAATCATTATGGGAAAAATAAATAAATATCCCGGCACTGAATATATCAAACGTAAAATAATAATAAACAGGTAAACCAATAATAAAAAAAAACATAATAAGTAGTTCACACCGAATGCAGGTTCTCACCGATCCCGGAGGCTCGTAATTTTCCTGATAGAGAGAAGGAAGCGTACGCATGATCTCTGAGGGAGTCAATACCCGAATTTGCTGATCGGACGCGCTACTCGGCGCAATTAATCTGGGATGGTGCGCCGCGGCGCTTTCGCCATTGGGTTGCACGTAGTGCGGATTGACCGTCACGTTGGGCGCGGGCCCGACGCGGTCGCCCGGACCGGCGAAACTGCCGTGCACGGTAAATTGCTGATGGGTGGTCGGGGAAGGTGGTTGTGGTTGTGGTGGTTGTGGTTTGGGTGATGGAGTGGTGGTCACAGACACAGAGCTAACGGCGGAGGCCGGTGGTGTTAGCGTCGGCCTCGTTTGAGTGCACACCTCTGAAAGGGGCGCCGCGGCGGCCGCTGCCGCCGGTGGCGCCGCCGCCGCCGCCGCCGCGGGTACCACCGCAGCCGGCTGTTGCGCCGCCGCCTGGAGGGTTGTCGCTAAGGCTGGACCGGCTTGGTGAAGAGGCTTGCTCGCGTTGGGGGACGTGCCGGTAGAGGTGGCTGTTTCCTTGACGGTCTGTGACTGGAGAGTATAATACATTCGTTTTAGATGTACGTTAAATTGTCCTATCTTTAAAATTACATTCATTTAAATCGTGTGGGTATTTATGTTTTGTATAAATAAAAAAATTGTTTTGTCATTTCGTTGTCGTCGGTGATTATTTAGGATACATCTAAAATGAATAGAATATCGCCCGTGTGTGTGTCTCAACAAAACAACAAAAAACTACAAATATTTATTGCAAATTGCACCGGGTCCAAACACGAACGGTACTTTTCACAATACAATTGGTGCAAAACAAATACCAATGCACGTCACTACTATCATCATACTCGCCAAGAATTGTGCCCAACTTTTAAAAATACACCAAATAGCTTACAGAATTTAATTTAATATTAACGAAGGATGAACGATAATGTTAAAAAGCAGAATTAAATCATCCAAAAATATATATTGTCAAAATTCAACGTTTGTATATAAATTATTTTTCCTAAAGTAGGTTGGTAGGCGTTGACTGTCAAGTTGCATCGTTGCCGTTGTCAACAGACTCAATTGTACACTAAATTTTTTACTCGTATTGTTAAATATATTTCAGATGATAAAGGAATTTGATGATTAATTATAATGAGCCCCTGAATACGTCCGTCGTTTAGAAACGTGAAACAGGTATCACTAATTTTCAATTCTTGTCATTTTGCCATTTGACAATTTTAGAAAGTTCTTAGATTTTGTAAACTCTTTTGTAGTTTTGTAAGCTCTATAAAAATTCGGCAACACTGCGCCCTTGTGACGTGCATTGATATTTGTTTTGCACCAACTGTATCTATCGTTTGCACCCAGAGTACAACCATCTTTGATTTCCGCATTTACGCGGAATTGTAAGCGGTTTATTAACATTAAAAATAACAACACATTGGAGTTATTACACCAAAACACAATTAACAGTTAGTAACAATCCGACAACCAAGCTCGAATGAGCATGCTGTAATTATAAAAAAATATAACAAATTAATGAACACACAATAGGGACACAAATGAATGAAATATTATAAATATCGATAACCAATGAAATGCATCGTTGAGCTTATTTCAAGATTATTCAATTGGCTCAATAATACATTACAAAATGTAGATAATGCATCATTTTAAATTCGATCGTAATGTAATAGAAACGAAAACAAACATTTTGTTAATAGACCAGACATAAATATGGATAAAAACGCACATTTTTAAAATTAGTACGATAAAAAAAAATAAATTAACAAAACGTTTACCTGCTGAGCTTTCTTCATCCTCAATTGGCTCCTGTTATCTCTCGCGTGCTGCAAAAACGGCGCTTTTTGCTCTTGGCTCAACGTTCTCCATTTTTTTATTATTTGCTTGTACCTTTAAAAATAAAATAATTAATTAGTATGTAACGGTTAGAATAGGAACTTACGGTGGTTTGTAAACTAATCGGCTATTTTGTAAACCAAATTAGCGGTTATTATGAAGAAATTTGCTTTTTCTAACACTAACTAATCTTTCCTCATTACCCTACCCTACTCTTCTATGAGTTCCATATCTCCTATCGGAGGTTATGAATGGTTCTAGACAGTTCTACTTCGTTTAGAAGCGTTCTAAATCATTCTAGATCATTTCTAATCGATCTAGACAGTTTAGAGCGTTCACAATTATTCTGTTCTGGATCATCCTAGATGGTTGCAAATTATTCTAGCCAAACTAATTCCTTCATAACAACCCTGTAATTCGCAAAACTAGTTTACAAACCAACTCACTTTCAACTTTAACCCTAGCTCTCATTCACCATCTTTCAAAACGTTCCCAAAACGCTCCTTAAGAGTTACCACAAATCAAAAAATCAATCGATTACCTATCGGGCCAATTCGGGTACTCCTTCTTCCATTCGGGATGGTTGATGTTCGCGTACAAAACGGCCGAAATCGTAGCGCTCTTGCCCAAACTCTCGTCCGCCTTCATCTTATCGGACGATCGTTGGTTGTACGTCGACGTCACCGTCACGTTGGTACTGTCGATTTCCGGCGCGTCGCTTCCGCTCACCCACGAACACGACGATTCGGCGAAAGCCGGACTGAATTGGGGACTGCTGCTTCGAATAAAAAAACCCGATGAGCCATGCGAAATACGCTATTTTTTACGAGACTTACTTGCTGTATTCCGAGTGATAAGGCGATGGTGGTGGAAACCCGACGGGGGAGTTCAAATTGTGATTGACCGTAGGCAACGTTTTCGGTCTAACCGGTTGATTGATAATGGGATGTTGTGCTACGTTTTGCTGGGAGTTGTTATTCGAGAACATACTGTTTCCTTGTAAGGTGAAGTTACTACTTTCTTGGGATTCCTGAGACTCGTCCGTTAGTACACCCTGAAAGTGTTGTATACATGTAAATAAGTAAAGAGTGTTTTATCAAAATCTCCTTTGACCCATTTATATGAACTTTTAGTCATAAAATATGCCAAGGAATCACCCCCTTTCTGATATACACGATGTTTACGAACACCCTGTATAGAAGTATTTTGGATATTCTCTTCTACTATACGAGAGGATTTTTTATAAAACACCCTGTACAGGCGATACAAAATTTTTGTGTCACTCTAACAAAAAGTTTAAAAAATATTAGCTCACTAAAGGGGCTACTGTTCATTGAGACACCCTGTATGAAACGTACCTTAAATATATCTTCGACGTCTTTGCTGTTTATGTTCGATATGGAATCGAGGTTGAAATGCGGCCCTAAAATATCGCTCAATTCGTCTTTGGTTTCTTTCGAATTCCCCGAACTGCTCAAAGTATCCGTCAGCTCCGCGTCGTGTTGTAAATTCGAATCTAAACAAAAATAATTGTTAATTTACGTCTTTTTATATACAGTATGACTGAAAAAGTTGTATAAATATATTTACCTAGAGCGACGAGAGACGCCGTAGTTTTGCTCAGTTCCTCCTCGTCCTCCATAATACTGTTAACCAAATCGGTATCGAGCAAATCTCCTGGTAAGGCGAGAACGTCTTTCAAATCCTCCGGATTATCTTCTTCCTCTTCCTTCAATACCGTTGGTTTGAAGGGATTCTTCGGTTGGTTCGAACCGAATTCTTTGGTCGAATCTTTGTTATCGTTTTCCAACTTTTCGGTTTTACCCGATGCCACAATCGCTATAATTTCATCCTAAAAAAACAATATATTGTAAAAAATACAGTTTGTTTGTTAATAAATCGCGTTACTAACTTGAGACAAATTAATGGATTTATAATGCTTGTCAGTTTTCTCGTCGTCGCTGCTATAACAATCGACTTCTTCCTTCTTACAATCGACCGTATCCATGAGGTCCTTTCCGAAGAAAGCTTCCTGTAGATATGCCGGAAACGTTTCGGCCAATTTACTCTTCGGCTTCCTCCGGATGGCTTTCCTTCTGGGTTTATCCCCGTCCGCTGGAGACGGGACGATATCGTTTGGATTGAGCCCGCTTTGACCTACAGTCGAATCCACATCGTCGTTATCCTGACCCGTCCTGATACCTCTCATCCTGACGACGAACCCGCCGATGCCGAGCTTCTGCAGGTTCCGCTGCCTCTTCCTTCGCAGCACGTTCAAACCGTTCTCCATCGTGATGATCGTGAAACCTTCGGGAGGCGGCCCGTCCTCTTTCGTCCACATCATGCCTTCCTTGTACAACTCTTGTGGTTCGTCTTTGATGTCGACCAGCTCCAATTTCGCGCTGTCTTCCATATTAGTAGCTTTAAATAAAATATACGCTATACGTTTGGATGCTTGCAACTAGGTGGTGCATTGTATCAAATTTCATAAAATATCTCAAGAACAAGCAAAATTACAAGAATAAAAATAGTTTTAAAATCAAAGTATAGACATAAATAGTTATTACCATTAAAAATTATTAAGTATTGAAAAAATTTAGGAGAGGGTAACAACTAAAAACCTACTCAATAAAGAGTGGGTCGTTTCATACTTTGAAGGGTTATGCAGAATGATAAGAACTGTTTCTGTGTTAAATTTCAGAAAAATCGGAGAAATGAATCAAAAGTTGGGAATCAAAATAATTCAACTTCAATGCCCTGCATTTCAGAAACTAAGAGGTTTTTGGAAAAAAAATGTATATTACAAACTAAGATTATTTTGAAACGAGCGGCGATTTGAAAAATAAACTTACGAATAACGTTACCGCCGGCAACGACCGATTCGATCGTAGCCATAATACCGGCTTCCTTATCCTGCACGGTGGGTATCTTCTTCCGTTTCTTCCGCGACCCGTGGTACTCGAGCGCCAACGATTTGATCAAATTGCTGCCGAACTCGCTCAGACAGACGCCGTCCATGTAGTAGCTGGTGCTCTTCCCCAACTCGGGACTCTTCGTCGGCGTCGGCGGCTTCGGCGCCGCCGCCGCCGGCGCCAAGTGAGGCGGCGGCACGTCCCTGGGCCGGCACAACACGCAATTGTAACCGTCCTCGGCGCACTTCTCGGCGTCCTCTTCGCACTTGATCGAATCGCAGGCGCCGTGCAACCACCGGTCGCACTGGACGCACTGGATGATCAGATCGCCCTCGGCGTACGGCTCGTTGCAGCCGGCGCAGTTGACGTGCGACGCGCACGGGCCGCACTGCGTCGAGCTGTTCATCCACGTGCAATTGAAGCCGGGATCGGTGGCGCCGCACGAATGGCAGACGGCGCACCATTTGCACTTCCAGTTGCCGTGCGGCACGTAGTCGAGCGGCGGGTCCATGCAGTAGATGTGAAAGGACACGTCGCAGTCGTCGCAGAGGATCAGGCGGCCCTCGTCGTTGCGTTGGCCGCAACCTTCGCACACCGTACAGTCCAGGCATCTGTTAGAACGACACAAAAAAATCCTTGTATAAATCTAATAGCGATTTTCTCCATCGTATCACAAGCGTGATCTGTTTCCCGGCTACTTACGGACCACCCTGTATACGCAGGACACTCCTTGCTCAATTTTAAGCCAACACTTAACTATATACCATGTGTCCAAGGTCGAGCGCTACATTCGTCCGCCGATTCATCGCGCCGAAGCCGCGCCTCTCCACAGTTCGACTGATTCTCTCTTTCTGTTTGCAGCGCTCGAACATGGACACTCGGTATCTATCGAGTCACGGGACGCCCCCTGTATTTAAAGCGGTCTACTCACCTCCATCCTTTCTGTAAAATCACTTTAGTGACTTTAACGTTAATGCAATAGGGATGGTAACATTGTCCGCATTGTACGCAACTGATCAGACATCCCTCTTGATCGGTTCCGAACGCTCCGCACATGACGCAGATGTCTTGGGTCAAAGTGAATTTGTCTTTGGCCGAGCACAAGACCAATCGGTTTTCGACGCCCGGCTCTTCGTCGGTTTTACCGTCGGAAATGGGCCGTTGCAGGCCGACGCCGGGCACGCCGAAGATGCCTCGCATTTTGGCTTTGGGGCCGCGCTTTCTGTTGAACTCCGTTAGTCGGTACCTCTTCATGTAGCCCATTTTGCCGGGCGGGACTTTTCCGGTGCCTTTCGGCCTGCCGACGGGATTTACGGTGAAACTGAGGCGCTTCTTGGCTATTTTATTCGCGCTGTACGGTTTCCCTTTGCCCAAACCCATGTTTCTGGCGAACTCGTCGGGCGATGGAAGATCGAATTCCGATGTATCGTCGTATAGGGAATCGTGTGAAGCTGATACGTCGGAAGGATCATCGATACCTTGGAAATAAATAAGATATTAACGAGTGTTAGTTAATTAACGAGAATTAGTTAAGACCCGTATTTCGAAAACGCAACATTTGAGGACATATGTTTATATAGCAAAATATCATTATTTTTTTTCATGCAGAATCACCCCTTGAAGTTTGTCGCACTTATTAATTAACACCCTGTATAACTTACTCGCTCGTTTCGCTGTTATTTGTCTAGCCGTGCTATTTTTGCAATGCAAGCAAACGTATTCATACTCCACGCTTATTTCCTTCTTTTGACTGTAGGTAACAACGTCCGCCTCGGGATCGCACGTTCCGTGAACGAACCTGGAAGATTATTAACCGATTATTCGAGATATACAGCAAATTGAGACGATCGCATTTACTTCTTGCAACTCGAACACTGCACCATTTCTCTGTGAGCGTGAGCGCGGTAAGCCTTATGGCATACAGGACAAGAAAACCCTTTGTTCCTTTGTTGGTAGCACGAATCGCACACCGTATAGTGAGCGTGCCATCTCGAAGACAAACCGGCCCCGGGCGTTCGAGCGCCGCAATCGCCGCATACTCTACAACACTGTAAATAAAACCGTTTAGTACAATTTATCGAGTTTTATATCGAGAAAACGTACTCTACACTTCCAACCGTATTTCGGTATCGAAGTCACTATAGGTCTTTGACAACTAGCGTGGTAAATCTTATCGCATTGTTCGCAAGTCATCAGCTTAGACTCGTCTCCGACTACTCGACAGACTTGGCAACAACGGCATTTCCTACACTGCCAACCGGATCTTACGCCTGAAATAATTCGTTATACAATTAGTCGTTTCCTTTAGTTAATCGAGCGATTTTTCGTACCTGGCAACTGAGCTAATCCCACGCAAATCCCGTGATAGTGCGCGCCGCAACCCGAACAAAACATCAAATTCGCAATATCTCCCATCGACGCGCAAGTCAAACACGGAGATGCGTCAGTGAGCATGGCCACTTGCCCGTAATGGTCGTTGCACAAAGTCGTTAACGACGAAACATCCTGAAAGGCACCGGCAGCAGTAGCGCAAGGAAAGTGATACGTTTTGGTACATTTGTCGACGTCACAGGTCAGGCTGGCACCGTAATGGTTACAGAAGGAACATTTTTTGGAAGAACTTTGCGAAACTACCGGCCCGACGTTCAACAAAGCCGAATTTTCTAAAACAAATCAAGTCAACAAGATCGATACAAAATCGATTCAAACGCGAAATTACCTGCTTTCGTTACACCGTTAGACCACAACGCGCAATTGCGGTGCACGTAAAACTGTCCGTTTGGTTCGAACAAACTAGATACATCAGGTACTTCATTATATCCGATTATAGTTAACTCATCAACGTATTCACTGGTTATCGAAGGATGTCTGCATTTGTTGAAACTCTTTTGCCTTCTACACGTCACAGGCCCTTTCGGACTCTTATCCCCGCATTCCTTATCCGGAGCCTGCAAAGCCCTTTCTAATATTTGTTCGCTAATAACTTTCTCCGGGGAGAAACCTTCGGGACAATTCAATCTGTAAATACAATTAATTAATACGTAATACGCAAGAATCAACATCGAATAATACCTCAGCATTTCACCTTGCCCTAACTGGCTCCTTTCGCCTAAATTACACAAGGCACAAACTTTCCCCGGCCAATGTTCCGGAAAGTACGGAGGCTCCTCGATCGCGGGCACAAACTTCTCGGGAAAGATCATCGATCCGGTTTCGGGATCCAACAAACCGTCGTCCACCGGCGAGCCGGCGAAAAGGGACATCTCGTAATCCGATCTATCCACTTGTCTAACGCTCCTACTTCCCCCTAGCGATCCTCTTCTCGAAAAACCCGGAGGCCTGGGCCTACGTACTCTCGATACTCCAGTTCCACCGCCTCTAGTCGTTCTCGGCGCCGAAGGCTTTCCTATTTAAAACGATCTGTATTAGCGAAATGTAATAAAATGTGGTAAAGAAAACTAAGGGTGGGTAATCGTATGAATTATTGATTAATAATGGGTAATAAAAGGAAGTACCTCCTTCTCTTCGGGGCCTGCCTCTTCCGCGTTTAACGTGCAGAGGTTTCCCGGTGAAATTGAAGGGCGGAGGGAAGTCTTCGTGGATCGGTGAAGAGGCGACGGAGTTGGCTGTGGACTCCGGGGCCGAGGACGAGATGAAAGGCGACGAGACGTGATCGTCGATGAGATCGTCGTCGTCCTCGTCCAAATCGGAGCCTTCGGGCTCGTCCAGATCCATCAAATCGTCGGGATCCAAACCCGAGGTTAATTCCTCCATCGCTCGGCAAACTGGAAAAAACGATTAGAGATCTGATCGCATCACCGCGCCGAGCTAATTCGCGCGAGTACGCTTCGCCAAGGGCGAGCTAATGCTCGTTTTATCATTGTTTGTAACAACTGGATTTTTATACCCCTATTAAAAATACATCAGCGCCATGTCAACTTTGTCAACTACAGCGAAGGAGATATGCCGATGATTGTGGCGAATTGCGGGCAATTAGAGTCGTTTGGGCGATGAAACTCGTTGTAATCGAATAAAGTTAAACAGTTACGTACTTTTGGCGATATTTTACATCGTAAAACACTTTGAAACGCTAAAATATTCCAAAAAAATGCCAGCTAAAAACGAAACGGGTGAACTGTCACTCAATGCTCACTGCTGCCAACACAAAATCGTTTTCGTAATGGAAGTGGAACTGGTAACGAAAATGTACTAGAATTTTTAAAAATAGTACAAAGAAAAACATAATTGTTATTGAAAGAATAATTTTATAGTATATAAAACACTTTACAATACTAAAATAATAAAATAAGTACAGTTAAAAACTAAATAGGTGATAGTTAAACACTAGTCAGTGCTGGCACTACAATTTTTTTAGTGACATTTTAATGACTTCTTTAATGACAGAAAATCGTTTAAAAACCGTTCTTAAATCTAAATTTAATTATAAAATACAATCCAAAATAATGAATAATTATTAAATAAACGATTTTATAAATATTTTATCGCGTTACTAAATGGCCCTCATCCCTATCCGAATTTTCGACTAGTAACAGTACATTATAAGAGAAGAATAGAAGAATAGGTGGCTATATGCCGCCTTAGGCCGAGACCGCCAATTTACACAATTTTATTCTACTGGCTAATTGTTTTCGATTTTTACATAATAAATCAAACAAATTTTACCATTTCCTTAGATTTTACGAAGTGATTAAGAATAAGTACCGTTATGCGTGATTAAATAAGCAATTTCGTTAACTTTGCAAACTTACACAATGCTTAAAATTACGTAGGTATTGATGAAAAGGCAATTTTAATCAGTTTTGAAACCCGTTTAATATATTTTTATGGGTTTGTTTGTTCAAATAATTTGGAAATGGAAGTTTTCTTTCTTTTTGTTTAACCATAATTCAGAAAATATGTAGGACAGAGATACCTATTTATATCGAATGACCAAGAACTTTTAATTTAAATAAAATTGAAAAAAATCTTGGTCAAACATCCCGTAATTATTCTACTTACTTTCGTTCGAAATTTTATCAACAATTTGCATACTTATTTGTTTATTGAGCAATTTTATTGGAAATTAACAGTATTTTCATTTTCCCAATTTTTTTCTCAAAGAAGCCGGCATTTCCGGAGGAGGAGGCCTGGGCATTCTCATGAAAACCTTAAACCCGTCGTAAATGAACCATTGCAGAGCCGTCAGGGTACCGATCATTATAATCCTAGGCACGATCCCGCCCCACAACCCCATAAACCCCAGCTCCTTTAAAAGCCCCCCGGCTGTACTCCCCTTTCTCTGGTTCAATTTACTAACCAGCGTATCCGCCGGATGGGAAACGATAGCGCAAAGAATACCAGCAATATACCCAGCACAAAACGTTACGATCAATTGCTCGAATTTGCTGCACTTCTCCCTCGGCTTCGGAACCACGTAGAAATACAGCAATTCTAAGGTTCTCTCGAAACTCACGAATTTCACTGTCGTGTACGGTATTTGCCGCATCCACAGCGGCCCTAAAGACTTATAGAAAGCCATGAAGCCTTCCTCTTTGTACATTTTAGGCGCCGCTTCGCGTAGAGTCCTGGCGTATCCAGGAGTAGTCTGGATCTTCACTTTTATAGCTTCCATCGGAGACAAGGCGATGTCCCCGAAGAACTCGGCCGACGCAGATGATATTAAATACATCGCAGTCCTGTAAAGGTACGCGTTCTCGTCCCCGATCACGTGGTGACAGAGCACTTTGAACACCTCGTATAAGCCGAATTTGAAGGAACCCTGGGCCGCGTAGCCCATTAGAGTGGGCGCCCAGCCTCTGGTGAAGCCCTTAGCTCCTTCCTCTTTGAAGGTTACTCTGAACCCGTGCACGAGGTTCTTGTATTTGCCGGGATCGACTTGGATGCGGCATTTTACGATGTCCAAGGGGGTTACCAGGAGGTGCGTGAAGCCGCATGCCAATGCACCGCCGAGGCCGCAGAACAGGAAGTACTTTAAGGATCCCAATTCGCAGCTGTCCGTGGGATTCGCTGAGGCTGCTAGTACTTTTCTCCGTAGTACTAGAGTTTTTATTAGACTGTTTCTTCGTTGTTCTTTTTCTAATATGCTTCTTGTAGGTTCACAACGGACGACATTAAACAACATTTAGACTAGACACAAAATTTAGACCCGAAAATGATTTCAATGCATTTTTATGATGCATTTTTCGTTGACGTTTATATGTATTGGAAAAAGTCAGAAAATGCAAGTTGTATTTCTAGTTGAATCGTAAAAAAAACAATTTCCTAAATGTGAATTATAAATTAGTTTTGTGTCGAGAAAATTCGTTGTAGGTACAATGCAGAATTATCCAGTTATTCGATAACAATCTAAATTTAAACGTGCAAGGGAAACCCCGTTTAAAACCTGTTTAAAAAGCACCTGCTTCGTATAAGAATATACATCTAATTTCCACACTAGGTACTATAAAAACTTATTAAATTTTTCCTCGTAGGTATAACAATTTCGAAAAATATTACACTATTTTTTAAGTAGATACATAGATACTACTTAAAAATATAGGTACCTCATTTTCCACTCATTTTACGAACAAATTAATACAAAAATTTGACTTTAGAAGTTTAATAAACGAATGAAGAATTGTCTTATTGAGAATGTACATTGTAATAGTGTACTGTTCAGAACGCTCCAAAGTCATTTTAGAACTGCCTAGAACCTTTTAGAACGAACCAGAATCGTTTATAACTATCTGGAACCATTTAAAATGCTTCAGAATCATTTAAAACTGTCCAAAAACCACTTAGAACACTCAATAATCATTTAGAACGCTCCAGAATAATTTTGAAACTGTCTAGAATTATTTAGAACCCCTCAGAATCATTTAAAACTGTCTAAAAACCATATAGAACGCTCCATAGTCATTTAGAATGCTCCAGAATCATTTAGAACTGTCTAGATCTCAAAATATGACTCATAATAAGAGATCAAAATATGACCTCATTTACCGCTCATTTTCCAAACAAATTAATCAAAAAACCAACTTCAGAAGGATTTTAACGAATCAGAACTGATAACGAATCTAGAATAATTTTTTGAAAATTTTATTATCAACCGCGTTGACAATAAATGTTGGTCAATGTGCGGCCAGAGGCGATAGGTAAGCGTTTTTCATTAGAAAACATCGGTCTTATAAGGAGTAGATGCGTACATATGTGCATATATCTCAATAGTAGATCTGGTACTAGGATGGATACAATTTTAGTCGGTACTCTCTGGTAGAGCTCGAGAATAATTGTGTAATTTAGTAAAAAGATACGCGAAGTGCGCGCTTACCTGTGAAGAATAATATTTATCTATTAAATTGTGTTTGTGTCTGTGTGCGAGTTTTGGATTTAAAATCCGGGTAAATATTTATGAATTGTTGGTATTTAATTTATATGGTTTTCCATGGGGCATTATGGTATGTTTAATTTGCAAAATAGAAAGTCGAATGCGTTGTTTTGTAAGAAAAATTATTGGAAATTTGAATTTTGCAATTTGAAAATTCTAAAAGATATTTAATTATTTATTTTTTCCCTCTTTATTAATAATTAGTTAATAACGCTTTGACTGAAAACGTTAATCAAAATCACACAACATTCAAAACACAGGGTGTTTCTGAAATAAGTGGCCAACTTTGAGAGCAAGTAGAGAACCTCATAATATGACAAAAACTTGTCATTTTATCCATATGTCCTTGGTTAGCGATATACAGGGTGTTAAAGATAAAATAGGTGTTATATAAAGGGTGTTAAAGGTAAAATGATAAAATTTGGTACATATACTAAGCAAATGTCATCTTTAATATCAAATGTATCTTTAAAAATCTAGCAAAAACTTGAAATTTCGATAAAATGACATTTAAATTTTTATCTAATTTTGAGGTTCTCTACTTGCTCCCAAAGTTTGACCACTTATTTCAGAAACACCCTATATATTTTAGAAAAGGGAAAATTAATTTATTTACATTAATTACTCTTCTTTTTAAAATAATTAAGTACTTTATACGTGCAAATTAAATTGAAAATAAATGCTAACACAAAGGTTTTGAATCGGGTGCTCTTCTAATTCCATTTCATTTTAATAATTACACGACAGGTAATTAAATTAGCGAGCAACAAAAGGCCAATAATTTTACAAAATGGTGTCACAAAAACCATGGGTAGACCGTTAGCTAAATTTTCGGATTTTTACAAAATAAAATAAACTTTTGAATTTTATGAAGTGATTAGGAATAAGTACCATTTACCTGGGCTCGAGTAATATAATAGATGCTTAATTTAATTTCGCACTCTTACACAATGTATAAAATTACATGCAAAAGAAGAAAGTTTAACGAGTTTTAAAAGCGTTAAATACTTTTACGTTCTAACATCGGTACCTGCTATTTATATTCAATTAAATCGATTTATTAATTAGTTAATCAGTATACGAGGTATAGTAATAAGTACGAGAATAGGGGGAAAAGTTCTCGGCCTGAATCATTTAGAACTATCTAGAAACATTTAGAACGATTCAGAACCATTTAGAACGCTCCCATATGTTTATAGGATTTTTCTTAAATTGGACCCAAGAATCACCCCTTTCAGTATTAACATGTTATTAAAAAACACCCTGTATATAGAATTTCGACCGCATAACCTGAAACGAAATACGTATCGAATTTTCTTCTTAAGACGACCGACCAGAACCTATAACATGCTAAAACACGATTATTAAAAAATTTCTAAACATACAATAGACGAAATAAGCGCGGAACTGGACGTTGAAACTGTCGCGATTTCGTGCGCCCGAGCAAAAATGTTTATTTACGCTTTAATAAACGAATAAATGTCTGTAATTTCTTTATACATAACGGTATAAACGATTTTAAATGCGGTTCGACGAAAAAAAAAATGTACCGAAGAAGCAGAGGTCTTTAGTTCAAGTTCGCGATTTCGTCTGTGGTGTGTCGCCTTTTCAAAGTCATGTGCTGGTTTTGTTTCGTAATGTCGAGTTGAATGATACAGTTTTTTTTTCTTCTTTTTTTTGGATTTCATATACTCTCCTTATAGTACGGAAATTTCAACAATGTATGTATTGATTTATGTTCAATTTTGTAGTCTAACAGTGCATGTATTTCTATCTTTAAAAGGATATAAGGAATGTTGTTATTATGTAGCAGAAAATGTTCATTTTTATATAAAAATCTGGCGCATATGTTTCCAAATAACACAAAATTGTACACAAACCTACTCGTATACGAATTAATCAGAAAGTTATTTCTACAGTGCAACAAAAATATCTAAAGACATGACCTGCGCGAATTTCCAATAAGTAATAAATATTACAAATTACAAACGATCTAAAATGATCTTTTAGAACTGTCTATATATCCATTTAGAACGCTTAAGAATAATTTAGAACCTTCCATATTCATTTAGGATTGTCTAAAATTATTTAAAACGCTCCAGAATAATTTAGAACTATCTGGAAACATTTAGAACGCTTCAGAACCATTTAGAACACTCCATAGACATTTAGAATGCTACAGAATCATTTAGGACTCTTTAAAACCATTTAGAACAATCACTAATCATTTAGAACTGTCTACAACAATCTACAAGCTTATTTAGAACGCTTCAGAACAATTTAGACCTCTCAATAGTCATTTTAGAACGCTCCAGAGAATTTAGAACTGTCTAAAACTGTTTAAAACAATTCAGAGCCATTTAGGAACGCTCAATAGTTATTTAGAATGCTCCAGAATCATTTAAAACTTTAAAATTTAAAAGTTCCAGTAGGAAATAAATATTACAAACAATATATTTCTTGATCTTTACTTTGAATTTTATAACAATTTCGTTATTCGAATAACACAAACTTGCAAAAAATGAATCAAACAATGTTCCAATAACCTAGAAATTTTGTCGCAAATATAATCATTATCTTCAAACGCATGGTACTTTTCTCGTCACGTACTTATGCTAAGCACGCTGTATTTATCATAAATTCATAAACATATGCATTTATGCAAATTAAAAACGAAATCGCCCCATAATTTCATAAATTTTTCTGTCTTATTTTCTTACAGGATGCATCCCTCCATTTTGCTGCTTCTCATTCTATACAGGGTAAATTGCGAGGAGAGCGCCCAGTACCTACAAAACACCGTCAGGGACTTACGGAAACTAAATTACAGACAAACCCTACGAAGGGTCGATTTAACCACACCTAAAACCACCATCAACGCCGTTTTACCATCGAACAAAGCCGACAGAAGGATCCAACACAACACAGAATATGTAAGAACAACGCAACTTTATTACATTATACACCGCGATAGTAATAACAAGATACGTGACCTGCGCAACTTTCAATCATTGCGCATCTCCAGCTATTTCTATCGCTCTGTACCACCTGTATCCGTCTATAAATTACGTTTTTGTGTGTACTTTCAGCACACGCCTCCTCCATTAGGGCTGACGAAGGGCGAGCTGCTTTCTCTGTACGAAAATGCAGTGGCTAAAGGAGACACGCTGAAAATAAATACGGGCGGTAATAATTTCGTTCGAGCTGCAGTGCACGAATTGGACAATTATCATTCGCACGCTGCGCACGATGAAGATGACAAAACCGACGATGGGAAATACTATTACTATTATTATCCCATTAAGAGCTTCGCCGACGAGATGACGTCGCAAGTTAGTGACAGCGTAAGTGTGTGTGTTTTTTATTTGAATAATTTTTTTTTGGTGTACTTATCTGACGCGTTTCCTTTACTTTACGTAGAAATTGTGGAATAGGAAATAGAAAAAAAACCTGTATGTAATCTACACGGAAATGTTATTATACCTAGTATATAAAGTAGTTCTTCTATAGTCAAGTTTCTTCTTGCAACCTATTCGAACTGTCTATTGTAATTCTCTCTTTATAGGCTCCTTCTTAGCGGTGTTGCTTTGTGCTGTAGATTCCTTTATGGAGCGTTTAAAAATTTGTTTTGTATTTCTTTTTCAGTCTCACGATTATCATACTTATCATTCTAACAAAGCCACCTACACAACACACAAGCCGCCATACACGTATCACTCCCATCACCACGAGGTGAGTTTATTCCACAAAGTTAAATTAACAACACCTATACGTATAAGACTTTTGGTATTCCATGTATATACAGGATCCATAAGAACTCACGCCCCACCAGGAATGGCCTTATGGAAACGACAATGGAGGTTCCAAAACTGCAGCCGAAGAGATGAAAAAGTTTTTCCTTTGATGTAAAATTATTTAAAAGATTCTATGTCCTTTTCACTTTCAAGGTTAACAAAAGCTGTTTCAAAGATTTGCTTCCAAATTCATCAAAAATTCGATCATTCGATTTGAACCACTTTTAAAGCAATACAAAATTCTGTAGGTTTGGAATCATCACGACGAAGCTTTTTTTGATCCATTGAAAGCAAATCTTTCATCAATAGTCACAGCTGTTTTTTGCAGCTAACCTTGAAAGTAAAAAGGACAGGATTTTTCAATAATGTCAAATTGGTGTATAGTTCATTCACGTCATTATCGTGGATTTAAACTTCTACTGAGATTCTTCGACTTTAAACCTCTTTATTTACCAAAGGAATAACTTTTTCATGTCTTCAGCTGCAGTTTTGGCATCTCCATTGACGTTTCCATAAGACCTTCCCCGGTGGGCCGTGAGTTCTGGGCCACCCTGTATGATAGTTGTAGGAAATGATTCGTTGCATTGTTGCAGCACACTGTTAAAATAAAAAAGGAAATCGAACCGAAGAAATCCGACAATAAGCTGGAGCCCTTGTTCATGGCCATCTCGGGTCTGGTGGGAATGGCCGTGATGTTCGTATTCTCCATGATAGTCCTGCCGAAGTTCGGCCTCAAACCCGCCAAGAAAATCGCGTGGCCCAAGGGCCACGACATGGACGAATTAGCCAAATTGGCTCTGAGCGCCATCGAGGGCAACGATTGCAGAGAGAGATTCGCCTGCGAGCTGACCAAAACCGCCAGGAACTACAACATACCGGATAACAGATTCTTAAAGTAAGCTACAATATTGTAGAGATAGCTAGAGACGCGATCTGCGCTACTCGAATTGCGCATCAACAATCTCTAACAGCATTTCCGCATTGATACATTTTAAAATTCAATTCAACACATCTTTAAATTCTCTTGCAATAGGAACTAAAACATACCGGATAACCGATTCTTAAAGTAAGCTACATATAATACTGTAGAGATAACTAGACATGCGATATGTGCTACTTAAATTGCGCATAAAACGTCTCTAACAGCATTTCTGCATTGATAGATTTCAAAATTCAATTCCACACATCTTGAATTTCTCTTGAAATAAAATCGTTTTTGACGGTGATGTTGGTTTTTCAGGTTGTTGAAAAGGATAACGCCCGGTACGTTGGGCCAATACATGGAAAGGTTCAGTTACGGTAACAGGCAGCTGAAATGCACGCTGATCCCTTGCAGGAAAGCCGTGGCGCAGAAGGTTCAGAAATTCGTGAAAAAACCGCCGATAAGGAAGAAGGCCGCGGCCCATAAAAAAAACTGATCGCCCGCCGACAGCCGAAGTTGTACGAAGTTTTGTAGATAAATATGTATGAGTTGGAGCTGTTCGAATTTCGGGATCAATTCGACTTTGGCTGGAGTTTTTTTTTTTCGTAATAAATAACTCGCAGTGATAGGGATCTCGATTTCGGCGTTCCTAGGCGATTTTCCGAAAACGTTATTGGTTCCATTTATAAAAATGTACAGGATGTTAATTAATTGAGTGCCGATTACTCAGGATGTGAATATATTTGGATGATTTTAAGATTAAAAGTTTATATCAATTTATGTCCTAAACCTCTTAGTTTTCGAACTACAGGGTGTTACAGTTTTAGAAAAAAACTTTTCTGCTGAAGTATGTTGAAGTATTGGTACTCAATTAATTAACACCCCGTATATAAGTACTGATTAATTTTAATTTTATTCGAGTATATATTTTTGAGCGGGACCTTTCGCTTTAAATTGATTAGCCAAGTCGTTAAATTACTTGCATTATCGAATGCGCTTCAAGGTTTAGTTTAGTTCAGTTAGTGCAATTTATTTATTTATTTCTTTATTTATTTATTTATTTATCTATTTATTTATTTATTTATTTATTTATTTATGTAATTCGTTGCCAATTGTGATGAAAACTAATATAAATTCACTACATTTTAATTACTACAACTTATTTCATTGAACAATTTTTTTAGCATTATTAAAAATAAATGAAAAGTTATGGGTTGAGAGTAAAGTTCATTAGACGTAATTTATTTATTATTAAAAGTTTTCAATACTTTAACAGAAACAAACAACAGTTAAACAGTAAGATACGACATATTGTAAGGAAGAAATTTACATATTTTTGTGATTTTTCGAATGTATCGATTTATTTAATAAAATTACATCAATTAGGTATATTTATAGGAGAATATGGTTTTAATTTTAAATGAATTCTCATTGGTAATATTACGTTTAAGATAAGCAAAAATTTCAGATTTATTAACTGGGACTTTCATTCGATTCTCTTTGAAATATTTAACCAATTTTTGCCGATCTTTTTACAAAATGTCGAAAAATTTCAGTATTATTTGCTCTCCACATATAGAAATATACATATTATACCTATAATTAGAAGATTTAAAATTTATTACATACAAAAAATCAGTCTGTACAAAATCAAATGTTAATTTTTCACTATAAATAAACGAAGAGGAGTTCTAAAATTATTTGTACTAGAATTGCACGAGCTCGGTAATAAAGAAATGAAATTATTATAGGCGTAAAATTATATTATCATCTAATATAAAAACAAATATATGCCGGGAAATAAAAAAAAATAAATCAAACTTATAGATCCCTAATTTTAGAAATTGGTATTATGATAACAGAACAACCAATAATTTTTGAACTCTTCAGTTATATAATTCCTATTACACATTATTAAAATAAATATTGTATTTTACAAAAATAAAAATATTTTATTTACATATACTTACATATACATTTATACTTCTATATGAATATAAAATGTTCATTACAAATTAATTCGGAAAGATCAGTTAGTATGAGATGAGAGAATATTTTACTTACGTATTGACTCGAGTCCATTACAAATTAATTCAGTAGAAAAAGTGCAGTAGTATTCTACTATCTTCATATTCACTTATACAGGGTGTCCCACGTAGAGTAAAACTATCTGTATATAGGAAACTACTCATCCTATTTAAAAGTAATATTTGGTATGTATATGTTATGGAATAAAACGAACCTCTTAAAAATATTTTGTAAGTCGTATCACTTCCACAAAGATGTTTTATGATGCGACAAAAACTATTAAAAATGGTTATTCTTGCACGACATCCATCCTCATTTTTAACATTTTGTAATACGTGTAACTTGACGTATACATGTAGGTATGATATATTATTATGCACAGTCGCTGCATCCATGACAGTATATTCATTCGCACTCATAAATATTCATAAAGGCATTTTCCATTATATGTATATACATAAATATAAATTACCTCCAGAAATCCGCATACTCCAAATTGATTTATAATGGATCGAGATTAACAAAATTGCAACACAATTTTAACAATGTAGATAACGTAGGTAGTAGGTATTAAATTCAATAAAATGTAATCGGTAGTAAATGATAAAGGAAGGGACGTTCGATAGGTATGCATTGTACCGGCAGGAATGTGGGAACTTTACACGTTACCCCCGTAACTAGGCCTCGGCGGGTACAAAAAGGGGCTCCTCGCTTTGGGAGTGCCGTTGGTGGGTCTGGAACCGCCCCCGTTGACCGTTACTATAGTCGTTGTTGTTATTTCTGAGGTGCAAGATTCCCTTTTGTGATAGATGTTAGTGGGCTGGCTGTATAACCTGAAAGGAAATGCCGAAAGGAAAAATATGTATACAATTAGAGCATTAAAAGGGTACATAGTGAACTTTCTGAGAAAACATGGGAATCTGGATCATTTAGAGCTCAAATTGTGTCAACATGAGAAAAAGATAACTACGCAAAAAATTCTTATTTCTTGATTATTCGGCTGAATAGCCTTCAGTAGATGAGACTAGTAAACTACAAAAAAATAAGAAGAAATTGATAACTAAAAGTACCGATCGGATGACAACGACAACTATGCAACTTGACAGTCAGTGACTACCAACCTACTAAAATAAAATAATAATAATTTTATATACAAATGTTGAATTTTGAGTTCGATTGATTACCCTACAAAGAAACAGTTCGAAAGAGCAGCATTCGAAAGAATAATAGTTATATGTATATGTAACAATGAGTATATAGCATGGTATAATTCCTCCATTATTTAAAATAGAAAAATTCTATATGGAGCGAATAACAAATGGACGGAATACGTCTGGGAGACATTTACTAGAAGCCGATATAGAAATGGAATTTTACTTAAAGGGAATTCATCTGGCAGTGGAAGTGCATTAAGGGCCGAGGCATGCATAATTTAACTGCGAAAATAAGTGTAATTTGCATTTTCACGCGGGCGTGTACTATATCTCGATGCCTCGAAAAAATAAAGCGGAAAAATAAAGCGGAGCCTCGTTGAAGGACGCTAAAATGTTTGTGACACGTGCGGGTGGAGTGCTCGCACGATGAATATTTTTATGGGATCCTTTCAAAAACAGATACATTTAGAAAAAAATTTAATACTGAATAGCCCTAGTATTCGAGACCACACAGAGCCAACTAGATTTCTAAACAATAGTTAATGAAATGGTAAATTAAGAAGAAAGAAGAAGCTAATACCTTTTGGATCTTACCGTATGCTTTCAGTTCTCGATCGCGGCGACCAATCTTTGCTTTTGCTGCCCGATCGGAGACTTCGGGGTCCCAAAGAGCGCCTGGTCTTCCAGTTTTCTATGTGATGCCTCAGAGTGTTCTGGACCTCCGTGTTCAAGAAGCAGTAGAACAAAGCTACGGTGAAACCCTGCAAAAAAAACGATATACTCGAACCAGCAGTTTCCTGAAGATGATCTCTATTCCGGAGTTCGTATATGAGTTGTCTATAAAGCCACAAAATGCAAAAGAAATAGTAGATTTGTTGATTGTTTTATTCGAGAATAAAGTGAAATAGAAATTCGATCCGTTAATCTGGGCAAACATGACCTTCTAATAGGAGAACCGGGAGAAAAACGTTTCGTTTGTACATTCCATTAACGTTGACGGGACTCAAATAATTCATCAACTGTATCTGGACGTTGATCTTGAGGAGTGCACACACACACAAACCCGACTTTTAACCCGAAGGTTAATTCAAACTTCAAACAGTGGTAAATTAGCGGTGATATATCGGGTTGTTCGGCGCCCAGGCTCGACTAGATCACAGCTTGTAATCCGATGCATTTTGAATTTTCATATAATCCGGCTTGTTTGCTATTATTCCCATCGTTGGCCATTTTAAGAAGAAGGTTCTTTATATCGAGTAAATGATCATCACACACTAAGAATCACTCCTCTCTTGACCCATCTGTCCATTTTCTAGGCAACTTTGGAAGTTTTTTAATCCAAAAAATACTACTTTATGTGAAAGTGGATAAGACTACGAGGAAGACTACGGCCTGACAACGGAAGATCGCGATTTAAATGGTTCTGGAGCGTTCTAAATAGTTCTGAAGCGTTCTACACGGTTCTAGACAGTTTTAAATGTTTCTGGAACGTTATAAATGCCTATGGAGTGTTCTAGATGGTTCGAAAGCGCTCTAAATAATTTTAGACAGTTCAAAATAATTATGGAGGGTTCTAAATGGCTTTGAATCGTTTCAAACGGTTTTAGACAGTTCTAGATGATTATAGACTGTTCTAAATGGTTTTAAACATTCCTAAATGCTTCTGGAACACTCTAAATGGTTCCAGACAGTTCTGAATCAATTATAAATGTCCCAAAGAGGAAACAAGAACATTTCCAGTGTATCAGGCCGAGAACTTTTCACCCTACCCCCGTATACGTCAATCAGGTTTAATTCGTAATAATCAAGTCGGCGCCGCTACTGATGATTGAGCCCTTGAGCACATAGAGCTGTGCGCTATTAATTCGACAGGAGTTATCTGCCGAATAAATTTCGACGTCGAATATGAGACCCTGTTGATTCATTGGGCCGATCCCCACGAGCCGATAGGGACCAGCCAATAACATCAATAAACAACAAATATTGACGGGGTTCGTTACCGTATGACTTCCGAATCGAAATATTTTCACGGGGAAATTGCTAACTAAAATTGATCCTGATGCTGGATTATGTTTAAATTAACATTAACTAACGGAAATAAGAATATACTGCCGGTACAGAATAGAGTGTCGGTACTTTAGGATGTGATTATTTTGATGATATTAAGGAGAAAAGTTTATATCAATGTATGTCCTAAATCTCTTAGTTTTCTAGCTACAGGGTGTTACAGTTTTAGAAAAAAAAACTTTTCTATCTCACACTCACAAAAATTAAGTTTTTTAAAACTCCATAAAAATTTAGCACGTATTATTTTTGTATAATAGAGCATGTCATCAACAAGAAACTAACAAAATTTTGCCCCTAATTTCTCCCGTTTTTTTTCTCCCTGACTCTGATGATATTTTTAAATTAATCAAATTAGATCAATCGATTTGACTGGAACAAATCAAACGGAATTTCTTGCTAGTTTCCCCATTCGATAATATAAAACTCGACAGTCCTCTTTTCCGTCGAAACCCCTGTTTTCCACGTGTCTATCCATCCGTCAAATGCCAGTGAACGTGGCAAATTGGTGTTGCAATTTTTACGATCGTCGATCAAGCCCGGAATTGTTGATACCGACATCCGATGACAATAAAAAAAGGGCTGACTCTACCCATCAGTCTCGAGATTGACGCGGCCTGTCGCAGTTCCATCAGGAATAAATTATATACATTCTTTGTTGCAGGAACACGCGAAAAATACGATGATGCATCGGGTTTTTCGCGTGAAAATTTCAATTGTAGATTTTTTTATAATTTTTATTCCGGTGGATATCTACAAAAATCTATTAGTGGCCTGCGACAAGTTAGAATTACAGCTCACTTTTATATGTATAACCTACATAAAATTTTTAACTTGTTTTAAGGATGTAATCCTGCCGATTAAACAGAGCGCCGGGTTTGGAATACAAATTTCTTTTTTCGCATCGCCACTTGAATTCGCCACTCTCGGTACTTAATTACTGCGAACTCTCTAAGGTTCGTTTAATTAGAAAACTTCCAAATCTTCGCCCGCCCATGGGAAGTTTCTATTGTGAGAAACGTTCGCAGGGAATTAGAGAGCCGGCGTCCTGAGCTAGCAGGAATCGCAGAAAAAAATTCCCGCCGAAAGTTAATGAAATATATTTTTATGTGCGAACGTTCCATTGGGTTTAGCGATGATAAATCGAAAATGATATTAGATAGCCGTTATTTATTCTCCTGTTACTTTTCTATACCTATACACCTGCAAATAATTTATGACTAACAAAAATAGACTATTATTTTATTAACAAATGTACAATTCAATTAAAAAACGTAAATGTTTCATAAATGCCATATCGACAATTTAATGCGTTTACATCCTATATCCCGAATAATTTATTTACGTGTATCTAATGGAATATCCCGAATGTTATTTACATTCGTTAAAAACGATCTATATTTCAATGTTCTCGACTAATTAACCTGTACAAATGAAATATCGAATAACAATTAATTCGCAGGAGAGGTATTTACGTGAATGAAATAAAAAAATCGACTGATTGATCCGCTTGTCTATTTCTTTAGGGCGAGTTAATTGAATTTCAATCGGCTGTTTTTTTATTTAATTAATCCGTAAATTACGCGAAGAAGTCGATATCCCGTTTTTTTCTGGATGGTATTTTAGAGTCGGTTTTTTGGAGCTTCTAAATCCGTCATTAGGGCCATTATGTAGTAAATTCGGGCTGAAAAGAGACCGGTGGAAACTGATATTAAAGGTGATAAGAGTATCCGATGTGGAGTTCAGACAAATTTGATTTCCCCTGATAATGCCGTTTCGACTGGAGATGGAGAGGTTCTGCTATCGATCTCTAAAAAAAGGGTCTAGAACAGAAAAGTCTAATGCAATTTTTGCAAAGTTTAACATCTTCGGGTCTACTGTATTAGCTGTTTCTGAAGGAGGTACGTACCTAATACATAAGATTATAAAACAAGTATTAAAAAATGTAAATTTTTATTACAAACTGCTAAAACTCAATTTAACGTTTTAAAAATTATTTAATAAACAACCAATTTTATCACCAACTTTCCAACATCATCAACTTAAGGTTCCAAAGTTTTTTCCAAATGTTCGAGAGGTTTTCCAAAGGATCCAAAAGGTTTTCAAATATTGCGAAGGTTTTTAAAAAGTTCCAAAGAGTTTCCATGCAATGTTTCGAAAAGTAAGAAAGATTCCAAAATATTTCCAAAAGTTCCAGAGGTTAATTTTCCAGAGGTTTAAACCTATAAAAATCAATCTTTTACAACTTTTAAAGAACTTAAACAATTATAGTTCAAAGTTACACTTGAACATTGAGAACTTAAAAATCTTCCCTTATATATCAGCAGAATAATGAAATTAATTTTTATTGACTAGGTATAACATAGTACAAATTACCTATCATAACTTTCCTTAGAAAAATTAAGTTTCGCGAGTAAACTTCGCGAAGAATCCAATTCCCCTTTCAAATATTGTGCGATTAAATATTTTAGTACCTACTGGAGTTGAACTCTAAATTCGTTGAAAACTTTTACTCGAGTTTTTGCAACTCCTTATAAAAAAACTATTACAGGGATAGAAAATTAATTTCCCTCAGCATGTTCCTATTAAGTAAACAAAGTGTTTATCGAATCGTAATCGAATAAAATTGCTAATATAGCCGAATGTAAAGTAAACCTGTGGATTTTACGAGTGCATTTATTTATCCTAGCCCGACGAAGGAAATTGATTCCGATTTACTCGCAATAAAATTCGCCAAACAATTTATTCAACTCGCCTCTTATGTAAGCAAAGAAACCCATCCGGAAAAATGATCGCTATAAATTAACGTTTGTTGTGTTAAGTGGATTCGAATTCCGCACAAAGAAATTCGATTTTTATCAAATATTTCTGGATATTTAAATGTCCAGCACGTACGAGTACAAAGCAGATTTCGCCTAGTGTTTGCTCTATTATTTAACCCGAATAAAAAATCTCTCCCTGAATATCTCGAACCCGATAAGAAACGGATGAAAACTTGAAGAAAAAAAAATCGAATCCTCCCGAAATTGCACCTGATTCGCAAACAAATCCTCTCGATCGTCCGAAAATTACGCCGTTGCATCGCGTTTAAACGGGCCGCGAATACGTGATTTCATAGAGCCCGGTCGCTTTTTATTCATGAGGCGTTGTTCACTGGAGATGATCTCTACGTGAGCCTCTTTCACTATACAGTTGCGTTCCGATCGCACGGGCGAGATTGGAGAATGGAGAGAAAAAAAAAACACACGGGCGACAAGGCGCGGAAGCCGGCCGGATTTGTCTACATTATATCCAATGTAAAATTGTTTTAAATCCGGTATTAATAAATTCGTTTTTATGTTACCATCCCGTTGGGAAGTTGAAGTAATTTTTGTTTAAATTATAGAGATATTTTTGCGAATCTCATGACAAAAACATTTGGAACCTTTGAAAAGCCTCTGAAACCTTTGGAAAACCTTTGGAGCCCTTGTAAAACCTTTGAAACTTTTGTAAAACCTTTTTAACCTTTGGAAAACATTTGGATAACTTTTTAAAAACCTTTGGAATTTTTAGAAAACTTTTGAAAACTTTGAAAAGCCTTTGGAACTTTTGGAAAACATTTGGAGCTCTTGCAAAACCTTTGAAACCCGTGTAAAACTTTTGGAACCTTTGGAAAACCTTTAAACAGCTTTTAGAACCTTTGAAAAACCTTTCAATACAATATATCGGCGGCTTTTCCCTTTCGTTTCACAGGATTAAAACAGGATTATAATTTTATTAAAGAAGCAGTGTCGGATGAAATTTTCTCTCGAAAACGAGAAAGCAAACTTTAAAGAGGCCAACAAAAATTTATTAGAACCCGCTAAAACACTTGTGATGTTTGCGCGGCGTCAACGCCGGAGCTTTTCAGCCAGGAAAATGTAATAATAACAGTAAATAAAATATATTAAGTCGGGCGAACGGGCCGCCATTATTTTAATCAGCTCAAATCTTCAATTAGCCCGGTTTTATCGACTGCAGTCGCTTAAAAGTAGTTCCTTGAGGGGGGTACGAGCGCTCTTTGCACGGAACCAATAAAGGCTAATGCATTTGTAAAATTAAATTAATCTGAGCAGAGAATTCTCCCGGGTAATTTTATTACGCCATTCAATCAAGAAGTGCTTTATTGACGGGCTATAAAGAGCACGAGACGTTGTCGAATTGTATCGCTTTCGGATGTTCGTTCTTAAATAAACGCAAATTAGAGAGCGTTTCTCTCCTTTTTAATGCGTTAGATATCGGAAGCTTTTCCTTCGAAATTTCAAACGTTCGAAACGTAATTGTGCCGGTTTTTATGCGAAAATTCGGGATTTATCGCTTCTCGATTCTTTTCAATTATGTGCTCCTCTTCTAAATGTTCTTCAGTAGGTATCTAAATACAAAAATTGACTATAATAAAGATTTCTTTTGAAATATAATGTTAGATTTACAGGGTGTTAATTGAATGCCGATACTTCAGGAAGTGAATATTTGGATGATTTTAAGAAGAAATCTATGTCATAAACCTCTTAGTTTTCGAGCTGCAGGGTGTTTAGGAAAAACAAAACAATTTTAGGAAAAAAAAACTTAACCATCATAATTTTTTGATCACTCCAGATATTTTTATGAAATTTCGGACATGAACATCACTGGTAATAGAAGAAAATTAATTTTTGTCCTCCAAAAAAAAAAGTGTTGGTGGGCGCCTACCAAATTTCAAGAAAAAATCAAAATCACTCTCAAAATGAACTTGGGAAAAATTGTTATGGTTTTTATTTTTTTACGCAATGGTGCGTCATACGAAGGCAAGCCTTCGGACCCAATTTGCAAATTTGCAAAATAAATTAGAATTTTAAAAATAATATTGGTTTTTAGAAAAATCAGTGGCGTACCATTTTTCTTCAAACATATTCAGTTCAAAGTTTCCCGTCACTGGAAAAATGAAAAAAAAATCTTTTGCCTCAAAAAATGCTTGTAAATAGAACATGTATTGATATAAATAAACATTTCTTTTTAAATCATCCTGAATATTAACACACTGTATAAATATGTGCTGTAATAAAATTTACGACCCAACTTTTTTGTTACACCTCTGTATACAAACACCGTTACGCCATCAAAATACAACTTGTAAAGTCTACTTAACGAATTCCAATTTGACGCGAATGTTGGACAAAGTTCGCTTTTATCTCGACTATCTCGTCCCAAAAGAAGTTTGTTAGGGATGGCATTCATCCAGCGCTAAGTAGTAAACTGGCTTTTGTCGAATCCGAAACTCGACGAAAATAAATATTGTCAACACAAAACAGACATCACTGGTTTGATTTAATTAAAAATCGCGATACGCATTTTGCGCAAAAAAACGCAGTTAAAGCTCTAAAAATGACATTTTTCAATGGGAGTCCTTTTTAATTATTTCACTTTGAAGTCGTCCAGAACGAGATTGTAATCCACGAATTTCCAACCTGCATTAAAATCAGTACATCCCATTCGACACTCGAACGTTATTTTAATGCGCGGAATAAACTTTAACAGTCGGTGCAAAACAAATATCAATGCACGTCACCTATAATTTACTAAGTCACAAGGCGGTGTTGCCGAACTTTCATAGAGTTTACAAAATCTAAGAATTTTCTAAAACTGTCAAATGGCAAAATGACAAGAACAAATTGAAAATTAGGGGTACCTGTTTCACGTTTCTAAACGGAAAATAATAATAATAATTTTATGTACAAACGTTGAATTTTGACAAAATATTTTTTGTTTGTTTGTTTTTATTCAGCTTTTTAACATTACCTATCATCCCTTGTTAATATTAAATTAAATTCTGCAGGTATTAATTTTAATCTATTTTGTGTATTTATTTTTAAAAGTTGGTCACAATGCTTGACAAGTATGCCGACAGTAACGACGTGCATTTATATTTGTTTTGCACCAACAATATACCTGAAGTTATTAAACCGGCTGTTCGTTCGATTCTGATTTCATTGAAACATTCCTTTGAAGATTGCCGGAAAGTGCATGAAGCGCATTAAGCACGTAATACAAGTCGCACTAGCGGTAATTAAATATATTTGCTTACCTTCCTCTTGTGTACTCGCTTATAGTACAAGTACATGCTTCGCTTTATACGTGGAAATTAAACGCCGTTCGGCACGCAACGTGTTGGTGAATTACATTTCAGATGATTGTAAAAAAAAATACGATATTGAGTAGGCATTAAAAGCGAAGTGGTTCTGTATCGATTTTGTAATTTATTAAATGACGTCGAACGAACGAAAAAATCCACCAGTCTAATGTCGGTTGGAATATTTTAACGTCAATAAGATGCCGAATTGATGGGGGATTCCGAGTGCCAATAGAAAAATGTTTTAATGCGCAAAAAATTCAGTACGTGCCATATTTATTTTATATTGAAACTTTTATTCAGAAATTCGAAATTTGCGAGTGTGTCGGTTAACAATTATAGGAAGGAGTAGGGAGGAGCAGGAAGGTGTAGGAATGAGTAGAAAGGAATAGGAAGGTATAGGAAGGAGTGTAAAGATGTAGGAAGGAGTAGGAAGGTGTGGAAATGAGTAAAAAGGTGTATAAAGGTGTAAGAAGGAGTAGGTAGGAAGGTATAGGAATGAGTAGAAAGGTGTATGAAGGTCTAGGAAGGAGTAGGAAGGTCTAGAAAGAAGTAGAAAGGTCTGGGAAGGAGTAGGAAGGAGTAGGAATGTGTAGGAATGAGTAGAAATGTGTATGATGGTGAAGGAAATAGTAGGAAGGTGTAGAAAGGTATTTTAATGTGAATAACAGGCTGAATTGATTAGGGATTCCGAGTGCCAATAAAAAATGTTTTAACGCGCAAAAATTCAATATCGCGAAATATTTATTTTATTTGGAAACTTGTTAGCAGCAGCGACGGAAATGCGAAATTTGCGAGTGTATGTACAGCAGGAGATGATGTGTGACAACTCGAAATATTCAGAGAGGAACTTCGTACGAACGAACATCCGAGATTATTTTTTTTTTCCTCTCAAAGTTACGTCTAGATTCCGGAACTCCCGATGTCGATGCTACACCGGAATAAACCACGAAATATAATAATGTGCGACGTGCATGATACAAAAATCAACTCATTCGTATGCATTGAAACGTACATAAGCCCGGGTATACGAGTCGAACGTAATGATTATTCTCTCAATAAAACGGTTTATTTAATTATTCGTTCGTTAAAAATGTTAGTCCGGACGGAGAAAATACATTTCGCTCCTAATTCCGGCAACGTCCTGGAAGCAGGAAGCTCCTACATAAATAAATAATTAGAACAGCAGACACGTGGCGGAACGGGAATATATAAGGAAATGAAACTTTTATCGCTTTATGCTCCGGAAAGACTTTCTCGAGCGAACGCGGACCTGTTGCGACCCCTTCATCAGGAAGATTATATTAGAGAAACACATGAAATCGTAAATATTTTCCAACAATTCTCATATTAGGTTTGTTCCAGCAGCATTTTGTGTTGTTTCGAACATTGTGAAGCATAGACGAAAGTAGTTATGATTAGTTATGATGAATTATCGAAAGACGATTTCGAAGAACTGTTAGAAGTAACGCAGAGGCCAGAAAATAAAAATTATACCGACGAAACCGTTCTTCAATATCCGGAAAATGAATTCAAAGAACATTTCCGTACAACAGGATACTCAACAACTGCTCGAGGTGTTCCAGCAAGAAATGTTCCAATCTTATCACGAACTTTGTATACATCAAACCTATGTTATTAATTTAACGGATTACTGACCTGCGTCGATAACAATACGGCCCTGGTGCATTCGAACACGTTCACCGAAGCGTCCGGCATCGGCGCGTAGATGGTGATCACGTAGGTGATGCCGAGCAGAGGCATCAGGACGAGCAGAGCTTTGGCGGCTTTGTGGTATTGTTGCGTTTCCAACGTGTTGGCCGATCGGAGCTTCGTAATCAGCACCCACATGATGCACAAGAGGAACACCAAATTCAACAGCAGGACCAATACGGTGGGCGCTTGGAATATCCAGTCGATCGGATGCGTGTCGAACCAGCGGCACTGGAAACGAAAACGATGCTAAAGTGTAATGTACGAATGAGTTGAAAGGTATTTGAAGGAGTAGGAAGGTGTAGCAAGGTGTAGGAAGGTGTAGGAAGGTGTAGGAAGGTGTAGGAAGGTGTAGGAAGGTGTAGAAAGTAGTAGTTAAGGAGTAGGAAGGAGTAAGAATGTGTAGGAAGGCGTAATAAGGTGTAGGAATGAGTAGAAAGGTGTATGAAGGTGTAGAAAGAAGTAGGAATTTGTAGAGATATAAAATAATGCGATTTTGAATGCAACAGGGACATAAGGGATTACTTTAAACATTGAAAGAATGCATACTTTTTCTTTTATCTACAAAAAGTTGGAGAGCGAACCTATCCATTTTTCGAATGGAACTTCCACCCTTCTCCAACAAACTTTATAATCAAAAGTCATCTCAGATTGACAACTCAAAATATCTTTAAAGCAATCTTTTCCTTAAGGAACCTTTTACAAGTATTTGATACTCAAGACAATCTTAAAATACTTTATCTTAATGCTTCGTTTTTTTCTTCTAAAAGATACAAGTGACAAACAGCTCGCCCAGGTACTCAAATTTCCAAATTTGTTGATGTTTACCGAGGATAATATTACCATGATTTTTGTAATTAAAGACCTTCGGCCATCGTCCCATTAATTTCCATTCATTAGCGGAGCTCATATCACATAACCGGAGCTCGTGTAACCAATTGATCGATACCCTTTAATTACATTATTTGGCTTTTAATTTTCGTCGAGACGACTATCAACACACACTGTTTATTACGTTCTTTAAACGTCCTTCGACATCATCGACGAATAGAAGGTCCAAATATGATGGGCTACAAAAGCATCACGACTCGATCAAAAAAAAAATCGAGCACTCAATCCGAGGAAATGACCATCGATTTAATGCTGGACGATTCGTCGTGTATCCCCTCGTGTAACGAGTCGCTCGTATCGGTTTCGAGCGATGGGCGGCGTAAAATTCCGGGTAACGGGGCTAATGCAGGAAGTGAGAGAATCGGGCCGAGCAATTGAGGTTTTCAAAACCGTAATTAAACTCGTGCTTTCATCAGAACTTATCGATCGAATGGATCGACAACATTGGCTAATACTAACTATAAAATAAAAGTTTTAATCAAAGCGTAATCCTACTAGTAATTCGTTGTTTCCACTGGCTATAAAAGCAAATTTTAGTTTGGCGTTCGACAACGGCTGTAAACCGAGAGTTTATCTGCAACTCTACTGAATTATTTTAAGGGTCAACGCGAATTTAGCTTTATTGGAAAATAGTTGACTCGAATGCATTTTCATAAGTACTTCACTTAATACTCTCGTTTAGGTAGGTGTATAAAGGTGTAGTAATGAGTAGTTAATGAGTAGGGCGGAGTAGGAAGGTGTAGAAAAGAGTAGTTAAGGAATAGGAATTAGTAAGAAGGTGTAGGAAGATGTAGGAAGGTGTGTGAAGGTGTTGCAAGAAGTAGGAAGGTGTAGGAAGGTGTAGAAAGATGTAGGAAGGTGTAGAAATATGTAGAAAGATGTATGAAGGTGTAGGAAGACTTAAGAAGGTGTTTGAAGGTGTTGTAAGGAGTAGGAAGGTGTAGAAAGGAGTAGTTAAGGAGTAGGAAGGAGTAGGAAGGTGTAGGAAATACTATTTCGTCGATTCGACCGACAATAAAAGCAAATTTTAATTCGTCGTTCGACAACGGCAGTAAACCGAGAATTTATCTGCAACTCTACTGAATTATTTTAACGGTCAATGCGAATTTGGCATTAATGGAAATAGTTCGCTCGGATGCGTTTTCATACTTCACTAAATTTCTCTCTTCGTCTATTCGACGCATATAACGTCAACCTAAATGATGCACACATACAGGGTGGCCCAGAACTCACCGGGAAAAGCCTTATGAAAATGACAATAAAGATGCCAAAACTGCAGTCGAAGATATGAAAATATTTTTTCTTTGGTAAATAAAGAAGTTGAAAATCGGACAATCTCAGTAGCAGTTCAAATTCACAAAAATGACGTGAATTAGCAATACACCAATTTGATATTATTGAAAGATTCTATGTCTTTTTCACTTTCAACGTTAACAGAAGCTGCCAAAATCAGCTGCGACTGCGATTTCTTATTGCTTCAAAAGTGGTTCGAATCAAATGATCTATTTTTGATGAGTTTGTAAGCAAATCTTTGATCAATAGTCGCAGCAGATTCTGGCAGCTTTAAACCTCTTTATTAACCAAAGGAAAAACTTTTTCAAATCTTCGGCTACAGTTTTGGCATCACCATTGTCGTTCCCACCTTTCCCGGTAGGGCGCGAGTTAAATTCCACCCTGTATAAGTCGCAAGCGGCGGTTTTAAAGTGAGAATGGAATGGTTCGTGCACGGTTTTATGTTGTACGTATAGGTTATATGCAGAATATGTTTTAGTGCCGCGCCAAATTGCTCGGAAGGAAAGTGTTTTATTTATAGCATATCGTTTTGAGGGAATATGGCGGAATAAACGGGCGAAATCGTTACGCGCGTGGATCTTCTTATCGATAAATCGGGATTTGCGTTTTATGCAACTCGAAATATCCAATAGGGACGCTGCGAAACGCGATAAAATCGTTTTTATTGTTCGAAACTTTTGTTTAGAAACGTCCTCTTGTATATCCTCCTATCCAGGCGGTAGATTATCAAATTTCAATTACGTTAAATCGGTGAAATGATAATAAAACCGTCGATTTTATTAAAAAAAACATCCATAATGGCTTCATTAAAGATACACAGATACAAAATGTTTATTGTATTTATTTATGGTGTATCTGCTGTGAAAAATATAATAGGTAAACTCATTATTTCACCTCTTGGAATATCAATAAAAATGATGTAGGTGACTATGTAGATAACACAAAACAAACACACTCGAATAATGCCTAAATAATTTTCCGTTTTCTTGATCTTTTTTACGTGCTTTCCGAAGTATTTTCTGGAGATTTCCACTCAAACTATTTGCGAGTTTTTACCCCATTGTGCGTCGTCCCGCTTCCAATTTAATGGCCTTTATTCTCTAACCAACGCTCAAAAATCACCTTACGCCCTCGGCCTATAAATTACCTGCTCAAAATTTTCCTTTCAATCGAACGAAAAACTTTCCGAAAAAAAATTCCCGCCCGCAAAGGGGCGAGTTTAGAACGCAGAAAACTCGATAATTTGCCAGAATTCTGCTACAAACAACTACGAAAAAATAACTGCGAATTTTCCTCATCTTCAGAGCTATCATTACGAAGACAATTCGTATTTGCCAATTGTATTATTGATGAAATTGTCTCAGGACAAATCAAAATTGAAGAATAATTGAGAACTGTACAAAATATCTCTAAGATAGCTTCAGGACAAGTCAGAATTATCGAGAACCATTTAGAACTGCCCAGAATGATTTAGAAAGCTTCTGAATAAACTGGACTTGTCTGGAACAATTCAGAACTGTAGACAATTAACAATTTACAAACAACTAGATAAAAACCAGTGAATTTTCCTCGTCTTTAAAACCATCATTACCGAAACAATTCGAATTACCATTTCCGAACTCCTTCTACTACTCAATTTCTCAATTCCATCGGTTTCCCAACTTCATCGATGCACTTCGAGCAAAGTTTACCGGAGACTACTCATCAGCTAAATCGAAATTCTTCGGTATAAAACGGAACCCGACCGCTTTGTGTCGATGTAAATCTTCATCAGACTTTCGAGCCCGATGGCACAAGTTGTAATTAACCGGTGCACTCCCTATCGGTAACTGTCTGCGGCCGTTTTATCCAAGTTTTAATTGGATAAATCTTCGCGCATATCATTATCTCTATACCGTAGGTACGTATATAGTTCGTTGTAATTTCCCTCTAAATTCCCGGCAAGGGGAATTAGAGCACAAATCATTTGCGATTCCTGCGCTGTCGTGGATGTAAACAATTTCGTGTGAATTATTTTTATGTTTGCGAATATATTTAACTGTACTTTGTATTCCAAACTACCCCGAGGCAACGACGCGGAAGTTTTCCCTTCGTTTATGAATAATGTAGACTGGTTAGAATTACACATGTAGCTTCCGCATGAGCACCCAAAGGGCTCTTAACGAAAAAAAAAATACGTATGCAGAAACTAAAACTTGTTGATGAATAGAACGGTGTTTGAAGGTGTAGGCGGGAGTAGAAAGGTGTAGGAAGGTGTAGAAAGGAGTAGTTAAAGAGTAGGAAGTAGTAAGAAGGTGTAGGAAGGAGTACATATCTTCGTAGGAAGGGCTTGTAGGGAAAACCTTTATAAGAACTTCTCATCTTATTTTTTCATGTTCTACATGGATCCGAGAGATTTCCCACACTTTCAGGGACACCCTGTATAAAAAAGATAATATAAAAGAATCTTACCGAGTTGTTGAGATCCTCCGATTGGGGAATGAACGATTTCACCGTCACCCAAATCAATACGAATATCATCGGCATGCCTGGAACAAAATTTAATATTTCCACATAAATTATTAACGAACTCCCCGAGCTCGCTACTGATTAGTACGCGAGCATTAAAAGCTCACCCCATCCGATGAAGATGTACACTCGCAATTTAAAATTCTCTCTGGTGAGCGTCTCGACGACCAGAATATAAAGGTAGAGACCTGGGGAGAAAACAACAAACTTTAATTAGTAATTATGCTCTTTGTTTCAATTGGAATTCATTTAACGTCTGCCGGTACTTTACTTTCCATCAACTTGCAATTAAAGTAAGGAAATTACGTTTTTAAATGACAATTAACTGCCTTTGAGGGATTTGCCTTGCCCGGATGCACCGAATGAATATTGTCCGATGCGCTTTTTGTGCTGTATAAATTGAATTTTTAATTACCAGCAAATTTTGTATCAATTATTTTTGGATGCTACATCAAAAGTTGTTTAATTCCTATGAATTTATTACTAAATTCAAGGTAAGTTTAAAAGTAGTTTTTGTAACGATGTCAATAGAATTTTGAAGCAAATTACTCATAATTGTACGCCTACGTAAAGCGGAGTTAAAGGGAGAAATTACCCGAAAATTTAAGGAAATCGCGATTAGAAGGGTCTGGAAAGGTAATTGGAAAGCGTTGTATAACTAAACCGTATAAAAATGGGATTAATCGATTCGTTGGGTGATTCCCAAGGATTGGAAATGTTTGTAGATTTATTTTGACAAAGGAATAAACAGGACAATCCACTTAAGAAGTGATAAAAAATTCTCTATTTTCTATTTATAGGAAATTAGTTTCATATATTAAGTAACATTAAATTGTGAAACTTTGTAAGAAAATTTAAAATTTTTAATGAAAAAATTGGTACTTAAAAGGGAACCTGTTGATGTGAATTTCATAAAAATTGCGAAAAATGTGAGTAAAAATTTTGGAATTTTCATTAAAAAAAATGAAGAAATTGACACAAATTTTATAAAAATAGCGAAAAATTTGAAAGTTTCATGAATCAATGAACAATTTGAAATTTTCATGAAAAAATGTGAAAATCGGATCTATTTTATTAAAATGAATGAGGACTGATAATTATAAAAATTCCAAATTTTCATGAAAATATAAACAAATTGATGCAATTTTATAATATTTGCGAAAAATGAGATGAGATAAGATGAGATATAAACTGTTCTTCTTAAAATCATCCAAATATTCAAATCCTGAAGTATCGGCATTCAATTAATTAACACACTGTATATGAGCATATTAAGCAACATTTTTAGCATACATCCCAAGCTTTACTTATCAATCAACTACACAACGTTAAAAACCTCCCCCTGGTTTCTATTATTAGAAATTAGTTACCCACATAGAGGTGTGCTTAACCCACATTTCGCGTTATTCTCCTCGCGCCCCCTTCGGCACCCTTTCAACGTAAATAGTTTCTGTATTTGCGGCATTTCTCAACGTCTAAAGGCCAATATATCACGAGAGCTCCTGTGTTAGCATTAGATACACCCGCAAATCCGAAGGAAATTTATCATTCGAAATAAAACATGTATAAATCTACGACTGCTTATCGAAGACGCGGAAAAATTGAAGTCGTGTTACAAACAAAAATCGGTTTTTATGAGTTACGGCTTGTCGAAATAGAGTTTTCTAGAGGCCTTATTTATAAAAAGAGGCATAACCTTTTGCTTTAATTAAATGAAGCAATTTCTTCAAGGTATACCATACATAAAAAGATGTGAAGGAAGTGGTTTCGCTTCGAGGACCCTGTTGTTGCTTTAAAGCAAAAGGTTTTATATAAGCGAAACCCTCTTGCTTTTTGCTTCAAAGTAAATAATGCTCAATTTTTATAAAATATGGACTAATATCTCAACCCCTTGAAGGATATTTGACTTTTGACTGACGTGTATATGCATACGTGATGTGAAATATTTCAGTAATGAAATCTCATCCTTTTCGCTAATAAATCTGAGTACTGCTACATTGAATTATTATCCACGTTACTGCATTGCTGCGAGGCAAAGTTTCGTGATTAATGCAACAGATTTATTACGGGATTTAAATTGAATTTTTCAATTTACTTTATAATAACGGGTTGAAAAACGCATAATTACAGTACAAAAACGTAACTTTTTTTTAATTAACGTAAGATCCACAGCAAACAGAAGCAGGATAATTTATTAGTTATTACAGTGCCTTTTAAAAGGGTAACTACAACGTAAAAATAAAAAATAACATTATATTCAATTTGAATAGCGACTATTATTATAAAATGCGGAAATTGCAAGGCTTTTCGTTGAGATATTTACGAGCCGGTGCTCGTTAATTTCAATTTTTTCCATGCACCCTGCGTAAAAAGTAAAAACTAAAACGAGCGCATCGTTTGCGGGCCTTTTTGTTTACCATTCGCTAATGAGAATTTTTTAATTTGGGGAATTTGTCGAGATATCCCTTACCTTCGACGAACATCCAGAAAAATGTCGTTATGTGGAAGTAATGGAGCAACGTGACTATGATTATGCAGAGGACGCTGCCACCGAAATTCAACTGGAACACAAACAGAAAGAAAAAAACACGCTTTAATTTCGAATTGAATTATTCAATTTAATCCGATTAAATAACTTCTGCCGGCGATATTTGCATGTTTAATTGAAGCTCCGGCCGGGCTTTCGATGCGTTTTTGCATATTTTTCAAACGTGCAAATTCACTGTTAAATTCCGAATTATTTCCAACTTCTTAACTCTGCTATTCTTCATTTCTTTCGGTTTAAATACGCAATTAATTCGTATTTCAAAACAGTTCCCAATTTTCATTAATTTTCCTTTGAAATTTTGTATATTTTAAGTGTACTTACCGAAATGAGAGTTACTATCCACACGCAATAGGTGAGCATGTAGGATAACATCAAGTTCATGTGTATTGTATTTCTCAAACATCGCAATTCTCTGTAACAAATTGAAATAATTAGCTAAAAATACAGTTGGTGCAAAACAAATATCAATACACATCTTAAAAGAGTGCCTACATAGTGAAATTTCTTAGAAAACTTCTGAATCTGAATTATTTAGATCTCATATTGTGGTATAATTTATGAACCCACTCCTTTCTGTAATACACCCTGTATCTTGATAACAAATTAATTAGATAATATAGAGAACCGGATATTTTTTAATTTCAACCTGAATCCCACCAAGCTTCTTTATATCTCTTGAAATGCCACTAAATCAAACGAATTTTTCCAACTAAATTCACCTTCAATTTTCTCGTGATTTTTCTCCATCCGCTTTGATGTGTTCCATAAAAACGAAAACCCTGTTCTCCGTCCGCCAGACATGTCTCCGACAAAGTTGTATTAATTCCGGTTTGAACTTTAATTTTCTCTATCTTAGAGTGAGAACTCGGCTCGTTCCTGACGGGAAATGTTCGTGACAACCAAAATGAAGAAGTTAAACAGGAATTGGCTTTAGTAGAGATTTTTTTAGTCTCGCAATTCCCGCAATTCTGATGCCCTATCCCGTGCTAAACATCTTCCTAGATATATACATTAATTTGTAATTAATTACTAATTACCATCGGTCACCTTACTTCGCATTGACCGAGTACCTGGAAGTTCAAAGGTGAACTTCCCGCCGTTTGAAACTTCCGTAAATCTATTAGAACTTGCCCGATCGATCTATTCGAATGGCCGAGGAAATTTTTTCTTAGCATTGATAACTAATGCAAGTTGCTTAATTAGAGTTACGAATTCTAGTCGATGACCGGAAAGTTCGATACAGAAATTACGGTAATTTAAATCAAAATGTAATTAGTGTACCAGAGTACGCCCCATTTCACATTAAAGCGCTAAATGAGTTTTGACGTTGCCAATTTAAAAAGTTATTGGTTATAATTAATCAGTCTACAGAGCCTTCGCCAAAAAACACACTACAGTTGGTACAAAACAAATATCACTACTGTCGTCATGTTTGCCCAGCATTGTGACCAACTATTAAAAGTAAATACACAAAATAGATCAAGCTTAATACCTGCAGAAATTCGACAACACTGCCTACTACATTGCATTGGTATTTGTTTTGCACCGACTGTAGATAATGTCATGACTTACTTGAAATACGTGAATATCATCATGGCTATAAACAGGGTGACCAAACTTAGCGTGTACCCGACGAAGTAGATCGTGGTCTGCGTTTCGACATCCGCAGGAAGCGTGATGATCTCTTTGCAGGAGTTGTAGTTGGATTTGGACCAAGTGCCGTTCCAGAGGCATTCCTTAGTCGCGTTTTCTGGAAAAAAGAGTTCGTTCGGGATTTGTTGATGTATAGGGTGTTATTTGAACGCTGAAAGGGGTGTTTCTTGGAACCATTTTAAGAAAAAACTTGATATGAACATATGTTCTAAACCTAAAATTTATTACCACCTAATTTCTGTACACCGAATTCATTGGTAGCATACAAATGAATGTATTTAATTTTTTATGGGAAACTGTGAGTCGTACGATTCGTACGAAAAAAGTCAAGAAGTCAAATTTGTTCTAAATTGAATGGGGCCTGTCAAAAATAATTGGAAATAATGTTGGAAATAAAATAATGATTTTTAGGTCAAAAAATGCTCTTTAATGCGCATAAATGCTGTACCTACACCAAATTTTATAAAAATATTTAAAGTGGTATGGAAATTACAGTAAAAAAACTTTAACACCCTATATCTCAAAAGTTAAGACGTTTAGGACATATCAATGAATCATAATATATGAAGTTTTTTTTCTTAAAACAGGTCCAAGAATCACCCCCTTCAGTATTAGCATGTTATTAAAAAAACACCCTCTGTAACATTTTAATTATTAACAGTAGGTAAACAAAACTATTTAACATCATTAAATAGATACTACATGCGGAGGAAAACCCAATTAAAATCCAAATTAGCGGCGTGTATACCTTATTGCAATAATATTACTCAATTGAACGATGATGCGCATGTACCTATATTATTGAAATCGCTATCGGACGTTAATGATATAATAATTGTTTGGTAGATAGTTAGATGTACAAGGATGAACTCGAAGTAATTATGTATTGTATATTAATTTAAGTAATTAGTAGTGTTTATTTTGAATATAAATGGTTTTGATTAATCATTGAATCAACAGTAAAAGTTTTTATATAAGGAATACAATAAACTTTCAAGCACAGTTAATGTTGCTTTAAATTTGTTGTTATTAGCGAGAAATTGATAAAAATTAAACCCTAAATTAAGTTCGAACGGAATTTAATTACGTTTTTGATGAAATTTGCATTTTTCCAAAGGGGAGAGAATCTGTTTCACGGGAATTCGCACACCTACCCAAACCGATTTTTGAATTAATTTCGAATTTCGATTCGCGCGGGATTTTAGAGAAAAACGGGAGAGTTTCCGTTTAATAAATACATTTAAAAACAATACAAAAAGGACGGAATAAATCCATTTCACATAATACTGAAATCTTCTGTTATCGTTATTTTTTGATGCATTGCACAGGAGTTCAATTTTCTTCTATAAGATGGAATATCGCCTTTGAGAAAAAACCATGAATAGAATAAATATGTGCATATATTCAAACGAATATTTGATTTATACTGTGCCTCTGATATCTGTGTGAATATTTGATGCGTTCTACTAAAATAGATTTTTTTGCATTCATTGCATCTGTATTTCATTTTAAGCAAACTGATTTAAAATATCAAACTGATGTAAATAAAATAAAATTCAAGAGATGTAAATTTAGAATTAATAACTACTTACATGAAATACTTACAAGAAATAAATTAAAGGTCATTCAAAAAATTGCTCAAAATGCAGACTTCAATGACTCGGAGAAAAGTGTTTTCTTTTTCTTTACCGTTTTAAGGATATAATCTGGTCGTCAACGAAGTTATAACTTTGAAAAGACGAGATCTCGAGCATGAAATTCCAATTTAAATTCTGTATCGAACAACTTGTGCCCTTTTTTTTGGTCTAAACAGACTTTGGCAAAATACACCATGTTTTGCAATTTGATGAAAAAGCCCGAGAATTGTACATTTTCTGAAATGGGAATTCTATCGCTGGACATGATTGCATTTCGAATGATCATCGGCTACAAAAGTAATAGAGCTATTTGTACCAAATTTTTATGATATTGGATAGGTTTTACCATATATATCTATTAATGGTGGACAATTTTGGGAAAATGGAATTTTTTTTTTGTATGAATTCGCCATCAGTTACTGAGTTGCGCATTCACCAAAAAATTAAAAAAAATTCCTATACAGGGTGTTAATTAATTGAGTGCCGATACTTCAGAATGTGAATATTTTGATGATTTTAAGAAGAAAAGTTAATAACAATATATGTGTAGCGGTAGTTATCCGCTACATACTATAACCTCAACGTTATAATTTTGAAGTCATGTTTCAATTCATTTTGCTAATTGTCAGATTTATAATTCTTCACTCTTTAATAATTTCGCAGATAATTGTTGATAATCTAAGACATCTGATCGTCGACTCAGTAACGCGAAACAATAGATTTGTTGAGAATTTTTAAATATATAGGGACGTCGATGATAATGTCAATCAGACATACTTCAATCATTTTTATATATAGACAATTAATTGGAATCCTATAACTGATATGTACATGTTATAGTCTGTTCATAAATAAAATATTATATCGTAATCAGTATAAATTACTATCTACAATATGTCCTAAAAACTTTTCTATCATAATTTTCTGATTACTCCAGATATTTTTATTACATTTTGTACATACTTTTTAATTATTAAAGAGCACTTTTTGAGGCAAAAGATTTTTTAAAATTTTCTTCTCAAAATCATCCAAATATCCAAATATGGAATGTTGATTCTGAAGTATCAACATTCAATTAAATAACACCCTGTGTAGCTAATATACTCAAATAATTTCGCATTCCTGATGGGCATCAATTCACAAAATGATGTACAAAAAACCTAGCCAAACTTTAATGCCCCAACTGGCACTTCGACATCCCTCAAACCACCGTTGACCCAATCGTTAAGCAAGAAAATCGTAAATCTTATCTCTCCCCTTTTACATTCTGTTTCCGTCACCGCTTTTTTTTATCATCCACAAAGACTCGACTTTCCCGACCGCCGAAAAAACCGAAAAAATGCGCTTTAAACATACAGAGATAAATGGATCGGAATGAATTTATAAAGCAATCGAATCGGGTTGGTTGACAAAGCGCGCGCGGTTATCGACATCAAAAAATTTTTAACAGAAATTTATCGCCGTTATGATAAATGTACTGTTTTATTATTCCGCATTCGAATAAAAATCCCTTTTAATCTCGTTAATGTATCGTGTAAGTTTCGGATTTTCTTTGAGTTATGTGTCTGCGAAAATTGTATTATTCGACTCGAACCTTCTGTTAAGTATAATATCCTGCTCCAGTTTAATAGATGGTGGTAACGCCAAATGGAATAAATTCATTATTTCGGTTATTGTACATATTTATAGAAAATCCCGAATCACGTCAAATTTTAATTATAAATTGACATTCTTCAACGTCAAAATGTGAGCTTCAATACCCTTCGAAGGACAGTAACAACCCCTATTTTTTAAATGAGATGTATAGGCTTGTGAAATATTATTTGAAATTCTCTTTATTTTCTATCCAAAGTTATTGGTTTCAAGTTTATTTCGAAAATTAACATAAAACTGTAACACCCTCTAGCTCGAAAACTAAGAGGTTTAGTATATTGATTTACACTTTTCTTCATGAAGTCATCCAAATATTTACATCCTGAATTTTAGGCACTCAATAAATTAATTAAAATCATGTATGGTAGGAAATGCTTCAATTCCTCGAACTAACAAGCGAAATTTATTATGGGGGATTAGCTAGGACGAAAAAAATGCATCAAATCACTAAATTTTGGCAATCAATTAATTAATACCCTGTATAACATTGTACACTTTATTAAAAAGAAAAATAAAAGGCAAAATTCAAAAATAATCCTGCAAAAGAGAGTAAAATCAACTTCCCTCTTTTATATATTTGCTTCCTATTTTTAGTTCTGCAAGTTCTTAAATAAAGGCGAAAATACGGAGATACTTTTAGATAATATTAGTCGATTTAAATCGATTGTACTTACGTGTGTCATCGTATTTGATGTGGAACAATTCCGAGAAACATTTAATGGTAACAGTGGTGTTGTGAGGCGAGGGCGGCCAGCACAATACTTTGTCGAATGTAACTTTGCAATATCCCTCGGGATATTGTTGGGACAAAAACGAGGACTCATTGGCGTATTGGGCCTGGCACTGCTCCAGCGTCACGTTGGTCTTGAATGGTTCCTCCTCGTCGTACAGAGAACCGTTCATATTCTATTTCCTGGTGTGTAGGAGTGGAATTCTAATCGAGCGCCGGTCGTCCTACAAGGAAACGGCCATATTTCGGGATTTTTTTTACCTTCGGGAGACCCGCTGTTTATTAGATTCTTCGGAGTCGTTTATCAAGAAATCATCTGTAATAAAAATTAACGAGGAATTAAGGAAAATTAACGCTCAGAATGTGTCGTAATTACAACAAATTCTTTTAACCTTCATAACAGATATAAAGGGCATTTTTACAAGACGTGTAAGGCATAAATTTGACTTGGAAAGTTGCAAAAACCCACCCCTATGCGTAATTACGCGAATAGGGCGATGGTATACGATGTGAATATCCTTTCTTGTGGAGGGTATAAGAAAATGGTGAAGGAACAACGAGAGTTCTGAACGAGCAGACGACCTATTTTTCGCTTTGACGTTACACGAAATTTGCTCGAAAACCGCTGTCGAAGTTCCACAGGAACTGCGAAGTTTAAGTTTATTCAAGAGATAACTTCGAGTTGACTTTCCTCTCCCTGTAATGTTCGATAAGTATTTTTCTTGCGCGCTCTATAGCTGAAGCATACTCGCGACTGGATAAGGAGAATTCAAAACAACCTACAGTTGGTGCAGAACAAATACCAACGCACGTCACCTATAATTTACTACATCACAAGTAGTAATTTACCATAACGGGGTGAAGAAATTGAATAAAATTTTTCATACAAATCCAGTACTTATCTTCCTTATAAGTATAAGAAAAGCAACATTCAACTGGTGAGTACGGAATCGTTCAATTTAATTTCTTTTTAGAATTAGGTCGACTTCTCATCCACGGCTAAAATGATATTTGCGAACCGAAAGGCCTTGTTAATTTCCCTTCCGCCATACGCATTCAAAGAAAAAAAAAACGCGAATTATATTAAACAAATTTTCCTTTCGGATTTCCATCTTGTTTTTCTTAAAAGGAAGTTTAATAACGCTCCTTCTGCCGCATTATAAAATACATTCCCGGCGGTTTGCTTTTCGATAATTAAAGGGACGTTCGCAGAGTGCGAGTGCACGTCTTGTCTCGCATCCGAAACGTTTTCCTCGCCCGGGAAAACTTTTTTCCATGAATATCTAATGAGCCGGAAATTGTTGAGCCGCGCCTCGAATGAAGTTTTTAAAGGTATATAATATCCCAGCAATTAGATCGAAACGATAACGATCATTGGAAAAGTTTTATATTCGAGAATAAAAGCTACTTGTTGAGCATAAATTTAATATTGATACATTTTAAAAAAATCAATCTCCTACAATTCGATTTATTGTTGCGCCAGCTATACGCATTTATTAAGCGTTAATTCAGCTTTGTTCCCACTACAAATAACTAAAAAGGGATAAACACTATACATCTATTAGTTCGATTATTGCACATTTTCATTATCTAAAACGAGAAACTATAATTGGATATACGCGGCATCAAAGGATTATTACATGAAGGTATAATGTATATAACATATGTTTGTGGGTTGATTGTATATATACAATATATGTGGAATTTGCCTGTATATTATTCGTTTTGTTCCTCAACCGGCGCGTCGAGACGCCTCGTCGAGAACAAGACGAGACATTTAATGAACTCAATTAGGAGGAGCAATTTTCCGGGGGATTTCACATGTAAATGCGTCTATGAAAGAACGTTACGAAAATAGCCCCGTATATAATTTTTATACGTCTGATGACGATTTTAATTGACAATTGTGGAGTTAAAACTGTATACAGGGTTGAAACGCCAAATGGAATAAATTCAATATTTCGGTTACTGTATATATTTATAGAAAATCCCGAACCACGTCAAATTTTAATTATAAATTGACTTTCTTCAACGTCAAAATTTCAGCCCTATCTTCAACAGCCTTTGAAGAACAGTAACAACCCCTATTTTTTTAAATGGGAATTATAGGCTTGTGATATATCGTTTGAGAGGTCCCTTCATTCTCTATTCAATAATGTTATTGTTTTCCAGTTTATTTCAAATAAAATTAACATAAAAAATAAAATCCCCTGATAGCCTAAGTTTGATAAATTACATTCAATATGTAATACCGAGTTGTTTACAATGTAAAAAAATATGAATATCCTCACCAAAACTGTTGCAATTAACGAAATTCATACAAAAATTATAACACTGAGAATTATACTCCCACGTAGTTATAGTTACAGATCAATTTGCTATGGACTTTTAAACAAAAAAGTCTTATTATTAAAAGATTTAATTTTTTTTTATTCTTAATTTTTGAAATAAACTGGAAAACATTTTTGGAGTATAAGGAGGCCTTTCAAACAATACTTCACAAGCCTATACTCCCAATTTAAAAAATTAGGGTTGCAACTGTCCTTCGAAGTGTGTTGAAGCTCAACCCAGTATATTATTTAGAAATAATATCTATTAATTCGGCCAACCTGCATAATTGAATTTGAATTACGCGACTGTTAAATACACAGTTTTAATTGGCGTCGCGGCGCATCCTTCATCAGCGAAGAGATTACCGCAGACAGTTGTTGAGAGGATGCTGCGGAGAGAATGGAAAATCAATGGGAACGTACAAGCACATTGGCCGCAATTTGTTAAAGTTGAAATGTTTGGCAGTTTTAAGTCCCAAATACCTTCGAAATATCTGCGCGAATGTACATTTTAAATAAAACAAAGCGAAGTAAAAGAGAATGAATAATAAAAATCCATTTTCTGATGGCCCTCTTATACACCCTTCAAGTTCGCTCCGAAAAGGTTATTTGGGGTCCTTTTACAGACGACAGGGGATATAACAACAACCTCCTCTCGACATATTGTAGTTGCTCAAAGCTTTGAATTGATTAAGGAGTCTAATTTGAGCGTCTGGAGTAATTTAATTACATCCAAAAAGGTGTTTCCTGATGCCCTCCTGCTTCAATGAAGCGTCTGCCCCGACCAAATATTATAGCTCAAAATTAAATTTTCCCGTATATAAAATGAAATATTGACTATAGGTACGAGGGCAGGGTGAAAAAATCTCGGCCTTAATCATTTAAAACTCTCTAGAACAATCTAGAATGATCCAGAATCATTTGGAACTCTTTAGAACAATTTAGAACGCTCCAAATTAATCTAGAACTGTTTAAAACCATTAAGAATGCTTCAGTATAATTTACAACTGTCTCGATGTAAAGATTTCGACTTAATAAGAATAATAACGTAATTTTTCCACTGAAAATCGCGGTCTTTCGTTGTCAGGCCGAGAACTTTTTATCTTACCCTTGTATAAGGTATTTTATGGACAGAAAAAAAGTGAAATTTAATTCTAATAAAAAAAGTCCAATACTATTTCGAACGTCTCCATTAATATTACATTCCGTTTTTTTTCCTCCGTTATATTTGGAGTGGCTTCAATTTCGGATGATAAACAAAAACTCTCATTCGAATTCAGAGAAATTATTTATAACTTACCAAGGGATCGCGGAATAATTTACGATTCTTTTATTAAAAGAAATCATTCATTAACCAATATGCGATATATGGTATAGTGTGGGAGTTGTTTGTGGATTTCGAGATAATTGATATATTTTATCAATCTGTGATATAAATTAGCGCGGTTATTTTCATATTTTTACTGCTCGGCTTGTCCGCTTAATACGCCTCTATTATTCAATTGAATATTTCCACACGATGATTTTAGAATAATTATTTAAATAATTTTTAGTTGAATAAAATTATTCACGTATCGACTATACAGGGCGTTTTTTAATAACATGCCAGTACTGAATGGGTGATTCTTGGGCCTATTTTAAGAAAAAAAACTTCATATGAACCTATGTTCCAAACGTTTCGCATAATAAAATTAAATGCATTCATTTGTACACTACCGATGCATTCGGAGTGCAAAAATTAGGTAATAATATATTTTAGGGTTAAGATAGACGTTTATATGAAGTTTTTTTCTTAAAATGGGTTCAAGAAACACCCCCTTTAGTATTAGCATGTTATTAAAAAACACCCTCTAGAGTGAAGTTATATTTTAGAAGGAACAAAACTTGTTCTGCACGTAGAAGGATAAATTTATCGACTCGTTTCCCGTTTTTCGAAAGCTCCTCGATACTCCGAAAGTCCATAAAATGCGTTTTTTATCGCATATTCGACCGGGTTCGAATATTACAAGGAGAATTTATGGCGGCAAACAAACCTCCACTAAGACGCGATGAGGAAAAAACGGCGCTCCTATGAAGTTTATCCAATTAATTCGTTTAACAACGGAAAAATGCGCCCATAAAGAAACATCTCTAAAAACCTAACAAGAAAAATGACAGCGGTATAAATTTCAGACCATAAAATCTAATTTGTTTGCGGCTTCCATCTCAGACCAGTAAAAACTGAATCTTTCTTAAATATAATGGAACCATATATAACCTGCGATTGACAATGGCGAAAAAACAATAAGTCCAGAAGAGGCGGAGATAAATTAGCGAGGGATAGAAGTCGAAGATAAATTTCGGTTAATGCGGAATTTTAGGAAATCATATGTTTACTCATCTTGTTTTTTGCAACAACCAAAATTCACAAAGATAAAGTAGCACTTCGATTATAATCGGATGATTCTGGAGGGTTCTAAATGGTTCTAGACAGTTCTAAATGGTTTCAAACAGTTTCGAAACGATTCTACAGCGTTCTAAATAGTTCTTGACAGTTCTAAATGATTCTGGAGCGCTCTAAATGGTTGCAGACAGTTCTAAACGATTCTGGAACGATATTATAATCGAAGAAATAATGATTTTCGAATGTATTCCTTGGAAATAACGCTCCGTATTTAGGCACTTTAAGGACGATTATGTACATTTAACGGCCATCTGTTCGTTGTTATTATTCCCGAGGTATTGGACTTTTTTTCCTAACAAAATTCAATCACGTCGCGATTTTATTGGCCGATTTGAATTCATTTGAAGCCTCCCAATCGACGCGAAACAATTTTCCATCGAGATTACTCTGAATTTATTTTCCAATTCGTTTTGATTTTATTGAAACGTTTGCTTTGTGTTTTTTTTCCTCCTCCTCCCGTCGTTTCTTATCCGTTATCCATTGAGCGATTTATTGCAGTCGAATGCGCCTTGTTAACGTTTTGATAACCGTTATCTCGATGCA